ACGACTGGATTGATGACGCTGATCTGTCAGGGTTGAACATCAAACGGCCGCGCGTATTATTCAAATCGATGTGGATGATCTCCCAACAATTAATGGCCTCCAAAACGCGCGTTCTTGAAACTCGGGTCAGAGATTGACGAGTTCATCCAGACAACCCCCTTGGGGAGACAAAGGGGAGTGGAGGCCTTTTCTCTTGATCCTTTGCACCCTGGTGCGCGGGCCCGGCAGTCAACAGTCAAACAAATCTATATAGATCCATGAGACTCAGATGGTTTTCTTTTTCCTCTCTCCTCGTAAAGGATTGGCTGAAAGGTTATAGAGGGGGCAAAACTCCCGAACTGGAATTTTAATTGCTATAATACCCGACATTACATGAAGGTATGAGGGGAAATAACCAGAGCCAGCGAAATGATGCCAGACAACCGCCAATAGCCTCAATGGAAGGAGGACTTGGCAACACGGTGGATAGCGGCTGGCTCTCGAAGGGGGCTCCCGTGTGGCAACGACATTACTTGCAATTTGAGCTCCATGTTGCCCCCAACTGCCCGGTGCCTCCAAAGTGCCCAAGCGCGGACGTGGTGAAGATGTGAAAATGTTGATTCATCGAGGCATATTGTCGGGGACGGGGGCTTCCACCACCTTTGACAATCAGGCAGGCAATAGAATCAAGCGGCCACCCTAGCATGGCCCTGTCTTGGGGCAACTCGGGACCACGCAACTCTTCACAGCTCCGTCTCTTCAAGGAGGGCTTTACTTGTACCGTCCGCATGCCAGATGGCTAGACTGGCTCGAAGTTATGTGGGGAAGGGCCACCAGCATTGAGGTTGCTGCACCGTGGGACATTCAGCAGGTCGACGGCAGCTAGTGCGATCAAGGACATCCATCCACATCAATACCGAGGTACAATAGATCAATGGATCCTTTTGGGAAAGACTCATCATCTTCAGCCATGACAGGCCGATTCGACCTTTCATCGCCCCGATTGATCATATTCATGTATGACTTAGATGACGAGTCATTTCCTCGCAATGGCCGGCATTAGCCAAGTTGCATTCCAAAGGAGATCCCCTTCTGTCGTTTCTAGATCAATATGGATCTGGAACTGGTAATGAGAGGGCGCGAGCATTTACCCAGACCAGGAGGATCTAGAAAGCTTAAATCCGCATTCCATGGCGGATGCTGCATGACAACTTGATACCACACTCTGGCCGGTAGGACTTGCTGTCCCATACTCGAGGGGTTGGGTCCCTTGTCAGTGGTGGTCGGCCAGGCCCCATTCGGCATCAGCTTTAATGTTGGCTGAGTTCGTTTCGTCCTCAACGCGAGCTATGTAGACGTCGTCTCCGCCGCGATATATTTTCCGCCGGGACACCTGATGCGATGCTCTCAAGTCCAAGTGCTTCGGCCCGGCATCGGAATAGGTCATCTTCCCTCTAACTGCGGGTCGTCTCTGAGGGAGGCTAGTGCTCCTTTGATCGTTGGGCGGTTTCCCGTGTATTTGTAACCAACAAGGATGTTCTGAAGGGATTCAAGAGAGTGTCAATGCAGCAGCTGGTATTCTCTCCGACCAACAACGCTAGAACCGCTGGAGTTATGAGGCTTGGGGGCCCTAATGGTTGTGCTGCAAAAGGTTGCCCCCTCGAAGGTATATCCCGAGACATTATATTCCCGCCATCTTCAGTGGCAACTTATTCCGGAAGGCCTCCCATCAGAGCTCGGGCGGCTTAGCCTTGGTGGGTTCTTCGCCACGGGCGATGATGCAGACCCACCACGCACTCGATTGCCCGAATCATCAAAACTGTGGATATGGCATTGGACACGCGCTGCGAACCGCTCATCGGGCTGGATTTGTCACTTGAGCATGAGCTCACAGTGCTCGGCAAACGAAGCTGCGTCGTGGGCCGGATAGTGATTACTTGAATGTTGAAGTGAGACCTTCGAACCTCGGGGCAAGTTTGGATGGTGCTGTCTATCGCTGCTTCCTTCGCCTTGATCATCATTTTGATGTCTGTCCCCGATACTTCTTTTCCAGTGCCATTTTTACAACGCAAAGGAGTGCCTCCCCTCCACCCATCTCCTTCCCTCAGCAGTCCTGACCAGGGTCCCCTCTCCCACCAAAGCTACCACGGGGAAGAGGAGGGGGAGCCGAAACGATCAAACAGAAAATATATTAATAGTTTGAGATGATGAGATGGATTTTCGCCAGTGGAGTCGTGCCTCGACTTTAGCTTAACCAAGAACGGGCTTTATTAATACCGGTGGTCTCTGCTCCGTTGGGGTACGTACCTGAAGGGCGCCCCCAAGATCCAACCGCCGCCTCTAATTGCTGCAACTCAGGAAGAAAGAACATTGAAATCGTCCTGATGCTCAATTGATGCTGGCTTTTGGTACTACCGTGTCAACCTGCATAAGACGTTGTTCTAACCCCCTCCTATCGTGTACACCCCAAGCTTCAATCTCTGCACCCTCCCTCAGCAGTGAAAACAACTTGGGGCCTTTTTACACGCGAGTATTCGCTTCGAAGGCGCGGTTGGGACTCCTCGAATGGGGGTTCGAAGGCACCCCTGGCTGCTCTCGTCTAAGTTCGTCTATCGCAGCTAGCTTGAAAGGACGAGGAGGGTCGGAAGAGTCTGTCCCCTTGTATCCAATGGATAGATGTAAGTGATAATACCAAGATCGACTCTGCACATATCATCGCATGGGGAATCCACAGCGGTCCGTTGATGGAATGCTGGTGACTTTGGATTCCGCCCATAATTCCCACCTCTGTCTTTGACGGCCTGGGGGACGCTGATTGATATATCTGCTACCCACTCCCGCTTTTTCCACTCAGCGCACTTGAAGCTTGTGATAGCTCTTCTTCCCCGTAAGACCCTCGTTATTTAGACACTGCGGTACAAATTCTGAAAGCAGCTCTCCCCTTGCTTTTGCCGCTTGACGAGTCGAAGTTGTTCTTTGAACATTTTCCATCTTGAGAAATTCACACAAAGCCAGGCCTTCCCTTCTTTTTCCCCCTCTCCCCTCCTCTCGCTTTACCTTATTTATTCGACCTCCAATTGCCAGCTAGTGTCATCAATTTTTCCCACTTCATCTAATATATCTTGCTCACTGAGATAGTCTAGCAAGTCAGACTGCCCCTTCCCTCAGTCTCGCCTGTGCCTTAAGTTCCAGTTTCGCTGGCTTCCACTCGCTCCTGCCTCCCAAATACAGGCCTCTGGCCTCTGCCCACCTTGCTATTAGCTTCTTGAGCGCACCTGCCCTGTCGTTGATACGTGGAAGCCCTTTGAAAGTAAAAAGTAAGCAGTATTCGTGATCCTGTCACCATCTCACCCTCATCCTTTTCACAACCCAACACACCACATTCTTCACTCATCGGTGGATAATCTGACTGAAAACAAGTCGTCCTCCTCCAATACCATCACCTCACCTCTGAATATCCCATTAACATACTAGGGCCAACTGATAGCCGGATAGCCTTGAAGCCTCGAAATCATCCTTGTTATCGACTGAACAAGGTCGAAAGAATAGCCTCCCCTCAACGTTGCCCTAGCTTGAGCTCGAAACGGGATACCTTAGTGCTGATCCCCAGGCTCCGCACAGCGAAGCTGAAAAGGCGGCCTCAGCGCTAGCGGTCAGCGCCTTAATTTCGGATTACCTCCCCCTTCTACCGATTGCGAAGCGAACTATTTTCAAGGCACAAACCAAGGGATATACTGCCTGCTTTTAGTGTCGAAAACAGGAAGTAGAAGAAGAAGGAAAAAGAAAAAGAAAAGGTAGAGGTGCGTCGAAGCTGCTGCGTTGCTTGCGAGAGTGCACGCACAATTCACCCACCCACCACAGGGAGCCTCAGATCGAGCGTTCATCACTCACACACCCCACTTGACCCAGGCCATCGAAAGGTACTTAGCTCAGGTTCCGTACTGCAGAACACAGCACTGCCCTGTTGGAACACCACACCCCCCTCATGCTCACGCCTGGTCTACTGCATAAGTGGTTGATAATCTTACACCCTCCCCTCAACCTAAACCTCTCTCGTGTCGACTCCTTGTCTTGAGGAGAAGCGGCAGCTTTATTGCGCTTCACTACGTACCCAGCTGCATTCGCTGCACGCTACGCTGCTGTTGCATACAACTGGACCACAAAGCAGGGGTACCGAGTACAAGGACCAGCGTACTTGTACATTCACTCTTGTTTCTTATTGCACATTTATTGATCCACCACGACCTCACATCGAATCCAAGTCGAAGACGGACAAAGAAAAGCGAGTGGGAAAAAGGAAGAAAAAAAGAAAGAAAAAGAAAGCCAAGGGACTCGGAGGCAAACTCCCTTCCGAATAATTCGTATCCGTTGAGTCCCATCCTCCCCAGAAAAACAGCTATATCTCCAGACTTCCCTCAGTCACGGACCGGCTGCTGGCTCCCTATTTCAACTTTGCTTCAGGGTGTAAGCAACTTCGCCGGAACTGCTCCCCTCACCCTCCCCAGACTAATAATCGACTAGTCTCCCATCGCTGGCTGGCTGGCGCAGCACTTCACTCAGACGAACACACTAAAACTAACCTCGTACCAGTCGCTCCGCCCAGTGTTTTGAACACACTAGCTCGCTTTTAGGACAAAGACGTTCAAAGCGGCAATTTTCACAACCTCTTCGTGTCTCACTCAGAAGGGGGACTTTTAACGCATTTCTCGCCACTGACAAAGTCACCTGGCCCCACCACTAAAAGGGTCGACCGATAATATCCTCGCGTGGATCCCACCACCGCTAGATCTTCATCACACTTCTCTTCTTCTTCCCCCAACTTCTCGAGGCTGGGCAATGGTTGCCAGCCAGTAATTACTTTCATACCTCTCTCTGTGAGTCAACACACGTCATTATTATAGTCGTTGTTTTACCCCCATTCACTTGTGAATATATCTCCCTCGCTTCCTCACCGCCGCTTTCACAAACCATGTTGTATACTCATTCTTTCGTTCTCTGCTAACAACAATTCACAGCCGATAATGGCGGCTGTTGAGAACGAGAGCCGGCCCGTCGAGGCCCTTTCCGTGACGGCATTATTAGCAGGGAGCGAAGGCATTCGGGAAATCATCTACCGATGGTGCTACATAGTGCTGGGCGCCACCTTTGTTGTGACAGCTTTAGTCTGTAGCATCCGCTCTTCGAGGACAGAAGAGGATGCTGTTACCCCAATTGTCAGAGGGCCTGGCGGTAAACCCCTTCCCGTCACCAAAAGGAAAAAGAATCTCGGCTTCTCGGGTCAGGGGAACGGTGCCAATCTACCAGAGATTGGCCCCTTCGCCAAAACTGTTTTCAAATTACTCTCCGGCTTCCTTGCTCTCACATTTTTCTTGAATGGAGCTGCAGTCGTCTTCCATGCTTGGAAGGCGAACCGCGACCTGCCGGCTGGGCAGGTGAACTGGTGGTGTGGTGAGCCGATGGTGGTAAGTGGGCCTTGGCCGTCCTATCCTCATTTTCCTGGTGCCGATGTCTACGCCACGACGGTCGCCAGGAGCGAGTAGTTTAGTTCGTATTGCTAACATGGCCTTTCTTCCCTTTTTCTAGGTTTACATCCTCGGCTCGTCTTGCGTATACGTCTATTTTACCGTCACCTTGTTCGAATGGAAAACCAGTCCTGGATTGGCCCATATACTTACGTGGCTTCTTGCCCTAGCGGCGGAGGTTACTATATTTTTGTGCACATTTTTCCGCGCGAAAAAGTGCAAGATACCACGAATCGACGATGGTGGCAACTTTGGCGGCAGGTGCCTCGGCTTCTGGGAACAGATCGACATGGCGCTCTCCTTGACTCGTGTCGCGGTATTGTTCGGGCTCTGTTGCATCTACGCCGCTCTTTGGAGAAGATCACAGTCTGACGACGCGTCAAAAGAGGGAGGTTATGGAAATTGCCTTTTTCGACATCCCCTCCACCGAACGGCTTCAACCGATACTGCAGATACCATTGCGGAAGAGTCGAGACCACTTTTGACTACGAGCGAACGATCATATCGTACCCACGAGGCCGGCGGTAGCCACGAACGAAGGCCCAGCAGCTCTGGTACACTCGCCAACTGCGCCGAGACCCAAACAGGTCTTTACCGAGACGAGCAGGCAGCCTTTTACCGACCCGAAAAGCTGCCCAAGAGAAATTGGTTCGAGTACCTCCGTGGATACACCCTCTTTTGGCCTTATCTTTGGCCCCGGGAGTCCTTCTGGCTCAGATTTCGCGTTTTCATCTGCTTCCTGCTGCTGATCCTCCAGAGAGGAGTCAATATCCTTCTGCCTTATCAAATTGGCCAGGTCACCGATCGGCTGGCGCAGGGCGGCGGTGAAGGCAACATGGCGACAATGATGGGTGGCATGCCCTGGGTCCTACTTTGGAGTGTCAATCTTCTCATGCTCATGCAGGGTCAAGCAGGTTTGCTGGGGTCGGTGCGCTCCATTATCTGGGTGAAGGTTTCGCAATACTCATACAAGGCCCTCGAAACTGCGGCCTTTGAACATGTGCACTCCCTCAGCCTAGATTTTCACCTAGGCAAGCGGACAGGCGAGGTGCTTTCGGCCTTGAACAAGGGCGGGGCCATCAACACCTTCCTAGAACAGGTCACCTTCCAACTTATTCCGATGATCGTCGATTTGTTCCTTGCCATTTACTTCTTCCATCTCGTTTTTGATGGGACGTACGGCACCATTGTGACGGTCAACGTCTTTTGGTATCTCTATCTTACCGTCAAAATGGCACAGACAAGAGCGGATCAAAGGCGCGAAATGACGAATGCAGACCGGGAGGAGGAGGCGGTAAAGAACGATTCCATCACCAGTTACGAGACGGTCAAGTATTTCAATGCGGAACAATACGAGTTCAGGCGATATGAGCGGGCTATCGACGACTTCCAGCGGGCAGAGGCAAACGTCTCCTATGGCACGAACCTGATGGCCATCGTTCAAACTGTCGTTTTCATCTCTGGGCTCACGGTTGCCCTTACCGTTGGTGCGTTCCAAGTCTGGAACGGCTTCCGCACCATCGGGAACTTCGTTACCCTGATGTCGTATCTACAACAGATGCAGGGACCTCTAAACTTTTTAGTCAGTTTTATCGTGTCATCCAGCAGGCGTTGATCTCGGGGAGAGGCTGCTGGAGCTTTTCAAGATCCAGCCAAGTGTCAAAGACCTTCCGCACGTAAAGGACCTACCCGAATGCAACGGCCACATCCGCTGGAGGGGTGTTCAATTCTCGTATGGTAATCAACCAGCCCTCAACGACCTTGATTTCGAGTGCGCGCCTGGAACAACTACGGCCTTTGTTGGCGAATCCGGAGGTGGGAAATCAACTGTGTTCCGCCTCATGTTCCGATACTACAATTGTTCAGAAGGTCGTATCGAGATTGACGGTCGCGACGTCAAGGACCTAACGATTGACTCTGTCCGTCGCTACATAGGAGTGGTGCCGCAGGATACGATCCTTTTCAACGAGACGCTGATGTACAATTTGAAGTATGCTCGACCAGGATGCACGGATGAAGAGGTGTTTGAAGCGTGTAAGGCCGCCAGCATTCACGACAAGATCATGGCATTCCCGGAACAGTACAACACCAAAGTTGGCGAACGTGGCCTTCGCCTCAGCGGTGGCGAAAAGCAAAGAGTGGCGATTGCCCGGACCATCCTCAAGAACCCCAAGATCATCATGTTGGATGAGGCCACCTCTGCTTTGGACTCTCGAACGGAGCAACAGATTCAGCGAGGCGTGTTGAGTGTTGGCCAGGGCCGCACCGTACTCATCATCGCGTAAGTTTACCGTTCCTCCCATGCATTTTTCCTTCCCTCGGAGACAAGGTAATGAACTTGCTAACCCGTTTGGCAATCTAGACATCGCCTCTCAACCATTACTCACGCCGACCAAATCATTGTGTTGAACCAAGGCAGGATCGTCGAGAGGGGAACGCACGAGGAGCTCATTCAAATCGGAGGTTACTACACGTCAATGTGGGAGAAGCAAGCCCAAGCCACTCGCGCGGCGAACCGGGAGTGTTTGAAGCTCTTGAAGCAAGCCAACCTCTCAACACGGAAACACCTCGACGCTCAGTCGGAAGGCTATAGCAGCATGGCATCTTCTTCGATTCTCCCGGAGCCCTCGCCGATGAATGAGTCGAAGCCGGTTAGCCCGATTGACTACGACCACTCTTCGGATGGCGAATCGAGCCATACAACTTTCCACGGTGAACTTGATAGGCATTAGCACCCCGGCGGACCTAATTTTTGCATGACACACGACCGCCGGGGGTTCTGTCTCAACCTCGACCTTTTTATCTTTTCACTTTTTTGTTCTTCTCCTTGTCATTCAAATATGCTCATGACACGACGCATACAATCGTCTACGCCCCTCTACGACCTTCAACATTTCTTCCGAACCCTCGTCTCGTCACTTTGGTCGTGGACTCGAGTACGTTACGGGTGACTAATACCATTAACAACTCGCCACCCACGCACGGGTCATCTTTATCATGGATGACGCATGTGGCTATGATCTCATTTCCTGCTTTGTCCTTTTCGCCGTTAGTTTCCAGAGATTCTTATTTTTTTCCTGTCTTTTTCCTCTTCGTATCAAGCATATACACTTTCAGCACATTGTGGAAGCATTCGGGTTGGCGTTCCGGTGGGCTTTGGAGTCTCTATATAATTTACGTATTTTTCCTCTCCCTTCTGAAAGGTATGCGGGGGTATACACGTGCGAGGGGATCTCGCATTTCCATTTCTTTTTCCCACTTGGCTTTCATCTGTGTGCACTTATAATGATGGCGCCCCTCGAGGTGGCGGACCAGCATGACATGTGCACTTGTGCAGCAAACTCGTGGCAAGATGCCCCATGTCCGTTTGGCCCCCATCTAACATCCAACTGGGCGGGTCGACGATGCAAACACCTCGTTGGCTGGCCCCTATTAATGAGCTTTGAGAAGGGACAGACAAGGGGCCATGGCATCCATTCATATGAGATGTAAAACTTGAGCCATATTTGGATGGGTGCTATGGCGAGATTACGGAACGCCTTGGGGGTTTCTTTCCTTGTGCCTGCGTGCCTGAAACTTTGTTTTCTTTTTCTTTTTCTTTCTCTTTTCGTCATTTTCCGATTTCAATCATCTTTGTCTTTGCTAGAGATGGATGGATGCGGGTATGGTTGTCTTGAGTGGCATTATCTGATCAAAAGAAGTTTTTTTCTCCCTCGCTCGTTCTTGTTACATCCAGTTCCATCCTTTTCTATTTTTCCTCCTTTTTTCTTCTCTTTTTCTCTTTTACCCATCTCATTCATCTTTTTAGTAGCTTAATCCTCTCTTGCACCCCGTTTCGTTTGCTTTAAAGTCGTTCGAAGGCCTAATGGGACCGAATCTCTCATTCCTTGCCTCATTTTCTTTCTCGCCTTACAGCTTGGCTATTGGCCTGGACTGGTCGAGGCTGGCGCAAAACGGAAGCATAGTATTGGTAGCAGTAGTAGTAGTAGTGGCAGTGGCAGTAATGGAACCGAGCAAGTGGGAGGAGGGAGCACTTCTCGGCCAAGTCCCAAAAACGGAGAGAATATATGCTGCAAAGCTGGCCTTGACGAACTCCATGGCAGAATGAGTGAGGTTCTCTGCGGCCCTTTACCGGGGCACCAGGGTATACCGCGTGTATTCAGTAGTTGTTATTAGCATTAATTGGGCCCTTATTCGACCCCTGAGTTCAACTTGATGCTTCGCGTTTCCCCGTAGAGTTTTGAAAAGACGCCTGGCGGAGCGTCAAATCCTGCGTCAATCAGTTGATCAATTGGGACTGGATGGACTAGATGGACTGGATGGAAGAATAGATCCATTCGACCCATGATCCAATTTGATTGATCAATGGCCTCGTCGACGTTGCCTCCCAAGCATCGACTAACACCAGACTGACTGTGTCGGTGATGCACCATCCAAGTTGCGCGGTTCGAGTCACGCTCCAGGGGGTAGGGATGGGGTGGATATTGATCGGATGCGAGGTCAAGTGGTGATGGGGAGCAGGGTTGAGAGGCAGGCTTACCACGACTCGTGGGCCGATGGCGCGGCATTCGCCTGCGCTAGACTCGATTCCGGGGGCATCATTTGATCGAGTCTAGATCTTGGGGGTCCCGAAGGTCCCTAGATTTATTTTTGCCTTGTTCCCATTTCTCTTCTATCTTATTATCAAATGGAAGGCGAAAAGGGGGGCGTGTGAACAATTTTGTTCAGGGTCCTCTCTTCCAAGCCCGGCTGTTGCGCGCCTCAAGTGCGCTCTTGAGACCCCTCAGTGCTCTCCTCCCACTTCCACCACTCACCATAAGCCTTGCTTTCGAGGGCTCCATTTTCGATGTATCCCCCTTGGGAAAGCCCTTGGGAAAGGGAAGGGGGCCTCGGGATTTTCTCTTTTTAAGTAATGCTGGGTGTGGATATCCGCCAGCGATGGAGCCCGCCTTGCTTGCTTGCCAAACTTGCCTAGCTGCCTCGCTGCCTCGCTGCCTCGCTGCCTCCATGTAGCTGCGAGTGTCCGGCGTTCGCCTGGCCTTGCGGTCGCCTCGTGCGCCTGTTTTCTGCTCCAGCACTTGAGCTCGCTGCGTTGCGCCTCTGCCCCTCTCATGTGTCCCTTGCCCCTCTGTCCCTTGCCCCTCTGCCCCTCTATCATGCTTCTGCCTCGTTTGGCCCCGTTGCCCCTCCCTCTGTGTTCCCTCACCCTCACCCTCCTCACCCTCACCCTCACCCTCAGTTGACCTCTCTCCCTTGAATTGGGACCCCCTCGGAACCAAACCAGACACCCAAGACGGGTCCCACCCCCTCCTCCCCCTTTTTCCCTGTTCTCTTCTTTTGCCGGTGCCAGCTGCATGTGCACTTGCCTCGTGTGTCAAGCCCTTTTTTTTTGTCGTCCTTTTTTTCAGCTCGGCGAACTGCATCTGACGTCACAGCGTGCACTCGCATAGAGCCGCGGTCACAAGCTCAACCAAACGGTTGAGCTGTTTCTGGATTTTGGGTTTCGTTTTTTTGAGAACAGGGGGCGTGGGTGTGTGATGGCGGGGAGGTCCCCGAGGATGCATCGGGTTTGACGGACGGAAAAGGAGGAGACGAAAAAGAAGAAGAACATGGCACATATCACAATTGAGAAGTGATGCCCCCAAAATGTTTGCCGTGGGGGATCGCGGCTTTTGCGGGTAGCAGCATTTTTCTTGCTGCACCTCATTCCAGCACATTTCCACCGGTGTTTCCTTTTTCCCCATCCTTCTATCACTCGCTCTCTTTTCTTCCCGGGCCTCACGATCAATAATCCCCCACCATCCGTAGGCTTTCCCCCGGCACTGCAGAGAAGAAGCCGCGCGGCCGCGCCGAAAGGCCCCATGACGATCCCCACCAGCCCGAAGTGCGTGCATGTTTGCGCTCCCAGCAGCCTGGACCGGGCCCTCTTGTGCTTGCATCGCCAAGCCCCTCGCGGGATCAAAGGCCACCCGGGGTGGGCTAGGCTGGCGGCTCAGTCGGGTTTTGTCGCCAACCTCGCGAGACGAGGGCGTGTAAACTCCGACCTTCCATGACACGCTCGCTGCAGGGAGACCCTGGGTCTAGGGTCAGCGAGGGGACAGCGGGGCGACGACGGCTTTGGACTCGTAGCCGGTTTTTCTCTCTTTCTTTTTACATTTCTTTCTCGATTTGTCTGTAAGCGCACGCATCCGCCGCAAGGATGGATTGATCCTTTATCGGGTTGATTTTCCTGAAGCAATTTTTGGATCATGTAGATTGGCCAGATGCTGTCATCTCACGAGGGAGCGGCCCCAGTTTTCCTTTGACCTGCCAAATCTCACTTTCCCTCTAGAGTAGCCATCTCCAGTGTCTTGTGAAGTCGGCTGCCTCCCGCTGCTAGAGAGGAAGGATGAGGCGACACTGTTTTTTTCCCTTCTTCTTTTCGATGTCCACTTTTGGATGTGGCCCGGCGTTATCCGGGGTGCGTCAAGCCCAGTCCAAGTCAGCCCAACGTGCAGCACAGGCAAACAGGGTCTAGTCATGGCCAGGCCACAGCCACAGCCTCGGCGGGATTTGGAAGCTTGGTGGAGCCTTTCCGCCAAGCCCGGATTTTTCTTGCTTCTAGAACTTTTGGGAGGGGCGTGAAGCTTTTGCTGCCTTCTCTCCGGGAATAACGTCTCGCGTCTCGCGTCTCGGGTGTCTTTTTGGCTTTTCTTTTCTTTTTCCTGTCATGGCCGTTTCCTCCTTTTTGCTTCTGTATCGTTTTTTTCTTTTTCTTTTTCTTTTTCTTTTCTTTTTATAAGGGTGGCCGTTTTCTGTACACTACAGTAGACCAGGGGTTGTTCGGCTTCGGCGAGGCTTTCTTGTCGTCTGGGGAGGAGAATGGAGATTCCCGGAGCCGCAGCAATCGATCAATCGCGAGGCCGGGAAGGTTCGGGAAACCCAGCCTGGCCGTAGGTGTTTGAGCTGACAGGGCGACAGGTTCTTTCGTTGATGGCCCGGGGTGTCAAATCGCATCCGCCTCTTTTCCTCCATGTAGTCGAGATTGAAAGAAGCAGCCGAATGAGCTCTTCCGAGCTAACATGCACTCTCTTTGCCCTTTGCACCTGAAATCTTTTTATCCTTCCTTTGCTTTGAAAATGCCCTCTCTATATATGAGCCCTCAACATCGCTAGATTCCAAACTACCCAACAGAGCTTCAAGATGACAGCTGACAGCTTTAGTCTCCAATCTTCTGGTCGCCCCCTTCATCCAAAACATGCAACGCACCAAAACACTCAAAAATAGTTTTTTATCCCAAGAGCAATGAAGTGCCCCTCCCCTCCACTCCACCTTCCCCCTCCCACTTGCATGAGATCAATCGCCGCCTTCCTAGTGGTGCTCTCTGGAAAAAATGGTGGCTGGCTGCCCCGGCGGGGAGGGAAGAACGCAAGAGGATGGGGGAGGGGGAGTACGCAGAGGGCTTTCTCGAGGGAGGGGCGTGTAGAAGTTGACCCGAGGGGTGCTTTCACTACATAATTGATTCATCGAGTTTTTCTTTTCAACACTCTCCCCCTTCTGCGGCGATGAGCGAATCGAATCAGGATCGATCAATCGAATCGCCGTGTAATAATTCAAGCCCCGGGTTGTGCAGGTACAACCGGGCATGTCACTGTCGAGGTATCTCTACTCACACCACAACCTCCCACTACAAACCGATGTAGGTTGACCTCACCACACCCGCACACCCACACCGCAGGGGGACACAAAAGGCACCACCCACATTTGACAGTTGAAGCGCTCTCACTTTGGTGGGTGGATTTGATTTACAAGGTCCATTGTCTGTCCCTCCCCACCCTCTCGCGTCCTGTTCAAAGGGTTGGTGGGCCCCGAAATCAAGAGAACCGCGACAAACGGGTTTCAGCGCGCTTCTCATGGATCATTCTCAACGCCTCAAGTAATCCAGCTTCCCTGAGGTCATAGGGCCTCAGCTTTTCTTTCCTGGATTTTTTTGTCTTTCACAAGTCATCAAGCTCTCCTTTGAACCCTCCCGAGACAAAAAAGGGTACGACTCCCGTCAACCTTTCGGGCCCTTCCGTGCTACTCTCTCTACACGGAGGTTGAACAACGTCATTCTCATCGACATGTCTCGTATTAGCCGATAGAGTCTTGCTCTATGTGCTTGATGAACCCTCCCTCTTCTCTTGTCTTAGGACCCTTTTTGACCATCATAAAAAAGGGAGAGAAAGAAAGGAAAGAAGCGAGAAAAAAGGGAAAAGGAAAAAGGAGATTGTTTATGAAATAAACAAAATGAATGGGGTTATCTCTTCCCCTGCATGCCTTCTGCGCTTCTCAATGAGTTCAAATTCGCCAACAGCACATAATACGGTTCAACTGGTCTACACTAGACCCGGCGCGACGTCTTCATCGTTGCATAAGATTATTAGTATTAAAATACTTCTATAGTATACATGAGGGAGATACAAGCGATGGTCAAGAAGCGAAAATGGAGTTGTAAGGGAAATAAAGAAGACAACGCAGTTGGGATGAAAAGGAATGGCGGGCACGGGGCATGTCTGATAAAGAGCGGAAACCCCTTCTCCATGAACAAACATGGCCAAAGACCGGGTCGAGAGCCTTGTTACCAAGCCCACATGCATGTCCCCATCCTCACCACCGTCACCTGCATCATTTTCTGATGCCCGTAGAAGACGGGCAAGTTCGTTGCCCCTGCGGAACGTTCAAGAACCGGCCGCATCAAGCGAAGGATAAGGCGACGGTCGTAAACGAGTGCTTCCGTCCTCGCCGAATACCAAGAAGCAGCAAGCCTTATCCTCCCGGGACCCTCCCGGGACCCTCCCAGCCCCTTCTCTCCGAGGGCCATTCGATGATGCAGGAAGAGGCCATTGGCAGCTATGATCTCGGCCGAAATCGAGACCAGAGTGTGTGACAATGGTTTGGCAGGGACGCCGTCGCCAAATCTTCATCGTCCCGAAGGTATCAAGGACGTCGGAATCCATTTCTTGATACCTGCCAACCCGGGAGTCGCCCTCCGCTCTCTACCCTGGCACTTGATGCCCCCTATCAAGATGATGAGTCCCCATCCGTATGCGCGCTTGCTCTGTTTGGACTCTTGTTTGGGGCCCTAAGCAAAAATGCAACAGTTGAAAGGAGAAGAGAGGATTATAAAGAAAAAAAGAAAATAGAGGAAATCGATAGTTTCCAAATTATGCGCCGTTAGACAACCCCACCATCGAACCCATCATAAGCCTGCGTCGCAATGAGAGCAAATAAAAAACTGGAAATAAAGAAACACAACGTGAGTAGGGCGTGCTACGAGGGGTGTATAACAGAACCCCCAAACACCAAGCGGCATTCGTCGCTTCCCTTAACTCGACTTCTTTGGAGAGGAAGCCTCGACGACGGGCTCCTCATCATCGTCCTCACCCTCATCGTCAGACCTTTCATCCGTCGCATGCTTGTCGCGGACGAAGCGGTAGGCGATTCGGATAATGTAATACAACCAGAAGACGTTGAGAGCCTGGAGGGAAGATAGGAGAATGAGGGTGATCCAGAACGCCATTTCGCACTTGAACTGACCACCCGCCCAGTCCAACTCGTAGGGTCCAACCGTCTTGAACTCGGTGAAGAGGGAGTAGATGACCTTGAGGTTGAGGTAGTGGCGCATGTAGATCCAGACACCCATGAAGAGGGCATAATACGGTCCGACGATGGGCGAATCGAGGTAGTTGAGAGTCTTGGAGGTCTGAGAACGGCGCGAAATGGGTTTATTAGCATACAAAGTTCTTCATCGTGGTCACGCGCTTAGAGCCAGCGTCGGACACGCGCAGAGAAAGGAGCAAGTACTTACGGCAAGGAAAAAGTCGCTAATGTCGTGGGTGGTGTAGATGGCGAGGCCAATGTAGGTAAAGTGGAAACGGTAGCTGCAGCCGATCAAGGCCAGACTGACAATGTGGTGGGCGACGAGTTCGCGGAAGTCTTTGCGGGGCTTCTCCATGCCGAGCACCAGGACGATAGCCTGCTGGGCCCAGTAGGCGGCCTGGAAAAGGTAGTAGAACTTGACGATGCCCTCCTGGTACCAGTGGGGACCCCTCGTACATGCCTCGGGTGTTGTAGTACCAGACGGGGTCTTGCTCATGACGTACATTCCAGCGGGCCCTAGAATGCCAAAGTAGAGGGCCGTGTACGCCTGCTCCATGAAGCGAGGTTGCTTACGACGGGGAGGCCAGCGTAGCGGGCAATAGGCCGAAAGATTTCCTGCATAAAGAACTCGCGGGTGAAGGTCAAGACCACGGTGTAAAAGGCAACAAAAGCGATATCCCAGTATCCTTTGCCGTAGAGCTGAGCTTTGCCCGGCTCGGCGGCGAGGGGGTATGAGAGAAAGATGAAGCGGTGGATCGGATTCGCCTCGGTGGGGTTCAAAGCGTAAAGAGTGCCGAACGTGAGGAGGATGCAGGCAGGGAGAATGCAGTTATGCCGAGAAATGGCGTGTCGAAAGCGAGAGAGGAGGCCCCTAGCTCTACGGCGCTTCGAAAGGCGCTTCGGTGCTTCGGCCTAGAGGTGTGGACAACGCATTGTTAGCAAAAGGACGCAGAGGATGGGCAAGGTATCAAACCGAGCCTTCACGGCTCGACCAAGTGCGCAATATGATACGGCACCCGCTTGGATCAAGGTGAGCCTGGAGCAAATGCGGCGCGAAGAACAAGAAGAAAGCAAGCAAGAACGAAAGCGGCGCGAGAGGCCTTGGATACGGCAAGGGGGTAGGGGAGAGGGGAGCATGGAGATGACTCGAGGGATGCGACAACGAACCTGATGGCCGTCCATGGCAAGTCTGGTCTTTCCATCGCCGTCTATCCTATCCAACGCGCTGGACTTCCTCCTCCTCCTCGGCGCATCGCCCGGGGCCGTGTGTAACTGGTCCGCCGAGGTGTTGAGGATCGGAAAGGGTTCGCTAGCCGCCATGATTGCGAGTCGGGTCGAGGACGGATGATCACCAAAAGTCGTAGTCGAGAGTCGAGAGATACAGGACGGAAATACAGGTAGAGTGAGGGAGGGAGGAGGATACGCGCCGTCCCAAGCAGGAACAGCGAGTATCAAGGGTTAAGTCGTGGATAGTCGGATGCAGCGGATAGCTTAGGTGAGATCCAAGGAGAAGCGACAAAAGATGGTCCCGTGCAAGTGTGTTGGTGGTGTGGTGCCAGGGGCGGAGGGATAAAAAAGGACGAGGGAGGGAAAAAAAAAAAAAAAAAAAAGAAGAAAAGAACACCCCAAAAGTAGATTCCACTCACGTCGGAGTATCAAGAGGGTCAATATGCGTAAAAGGGGCAAGGTGGAGTGTAGAGGAGCGGGACGGGAACTGAAGCGGAAAAAGCGAGCCAGCAAAAGGAAAGGAAAAAAAAATCTTGTCCTCAATTCTTAGTCGTCAAGGGGAAATTATGGATGAAGGGGGCACAAGGGTGAAGAGGAAGCGGACTGGGCGGGGAAGGGGCCCCGGGGTCGCATGGGCTAGCCGGCGGCCGTGGATCTTCAACGCTTGGGACTGGGCCTTTTCTAGCTTCCAAGTCAAACAGCACACAGCACAGCACCTGGGCCCGCCATGTACCTCTTGACCTTGATTCTGAGGAAGTGAACTTCACTTGGCTCAGGTTTTATTGAGATTTATTTTCCCCTTTAATTCTTTTGGCGACTGCTTTCATTGTTCTTGCAACACGGCCATTGGATCAAAGTTCTCCATCCCTTCTTAACAAGCCGTTTTAATCTCATCTTGAGGGTGAAAATTTGCCAGCCATCCCAATCCATTTTTCTGAACATTGAATCTGCAGCGCTGCTGACGGGACAAGGGTCAGGGGAGATGAAGCCAGGGGGAAGGCACAAGTTGCGGACACCGCATTGTCCGAGTGAGGAAATTTAGCGGTCATTTTGGCGGGGCGCACGTTGCCAAACTCTTACCGCGCAAGGCGACGGACGAGCCAGCGCCAGCCTGGCGGGGTGCTCTTGCGCTACGACGCGATGGAAGGCGCGAGGAACAACTCCTTTGGAGATCGAGTATTATTAAATGAACCAGTCAAAAAGGGACCTGGCACATCCCTCAGCTCGGTGGACCAAGCCAGCCAGCCAGAGCCAGCTCCTTCCCCTAGATGATATTCAGGCACCAGCATTCCTTCTATTGAGGGCGCATCCTGGAAGGACCGGCTCTCTGGCAAGCTCAACGGACCCTGGTTACAGCGACGGCGCGGTTAGTGATGCGTTCAGCCTGGTCAACAAGACGAGCAAAGGCTCGATCAAGGACCGGCATCAACTTTGCCGTACTCCTTCATTGATGGTTCTTTTCAGTACATCATCGCCGAAACTCAACCGTGCTGTTCCGTCCACATTCCATACAATACATCAAGTACGCTTCAGGACCCCCTTTTCCCCTTCTACCGGCGTTGTTGGCAAGCCCAAAAATTAGGCCTCTTCAAGTACAGTACTTTTTTCATTAACCCGTTTTTGGAACCAGGGGCAAACAAACACTTGAACTAGAGATCCATGTCACATGCCTCAACTGGCTCGCCCATCCACCTCCACTAACCTCATCTCCCGATAGTCTCCACTCGGGACCCAAAACTGCATGCATCGCTCTTCCGTCCAAGCGACCGGCGCCAAGGCTGATGCCACCCTTGAGCCAGCTGAAGTATTGCTTGGAGAAAAAAACTCTTGTTTGCTGACCAGAGATCTGACTTTCCTTGTCAGCAAGGAATCTAAGCACTAGGCGACGCGGGGTTCTCTTCTTCTTTCAATGCTCAGGAGAGAGAGATGAGGATGCAAGTGAAGGAGGGTGGGGGAGGGGAATGACCCACGACTCATCACTGAATAAGCGAGATCACAAACCACCTGCTCGCCACGCATCAATCCATCTACTTGTTGTGTCATAGTTGTCTTTTTCTTTTTCTTGAATATTCCCCCCTTAGCAAGAGCCGTCTACTTGCCTAGGATTTGGGGGTCAACGTTGCCCGTCCTTTCCGGCAGTGCATCCCCCAGCGTGTGATGCGAACAAGCTGGTGCAGTCATCTTTCTCACCCTCTTGATAATAATGCGCTCGCAGCCTAGGTTTCACGCGAACACAAGTGGGACAAGAACGAGGTCGTCTTTTCAATTCGCGTTGAGAATTATGCCATGATATCAGAGCTACGCCGAGACTAGCTCTTCAAGAATCCTTCCTATATTCCACGAGCGGCCCAGCCTGCTATATTTGCAGAGAGCCGTGACAGTAAAGTGTGAGAGACAAAAGAAAGAGGTGAGGAACAAAACGGGTATAATATAAAATATAGATACAGATTATTCGTCCTTGAAAAGAAAGGGGTGGGTGAGGACGAAAATCATTCAAAGACAAAATGTGCTTCCAGTGAGGAAATGGCGCTTCTCCGTCGCCATCTGCCTCCCATCTGGAGAGAGATGATAACCCAACTTCCTATAGGTAGCCTTCACCTGCCATTGCCTTTTTGTAGAAGTTATTCGTTCCGAAGCCCAGAAAATGCAACCATGGACAGCTCGCTCTGTGGCGGTGTCATCCCAAAACGCCATGCTTGGTCTGTTCTCATTTGAATCAAAGGACCCCGTGTCCTTTGATACCCGAGGGTCTGATGCATCATCTCCAGGAAATCGATACGTGAGAGGGAAATTGATAAGGGGGAAAATAGAGAGAGAAAAGAAATTCGTAAGTAGAGAGAGAGCGAGAGAGAGGGAGTGAGAGAGAGAGAGGGGGAGAGGGAGAGAGGGAGAGAGGAAAGAGATGTAGAGCGATGCCCCAAGAGAGGATGAACAGGCGTGAGGTTACCTCGTTGGCGAGGGTCTTGACCCCGTCCGTGACGGCGCAACAGAATCGGGAGATCCCGCGCGGGATGATACCGAGTACTGTTGCGTCTGCGGATACACACCAGGCCACATTGGCGGTGCCACAAAGTTCGGGTCCTGCTCAGCACTGCCAATGCCGCTTCCCCATGATTGGAGTCGCGCGTGTCCCTCGTGCGCGTGGGCGCTAGGTCAGCTTCTTCGCTGCTGCGTTCCTCCTCTTCCAAGAGTTGCTCCAGGGCAGCGCCCGCCGAGGCGGCGCTGGAATGACGGTGACCCGCATATTGTCCGCGTCCGTAGGCGGCCGGATCCTATCGCGAAATTTCTCGGCTTGCGTCGCGGCAAAGTCCTCGAGCTTGGACCGCCAGTCGAATCGTGTGAGGTCCTCCCGACGGTGACGGTGCACCGGCTCCGGGGCCTCGACATCTCCTTGCGTTCCCGTCGACTGGCCCTCGCCCCGGTGGAAGAGGGTCGCGCGATTTGCGTTAGCCTCGGCCACCGGCCCTCTCGGCCGAGCCTCTCACCATCGTCAAACTCGGCAGACGGCCTCTGATAGTGCCGGTGGATGGGTTGTACCGCGGCGGCCACCTGGCTTGCAGCCGATCCACCTGTGCTTTCGCTACCGCTGATGGCGTGGCTGACGTCTGAGCTGCCGCTTGGAGACAGCACCGTCGTACGGAGGGGGACACCGCCGGCAGAGGGCCCAACGGCTCCAGGTTCAGGTGTTCCCTCCGATGCCTGCTGGTATCGAACCGCGTAAACCGTGCTCGCCGCGCTGGCTGTATCGGTACGACTTATAGGGGTCGCAACCGGCGGCGGGTGAGCCGGCCACATGGGGGCCGCAAGTTTTCCACGGCCCCGTCCTGTCCGGGAGCTCGATCCCTCTCCCCACCGTCGCCGGTGTCTGCACCGGTCGGGCTATCGTTATGTCGGTATCGGCCTGCAAGTGACGCTATTATACTTCCCCGAGTCGACAGCAGCGGTCCGGAGCCCCTGCCCGTTCCATCGCCACCTGTTCCTTCGGAGTCGTGTTTCTTCAGCTTGCGGGACCAAGCGGAGTCTGACGACGCGGACGCCTCCACCATGTCGTCTCCGTCAAATACCTGGCGACCTAGAATGCCGTCCTTCTTCTCTTCGCGTTCTAGCGCCTCTATGCGCTCTACCCACTCCCACACAACCACGCTGGCTGCCGCAGCGCCGACCCATCTAACATAGTCGCCCCAGCCGGCGAACTCAGGTTTCGAGATGTCAATAATGAAAAACACAACGGGTACAAGTATAGAGAACAGGGATATAGCGGCGACGAGGGGCATGTTCTTCATGAGCGGATGATAAAACGCGTATCGTTTCTTAAGGATAGCGTAGTAGATGACCCAGGCGGCATAGAGCAGGCCTAGGGAGAGCTGGAAAAGGTAGCTGAGGGCGGGGATTGCTTCGACGAAGCTCTGAGGCCGCGTGCTGCCTTGGTTAGTGGGGTTGGAGTTTTGAAAGCTGTTGAGCGCGCTAAAAATGACATCGAGGGTGATGAGGGCAAAAGCGGCCCACTTGATGATAATCTTCTCGCGCTGACGCTGAAAAAGCCGTATAAGGGTCTGCGCTTGGGCGAGCCAGAGGAAAGTGTCGGAAAGAAGCCGAATCACCTTCAAGGAGGTGCTGTCCATGACTGCGATTTGCAAGCGATGCGCATCTTGAACACCCCAGTGATACTGCGCCTCAGCATAGTGAAAGGTTTGGCCGCTCGCAATTGACAGGGATATCGCGACGCTCAACGCAGCAACCTTTTGCAGCCAGGGGCGACCGCCGAGCGTAACCGTACTCGGCGAACTGCTAGTGAAGCGGTTGTGGCGGCCAAGGTAAACGACTCCGCCATTCACGAAAGCGCGGGGGTGATGAAAAGCATAATGACGAGCATGTACGCGGTAATGGTAGTGCCCGCAAGGGCGTAGAAGACAGGAAATAACGACGCGTAGAAGGGATCGCGGAGGTCGGTGAAGCCAGGGTTGTCGCCGGATAGGCCAGTATCACCTAATAAAGGGCTCCCAGTCTCTTCCCTCGGAAAAGGTGGCTACCGCCAGCGCAATTTGCAAAGTAGACGGCATCCTGGGAGAGCGTGAGAAGACGACCGCCTTGTTCGAGAAGAAGAGCACCACCCTTGGCGGCAAGGAGAGTAGCGGTGCATAAGTCGGGGGATAGCGGCCCCCAGGGGGCAGGACCTGTCCTGCCTCCATTTGTTGCGTCCCAGCCAGAAATGGGTTGGCCACTTTCGAAAGGGAAATAAATCAAAGACGGGGTGTTGTGTACCGAAGCGGCGCGCCTTCAAGTTACGACTAGAGGGCGTGGCTTCGCGCGGCAAAAGCTTTCGGGGCCGTCAGATGGTCGCCATTGACGAGGAGAGAAGCCGCGGGCAAGCACAGGGCGTTCGATGGCGCGCGGCGTGAAGAGTGGATAGGGGTTCTAAATTATCGCAAGAGAGGAGCCGGATGGGCTTGGGAATTTGAAGCTCGTTCTATTCAATGCCTGCCAGCAGTCGGTCGATGTAGGCATGAGGATGAGGGAATATGCCACGTTGGGTCGCGCAACGCGGCGGAGCGCTTAGTTGATTCGACTCGTATGGGGGCCACGTCAGTGTGTGCAGAATGAAGCAGGCGTCGGGAAAATGAGGAGTAGCCGTCGACCAGCATGTGGAGTTGAAGCCGAAATTATCGTCTCGTTTAGAGCATATCAGGGGAGCGAGACGGGGCTTATCGAAATGGAACACGATGCACCGATTTTCGAGTCGTGCGTGTGCGAGAATACTGGAAGGGGAAGGAAAGGGAGCTACAAGGCCAGATTCAAGACAATCCGCTCCGGGTGGCTCGCAACAGGAAACCGACAGCTTGGTTTGAGCACAACAGAGGCGCGGTGCGGGAAAAGCTGGAGGGTGGGAAATGGAAGTCTCGGCGCCCAGGCAAATGGTGAAAAAAGGAGCAAGGGCGGAAGGGCGGGAGGGCCAGTTTCTGTGACACGATGGGGCAAGTTGCACAAAAAGACGGAAGCGGGACGCACGAGCGCAGATATCGTCGAGGAAGATCGAGTCGGAATCGGTCGGTCGGTCGGTCAGTCGGTCAGTCGAGAGTATTGGGAAATTGGGAGCTGGGAGAAAGCTGGAGGAATAAAACGAAGCGAGCGACTCGAAGGACGTTGGACGGGTTGAAAGTTAGTTAGGAAAACAGGGTCGAGGGGCGACTCGTGATGGGGGTTTTGGGGGAAAAGAAGATTGAGGGCCTGTCGAGTACAAGTAGCATTAACTAGATGCAAGGGAGGGGAGACCTTATTGGCCCACCGCGGCTTTACATCAATTGCATGTACAGCACAGTACTTTTCGAAGGGGTCAAGCCGACGGAAGGAAACTGCCAGGGACACAGTGAAGGGGTTTAGAAGGGGAAGGAAGGGGGCTGGCACCCGCGGTCTGGAAGGGGCGACCAAGGTTTGCTAGCGTATGGTGGGATGGGGCCCTGAGGCACTTGCGAAGGTGAACGTGGTACCGGGTGTGGCGGAAATACCCAATCGGTTCATTGATCCATCCACTATCCTTCCTCCTTGTCGCAGAGACAGGTTGTATGACTGGGGGTCACGAAGCAAGCCAGTGACCGGTTGATCCATAGATCTATTATGAATTGATCCGACGTGATCTGAATTCTCATACAGGATCCCCGAGTCATTGACGGGAGTCAAATTCCAGCACGGCAAGCACGTTATCCATGTATGCGCATGTACACAATCGAAGGGCACCAAACTCCAGAGTCAGTTGATGGATCCATCGCGATACATCTATCTCAATTTCGCCGTTTCACCGTTACTTCGACCCAGGCAGTGTACACAATCGATTACAGCGTTCAAACAACTTTGCCCCCAAGTCGAGAATTGGGTTTCGGGGTGGGGGCCAGCCTCTTTGACCCATTGACAGCAATTTGATCATAGATCTGATAGATGAGAGCGGGAAAGGTGAGAGCAAAGGCCCTTCTGGTGCTCGTGCTTTCATACTTGCACAATTGATGAGTGCATCGTTGCGGAGGTCCACGCGTGTCAGCCCACACTCCTCACACCAGCACGAGTGTTGACTCGTCGCAGCTGCCCGTTCGTTTTTTTTTTTTTTTTGCTCGCATCGGGTCGGCTCTTTTCTACGAAGGACGCAGAAGCCCATTGATGCAGTGGCGGGCTCGCCATGAGACATAAGCGCAGTTGATCAATGCATCGAGAGCAAACCGGCCTTCTCGACCATTTGCGTATTGCAACTCCACCAGCAACCCGAGCTAAAGCCAGTCACCGCGTCGTCTCAAGCTGATGCCAAGATATTGCAAGTAGTCCCCCTTCTCTGGAAGGGTACCTTGATTCTTACCTTTCAATGTTGATTCAAGAATGATCCCCACCCAGCTGGAAGGGGATAGGTTCCAAGATATAGCAGGGGGGATGAAGAACGGGAATCATCGAGGGTTGTGAATTGCGCGATTCGCCCAGACGCGCGGGAAAATTTTCACGTCTTGTCGAGGCCGGTTAGCAACAGCAATCGCAGGCTCACGATCCCGCTTGAGTCGATTTTCCCGACTCAATTTCGAGAGATGTCACTTTGATCATACATGAGCAACATTGAATGGATGGCTGGTATTAAAGAGGCGGGATGGGTCGAGCTGGCCGGGCGGTCCAGCTCCAGGCCTCGATGTGCATGCATACTCTACATCAAGTGCGCACTTTACAACCCCTCCGAGCTTTTTGATCACTCGGGGGCAGTGCAATGCCAGATTAATAACTTGACATTATTATCCACTATGGTACATGGCAACATTTTGAGGTGCAGCCCAACCAAGCCTGCATCTTGCTTGGTTCATCAGAAGCAGAAGCAGAGGAAGAACAAGAATGGGCTTGTCTATTTGAGAGACCTCGGGCTGTTTAATGCTCTCCATGTTGACGATCCGATGCAATCTTATCCATCATTGAACCATCCGTCACTGAGCGGATGGGCATGCCCTACCCGTTCATTGACGATATGGATGTATTGAAGCTACATCCAGGATACTTCGTACCTTGGTACATCAGCAGCACCCACTAGCCCAACACAGGAGCAGGTGGTACTTTTCTGCTCATGTATACCCTTTTCTTCGCCGCACGTCCGCACGCCACCGCCCGACCGGGACAGATTGAGTTTGATGGTTGGGTGAGGAGTTCGCCCGGACCTGCCTCGCCTCGCCTCCCTCGCAGTGCAGGCTCAAGGCGCACGTTCTGGGGCCAGTGAAGGTTTTCTTTCTAGTGTAAAATCCCGCTGGCCTCTCCTTCTCGCGAGACTAGTGCGGAGCAACCCCTCTCCCGGGTGAGAGCCGACGAGGCCCGATCTGAACACGGCATTTGCTTCATGATCCAATCTTGCTCGATCCTAAGATGGGCATATCGATCGTGCCTCACTCACCTCTCCCTTGACTTCACACGAACGGCGGAGCTGGGACATGATGCGGGTGTCCCAAGCCCATCGAAGCTAAGCCAACTGAGTAAGAAACAGCGTTCTTGTTTTTATAGGCACCAATTAATTGTTGTATCGATCAGCCAGGACGGCGGTTTGTGAAGGACAGGGCGACCGCAAGGTAGATTGATCAAGCGCTTTACCAGAGGCAGCTCTTCCCCTTTCACGTATTTTTAACCCTTCTAGCAAAGGCCCCTGTTACGACAGGAGTGAATTCATTTAGATGAACCTTGATCGACCTGCGTTATGCAAGACATGTCAAGTAAATGAGATCGGAGGTGCCTACCGAATTTAAACCTGGCAAAGAACAATGGGCCTCGAGGCATTAAAAAGAAAGAAGAAAAAAACAGAAGGAGAAGGGCAGAAGATCCCCAAGCAAGGGACGAAGGCAAGGAAAAGAATGAAAAGAACAAGGTCAAGTAAGCTTGAAAAGCGAACGAAAAAAAAACCACACACAGAAGGTCTGGACCGGTCCCCTCCACAAGCGAGGAGGCTGCATCTACAAGGAGCGCCTCGCATCCATATGTTGGGTTCCAATGTGCGCGTGGTGTGTACGAAGTATGTGGTGCGTGTCGACAGAATCGGGAATGTGGCCAGATGGGTGCTCACACTAGAGCCAGAAAGGGTTACCATTTAATGCATAACGCCTATATTATCGCGCCCGGTAAAATTATTCGACCACGCCTTTTTCCCTCCCTTGCCCTTAGGCAATAGATTACCAAAGCATCGAGAACGGGATCCCGTCACGCTTTGGTGGCGAAAGAAGTCGGGATGGGACTTGGGGCCAGGATTGGGGAGGTTTCTCTTTTCTGAGTGCTGCGATGGCCTCACTTGGTTTTTGGATCGTCCCCCTCCTCCTCTTCCCCCAAGCTGGACCCCGAAAGTCTGTCCTTCCTTTCGATAGGCTATCCATCCCCTTGGGAGACTCTGCGCCCCCAACCCAACTGCCAAGATGGCCTCTGCCTGTCAGCATGTACCCGCCTTGGCAATCGCGTCTTGGCAATCGTCTCTTGGCAAAGCTTATTACCCCAGGATGCACGGCTTGGCACAGCACGCCTCTCCCATTCATCACCTGTCATCTTTTTCTTCTCGATCCTTCTTCTTGTTCTTCTTCGTTTCCTTGCAGGATCACTCTCCGGTGCTCGAGGTGGCTTGAGAGACGAGGCTGGGAGGTTTATTTCGTAGCCCAGCAACCTGAAGTGGAGAGTGCTCCCCTCACAGGTTCTAGTTGCTGCGGAGGCTCAACGTCTGGAGACGCTGTTTTTGGATGACCTCGTCTTCCGTGGAGCTCGCCAGAGCAAGATGGCGAGGTGGTGAAATGGCCGGTTTGCGATAGCCATGGAATAGGTGGTTGGCCTTCCTAAACTCGGCGCAGTGCCCTGTGGCGTTCTGGGGATCTTGTACGACACGCCGGATACGAGGCTCTATCTCCCTTGTAGGCAGGTCATCCTAGGACACCCTAATTGTCTCATAATCCTGCACCCCTGCGGACTCAAGGTAATGATTGCCTGGAGCATTTCAGCAGCGTGAACATAAGGATAAGCTTGAAGGTGCAAGACAACGCACTCCAACTTCCAGGCAAGCAATAAATGCTATGTAGACCACAGATCAACAGGAAGAAGCGGACCAACATATCATCAGCCAAGAATTTCAAGAGGGAGACAAGCAAGAGAGTGATCGGAACATACATGTAGCCACCTCGAGATCGTCAGGCCTTGGAAGACGACACGATTGGCGCTGTAGAAGCTGTGCTGCGAGGCCGCCAGGTTCAAGTACGGCGGAGGTCAAGTTCACTTCAGCCGAACTGAACGATATCAGGACCGTGGGGTAGACTGTGGTTTTTAAGCATTTATAGATGTATATATCAGTTGATCTGGGTATTATATGTGGACACGGACAGTATAGATTCAGGTGATGGAATTTTCCCAGGAATACGGAGATACAGAGCTACTGATATATAGATCGCTGTTCTAATCCCGGGTTGACGGTTACCTTCCGAGATTACATGTAGCCCTCGATCAAATGCTGCCTTTCGTCTTTCCCGTTTCCCCCTCCCCTCCCCCTATCTCCTACCCCGAGAAAAAGAAAGAAAAAAAGACATGTGACAATAAAACCCAGATGATCTTTGACCCCGTACAACGCCGCTAGTGCATTTGATCTGAATGAAGAAAATGCCCAGGTGAAAAGAAAGGGAGAAAAAAAGAAATTACGATCATTAATGAGCGTGGGGAAAGCACCATCCCAAGAGAGCTCGCGTGTCAAGTCTCATGTTAGGTAAACTTCAAGTGGATGTAAAATCCTCAGCTGGCATCTTCGCTTAGAAAAGAGAGGCATGTGGTGGCCCAAGAGCCTTGAGCGGAAGCTTGATAGGGGCAGCAGTCCACCATCCTGCATCGGGCGCTACCAGATCAACTAGCTGGCCCCTGCTGAGGATGGTCGTGCCGTTATCATGCGTCATATTGGACCACTGGCAAGCCGGGGCTCGTAGCCGGAGAGGAGAGAAGGTGGCGGTGTTGTGGCGAGTCCAGAGGACGATGGAGTTGTTCGCCGAGGGCTCAAAGGGGACCCAACGGCGGAGAGGGCAAAAGAGACAAGGGGAGAATGTTCAGATGCATGCTGGATGAGCAGTGAAGCGCAAGGGATATCGAATGCGGTAGATGGGGACCGACTGTATCCGTTGGCGTTGGGATTGAGAAGAAAGTTCAGACGGCGTTGAGCCAAAAGGAAGAACGGGCGAGTTTGGTGATAATAAAAAAGATCTCTCAAAGACAAAGAGTGTGGACACAAGTTGTGTGTGTATGAACGATGGGCGTGTCTAATAGACGTGGAAATGAATGTGCTCCTCGAGAGGGCGGTGTCACGCTTTGTGATAGCAAAGCTGTGCTGTGATGCGGCTGCTGACGATAGTCTGGCTAATGTGTATAAATGACCGACTCCAGATGCACGGTCTGGGGAATATTAAGTGATTGGTAAAACAGAGTGTACGTTTTCTGAAAAGAATGACAATGGTTTGGGTTGGTATGTGTATGTTGGATATTTCCAAGTCGCGGTTTGCAAATCTCTTGGGGCAGTTCGTGTAAGTGTAGGTGCTCAAGAACTTGAAGGTGCCGCAAACAGAGGGAGGAGAGAAGAGAAGCAGAATAAACAAAGAGGAGAGAGAGTACGAGAAAGGAATGAATGCAAGTCCGGAAGCCTTTGTGAAGCTTGCGCCTGCTCATCGGTTTAATTATTCCATCTTGATGCGAGGGTCCTTCGCCTTTTTATACTTGTATTCGATTCCCATTCTTATGTTTCTCTACAGACATCCCGCGCATTCCCTTCCCCGGGTATATCGCCAAAGGCCCCAAAACCATTTTGGCGATGGTGATACATACCGCAACCTACCAACACGAACAAAAAGAAGAAAAGGAAACCCGCTGGCCTGCATCACCTCCTCATCTCGTCCAAAGCGTACATGCTGACGGCACACACATGTGTCGTTTTTGCCCCTTGGCAAAAACTCCTTTGCGTCCTGCCCAATCTATCCCCAACCCTCAACCCTCACAAGGTCCTTGCCGCCAGCTTTGACACAAATGCCACGGCCTCGCTTATGCTGTTTCGCCGCCTCCCCGCCCGCCGAAACTCTCTCTCGCGCCTGAGCTGAAGTCCCGTGTGTGCGTCTTCTTCAGCGGCACCCATCCGGCCTAGTAGGGGAAGAGGTGGGGGCCGGTCCTTGTGCGGTGCGCGGGGCACGACCCCGAAAGGGCGGACGAGTGGGATGAAAGAGTTTAGACAAGAAGGGGTATAAAAAAAAAAGAGAGAAAAAAATTTAACCTACCAGTCGGGCTGGCTTGCTGAAGCCCTTTTTCCCCTCTTCGTTTCGCGAATGCGTTTCACGGCTACGCGGTTTTGAAACATTCCCAACCCGAGTCGACGGCTAAGGCTTGAAACAAGAGATATCTCCCGCCCTCTCTCCCCTGCTTACGCGACTTCCCCAGTCCTGGCGCCAGTGTAATAGCGTACATGTACATACCACACGTTGATCGCCAGACGGGTTCAATGCCGTACATGTACTCGAGCTCCATTGCGTGCGCCCTACGAGTCGATTCGCTGCTCTATGGAGGGAGAGCGAGAGAGAGAGAGAGATTGGACGGAAAATCTTCAAACTGTTTACGTGCCCCTTTTCGTACATGGAGATCCTTGATTTTCGCTCTGCTCTGGCATTCTCGGCATGCCTCTTTTGTCCAACCTGGCCTACACTAGGGGACGACTAGGCCTGTGAGGGATTGGCAGATCGGCGTTTAAGCGAGGGGAGGGAGATGATGATGAGTTGAAATTTGGTGCATCTACTTCAATGTTCTCTAACCCACATTCATCAATCACTAATATCAATCTTCTCTCTGTTGATCTCAGGCGCTCACTCTCCCCACACAATACACGTTAACACAATTGATTGGGAGATCTTTTCGATGTTTGGGGCACCGTCGTCTTGATTATTCGGGCGTCAAGTTTTAAATGGATATCATCGTACTTTGCACACTACTAGCCCCGTCAGGAACATCTTCCTACTGTGATCATCTGAATACAAGGAGCCAAAAAAAAAAAAAACAGAAGGAGAAAAGGAAACAAGGGAGGTCATGAATGACGAACGAAAGGGGAAAAACGCAAAGATTGAGCAAGAATTCTTTTTCCCTCCCTGAGGTATTCTCGTGCTGCAAGTGTCTAAAATCTTAAGGGGTGTTGTGTTGTTGTTGCCAATGAATATGGATGAATGCATGAAAATTTTGGTTCTCTCTCGCGCGGTATGCTAACGCCTCGTCATGAATGCCATAAACTCCTCGACCACAATTGGAAACTGAAACCAGAAAAAAAAACAAAAGAAAGTAGAGGAAAAGGGGAAGGAGGTCAAGGGTTTGGTGGTGGGCTTAGAAAGAAGTGGGAGGAAAGGATGAAGATCGAGGCGAGATGGATGAGAGCAGAGAAACAAGAAAGAGAAAAGGGATCAAGGTCAGACAGGACGCAGTCTAGGCCAACATGGATGGGTCATCTGCCGGGTTACTCATCCTCTTCGTCATCGACATCTCCCTGATACCGCATCTCCAACACCCACTGCGCGTCAAAGTCGATACCTCGACGCATCTTGGTCCCGGCCTTCTTCCAGACCCCCGGCCCGAGCCCAATATCCGCAATGTATAGCTTCCAGGGATCGTCGTCCGTCAACACTATGCCGTCCGGTCCCGAAACCGCGGTGACCACGCCGTCCTCGTTGTCGGGCGAGATAGCCTCCAACAGTCCTCTCTTTGGCGCTCCCATCGCTACCACGTACCTCGGCTTGACGAACAACCGGCTCCCATCGATGATGCTGACCTTGCCGCTCGTTGGGTCGATACCCGTCGGAACGTCGATTGACAAAACAAACGCTTCGTTGCGGTTGGCCCACTCCATCAGCTCGTAGACCGAAGCTTGATCACCGGTCCGGAGTTCCTCAAACGATATCGTGAGTCCCAGAAGAGCATCGATAATCAAGCTCACCTGATCTCGATGGTTTCCAGACTTGAGCTTGCGTAGGTGTTCAAAGAACTCTTGCTTATTGAATATACGGCCCCCAAAGTTGCGGTAGATGCGAATTTGCTGCCGCATGTCTTCCAAAAGGTCCACCTCGCGTTCGATACCGACCAAGCAGATCACTGCATTGGCTCCCTTGCTGCGTAGGTGACGGCCCGCCGCAACCGCTCTGATACCCGACTTGTTGTTCCCCGCCAAGATGATGATGGTCGCGTGGGATGCGATATTGAGTACGGGAGTCGACCTCCCCGATGTTCCCATCCGAACTCCAATGGCCGGGTCCGTGAGGGCGGTGAGAGCAACCTCGGCGATACCCCGACCCGCGTTTTCTGTCATCATCTCCTCGGTGAGACCCACTTCATTGGCAGCGATATTCTCTAGATTAAGCATCTGTAGGGCTGATACGGGCTCGACGCGGCGGTCTGAAGGGACGAGATAGAGGCCCGGTTGGAGGTTCTGCTGCTTCGGGCTGTGAGCTCTTTGAAGGATCTGGTATTTTGGTGCGTCGCCGGCGCTTAGTTGTTGTCGTACTGCCGAGTTGACTCGGCTTAAGGGTTGCCCAGGCCCCGCAGCCGACGCCTTGCGCGATTGAGACCTGCGCGCCACAGAAACCTTGCTGTCCGCCCGTCGCGTGTTTTGCATTGTACGAGGATTCCTATCCTCTCCGTGTGTGCCGTCGTCGGCCTCGCTATTCCAAAGTCGTTTGGCGCAAGCGCCTTGGATATCGAGGACGGCGTATCGAGCACGTTTTCGCTGTAGTGAAAGTTCTTGCCACCAGCCGTGCCAGGCTTCGGGCGACGGTTATACGAGACCAGCCGCTCCGAGTCGTCAACTTGATCCTGCTTCCGCATTTGGTCGAACAGCGTGCGCTTGTCGAACTTGGCCAGCCCACCTTCAAAGTCGAATTCTCCCATCTCCTCCGTCACATCCTCGGAAGCCCACCCGTTGTCCGCGAGTCCCCTCCTGCCCTTTGCCCCATTTCGTTTTAACGCCATAAAGGGCTGGAAGGATGCTGTACTTTCTAGAATGGGCGTTTGCCTCCACCCCTTTCCACGATTCGCCGGCGCCGCCTGGGCCGGTGAGCTATCAAGTTGTCCGGCCGGATCCTGAACCCTGAGATGCTTGGGCTGGACCTTTTTCCTCTCTCGTCGCTTCTTTTTAGACGAGTTGAGGTGGTCGGCCGCCGTTGCTTCTAGTTCGATGGCAGGCGCTTCGGCCGGGGCTGGGCTCTCGATGTTTAGGCGCCCGAGGCCGGTAGGGAGATCGAGCGTTTTTGTAGAGGTAATGTTGAGGCCGGAGATGCTCGGTTGGCCAATGGCTTCGGCCTGGGGTTCCCACTCGGTGTTGCTGCTGGCGGCCACTAAAGGGCTACCGCTTTGTTGACTCAAGCCAGGCTTCGTCAACCCCACGCTAAGAATGGCTGGATCTCCAAAGACGGGCTGAACAGCTTGCGTTGGCTGGACATAAACCGGGGCCGACACTCCGCTGACGGTCGGTGCGGTGAAAGTAGCAGGTGATGGCTGGTGGTCCGGGGCACCTCGGCCAGGTCGAGGATGTTATCGGAGCGAACTTCAAGGCGCGGGTACCACTGGCCCTTTGCACCGACCACGAAGACTAGAAGTGACAGAGAGAAAGAAACAAGTTAGCGGCCGAAAAGAGAGCCCTCGCTAAGGGGAAGAAAGGACACCAAAATGCACGTACCGTTGCTGAGGACGATGGCTCTGTCTCCCGAGTCGCCGGCGGCGATGGAGATGTCGCTTATCGTCCCCTTGAGCTGTGTTCCCGGGGATCCCTCAGGGACACCAGCATATGCAAGCCGATGAACTCATTCGCCATGGTGCCGGTTTGCTTGCGCGGGGGAGAGGGGCGGGTTGGGGGCCTGTGGTCGCGTGCTCGTCGACGAAAAAAAGGTCCGCGGTTCGTTCGGGATCGTCGTGTTGGTCGAGGTTTCGAGCCAGGGGGAGAGGGGATTTCGACGATGGCCGGCGCCACTGGGTTTTGCGACGGGGAAGAAGATCAAGGAGAAGGCGCAGGAGGATGGTCGAGAGAAGCAGAGGAGGTTGGATGGGCGGGAGCTGCCTGTCTTAGAAAGCAATAAGCATGTGCCTCTCCATGAAGCACTGCGCCTCGTCAAGGAAGGGATTTCGGTCGGAGCTTCGTTCCAAATAGGCCAGCGGAGGGCAGGGCGGGGACGACGTAGATGGATCGGAGACTGGGTGACGTTGGAATAGTTGATGATCAATTGATGGCATATGAATGATCTGGGCTTCGCAACGGGGCAAATTTACTAGTTAAAAAATGTCGGGGACTTGCCACCAGATGCTGAATTAACTTTCTCACAGGGGAGCCTGTAAATTTGGAAATTTAGTGGTCGGCCGGTCGAGAGAGTCCACCCCCTTCCCTTTCTGCATAATTCCTTATCGATAAGCACGTAGTCCAGTCCCACCACCGCCTGCAGAATTGCAGTGCAGTGGTTTGCGACTTTGTGCGACGAACCGTGTGCCGTGCAGCGGTACTGCCAGGAATACCAGTATTACAGTCCCGTACCACCAACGTGGTTGTGGGTTATATAATCCACTGCTGCCCAACGTGTTTCTCCCAAACATTCCTCGTCCCCTGGTTTGTTTGGCTTGGTCATCAAGGCTCCTACAGCATACATAGTACTGGCCTCGCTGCCCACGTGTTGACTGCGGCCCCTCCCGAGACCTCGAGTCTGTTTCGTAAAGATCTTGGAAGATCAAAAGGACTTGTGTTTGTATTTTGAAAACCTGGTAACCCCTGACAAGTCTGGAAGTTGCTAGGCGGGCGCTCTGGTATGCTTTGGGGCTTGGGTTTCCTGTCTATTCCAATGAATACGTTTAATCTGAGAAACAGAGGCTGTTGAAAAGGCGTGTGGGGAAACTCTGAACAAGATTCCTGGGCATAGTAACTCCTCGTTGCCAAGAGTTGGCGCGTGGTCAATATCCGTCAATGTACGCCCTGGCACATACATAAATGTGTGCAGAGTGGGAGCCTTATGGTGTCGACTGGTCCCCCTACATGTAGCCTTTCACGGCTGACCTTAGACTGCTTGTCGATGACACAAGGCGATAATAACGTTCATCTTCTCATACAATGCAACACGATATGGTTCGAAACGCCAAGGCTGAAAAAAAAAAAAGAGGGATTCTAATTGATATTCTTTCGTCCCTTTCTATATGAACAGCCCTCCTCAAACGCCGCTCGTCGTTGGGACCCCATGTCCGTTGACAATGCCCCGAAAACAGTTGACCAGACGCCACCACCCCGTAACCCACGTATGAGGCCCCAGGAGAAGAGAGAAAAGAACAAAAGAAATGTCCCCTCAAAAGGGTAAGACATTTAAAAGGAGTGAAGAGGCAGAAGATGGCAAAAGAAGAAAAGATACAAGTCAAACACCGCACGCTGGATACACGTAGATCAAGGTACACATAGCCACGCGTCATCAGCGCAAGACCTCATAGGTGGCCATAGTCGTCGTACTGTTGATCTCCGAGAAGGTTCTCAAGATACTCACGATCCTCGTCTGTCAGATCAACCACTGCGCTTTTACGCTTGGCTGGCTCCGACGCTGGCGCTGGCGCTGGTGGGGGAGGTGCGGCGACGGCTTGCCCTGGAACATGCCCTGGATTGTTGGCTGCTCAGGCTTGATGCCACCAAGTGCGTGCTCCGCAGTGTACAAGCGGTTGTAGAATCCCACAACCTTGGGGTGCGCCATAACCTTGGACCTGTCAAACTTGATCACCTGTAAACCCTTTTGATTCGTCGCACGACTAAGGGCGACGTAGGCCTGGCCTTTCTCGAAGATGCGCGTAAGATCAACCTTGACACGCTCCAAGGTCTGGCCCTGGGCTTTGTGGATCGACAGTGCCCAGGCGAGGATCAACGGTAGCTGCGATCGTTTAGCCTGGACCTCCCCATTGGGCAGCTCTACTTTCCACTCGTCGGTGACGCATTGGAGGGTGCGTCGGCTTCCGTCGGTGCAAAGGAACTCGACAATGGGGAAGGCCACCGCTGATTTCGTCATATCGGCGTTGGCAAACTTCTTAATCTTCTTCACGGCCAGAGCCAAGTCGATCGGCCCATCTTCCGTAGTCTCCCCAAGGCCGCCAGACTCCCACTCATGCTGCGTCATGAACTGCTTGACCTTGCCGATAGTGCCGTTGACGAGCTGCTCGTCGATGTTCTTAATGAGCATGACCTGGGCACCCACCCTGAGCTCCATAGTTTTAGGCGCCATCATGTTTTGCAAGAGCCTGTCGCGGATGTCGGGGTGGCCCGTGTCCTGTGCATCAAAGCGATAAGGGCGGCCGGACAGCTCGCTGAGCCGCTTATTGTTGGACCGCTCAACTTCGAGGCGTGTGGGGAACAGTTCAGTGGTCTCGATTCCGTCGGAAAATTGCAACGGTCTGGAGAGGGCACAGAACGCGCGGACGGTGTCGTCGCTGATTTTGCCAAGGCGCATCTCGTTGAGCATCTGCGCGAACTGCGGGTCTCGCTGACGGAAAACTTGGGTAAGTCCAATGGTGTTGGGGATGGACGTATTCCAGGTCGATGCCTCAAACGCAAATTTGGCCATCCTCGTTTGGCCATCGGGAACCGGAGGCAATTGGAAGAAGTCGCCGGTGATGATAAGTTGGATACCACCCCACGGTCGCCCGTTGTTCCGAATCGTCCTCCCTATCTCGCAAAGCTTGTCGAACAGCTCGCCATCAACCATGGAAATCTCATCAATGATGAGACACTTGGTTCTGAGCCAGCGGTTCTTGGCCTTTGCGTTGCGCCGAATCTTCTTGACCAAACTCGGAACGTCCTCCTTTCCGAGCCCAATTCCTACACGGGGGCGGGGTTAATGGCTTCTTCTTGGCTCCAGGTGACCAGTCCACGAGGTTAAGACATACCGGAAAAGCTGTGGAGGGTTATGCCGCCAATGTTGCACGCGGCGAGGCCGGTAGACGCCGTGACGGCTAACCTGTCGGGATCCTTGGCCCATTTCTTCTTGAGCTCCCGAATAATGGCTCTCATTAAAACGGATTTACCAGTTCCGGCAGGGCCAGTGAAGAATACGCTTTGGCTCTTCTTGGTGACCAAATCAAGGATTTGGCGCTGTTCTTGGCTGAGGAAAACGGGCTCTACCGTCTTTGGCGAGCTACTTACTTCGGGGGCCTCTGTCGCCAATTGTTGGTTCGTGCCGGTCGCTCCGGAGGCTGCAGAGATGTCCGACGCCGCATCCGTCACAGCCGAGTTCATGCGCTGGAGGCGATGCGTTTTCCTCTGCTCTTTGACAGCACTAGCAGTGAGCTCGAAGGCGTTGCGCGTCGTCTTTGTGGCAGGGGTAGCGGCAGCACGGGCGGTCACAGGTTCAACTACGGGATCGTTCCGTTCCGAGAGCCGTGATTTGGATGGGAAAGGCAAGCTGCGTCGCTTGGGGGCCGCGATAGGAGAAGAATTCTCCTCCAACTTCCGTTTACTAGTAGCATCAGCTAGGAGGCTAGTTTGGACGGCGGAGAGCGGGGCACCAGGGCGCAGGGGTCTCTGGTAGTCGGGAGACGAGCTCCAGGAGATGGCCGTGCCTTGTGAAGAGAAGCCTTCTTGGCCAGCAAGGTGGTTGGCGACGGCGAAAGCAGGCCTGGCCAAGTCTTGACGTCCAGCGATGGATGGGTTGGATTCCTTCCTATCGATGATGGAAACGGGCATGCTCAAGTTCGTGGGACCGGGCACAGGAGCTGGGACGGCGGCAGTGGTGGGCTTCACGGCTGGAGGCAACTTGGGTGGCGAGTCGCACAAGAGATCGTCGTCGTCAAACTCATTGTCGTCCATATTATCAGCGAGCCATTCCAGATCTTGCGCAATGGAAAAGTTTTCGTTGTTCCATGCCTTCCCGTGGACCTCATCCTTGAAGGGGTCATCGTTGGAAGCGCAGATTGACTGAAGTCGAGGCGGCGGCGTCATGTGCGCGTTGGAGGACTTGGTCGTGAGAGGCTTCGTCTGGGTCGAGCCGGTGAGAGAGGCGAACAGTGTGCTTTGAGTAGGGGCGTCCTTCCGGCGGAAAGCGTCCTTTATGCTCCCATGCTGGCTTGGAGACGGCTGCTGAGGGCTGCTGGAGGGAAACAGAGACTTGGCGAGCCTTGGATTCGCCTTGGCTTGCTGGTTAAGAGTTCGGGAGACGATGGCCTCCTCGGCTGCGTACTTCCTGTCACCCTTTCGAAGCATTGCTGCTTGCCCTCCTACCGACTCGTTGTCGGCTTCGATAACGCGATGGACCGCTCGGAGATTTGACAAATTGCGAACGGTCAAAGGTGGAAGCCGGGAACAGACTACTCGCAGTTGGAGGGGAAGGTGAAAGGGCGAAGAGGTATGCAGTCGACGTGTGACTGCTTGCATATAGAGTTGTAAACAGTGTCTCCGACCATTGAGGTGATTGGAGGGAGCAAGGGCTATAGAGGGGATAACATTAAAAAAGGTTAGTGGTTTAGTAATAGGGGAGAAAAAAAGAGGGAAAGAGTGATGAGGCAAGGTTTGTATTTAGTTCATGTTGCTGGGTGAAGTGAATGTTGACTGGAGCAAACTTGGCAAGCAGGGTGAAGGGTGAGACGCGTCGAGTTAAAATTCGCGGTAAACTGCCAAATTGGCCCAGTGCAGTTGAGCAATTGTGCTAAAGTGGCTGTTTGGTGTGGATGGCCTCAGCTGGGGTTGGTTGGGCAAAGTTGGGGTGGGGGTGAGGGGGTGGTCAATGCAGGATGCAGGGGCATTTGTGCAGGCTCATGCATCTGCTTAGTCACTGGATGTTTTCCACACACACCACTGTACATGTAAATATTGGACGATCTTGACGAGGTTGAAATCCAACAGTGAACAAGAAAGAAAAAAAGAAAAACCACAAAACTCGCCGGCGCATAATTGTATTATTGCGCAAGGTCTCGTTGACGGGCACCTTTTCCCGTCATTTAATCCTCGAGCGGTCCTGCCACCTCGTAGAGACGCTCCGTGTAGAGACTATGCTCCAGCTCGCGGTGATGAAGAAGGATGCAACTCAAAGATTTGTTGCTGGGGAAGGGAGGGAGAAGGGAAATATTTTTTAAATTTCTGGCAAAGAAAAAGCCGTGGAAACCTCGTTTGGCGGCCGTCCATTCCTCCGTCATTCACGGAGGCTGAACCCACTGCATGCCGATCCGGTCCCGGGCTGTATAGTGGACAGTGGGTCCCCATGCGGAGCTACCGGGCCGGGTCTGAGGCGCGGACCGCTCGCCTCACATAGCACGTAAGAGAAGAGAGGATCGCAAGCAAGAGTATAGAGCTCAATATGCCATTTCTGTTACTTGTATTATCATTCAAGGGGCTAATCGGAGTTGAGAATGTTGGATCAATCTTTGTAAACCTAGAGCTGATTTGCAAGGAGAAAAAAACAAACAATGCCGATATCCATACTTCAAGCAGCCAGTACCGATAGGAGGAAGGAAAGACAAGCCCCCTCAACTTAAAAATTCCGATTCCATAAACCTAGCACCACTTTGTCGTTCATTCATACTAGTCCCATGTAGAGCAGAAAAAACAAATGAAAAGTAAAAAAGCCCAAGGCGGGCCCGATTCCGAATATACACGCCTGATCATAAAGACCACCCAGTGAGAAAATCGACTATATAAACAAGGAAAAGAAGTGGAAGGATATAAAGAAATATACACAAGAATACCCGTTGCTACGCTAGTTTCTGATGGGGCCTCTGGTTGGATAGATAGGCCGCCGTTCAGGCATCATGGGGTTACCTTGGTAGCCCCCATTCGCCGTTCGCGGCACACTCGAACTGGGGTCAAACCTGCCGGCTCGGTTCGAGACTCCGGGGCCTCTGGCCGGAGTAACAGTGGCTGTATCTCCCCGGCCACTATAGTAGTGGCGACCGCCATAAGGACTTTCATAGTCATCGTCGTCGCCAACGTCGACAATATCGTCATCGGCGCGTAGCCGACTCATTCTATAACGGAGCTCTTCACCCGCTTCGAGGGGGATGGTGGCTCTTCAACAGTCATACGAGGCTGTGACCGTTGGGCTGCCGGAAACGGATGGAGAGGAGGAGGGGGAGGGTGGGCGGCATGAGGACCCGTCTTGTGAGATCGCGGGTCGTTGTCTGCGGGCCACCGAGTAGTGGTTACGTATGAAACCCCGGACGGCCGAGGATTGGCCGCCTCCTTGTGATGCCCACTCGCCCTACGGTCATGACGAGGGTCCTGCGTCAAGATGGGAGCTCGCCCTCGCCCCGCATCACCCTTCCTGACGTCGGGATACCCGGGCTCTCCAACCGAAGAAGGAGCCGTGTCATCATCATTGCTCCACGGCCTAGATCCGTCGCTGGATGCAGAGCTGCTGCGCGAGGTCCTGTGATAGTCCCGATCCCTGGTCTGGGCCCTGCCCCTTGCAGCCGGTGCATAGAGAGGAGCCTTGAGATTTTGGCTGACGTCTTTGGTCGTCCTGATGGGTCTTTGCTGACCCTGGTTACCGACCTGCTGCCCCCACATGCCTCGGCACGGGGGCCGCGGCTGGCACCGAAAGGCGACCCTGCTGCTGGGCCTGCTGCTGGGCCTGCTGGTGAGTAAACTGGGTTTGCCGCTGCTGCTGCTGGACTTGCTGCTGCTGTTGCTGAATTTGCTGCTGCTGTTGTTGGATGTGCTGCTGCTGCTGTTGGATTTGCTGCTGCTGCTGCTGCTGCCGTTGCAGTTGTTGAAGCTGTTGGATTTGCTGGGGCTGCTGAAGTTGTTGCGGCTGTTGCAATTGCTGCAGTTGTTGGATTTGCTGGGGCTGTTGTAATTTCCGCTGCTGTAGCTGCTGCTGGTAGAGCATCTGAGCCTGTAGTTGTTGCTGCTGCATGGCTTGCGGATGCTCTTGTCGGGCGTACTGGCCCGCGTTACCCTGAGGTACATGGTGCAGCTGCTGGGGCACGGCCTGGGCGTTCACGTACGCCGGGGAGGTTGCCACGGTATTCTGTAGCGCGACTTCTTGATAGTTTAGCCTGCCTTGCTTGAGTTCCCGATACATGGCCTCAATGGGTTCTTCGCTGCGGGGTTTCCGTCTATAGTAGGCGACGATGGCGAAGATGCCGCTATCGTCTTCCACATCCTTTCCGGACTTCTTGTGGTGCTTCTCCCTCCTGTCTTGTTTGTCTTGCTTCTCGTGCTTGTCGTACTTGTCGTACCTGTCGTATTTGTCGTGCTTGTCCTGCTTGTCATGCTTGTCCTTCTTGTCCTTCTTGTCTTGCCTGTGTTCCCGACCGTGACTGGGGACGCCTGCGAAGTAACCTACTGCGCGAGTTACGCGGTAGGCGCCCTTTTCTCGATCTCGGTTCTTGCTCTCTCTTGTCTTATCCTTGTTCTTGACCCTGTCCTTGTCACCGTTCCTGGAGGACCTCTTAGAAGTCTCGTAGGAGACGATTTGGCTGTCTCGGGAATTGTAATACTTTCTCCTGCGACTGTCCAGAGAATCACCGCCTACCTCCTCGAACTGGACGAGTTCGTAATGGTACCTCGGATCCAGCTCGCCCTCGGTGAGTTCCTCATTCGTCCTTTCGAGTTGCCTTCTTATCGCTTTGTTGCGCCACGAAATCTTCTGGGTGAAGGGGCCGTCTTCGTCTAGAAACCGGACCTCTCGAAGCATCTCTTGCTGGCTGTCGGTGTGGTGGGCCACGCGGTGGGCGTAGTCCCAGCTGGGTGGGAGGTCATCGACGTTGTCGCCGAAACTGTTCTCGTCCTTGACCCTTTCGAACCGGTAACACGTGTACCTCGAGAGCTCCTCTATCATGGAGTGAATGCTACGGTTCTCTGGCCGGAGGTCGCTCTTCTCAGCTAGCTGAGGTGGTTGGAAGTTGTGGGGCCGCTGTTCTTGCTGGATGAGAGCGGGCAGCCGAGGCGTTGTGAGAAGGGGGTTTTGGGGAGAGGGTGGGCGGCCAGGCCGCCAGCAAACATGTGGCTTCCTGACCTTGGGCAAATGCTTCATTTCGAGGCAGCGGGTGGTATGGACCCGTTCCAACCTCGCGGGCGGGGAAGGAAGAAGGATTCATCTTCTACCTCGATGGATCGAGATATCAGACAGTGTTTGGTTTGTATGTGTGTAAGGGGGTTTTGTTTTTGAGGAGATGGGAAAAGAAAATATGGTTACTGAGTTGTGCGAGGTAAACAGTGACCAGGAGCGCGAGGTAGCTGTGTTTTGTGTTTGGTGTAGAAGTGGATAAAGATGAAGTGAACGGAGAGGTGGGATGGGGGCGAGAGGGCCGAGGCTGGACCTATATAGCAACAAGAACGGAAGAAATTTGGCCATCACGAAAGTGTCAGATGAATACAAGCAGCTAGCAACAGCCAAACTCGTCGACCTCATCGTCTTCTCCATCTAGCTGTACCTAGCTGTACGGGTTGGGAGTTGGGAGTCACGCTCGCAACCCCTCGTTACACAGCATGGCTAGAGGCGTAAAGCGTCGACGTGAGGACGTGGCCGAGCCGGTATAAGTCCCAAGGGCCACCTCACCCACCCAGCCAGAATGGTGGGTAGGTCGACAGGAAGGAGACCTATCGATGAATGAGCCCAGTGAGTCACGGTGGTGTCGGTACAGATCCATTCCAAGCATGGCAACACCCACCCGGGGTGTTAGCATTCAATTCTCCTGCCGAGACGGTGGGAAACGAGGCTTGATGGGAGGGTTAATCACCTCCTGCAGTTATGCAGGTTGTGTGCGGCGGAAGCCAAGACCCTCGGAACCCTCCGTTCCCATGCCATCCGCCCGTTCACGTCGGATTAACGCGCTATTGTGTCTTCAATTCTACTTTTCCTGGATGAAGCTGGATTCATCCACGTATTCTCTTTTTGCGTTCTCGTGACTCGTCCAAGGGGCCAAGGTGTCCAAGGGGCCAAGGAGTCCAAGGGATCCATCGCCGAGTTATTCTCACCACCTTCGAGCCGAGCCTTGTCTTCTCCTCAATCTCGTTTCTCGCCTGTCTAAATCGAATAGATATCTCTTGCTTCCAAAAAAGAAAAAAACATTGCTCTAAAAAGAACAAAAAAAGAGATACCAAAAGAAAAGAAAAGAAACCTCGAGGAAATGGGTGCCGGCGGCGGCAATGCACAAACAGGTGGGCTAAATTTGCCTCGCGATCAATTGATCGTGTCTCTGTACTGCGTACGTGGTGTATCAGTGCAACGTGACAAGCAACGCCCGCCTCCAAGCGAAGAGAAAGAAAGAAAAAGGTGCAAAAATGCCCTCTTCTCATCGACTCAGTCGTGGATCGGGCTACGCACACTTACCACTTATGGACTGCATATACAATTACCAATCAGTGAATTACTTCACTCTTCAGATTCCTCAACCCGACGTGAATGGCAAAGGGGGTAACACAGCCTTGGACTTGAGGTATCAGGCAGGGTACAAGAAAAGAGTCGTCCATGAGAACGCGCTCCTTCTCACTCGTGTTTTTCGATATCAAGATGCAACGACATTCTCCCACTCGACACGGCCACGATTGATTGCCAACGCGGGTCGATACATCAAACCACCCTCCCACCATCATGGTGGTGGTGGCAGAGGGAAAAACATTTGTGCATCCATTGTTACATCTGTCGGACCCCAATGACACGGGCCGTACGATGGAGATATTGGAAGATGTCCAGGTGTAACGGCTCAGGAGCCTGCGCCTGGAACGTCCGCCCCGACGACCACCTCTTTTGATGTTCAGCTTTTGCGAAGCCTCGGGGGCCTGAGGCTAGATGGCTGAGTCTGTTCCGCTAAAGACCCCCTGTTCCCCACGTTTGACGACATGAGAGTGGCGGGACGGCCCTGCCCCAGGTTGTGGTTGTATCCATGATGGATGGGGGATGATGAGCCAGGTGCTGCCGCACAACATGGCGCAGGGCTCGCCGCCATTCCCATGTTTGACAGGCGACCTGTCTCAAAAGAAAAGCCAAACAAAGAAACCAAGTTAAAGTCAAGAGCGCAGATGGCTGCGATCCCCTAAAACGGGTTTCTCTTTGAAAGTTTATCACAATTGACAAGATATTTGAGCGAACACGCTGCATGTGGCGATTAGGACGCTACCCTCCTTACTTCTGTTGCCCCCTCCACAGTTTTCAAGTTTTTTCCCGCTCATAGAAAGGTTCAAGTCCGGCAGGCCCCATTTGCGATACGGGTTTGGATTCGACGACAGCTTTGGATGAGGGCCAACGTCAAGATGTGCCAAATTCCAACATGGAAAGGATGGATATGCTGACCCCCTCCCCGATTCAGGCCCGCCTCAAGACCTCGGGCGGGAGCCCACGATCCACTCATTCTAGAGCTAGTCAAGGCGGGATGTCCGCCTTACATTCAAAGCGCCCGCGACCTTTGTTTCCACCCTCCCTTCGTCTAGATCTAAGGCAATAAAATGAAAAAACCAGCAGCGGAGGAAAGAGGCTGTGTACCTCGGTAACGAGGTCGAGTTTAGCTCCATGATGATGGACACTCGTAATTCGAAGCTGTTGGCGGCAGATGGATGAAGAGGCATACTCGACGCGGTAATGCGCTCGAAGCGGGAGGCAGAACATACGAAAGATCTATGTAGATGTATGAGTATGAATCATCTCGTCTGTTGTTTCAAGCCATCTCGGTGCAATGCCCTGGCGGGAACCCGCATGCATTTTGCATGTCTTGGGGCATTCTTTGAAGCGTAGCAACCCTGAGCGTCTCAGCGTGGGATCTTCCTGCGATTGCGATGGGATGAGCCAAACAATGACGCGAGTTGAGGCTTGGCCAGGAAGACATTGGTCGAAGCTGCCAGCCAAGTCACTCTTCCTTTGGCATTTCATATATTAAACCTTTTGGTCACGTTCTACACCGAAGCGATATCAATTGACATCTCGTCTCCCCTTTTCAGTCTTCTCATAATTGATACGTCTTCTTCCTTCTCACTCATCGTTTGGTTGCTTCCTACTCCGGCGTCAAGGTCTTCAATGTTATTACAGACCCCACCGTGGAAGATGGACTTGGCGTGCTTGTGAACCTGGTAGAGAAGAAAACTTGTGATACCATGAGGCCAAAGGCCATGTAATAGCCAGATAGCCAGGCTCTACCTCGGTATACCTGAGAATCGTGGTTTGATGGTGTTACTCTTAGTTGCCTCATCACATCCAAAATTGTTTGGGGGAGGCCGAAAGTGAGGCGGACACCGGGCCCACAAACTTGAGGTTCTTGCAAGTCCCCAGGACTTCCGTCAAGGCACTCGTGTGGGGTGTATGATGCCACGGCGGCAAGTTGCTTACCGAAAACATCGTGCGGAATGTATTTGGGGTTAACATCTGGATTCTGTGGGGGTAGGGGAACACTGCAGCAATGGGGCGAAATTGAAAAAGGCAAAGCACGTGAAGTGAGGTGAGAAGAGAATATTGATAACAGTGACCGGCCTGATGCACACCAAGCTGGATATTGGTTCTTGGGGTTATCTTGCTACCTCCCCTCCCCTCCATCCCTCCTTGAAAGAAAAAACTAGGGCTGTCGCAATGATCGACTTCAACTGCTTTGAGTCGCTAAGCCTCGATAGCCTTGCCCGGATAAAACTGGAAAGGTTACTAATTACCATAGGGAGGCAAGGGAGGGTGGCTCCGTTGAACGCCGCTGGGGGTTGCGAATTGATCCACTTTGCGTTACCGATGGCCGGGGAAAGCTTGATCGCATCCGGGGACATGATGAAAAAGTATCCCGGTGGTGTTGAGATGGTGCATTTGATGTGTGGGTGGGTGTGGATGTTGTATCCCCAGGCACCCATCCCCCTTTCTCTCGGCGTTCTCGTTCTGTCTCCATCCATATGTGAGAGGGAGTGGCTCGGCGTACGTGTGGCATCCAGAGTTTGGGTCAGTGAAGGGTCAAAAAAGAAGAAAAAAAGAGCAAACGGGTGCTGTGTTATGATGGCGCGCGTCCAGACAAAGAAGTTATATATTCCGAAAAGTAAGGTGGCAATGATGTGAGATTCAACAAATCTACATATTGTCTAGAAGGGATTCATTGATCATTGCGGGACTCAACCGCCCTGGGGTATTGGTAGGTGCTGCAAAGAAGGAGAAGACCAAAAAGTCTATGGATCTCAGCCCGTCTCGCCTGAGAGAAAGCCTTCTTCACCCACCAGCCCTGGCGTGTCGCGCGACTGGATAGAATTGAGCAACGTGTACCGAGGTATTCCAAGGCTGTTGGGGTCTCGTGGCCTCGTTTGCTCCTTTAAGCTTCGGGCCTCGTCAACGCGAGACTCTGCAAATCTGAAAGCGGGCTCCTAATCAGGCCCCCTCCCCCCCACCAACGTGTGCAACACAAGTGCAGGCCTCGCTGATACGATACGCCTTCATGTTTTTGGTTGCTGCTATCCCGACAACGGTAGGGCAGGAGATCGTTTGCCCCGGATCTTCAACGTATATCTTATCGTCTTCACACGAACACAAACATGAGTATCATGAGACTCGCAGTTACCTAGACTCGTTCCGGCAGCATATCGCCTTCTTCCTCAGCGGCTCTAGTTTCTTTATTCTTACGCCCACCTGATAAACTGGTACGGGGCGTTTGGGGTTTCATGGGACTGGGAAGAATCAGCCGTGGGAACTGGTAGCCGGCTGTCCGATTGCCTTGTTCTGGCGTTGAAGCCCCATCAATCCTTGGAGCCGATCGGCAAGCCAGCAAGCCAGCAAGCCAGCAACCACCGTTCACGACGCGAGGCCTCTTCCTTCGCACTAGAGGAAGGGGGTTTCGCCAAAGCTCTCAAATTTTGTGATCGGGTCATTATTAGGCAGCCGGCTCATGCTTCATGATGTCGGCACGTGGCATGCGATGTAGCTAGATATAAGATCGGAAAGATGAAGGCTGATAAATATCAGGGATTTTGTTCCAAGCGGGCAATCTGTGGCATTATCATACCCTAAAAATTCCGTGTACTACCGCTCTGGAGGCCTCGGTGAACCTAAACCGGCGATGGGCAAAGGGGAAAACGCCCCGCCACGCCTTCAGATGCATGGATTGGGCGATGAGAACGGTGCGGTGTGACACGAGCATTGTCTCTGCCTTGGAAGAAAGAGGGCTCAGCTCCACATGATAGATAGCCGGGCGGTGTAGTAACATTGATACATCCATCAATGTTGTATGATCATTGATGGGGAAAGAAAAGATCCAGATGGAATGGTACTTGTACGACGACAGCAAATGTCCCGTACTCGAATTTGAGGCCCGAAAGTATGGAGCGTGACTGCACAGTTGTGCTCGCACAACATCATTGATCAAATGGGAGCAAACGCGATTGCTTCCTGGACCACTATCGGAGATCGCTTCTGCCACGGGGAACTTGAAACTTGAATACCTTGGTACACGCGTGGAATTGGCTGGCACGGGGCAGGATCGATCAACCGTAGGTCGACTCTGGGCTCTGTTTACAAGGCCAGGCAGCCGTTGAAGGAAAGAGCAGGGCGCGCGAGCCCGCTTCGCTTCCACACAAGGTAGGCGCAATGGATCCAATGGATATGGATGTATCAACCGCCTTGCTTCCGCCTTGCGAAGAAAAAAAAAGGTCAAGTCGTAGCATTTCACGTGTCCATACGGCCAGGACAGCTTGACCTGTGCCAGGAAAACATCCATCGCTCCATTACAAATCCAGTGATGGGCCATGTGTGCACCGGCATGAAGTGGTTAACTCTGCTTTGGATTCGTCCATAGCTGGGCATGGGTCAAAAAAGAAAAGACAAGAAACACCCCGCCGAAGGGAGGGCCGGAATATCGGAGTTGAAACAATGCTCGCCTAGGGCAAAGATTGAAAGTGCAGATAGAGATGGCGAGAGCAAGGCGCCGACGAGGGAGGCGGCCTTTGCATCACATGGATACCTGCACCGGGCGACGCACCGATGCACGTAGCTACCGAATAATCCGTACTTGAGCGAAGCCCATTAAAACCTATCGATCTATTGTATCGATCATGTATCCATGGCTACATGGACGAATATCATCACCGGACACCGCTTCTTGTCCACCACCCTGCCCTCCGGCTTACAGGTAATAATCCAAACCCAGGCCCAGCCACTCGCACTGCTTGATACTCCTGAATCCCTCCATCAAATTGCCCTCCTCCTCGGGCCAGTCAAACACCTTGAGCTTGAGGTCGCCATCCACGGCCGGCTCCCACTTGCCCGCCCTCTCCACGGCGGCGAGAGTGCTCGCGAACCCGCGTGCTTCGAGGAAAGCCCGGTCTGGGTTGGGGTCGAAGGTCCGCGCAAACGAGGCAAAGGAATCGAGGGTGAGTTGGGCAAAGGCCAGGTCCTCGGCCTCGTCGCGCAGGGGAGGCCCTCGCGGACGATATTGCCAAAGACGTAGAGGAGCTCGCCGCTGTGGCAGCGGAGGTATCCGGGCGGCGAGGAAGGGTTACCGTCGGGGCGACCCTCGGGCTCGCACAGATCCGTCTTGGGCCACCCGGGCGTCTGGTAGGTGCGGTCGAACTCGTAGTAGTACACTTGGGATAGGAGCGAGTTGGCGAGCGCGGCGGCCACGGTGGCCTGGTCCACGCAGCGGAAGACGGCATCGGTCGCGAGGCGCGCACCCGCCCAGTCTACTGCCATGGTGGTGTTGTCTAGCTCGGGAAGCGGGTAGAGTTCGGGGTCGGACGGGTAGGGGTACCCCTGCGAGATGATCCACTCCTCTTGCTCTTCGAGGGTGATGTCGCGCTGGAAGCTAATCATGGGCGCGCCGTCCTCGGCCGTGATGCCCATCATCAAGTTGACGTCGAGTACGTCTCCGCTCAGCGGGAGCTCATCCGAGGTGAGGTACTTGCCGTCTACTACGAGGAACCGGACCTCGCCACCGAGGCTGCCAATCTTGTCGAGGGCACCTCGCGGAGACAGTCGACAGGAGAGGGCGCGTCCGTGCAGTTGGCTGCCTCGACAAAGGTATTGCCTCCCCGCTCCGCCGCCTCCGAGATGGTCAGGTACTTGGAGTACGTCGTGCCGTAACCCAAGCCGCCGAGATTGCTCAGAGGTATGGCGCCGGCAAATTTACCCTTGGCCTCGGGTGAAGCTATCAGCGCACGGGTCGCTCCGGCTCCGGCGCTCTGCCCAAAGACGGTGATCCGGTCAGGGTCACCGCCAAAGTTTTGAATATTGGCGCGGACCCAGTCAAGGGCAAGCGTGATGTCGGCCAAACCATAGTTTCCGTTGGTCTCACCGTCGTCGAGGGCGAGGAAGCCGAGCTTTCCGAGACGGTAGTTGATGGCGACCAAGATGACATCGCCGCGGGAGACGATGTTGGACCCGTCGAACGTGTGGTCGTTGGCAGACCCTCCGGTGAACGCGCCGCCGTGGATCCAAAACATGACGGGCTTGAGGTTCTTCTTCTGCGTGCACTTGGTCCGGGGAGGTACGGTGTCCAGATATTGAGGAACAGGCAATCCTCGGAGCCGGATCCGTACTGGAAGCACTGAGCGCCGTACTCGAGGGCCGAGACATCACCGCCGTCGCCCTTGTGCGCTTCCGCATAGTCGAATCGTTTGGGTTCTTGAGCATAACGAACGCCTAGGAAGCGGAAAGCATGCCTGTCGCGGAAGCTGGAGGGGGAAACAAGAAAAAAGCAACATGTTAGATCATTCGCAATCAATGGTCGACTGGGGTACCCCGCAACAGTCAGTGGTAGGAGAGTGCGTACCCGATGAGATTTTCGTTGTTAGCCTGGACCGAGACCTGCCACTGCTCGCTCGCGTCCTGGGCCGTCGTGTTCGAGACGGGCGCGGTCTGCGTGCACAGGGCCGGGAGGCGCGAGCTGCCGTCCTCCTCCGAGACCTCGCCCGAAGCTGAGATACTGCGGGCTACGACGCCATCGGGGGCCACCCAGTACTTGGAGGATTTCTTGGCCCGCTTCTGGTAGACGAGGTAGTTTAACCCCGACTGGATGTCGCCATCGGACTCGGGGGACCAGAGAGATTCGCCTAGGGATTCGCAGGCAGCCCGGGCCTTGTCTAGAGTCTGCTTGGATCCGAGAAAGAGCACGCCCGAGTTGGTAAGCGGGCTGGAGGCGCCTGTATTCCAGTGCCATCCGTTAGCATAAGCGTTTTCACTGTTCTTACTCTTATACCACAGTGCCCCAAAGAAACAAAAGACCGAAGTTTAGAGCAACAGGTCGTCTGCTGAGGGAGCTCGGCCAACTTAGTGTAGATCGCGTAGGACGCTCCCATACCGGGCTTTATTTAACAAAAAGACCTGGCCGGTCGAAAATCACATACCCAAAAGATCATTATCGATGAGGATGGAGACGTCGGATTTCAACTGCGCGGTCGAGGGGTGCCGAGAACAGCCGTGGCCAACACGGCCCACAGCGCCATCCACTTGGGAGCCATGGCGATCGCTCAACAACGAACTAGGTTAAACGAGTGACTGGGGGTTAGGTAGATCCCAAGGAGGGGGTCTTGAAACGAAAGGGTGCAAGGTGAAGAATAATAGCACGCGAGAGCCAAGCCCTCGGGGCGAGGTCCTTATTTGAGCGGAACCAATCGACCAACACGCGCTGTATATATTACTGCCTCTTTCCCTCCCCCGTCCACCCGAACTCTTGGAGAAACTCGCTGGCGGGTTCGGAACCGAGAGGAGGGGCCCGGAATGCTCTGGTTCCATTGTTTAAATGAACCTACCACAGAAACAGACGCACAACGCTCCCGGAAAAAGCGACGCCAAAATGGGAGTGCGTTAATTTGCTCCGCGTTCTAATAATGGGGTCTAGCTCTCGTCTTTTTTGCCTCGACCGCATGCCGTCCCGGGAAAAGCCTCATCGAGAAAAGAGCCAAAAGCGGGCGGGCGGCGCGCAATCAACTAATACCTCGAAGCAAAGGCCAAAAGCGAGCCAGTCCCAGCCCGCGGGTGCGAGTCGGCGAGGAAGAAATGGAAGAGTGCGTTGGTGGAAAAAACCAACCAAAGCAGGCTAGTGCCCCGTCGGCGGGCCATCGTCCTCCGCTTGACCGGGAATTTATAACCCATGTCTACCGAAGAAAAGAGTGGGAAAACGGCCGCACCGGCCGTCGATGGAGCGCGCGAAACGAAGCACGGCGGAAATAACAGCCTCGCATTGTCAACGACGCGCGAATCCAAGCTCTCAGCAACGCAGAGAAAGACATGGTATGGTGCCTTGCATGTAGACTTTTTCTTCTTATTCTTTCAAGCCCTTGCAGCTGTCCGCTTTACCTTGGGGTGCCATTGATCGTTGGATCCCTAACAAAGGAGGGTGGTGCACGTTGCATGGATCAATTTAAATCCTTCCTCCTCCACCGTGGATGCACCGTTAATTTAGCCGGTTGCACTAATACGCTGCACTGGTATCGACCGAGAGAGGCCCTCACGCACCGGCTTCGCAGGACAGCCCATGGAGCGAAGCCGTGTTTGCCGGTTCGTCATGTTTTGGTCCCAAGTCGCATCCCAAGGCCGTCCTTCGCACGATTGAGGTATGGTGGGGTAGTATGGGGCCGCTGCTCACCATCGCCATCTCCGACTTGCCCTTGAGCGCGCACTGCATCAATATTGAGCTGCGGGGCCGGGCGGGAGAACCCATATTACACTGAGAGGGGAACTCTGACAACTGACATGCGATGCTGTCTTCTCCCAGGGCAGCGATCAACTTGTTCAGACAGCGAGAGTATGAATGGCCCTCATTGTTAGCGTAGGAAGCAAGGGATTCGTAGCAAATGCATTTTTGAGATCGAGTTATTATATATTCAATAGAGTTACATTTATTTGTTTAGTGTCATGGCTCTTGGAGAGTATCATACATTCGATATACACACGCGCACATAGAGCCGCGAGCTCCTTTCCCAAACGCCGCAATGATGCCTTCTCTTCTGATGCTCTTTTTCGTTACGCCGACCCATCCATCTATGCAATTGAACGGTGAACAGCGACACCCCTGGGTAACTGTATACAATATATGACAAGGGAAAGTAGAACGAGAGTCGGAGCCGAGTATACGCTATTTGAAAAAGAAGAAGAAAAAAAAGAAAAAAAGAAAAAGAGAAGGTGGTGAGAAATAAGTTGGGTTGACGGAAGAGCAGCAGTCGTCGAGCGAGTTGATAAGACCGGGACGGCTTCCCGAGAGCTCTAGAGGTCCCACGCATACGCATGAGTTGAGGTCGACTTCTTGGGCCCCCTCGACCACTCTGGCTTTCCCTTCTGATACGCGTTCTTGTACCTCGCGCCCATCGCCTCGCCGACCGAGATAGGCTCATCGGTAGGCATCAGCTTGGCCTGCGAATAGTACGGCAGCACGCCCTTGAGCGAGACAGGCCTGCCCCGCCGCCCGCCGGAAGAGGCCGGAGTCGGAGGTTTCTTCTGGGCCTTGACGAGGCCCTTGAGTTCGTCGTCGTCCGCCGTGATCTGGGCCTTGATAAACGCCACGGGATCCTTGACATCCTTTTGTAGGGAGCCCATGACGGGTGCACGCGGCGCGTAGGCGATGCCGTCAAGCTTCGGCGCGTGCCGTTCCGGGACGATGGCGGGGTCGAGCAACGCCTCGGGCCCCTTTTCGAGCAGCCGGACGATGTCGATGCTCTCTCCGTGGGGGATCGGGTCGGCGTGGCTCGGGGTGACGCAGTCCATGTCCACTTCCTTCCGTAGCACATGATCAATGTCCACGGCCGAGAAGAAGGCGACCGACTGCGGAAGGTCGTTGATGCCAATCTGCTGCGAGAACATGGCACGGGTCCAGAGATTGGCGACTTGCAACGCCATGGCCGCCCGGTAACGGTCGTGATCCTTGACGAGGTAGCGGATTTCGTCGTGGACGGTAATGGCGAGCCGGGCATCAATGTTGTACCGCCGCGTGAGGTAGTCCATCGACACAACCAATAGGTGGAGATAGTCTTGACCGGACGACTGAATGGCCCAGTTGATGCGCGAGGTCAAATAGCCGCCCTTGTTGATATATCTGCTCATCAGCGCTTCGGTTATGCCGGCGCCGAGCACAGGGGTACGGGGCCGCTCCTGCTCGGCAAATTCTTCGAGGGCATTGAACACAAAGGACTCGGTGCCGCCGCGCCAGAACGGGCGCTTGTAGAGCACCTTTCGATTCGTCCTGGTACCCTTGGTGGTGGCGTACAGTTTCGAGGCGATCTCGACCGTCTCTTGCTCCGATAGGGAGGGGTTGAACTGGCGGAGCAGCGTGGCCGCAAACTTGAGACCGGCTCCGTAGATGCGGCCGTAGTTGAAAACTTTGGCGTCGTTCCGCGAGATGCCAAGAATGCTGGCCGTGCGCGAATGAAGATCCGTACCCGCAGCTTTGCTCCTCCAGGGTCATGAATCCGATGGCGTTGCCTCCGTGCAGCTTGAATGTCGCATCGCCGCAGATGCTGGCGATCCATAATTCTTCCGAGTCGACGTCGGCACCGACAAAGCTGTATCCGGGCGGGGCCTTGACCATGGCTTTCAGCTCGGAGCCCACCCTATTCTTCTTCGCGTTGCTTGCCGTGAGCCATGTATTTTCCACGGCCCGCCGGGTGATGGTGCCCATCGGGATGATTTGAGGTAGAATAAAGCCGTATTCGTCCTCCTGGGCATGCTTAGCCCCGTAGCCCTCGAAGTCGCTTTGGTAGACGACCATCTGCGATCTGATGCGGTCGCGGGCGCTTATCCAGTACGAGCAAGAGGCGTTCATCTCGAGGGCCTCCTTCGCATACGTGTATTCGGACGACAGAGTGCCAGTTTCAAAGTAATTAAGATAGCCTTTCGCCAGAGGATTCGCGCACCGAGCCGTTGGCCCATCCTTGTGTGGGAGCTTGAAGTAGATGCCGTCGATATCGTTCCTGAGGGCCTCTATCTTCTCCTCGGAAAAGTCGCACTGTACCATCTGCTTGTTTAGGTATTTGCTCGCCTCTTTGTGCTGAACGCGAAAAGTCCACCCGTACGTGTCCGACCAGACTAGCGGATGGCCGTCCCAGGCTAACCTGAGCAGCAGAGGCGCTATTCGCGTGCGCACACTGAGATTGATTGGGGCCTCGTTGCTTGCGAACAAATCCTTGTACCACCGAGGCATGCCGGGCTTCTTTTGGCGCGCAGCGGGTCTCGGCGGGTCGCCCTTCTTTTTACCCTTGACCATCTTGATTTCCTGGCCGCTCCAGTCCAGCTGCTTGAGCCAAGGGTCGGTGGACCACTTCTGGGCGTCTTCCTGATCTCGAGCGCCTTGTCCGCGAGGGCGATAAGGCGCTCCTGGACGGCCACGCTGAGTTGCTGGTAGACTGCCTCTGCGCTGGCGATATACTTCTCCCACGACTTATTCACCGGAAGGATCACGGACGACAGGTGCCGAAGCGCGGCGAAGCTGACGGGGTGGGGGCAGGTTTCGAGGAAGTTGGGAAACACGACTTGGTAGACGCGGTGCGTAATGGCAACATCCGCAGCGCAGTAGTCTAATAGCTCATCGAGCTTCCCTAGCACTCCAGCCCTGTCAAGTTCGCCAAAGTCATCACGTATGGCCTTGTCAATGGTGACGTTGAGGTGAAATTTGGCGACATCGCGCAGGGAGTTGATGGAGCTTCGCTCAACCCACAGCTCTTCCTCCTCGTGGCGCATGGCCGAATTGGTGAGAAGTTCCGCGAGGGCAAGGTCTTCGGTTTGGCTCGCTATCCGCTCTCGGACTTCTCGGTTCTTCTTGTGCTTCATCCACGTCGGTCGTTGTTGGGAGCACATGCCGTTGACGGCAACATGAAGGGACATTGTGTCGATGAAGGAGTTGCGCGACTGCTTGAGATCGTACTCTTCTAGTATCCTGGCGCGATCGTATCCTACATTGTGGCCGACAATGACTTTATCCTTGGTTGGGTCTCCGAGAGGCACTAGATGGCGCGGCGACTCAGACTCGCCAAGGAGCCATGGCGACAGCCACATGTACCAGGCGGTAGGGCTGGCGGCGCATGCCATTACGGCAAACGGGCTCTCTTTCCACATGACTTCGGTATCAAAGCAGAGCATATCCTCCTGCGGGGCGCTGACCGGTTCCGAGGAGCCGTCGGCAAGGTATTTTACCCAGCCGCTTCGGTGGAGCCATTTTCGCGGTTTGGGGGTAGGCTCGCGAGAGCAAACCTTTTGGACAGGCCGAGGAAGGGTTCGGCGCAGTCGACGCCTAGCTTGTGAAAATGCTCATCGAGGGTGCGGCCCTGGAGGGCAGGGAGGTCGAAGGCTATCGGGTCGCCGCTGTCGGTGTTCTTCCCTAGGAGGTCGTGACGCTGTAGGTGATCCCGAGCCAAGGCGACGAGCTCCTGGGAGGGAGGCTGGCATCCGTCGGGGAAGATTTGTTGATGGACATGGCTACTCAGGTGCTGGACGCCTATCTCGTTGAATCTTGCTTGAGAACGCACTAGCAGGCGGGATGGTTAGAAACGAGGGCGGGGCTTCCTTATTGGGGACAAACCGCGCCGCGAAGGTAAGGCGATGGAGACTGGGACTGGGACTGGGGCTGGGACGAGGACTAGGACGAAGCAAGACGGGGCTACACATACGTGCTAAGGTTTTGGAGATGTTATCGTCCGGGCTATGGTCAGGTGATGTTCTATCGGGTGAAGTTGATTGCCAACGGATAATGTAGGCGGTATGGTGAGGTTTGCGACCGGACAATGTGCGTATCCTACAGAAGGAGGTGGCCACTGAGGGGCGAAAACGCCTGGTGGCGGGATGCAGCATCGCAATCGTGAGAGGACATGAGGGATGAGTGGAAGGTGTGGAGGATTCGATGCGACCTAGGCTGTCATTCTCTTCGATGTCACCGGAGTAAAAATAAATCTTCCTTGCTTGTGTTGAACCGAAAGAGTTGTTGGCTTTAGATTAGGCTTTCGAGGGAGTGACTGTTGAGGTGGTCGAGCGTGACAAAAGATTCGCGAGGCTCAACCGTAAAAGGTCAATCCTGACGCGTGCCCCATAAAAAGCCATTCCAGCCAATCACATCATTCTCTTTTCAAGTTCGCTTTGACTAGTTGCTTTCCCCAGACGTCAGCTCAGTACAGCAGTACAGCAGTATCTACAGCAGCACCTCGTCAAAGGCAAGCGAGCTTTTGCCCCTTCCGCACCACCCACAGATAAAATATCCATCTAGTTATGGGGAGGGCCGAATTCTTGAAAACTCTTTCCGTCGCTTTCTGGGCTTTTGGACAAGTGTAGGTTGACGTTTATTGAAGCAAAGTCTGATTCAATCACAGTCCAGCTAGGGAATCGCAGCTCGTCATTCCCTTAATGATGGTCAACACTCCGTTGAAGCATCATGGGCTAGGCAGGCCCGTCCCACGATCCAAGCGTGACATCTCGTCGCCGCCTATCAATGTTTGGACACGAAAAAGGGTTATTGGCCTTTAAGTTAATTGAAGGGCTCCCAAAGCACGCCAGCCGTCTCGGTCTCTTCAGTCTGTTCAACCTTTTTGACGTATAGTTGGCGATACTCGACTATTTGTGCTGTTCCCATACGTGTAATCTCTTGATACAGCCCGATGGAATGAACCTGCCTCCTACAAAGTATCTGGATTGCGCCATGTCGCTTCGTAGGTGCAGGTAGGTACCACTACAGGGTTAGACGCTTAATGTGCCCTGGTGCCCTGATCAACCGACGATATGTGATACATTTACTTTACTTGTATTCGCCCAAGGTGCCCGTTTCGCCTGTACTTTCCTTCCCCATCATTTGCCTCCACACATTTCAAATGTTGGTTAGGGCCGCAAGGTCGGCAAGGTTCGAACGCTACTAGGCTGACCAAAAGTGCCCGGTCGGGTTGCTTGCGTCTGGTGGAATTGCTTACTTCGTACATCTATCAATGTATTGATGATGCTGGAGTAGCATTGATCTGCAAGTGAAAAGAAATCGGTGTTCGAGATCACTTCTAACTTGTGATCAGGCCATGGGTGCTTGTTACCATGCGGCCGATTCGTCAGTCGCTTCTTCCCCATCACACTCTCTGTAGCTGCATTGAACGCTGGAAATATTTCTTTTGCTTTTTTAACCTCGTCTGAACTTCAATTCTTAAACCTTGGTTGCTGCGTTGCCGATTCGAGGATGGGCCCAGGGACCAACTAGAGGTGGTGTTATTGCCCAAGGTGCCAACCTTTCCTGCAACTACTCAATCTTGGTATGCACCGATAAATGAGAGACACATCAACTGATCAGTCAAGAGAATCACTCGGGGCTGGCTAGGTTGAGGTGGTCCGCGACCCTGACCGATCCTCCCTTGGCTTCGCTGCCCATCCGCTCAGAATGCAGCCATTCCCCCGATTGAGGCGGGAATATTATGGCCTCGGTGCATGCCCGAGGGGTGCTTGGCGCGGCTCAAGATCACCGAGATTTTGTTTCAGTACTCTCGAGAGGGAGGGATCTCGAGCTTTAATGATCTCTCTTTTTTTTTATTTTTTTTATTTTTTATGAGGTAAGAATTCAATGTTTACCAACCACCAATTTGGCCTCGTACTACGTGGCCAACTTGCAGCTAAGGTTCACTCGCCTCGGACCGAGCAAAGAATAGTGGCGACTACCGCTAAAGCCGTTAATTGAACGTAAGCTGTGACGGAATGAACTCCCGGCATCGCCGGTGGACTGGCAAACCAAGCCAACTCTGTGTGAGGTGAGGAGAGGACCGGGGGTCTCGTACCCAGGACAGGACCCCACTCGGCTCGTCCCTTTCGTCTGTCATTCCGCATCCCGGATCAGCTTGACAAAGCAAGACAAAGGATGCAAGAGACTGTCACCCTTTGGCCTTGCTCTGTATTTTCTCCTTTCTTCTTACTCGTAGACCGGAACGGGGATGGCTAATATTAAAGGGGTGGGCTGCCTGTCCGGCGAGGAACCTAGTTGGGGCGGGCCGAGAGTATTCGTTGGCCAGAATTCAGCTATTGACTCTTGTTGAAGGGGGAAGCTGGACAGGGACGACTCGTGTCTGCGTCGTCAGGCTGTGGAATCACAAAGGACCTCAATAATAATAAGATGGGGCTTGTTCCTCCACCCCGAGCGTCTTGCGCAAACGCCCTGGTCTTCCTCCATCTCTTCGAACCAGCTCATGAGTTTTTTCTCTCTTCAATATCGAGGACCGACACAGCAACCCTTACCGTTCTTTTAGCTGACACCTAGTCGTGCGCTTGTCACATCGAGTGCACCGCGGCGGCTGTTGTTGAAGACGAGTCCTCCACAGCGCCTGAGTGCAGAGAGAGCCCACTCCATACTTCCTCAGAAAGCTGCCAACAGCTGCCCCACTGGCTGGCAGCCGGCCGACACTACAAAGCTCATCGACGACATTGCAGAAGACGGAGGACCCGAGCACAGTGCAAAAAGCCGTACGAATCGTCAACCAAAACACAAAACACTCCACATGGAGGGCAATGGCAATCCTGAGCGAATGGCCTATGATCGCCTCCTGAACTCCGCTTTGGGCCATCAACACCAGTTAGGTAGGCCTCACAAACTCTCTTGCCACGATTACTAATTGGATACACTGTTTTCTTGGTTCTTTTTGCCTTTTCACAGGGCCCATGATTTGCTTCACTAGGTTGTGATTCATGTTTCTTTCTTGATTTTCTCTTTCTGGCATCTTCCTTCCTTGTAAGACCAGGCCAGCCCGACGCATTGTTGTTTTTCTTTTCTTTTCAACCCACCTTCCCCTGATTACCCGATTCTGCCATCCTTCTCTCATTTTCTCAGGGGGTAGATACAAGCCTATTCTAGTAGAGCTGAGCAGTGCTGGCTGACTTCTAGACCGTGGCTTTCTTTCCCTCTTTCGGCCCACTCCTCTCGTATGCCTGGTGGAATGCGGATATTTTCTATAATATCTCCCTCACCCTGCCTATATTGCCTAGGCGTCCCAGATGATCAAAACAAACCCTTATTCACCCTCGTTCCCCTCCTAAGAAGCAACGTTTTGCTTCACAGCCCAGCTTAATACTCCAGGGCGGTCCTTGTGCACCGCTTCATACTTACCAGTTTTTCCCTCCAGCAGGCCGGGACCTGTTCCCCTCGCTCAGCCCTTCAACTCGACCCAGACCTCGCTCGAGCCGCCGGGCACCTGTGACTTCGACTTGCCTCTCTTCCAACAATCATTTCCCCTGGGCCCACCTTCCGACTTGGCTTCGCTATCGTACTCACCCTACCTATTACCTTCCATAGCGCCGCCGACATTGCAAACGACGGGGTCCCGACTGTCGAATCTCCCCACTCTCTCGTTCCCCGACTTCGCCGAAGACTGCCCTCTACCAACCGCCGAGGGGCTTAATTTGTACCTCGGCCGATCACACACCTTGTTCCCCGGCGTAGTCTTGCCTCCTGCACCTTTGGAGACCGCCGATCCGACTTTTCGGTCCCTCACCCTCGATATACCCTATTCCTCCGGCACGTTATTCACACCTGAGTTGGTGGCTTTGTCACGGCACCGTATAGCCTCTCCGAGCCGCGGGGCAGTCCCCTCGACTGAACCCACACTCTCTACCGAAACGCGAGCGACGTCCGCCCTCGTATCGCCTAATCCCTCGCACGCTCTAGGCCCCTCTCCAACGGAAGAGCGAGTGGACCCCCTCGAACTCCCTCCCACCTCGGGTGCCGAATTTTCCCGACCCACCATGTCTTCAAGAAAGCGGAACAGCACAGCAGCTGGCTTAGCGGGGGTTGCCCTCCCTAGTTCAAGTCCCGGACCTACGTCCAAGAGGAAGAGGTCGGCCCCTTCGACGGGCTCTACCAAGCGCCAAAGATCGGGGACGCGCCCCGAGATGACGACGTGTTAACCTGGTCCGATTCCGACCACGACTCAGATATCATTGATCTGAGGGATCCGACCAAAGTGCCCGAGATCCTGCTCCAGCGGCAGCAGAAGAGGGCGGACCGCGTCAAGCTAGGGGCTTTTCAATGCGCAATATGCATGGACCATTCAACTTCTCTCACCGTTACGCATTGTGGTACGTCGCGGAGACCAGGCTCGGTATCCTGTACATGGTTACTCACGTTTCCCTTTCCATCTAGGTCACCTATTCTGTGGCGACTGCCTTGTATCTGCTCTGAATATAGAAAATCAGAAGAACAAGTGCCCCATCTGCCGTCAGAAAATCGAGAATCGATCCCGTGACTCCTACAAACAGACGACGAAAGGCATCTGGCCACTGGAACTGAAGCTCATGACGACGACGAGAAAAGGAAAACGGTCTCATGCTTAACGCTCTTTTTACCGCTTTACTCCATTCTCCATCGTAGTTCCACTTGGTGTGGCCTATGATGCAGGTGGATGTGGCGGAGAAACTGCCGCATCCTACATAACGCAAGAGACTGTTCCTGCTTCTCTTTCTTTTTCTAGAGCTTTTGGTGTTGCGGTCGGCTCGGTTTTGACTTTCCTGCTTCTCCTTTCTATCATTGCTTGGGGAGGAGACCTTTCTTCTCCTTACATCGCGCGCAAACTGCATTGATTGAGGAGTTTATGAGATATGACGGCATCTTTTCATGACTGGGGGCAGAGCATTTGGCGTAGCTTAGGGGGCTTCATACCACACGTGTAACTTGTTTTTTTGCTTTCTGTTTCCTTCCCTCTCCTCACCCTCGTCGTATATATCTCGTTCGGTCCTTTCAGGCCGTTGTCTATTCAAAGTATTCAGTGTGCTTCACTTCCAATGTTTTCTATCAGAGCTGTTGGACTTGGCTATAGACAGGGCGCCCACTCTTGCTCTGTACTCCTCTACTAGGTGCACGGCACGAGAATTGTCTCAAAAGTCCATCGTATTCAAATGGGGGCTCTCTGCGAGTGCATCCCGATAACTGGAAAGGTCTATACACCATTTGATATCTCGGGTGATTAAAGTCAAAAGCCAGTTTGTCTGGGGATGGCAATGAGGTTAGAGTTAGGGCCAAGACTGACTGCACACAGGCCGGTAGTCGTGGAAGACGCATACCCTATCCCCAAGCCCGTTTGCCGAATTCATCATTAAGCGACAAGCAGCTGTTTGACGCAACAACTTTTGGTGTATAACTTCAGGGACCACGGTGAGGGATATGTTCCATTATGGTGATCTATTATTCACACTGAATAAAGCCTACTTTGTTTCCTACAAGTATATCCATGCCCCTTTGCTTTCTTGTTGCGGCTGACTTTGTTCATCCCTGTCGATGCCGATGCTGTTTTTTACTTTTCATTTGATACTTAGATGGCTCTTTCTAGTGGAATAATATGGGGAATCCCTCCTTTTCTCGGGGAAGGCTTCGTTTTCAAACTGTGAGGTATTAGTTAGCATGGTCTACGCCTCCTCCCTCATCCGAAACGTGAAAAAACAAGGCGAGGTAAAAAGGTCGGAAAGAAGTGCAGATAGGCTTACCTCCAAGAACCCAGTTGCAATAATCATGACGACAAAGGAATCCGCCAATTCCGCAATCATCTCCGCTAGCTCATCTTCACTGCCAACATGACCGATGCCCGCTGACCTCTTGAGCGTATGCGCTACGAGCATACGATGGTTTGTCAGGAAGCGGCGGCCCTGAGGAAGGTTGTGAGAGCCTCGACTGACAAGAGCCGCCCCTATGATTCGGGCAACCTTAGCGAGGAGGGCATAGTGGTTGGTGAGCGCCATGGGATTATTCGGATCTATTGATAGATTAAGATGCTTGTTAGCGCGTCCCGCCAGGGAAGTAAGGAAAGGGCCAAGGGGGTTTGGGGACGGGCTTACCGATTTGTAGCTCCGGATCAACGGAGAAGAGGCCAGACGATTCGATGGCACGGAATAAGTTGGCGTGCAAGACGTATTTAGCACCTTCCCTCGTCTGGCATAACTGGAGTAGGAGTGCAAGCTTTGCATCGTGATAATGCTGCTGCTCCGGCTTGCCAGACTGCAAGATCTCTTGGCCCTCCTGCATGATATTTCTCAAGGAATCGACGAGGATGCCGATAAAGTTGAGCCTGTTGAGGGTGTCGACGATGTGGCTATCACGCTCTTGGCTACCTAGATTAACAAGAGCAGAGAGCAGGATGAGAGCCGCGGTCTGGCAGGCAGGTTCACCGCCATAGGCATCGTCACAAATGACGTTTGCTAACCTATCACCGTAAACTTGGATCGTCTTTATTGTCTTTTGACGCTCGGAAAAGGCAGCGCCCTCGTCAGCCATGCCAGTGAGGTAGCGATAGCAGATGCTGTAGTAAACCGTCCTCAGCTCGCTTTGATCAGCCCACTTGCCAATGGCCTGGAGGCAAGTCTGGAAGAGCTGATAGAGCTTGTCTCCAACTAAGTGGCTCATCTCGGACGCTTTGCCGTTCACGCTGTCAACGCCGGCCGCGGGTGTGAGATCAAGTTTGAAGAGCAGCACCTTGGCAAGTTTTGCGAGCTCGTATGCCAAGGGCTGGCGCTCCGACGCGCATGATTCAAGATTGGGCAGGATTGTTTGCAGGGTCTGCAGATAGAAGGATGTCCGCGCGCTGCCTTGCAAGTCGTTGGACTCGATCATGATGAGCACGAGATTTACCCAGGCCTTGAGGAGTTTTAGGCTCTGCGACACCATCTGTACCTGTCTGTTAGACGATAAAAGGTACTCTAGTAGGCTGGCTTCTTCCCGGTTGATGATAGCCAAATCCTGGGCCGAGATCAGGGATGCGCTGTCTCTCATCTCGCTTCGCTTAAGCAGCATGATTTCCTTGACTTGATCAACATTGTAGACTTGGTTTCCATCGCCATCGTCGACTATGCAGGCGTTGACGTCGATCCCGTTGTAGAACTCGAGCGGAGGGGAGAAATTGCCCAGGACTCGAACGGTAGGATAAAATCAAAGAGTTCAAAGACGGAACATGCCGGCATTACTTCTTGCGAGTTTTGCGGTATCTCGCCTCGGAGCGCATCAAATATTCTCCTCTTATATGTCGGCAGGTTGGCCTGGGACACGTTGCATAATTCGATGGCAAGGTAGTCGAAGACAGCAGCGCGGTGAGACATGAAGTCTATGAGCGTGCTCGCGCCATCAGTGAGGGGGAATTCCATTGCGACCATCGGGGCGCCTTCCCAGAGAAGCTCAGCAGACATGGTTTGCTCTTCGCGTGAGACGGCAAACACGAAGTCGATATTTCTTAGTTCATCTATGACCAAGGGTGCGGTCAGAGGCGAACTCCACAAGATCTGTAGGATCCGCAGAGTCTTGTACTTGAGCGCCATAAGCCATTGCCGTACTCCCTGCTCGTCAAGGGTAGTAATTCCGTTCCATAGGGTGATCAGACTGTGGAAAACAGACGCCCCGTTATAGAACGGACTGTTAGGCTCAATGGTTAAGCGGTCAACCTCGCACTGAAAGCCTAGCAGAAGGTGGGCGATCGAGGGTCGTTTTGGCGACTCGCGAAGGCAGGCGTAGAGAAAATCAAGGATGTATATCTTGATCATGTAGCTTGGTGAATCCATCTCTCGACCTGGTTCAAGCGGCGCGTCCAAGTCCGCCATGAACGAGCGCGAAATAGATTCGTTGTCACCATCGGCCTCTAAAGCAACGATGGCTTTGTTGCGATGGGTATGCCGTCCGCCATTGGATGACCATGCCGATATGACTCTGGGAGAGACGGAAACTCTCTCGAGAAGCTTGAGGCAGGACAACGTTAGATCAGGCAGCCCAAGACCACAGAAGGTGCCTAAATCTACGATAAGGTTTAAGTGGCCTACTAAGCCATCCTCGAACGAAGAGTAGAGGGACGCCGAACCCGGCAGTCTTTGGTATGTGGCCTGATTCCTTATTATTGGCCGAATGATCTCTAGGTACGTGGCCTGGAGGTCGAGTATCCTTGAGATGAGTGTGATTGCTTGGAGAATTCCTAGAATTAGGGGCGAGTCAGGAGAGGAATTTCCAACTTCCATCGCCGGCTGGTGAATGACTGAGAAGACGGCAGTCACTGCTTTCTCAGTGAGCATCCACTCCATGACTCGAGCAAAGGGATGCAACCGCACATAGGTAGCTAGATCGGTTGCGGCTATCGCGGAATCGATTGGGAGGTTTGTCGAGTTCGCAAGTATTATGAGGTCTTCATTGAATGAGTTAAGACACACCAGAGCAAAGTCGAGACATCGCAGCCTGAGCATCCGCGCCTGATTCTTATCTGTGAGCTCGTCGGCCTTCCGAGATAGGACATGGCCTAATACATAATCAACAAAACCGTCGATGCCAGGCATCCGATACGACGACCCCAGGTTCTCGGGAAATGGGAGGGAGTCGTTCAACGGACTTGCACCATCCACAGGGGTCAAGAGGGATGTGAGGAGAAGGATGAAGGCGTACGGCTCCTCGAAACCGTTGCTAATCTCCTCTAACACTCGGTCCGGGGAGACCATTGGGCCGAGCTGAGAGAGCTTAGTATATCCCGTTGGATGGCCTGAGGGGGAAGGCTGTACGCCCCGGTGGTCCAGCTATCAACATGGGCCCACATGGCATGGCACTCCTCGACTGACTTCCTCGTCACAAGGGCCCCAAGGGCCCAAAAGTGCAAGCTCGAAGGCGCGGCGGAATTTGGCTGCTTGCAAGTTGAAAGAGAATGTCAACCAAGTTGAATTTCTGCTCATGAAGTAGATATTGACGAGCAGTTTCACTTTCGGTGGCTAGCTTTGTGATTAGGCGTAGGTAGCATTCCAACATCATTGCCGACTCTGGCTCTGTCTCGATCACGACGGGACTTGGCTTTCCAGGGCGAAACGTTGCTTGCGGAGTGGGGGCTGGCTTCTCTCGAATCTTCTCAGAGAAAAAGTTGAGCTCCTTGAAGATTTGCGCCCATGTCAGAGACAAGGACTTTCGCAGTTTGCCGGAGGCATGGTGACCTTCATCCATCAGGAATTCGTGGGCAGACGTCGCGCAATCCTCATTCTCGGAGATTGCTTGCAGCATCTCACAAAATGCTGTTACGAGCGGGGTGGAAGCTCTCCGGGAGGCCCAGTGCATGAATCCAGCTAGGTTCGAATCTGGATCTGACCAGAAGTTGGCCGCCGCCTCCGGTCGTCCCTCATAAGCGTACGCGATGATGATTAAGAATCTCTCGAGGTTGAGGTCATGCTCATGCGTCTGGCTAAGTTGTCGCTGCTCATCCTGCTCGACTCGTAGACGCCGCAAAACATCGGGAAGGTTGGTGATGAATCCATCGATGAAGACCTCGAGACGGGACATGAGGGCGGTTTGGAAGAACTCCGAGAATGGGACTGAATCGGAGGAGAGATGAGGTGACTTGCGCTGTAACCACGATCTCATCCCTACACGCGCTGGATCTTGCCATTCTACAGACTTGACATCGCCAGCAACCGAGAGGAGGAAATCAAAGGCACCATCTTTTAAGGAGTCAAAAATTGTCTAGCCCTTTCACGGTCCTCTAAAATGCAATACCAAGGTTAACTCATGCATGAAAATAGATGGACGGGAACGGAAGGGGGTTCGATAATCTGTACCTTCGTCCAGGTCCACTGGCGGAACAATGGTGCCCTCCTCAATATCGTCGATGTAGTATCCGCTGTATTCGGATAGCCACCATACTCTGAAGGCTGCTTGTAGGTAAGGTAATGCCCATTGTTCTGGCTCCTTGGGACAGACGGCAGCATTGAGTTTCCTTGCCTGGTTTAGGCCGCTATTTGACTCCACCGATCCAAGATGTGTAATAAAGGCTCCAAGAGGTGGTATTCTATGGACTATAAAAGGGTTAGAGGGTGTGCACTAAGCTTCTAGCTATGCTGCCTCGTGTGCCAAGCGTACGTACCTAATAAACAGTCATACTTGTCTGTCGCTTTCAGCTCTGCGAGGAGAGCCTTGAAATCGTCCTCCTGGCCAAGGTTTGTCTCAATAGCCCTGCACATGATCACTGCCATCAATTCATGCTGCTGGATGAGGCTGACACGCGAGAAGTCGACGGTTTCGAGCTCCCCGGAAAGTTGCGAGGTCGGTACCCCGGCAAGGACTGCCGCAGCAGTAATCTTGTCATTCAGTTTTTGGACCCAGTTCCTTATATCCTTCATGGCCGTCATGCACCGACTTATGATGCGCTGGGCTCCATTCGAGGCGAAGACACCTTCGCGTAGATACTGCGTTGCATATTCGTAAACCGGGCCGGTTTCAGTTTCTGCCTCCCGATCAAGCTCGACGAGTAACCGTATGATATCGAGGACATACTTCCTGTGTTGGTGGAAGCGGATGATGGAGCATTCGAGAAGGGATCGTCCAAGAATTCCAGGATCATCTTGTGAGTCAAGAACTAGGGAGGCCGCTTCAAGCTCGTTGATTTCGAGCTCGTCTGACAAATTCAGAACATTCTGCTTAAACTCGTCGTTGATTTGGTACTCATCTCCATTGACGGTGATGTTGCCTGAAGATAGGAAAGGTATTAGGACTGCTCAGCTGTAGGCGGTGCTACTAAACATACCAGAATTTATGGCGTTACGGCTTTCGGCGCTCCTTGCAGGCCGACACCAGACCTTCTTCAGCTCTTCTTCAAAGACATCGAGAGGGGAGCTGTCGTCTCGCAAAAGGTCGAGATTCTCGTGACGACCCTCAAGGATGGATAGAAAAATTCTATCAAGGGTCTGGAGGGCGATCAAAGTTGTCTGTTCGGCCATTTTCGTCGCAGGGGAACTATCGCATCGTTGCTGCGGCGGAAGTCTCTCGGAGCGCGCGAGGGAGGGCGGAATCGGGCTGCCAAGGTGGGGGATGCGCGATGTTGTCGGTGAAGGATGCCGAGGGTCCGTTCAAACCTAGACTTGTACGCAGGTAATCTGAGTGACTCAGAGAGGCCGTGAGGCGGAGTTTGATCCCTGAACGTAGGGTAGGGAGAGTTGTGACGCTGCGTAGGGGCGTTTGTTGACTTTCAAGGAAAGACTGGTCAATGTTTCCTTCATGGTTGCGACTCGTTTTTTCCCTTGGTCGTGGAGCTTGGAGCAAAGCTATACCAGTGCGAATAACAAGGCCAAGGCTTAAATGTACGGTAACCATCTGCCAGTTTCTGCCTGAATGTACAGTGCGTAAATTGGACAAGAGGTAGAAAGCGGTGAGAATTCTGCCGCCATCCAAACGCGCTCACCCGCGACTTCCTTGCAAGCTCTGTCAGCTCAAGTTCGATCTCGACGCCCTCTTCACTTCCTCATGCTGATCCTTGTATTGATATTCACTACCCCCAATTTGGCCGAATCTCCTCGATAGGTTGCTCAATTCTACGCGGGATTGCCTTCTTGGCCCAAGCCTCAAGTCTCCGGCTTTGCTCTGAGTGAACCTGTCGCTCAGCCCCAAGCCAGTTTAGGCAGCTCCTGTCTCGTCCCACACTGAGTCGCAGGTCTGACAGCTTACCTCCGAGTGTGGAGAACCGACATATAGCTATCTTCTAGTCTGGCGGCCTTGATGAAATAGTGCCGGTTTTGGAGGTCACCTCCTTTTGTTTTTGTTACCAATCTTGTCCAGCCATGAACCGTCGGTTCACTATTCACTAAGATGTCCTCGGCAAAGCGTGCAACTAGTAACGTAGTGGACAACATTATCCGTTTGTCAACCCGTCTTCTGCTGAGAATTCGTAACAGGACTGACGCAAGCTCCCGCTAGATAAGCTTGAAGTGGTGCAGTCAAGACCCGTGGAGCGGCCCTCGATGGTGAGAATCCTTCTGTATCCCGTTGCTACGAATGATTCTCTGACCCTTGCTCTAGATTTAACCTCATTGTTGGATAAAAGGGGAGGAATGCGAATTTGTACGTGAGAATGGTAATGCTGTCTCCCGACGAAGAGCCCGTTTCTGATACCTGAGTATAGTTCAACTTTGGACGATAAGTCGTATCATACAATTTTAGAGTCTCTTTTAGATGCACTCTCACCGAAAAATCCATTGCCCTTGGTGGGACCAAAAGCGCGGCCGGATCCGAGACACAGCGATTGCCCAAGTGCGCGAAGGCAGTGAGGGCTGTTGTTGAACATGGGCAAGGAAAATTGCGACGAAAGACCATCCTTGCTTTGGTGGACCACATCACGCAAACTCTCCCCGGACCTGATGATGAGCTAATCCAACCTTTGGCGCAAGACTATGTCAAGGCTCTTCTTGTCCTCCTCTCACGACCTGCGAATGTCGAACAGCTCGCTAAGTTGTCCGCAGATGGATGGGAGGCTGCCGCCACATTCTGCCTCGATGCCGTATCGGGCTTCCTCGCCTACGTTGACCAAGATGCTAGCGCCCTCTCGCGCGCGTCCCCAGCACCTGGGAGTGCACCGCTCACGAGATCCTCCGGGAGGTCCAGCCTGGACCCCGGGTCGAGGATCACAGGACACATAGGCCAATCTACCCTGGTGGACCTCCTAGAGTGCCTGCATTTCCTGATGCTGGCGCCTAATGCTCCTGTTCTCCGGTTCGCACACGAAGTTTGCCAGCCTCTCGTTAAAGTCTTGCGGATCAAGCAAATCAAGATTGGTAGAACTCAGCAGTTCTCATTTGCGACGCTTAACACCGTCCTTGCACGGATAAGGCTTGATAATCTTCAGCTGGCACAAACCCTCACCACTCAGCTGGTCCCCATAGTTTCTCACTGGTGGTATGTGCAGAGGGTTGCAAAAGACGAAATGTTGAAGTCAATAAGAGATGAGATGATACGTACCATGTTTGCAATGTTTCTTCATCTTGAAAGTTTAGCTCAACCTGACTCCCCGACCATATTCGCAAAGAAGTTGAGGATCTTCTCGACGTTCTCTGGTCCGAGTACTCTCGACGCGACCCCCTGACCAATTACGACTAGGAGACTTGAATTTTGGGTCTCTACCGGCCCCATCAGATTACTTTAGCACACCTGTGTTCAGCCTTCAGCCCCATGATAAGGAGGGTGAGAGGAAGTATGGTGTTTTACAATGCATCGCTACTCTTGAGAACGTGTTCTTGAGATTTAGCAAGCCCGACGGGCCTCAGTCCGCTGGAGGCGATGAGCAGCCTAGGAAGCGCCGCCGAGTTGCCCACGAACCGAACAGACTTCGCCGAAAACTAAAATCCCCGATCAAGGAACACGGCTTGCCGCGCTCCAAATCGTGCCGTTCCTCGCCCATAGCAGGGTATTATCAGGCGATGATGCATGGGACCTTCTCGGAGATTTACTTGGCTTGGTAACCGCGAAGGAGGCTTCCGTTGCCTCTTGGGCCATGCTTTCCGCTGCAAGGTCAGCCACCCCTTGCTTTTATCACTGTCCCGATTACTTTGGCTAACAATAGGTAGCTGTGCCTTGAGGAGAGACGCTTCTAATCCAAATCTGGCTTCGACGTGGAAGCAGGTATGGCAGACCGTCGTGCGCAGCGTCAGTCTCCCAGGTGTTAGTCGATCCGCCTGTGTCCTCTTGCATACATTGCTTGAAGCGGATCTTGTTAGCTATCATGTCATTTCTAATGACATTAACGACATGGTTACTACGGCGGACATCAACGGCCCAGCTATCCTGACGGACTCTTCTGTGCTACTCATGTTGCATCTCCTGCAGCTTCGAAATCTCAAGCTTCCAAGCGCGAGCCAGGCGACCTGTAACCATGTCATACGGTGGGTCTTTTGAAATGGAATCCAGGTGAGATATACCTAGGTCGCTTCCCCCTAGCTAAGCAGTGCGCTGACGAAAGCTTATCTAGAGGATCTCTCCTTCTCATCACTTCACTCGCCTTATATCATAATTGAAGACTTGGTGAATCTGATACGGGTGGCGTGTGGAGCTGGGCTTCTACAACAATCGGGCTCACAAACTGTATCTGGGGGCCCAATCAGTCAAGCATGGAAGTCTCACTGCGCCGCGGTGGAGGTTGGGCGATATCTTCTCCTACTCGACGATGCGGAGCCGTCTCAACTTAATCCTCTGTCATGTACCAAACCCACTCAGTCAGATGGTGTCGCCCAGAAAGCTGATCCTTCTAGCTTTTTCACGTCGAGAAAGTTGGTTTTGGAGCTTTTTTCGACTAAACTGGAAGACCTGCAAAACGTATGTGATACCTGGAATAAGAGATCGACTGATGGGTTTCTCCAACTCTCTGCCGAGCGCCTCCAAAGCCTCTTCACAGCCTGCGTCTTTGGCTCCATGGCGTTGCCTCAGCTCGTGGATTTGAACATGAGACAGTCTCGGGATATAGAACCCATGGTGTTCAAGCTCCTTGACGATACCCTTGTCGCCGTCCTCGACTCACACGAGTCCCAATCCTTCATCGATATCCTGCTGAGGGCGATTCGTCCTATTCTTCCCCAACCTTCCGCCGCGGGGCTTCACTACCTGATCGCTGAGCACAAGCCCCTTCTCGTCCTCTTCTCGAAACTCTCGTCTGCCTTGAAAGAATTCTCCCAACGCCAGTCCTCTGGGCAAAACCTAGACTATATGGACTTAGATGACGAATTTGACTCACAAACAAGCAGATCGACCTCGACCTCCCGGCCTGTTGAAGTACCTAGACTTTTAAGCAATCTCTGCTTAGACTCTAGCGCATACTATCTAGAATCGACTGTACACCTAAAACTTCTCTCCCTGATATCGAGTGATGAGGGCCAGATCAGCTTAGTTCCTGACCCATTCATTGACCACATTGTGGCACTAAACGATGAGGAATTCCTTCTCAGCCAAAATGCAATCCTCAATGTCTTCCATGCTGATCTCCTCGTCAGTCCGGACCAAGCCTTCCGCGTGGTTGAAAGAGTTGGGAGTATCATTGGTGTCTTTCCGGAATATGACTGCTGTGAGGTTGCCCTCTCATGCTGCATCAATCTCATTGAGGCTTTGCTGTCAACATGGATCGATGTCAAGCACAGAGTCGCAGACATGGTAGGAGACCTCTATCATCATCTTGCGAAGACATGTTTGCATAGCAACCAACTATCCCCAGACACCCAAATTGCGCTCTCCAAGTTACTGCTGTCAATCATGAAAGTCGATACCCAATACGCGGACAAGATCAAGCTTTCATCCTGTCGATCGACGCTCCTGAGCATTGAGCAACAAGGGACAATGCCAGTCAAGTTCTTCGTGGGCGCACATATATCAGATATATTTGGTCTCTATGTCCTCAAGGTCCATGATGAAATATTTGTCGATGTCTTGAGTAGCCTTCCAGCGGACCAGGAGAATACAGAGGGTATTGCCTACCGGCTTTTCGCGTTGGCCGAATTGGCATGCTCCTGGCCCACCCTTCTACGACGTTGCATCTATCACATTTTTGAGACGCCTGGTACCATTCCTAGCTCAGCTAGCTACGCGACAAGGTGCCTACAAAAGGTTTCTACTGCCCTGAAGTTGAAGTCGCCCGCTGAACTATTCCGACTCTTCGCTCCTCAGCTTCTCTACACATGGCTCCTGAGTAGCTCGATAGATAGTATTCCTTTCTCAATCTTCGGGTTCGCATCGTTGGGGATCTTATCAAGGCCTCGGGAAGTGAAGCGCCAGCCTTGATGATTATGCGAGGGCCAGGCGAGGCACTCCAGCGACTTGCTGATAACCTTGGAAAGACCTCGTCTGACGTGGTGCTGGACAACTTTTCGAAAATTATGGCATATGCAATCGCGCATAGCATCGCCAGATCCAAAAACAGGCCAGATCCCAGTAGCCACGATAGCGGGTCGAAAGATACCAGTAGCCGTGTCTCGGAAGAGCGAGGTGAGGGCTGGGTGAGGAAGCTGTTGGGTTCTCAGGCTTTCATCGAGGCCATCTATGCCAACTTCACTGATATGGTTGCCCATTTCATGGATTTATTCGACCAGGAGGATCCCATTGAGCAATACTTCGTGGGCCCGCTCAGTCCTGCCGCCGAGATACTTGCCGAGATCAAGAAGTTCTCTCATTCCGAGGTCCGCCTGCCACCAAACCAACAGCCCGTCTTCAAGGGACGCCAACTCGTGCGCCAACTCAGTCACCTCTGTAACCTGGCTCCGAAGTATGAACTCACAACCTTGTGGACACCGGCTCTTGTAGTATTTGTGGCACGAAGGCTGATCAACACGATTCACCCCGCCCTTGGCTCGCTACATGCGTGCTCCGTCCTCAGGAAACTGAGAATTCTCATATGTCTAGCTGGTCCTGTTGCTCTCGACTCTTACCCTCTTGAGATGTTACTTCGCTCTGTACGAGCGTTCATCGTTGACTCGGAGTCTGCTGACGATGCAATGGGGATCAGCCAGTACCTAATTACCAAGGGAAGTGCGCATTTGGAGCAGAGCCCATCGTTCCTCGCGGGGTATGCGCTGTCGACCTTGGCCTCCCTGAGGGTATTTTTGGAGTCGAGCCAGTCAAGCACGACCCAGGAGAGCCAGTTCAAGGCGACCATGGGCAAAGCTAAACAATTCCATTCATGGTTCAGCAAGTATCTCGTGGGATATTCCGCTCCTGCGTTCAAGACCGACCCTCAGCAGGAAGCTATCTTCAAGTCAATCACGAAGTCTGCTGCCCATATCAGGTCCTCCGGCAATGCTGACAAGGGAACCCACGAGAGCAATCTGCTCTTAGAGATTCTCCGGGATGAGGGTAGACAGGTTCAATTGCTCAACGATTCATCTCGGGATTTAGCTCTTGGTCTCTTATGTGGAGATTTTCAGTTCCCGTCATCAACTCAAGAAGACATTGTAGAGACCGACCAAGATGCCATTACGCAGGCACCTGTTGTCTGGAAAAGTTGCATAAACCAGGCCCTAAGCGACCAGTATCTTGCGTGGGCTGGCAGAGTTGCTGGGAGATCTTTTGCTGCGTCGGGAACCATTCCGGAGGAACTTCTTCAGGAATCCCGCCTTTCCCAGTATCTTCTCATTGCACCTGGGTCCAACGGCTCCCAGCGAGGTATCCTCCATCTCCTCCAGGGACTAACTACCAATACGAGCCCGTCTACTGCCGGTCTCGCAGAGGCTGCACTGAGGTGCATCGTATCGGAGGCAAGGGCGGCGCAAGATGATCCTCTCACAGTTGCCTGCCAGGAGTCCTTGAGCGAAACGACGTTTCTCACCTCCGACTGGGGCGAGTATTATCCCCCGCCTTCCGAGTGTCCTCTCTCGAGCCTCCAGCCGAAGAGCGGCTGTTTGCGAAAGGAAATATTGAGTCAAATGACTGGCTTCAGCGCCTTTGTCTGTACCTTGCACGTGGCGCATCTACGCATATTATCGTACTTGCCGTTATATCCCCACTTCTTGAAGAAGTCAAGGGGTTTGCGGAGCAGGCATTCCCTTACATTTTGCACCTGGCTCTCCTGGCTCAGATAGATCAACAGCAAGTGGTCAAACGCAAGGTGTCCGAAGCGTTCAAGGATTGGCTCTCCGTGAACAGCAAACCGGCCAAGGACAACCAGAAGTTGGTTATTAACGCCCTCCTTTACCTTAGAACGCAAAAGCTACCAAACGAGACCTCAATTGCAGATCGAATCCATTGGCTTGACGTAGACGTTTTAGCCGCCGCCGCCACAGCCTCGAGATGTGGAATGCACAAAACCGCGCTCTTGTTCGCCGAGTCTGCGCCGACTGATGGCCGTCAATCTAGACGTACATCGGCGGCCAGGGAAACAGGTTCAAGCGATCTGTTGCTGACGATATACGAGAACATTGACGACCCTGATGCTTACTACGGTCTGTCGCAAAACTCAAGTCTCGCGAGTGTTTTGGCAAGGCTCGAGTATGAAAAGGACGGTACAAAGAGTCTTGCCTTCCGTGGAGCGCAGTATGATAGTCATATTCGCATGCGTGATTCCAGCTCAGAGCAGGACGGAAAGTCGCTTGTGCGTGCCCTGACCACTCTGGGTTTGGCTGGGCTATCTCATTCATTGCTGCAAACCCAGCAGAGTCTTGACGGCGCCCCTACATCCCTAGAGACGACCTTCCAAACGGCACGGCGCCTCGAGCAGTGGAACCTCCCAGTCCCCGCATCGACTAATAATTATGCTGCCACCGTGTATAAGGCATACCAGACCGTTCACCAAGCTTGTGAAATATCCACGATTCGCAAGACGATCCACGACGGATTTGGAGAAACCATGCGCGCTCTTGTAAGCCGCGACTATAACATCACTAGTCTTCGTCAACACCTTGGCGCACTAGCTGTTCTCTCCGAGCTAGACGATATTGTCAATATTACGGCCCTCCCCGATCTTGAGTCAGTGCTCTCGAATTTCGAAACTCGCTCCCGGTGGATGCGGAGCGGGAGATACGATGACATCAGCCATATCCTCTCATGCAGAGCTACAACAATGAGCATGCTAGGTCAACAGGCAGTCCTCAGAGCAAAGGCTACCCTTTCTCCCGGAGACGCCCGCAGCATGGAGATCAAGTCTATGCTCATGTCGTCCGGCATCTATCGGTTCCACCAGGCGACTCAGGAGTGTCTGAATCTTTCTACGGCGCTGACAGATATGATTGAGCCGTGTGAAAAACTAGGACTCGTCGTAGATGCCGCCGTTCGGATAGAGGCTGCAAACTCGCTGTGGGACTACGGGGAGATGACGGCCTCGATTGGAATACTGCTCAACATCGATCAAGACTCGGCCCTCAAGAAGCAAACGGTACCGGTAAGCCGCGCAGATCTACTTTCCAAGATTGGCCATCAAGTCTCCGTGGCTCGCCTGGAAAAGCCCCACGATATACAAAAGAAATATCTTGAGCCCGCTCTCAAGGAGCTCAAGGGTAAAAACAAAGGCAAGGAGGCGGGCAAGGTGTTCCACCAGTTCGCCATGTTTTGCGATGAGCAGCTCCAGAACACAGACGGCTTGGAAGATCTCGCCAGGCTACAAAACCTGCGACAAGGCAAGAGTGATGAGGTGATGCAGCTCAAGGATCTCATCGCCAGCACAAAGGAGACGCAGCTAAAGAACAGGTATACCAGCTATCTCGCAAAGGCGAGACAGTGGCTTGAGCTTGACGAGCAGGAGCTACGGAGAGTGGAACAGACCCGGAACGAATTTGTGCGGCTCAGTCTAGAGAATTACCTGCTCTCCCTCATTGCATCGGATTCGTACAACAACGACGCATTACGGTTCACGGCCCTCTGGCTCGAGAAGGCCGAGGATGAGGCAATCAACGAAGCTGTCAAAAGCACTTTGACAAAGTTCCAACAAGGAAGTTTGCCACATTGATGAACCAGCTGACATCCAGACTCCAAGACGACACAAGTTTATTCCAGCGCCTCCTTTTCGGCATGGTGCTAAACATCTGCGTTGATCACCCTTACCACGGTATGTATCACATTTGGGCGGGTATGAACTCGCGCCTCAACAAGCGGGACGACGTAGCGGTCTCTCGACATCGAGCGACAGAAAAAGTTGCGAAACACCTTGCAACCACCCGAGAAGTTGCTGGGACGTGGCAAGCAATTGACAAGACGAGCAAATACTACCACATACTGGCCGCCGACCGCAATCCGGACAAGTACAAGAATGGGGCGAGATTGCGATTGAAGGATTGTCCGGCCGCACACAACCTCTTGAGTTGTCTGATCCGATATCCAATTCCGCCGCCGACAATGCAAATGGAATTGTCAGCCGAAAAGGACTACACCAAAGTCCCATTCATCACAGCCCTGGAGCCGACCATGTCTATCGCATCGGGCATCAGTGCGCCAAAGATCATCACGGCTTTGGGAAGCGATGGTGTTAGGTACAAACAGCTTGTCAAGGGCGGTAACGACGACTTAAGGCAAGACGCCATCATGGAACAGGTTTTTGCGGCCGTCTCGTCTCTTCTCAAACTTCACCGCGCGACACAGCAACGTAACCTCGGGATCCGAACGTACAAGGTCCTTCCTTTGACTGCATCTTCAGGCCTCATCGAATTCGTCCCCAACACGATTCCGCTGCACGAGTTCCTCATGCCAGCACACGAGCGCTATCATCCCAAGGACTACAAGGGTGGGCAGTGCAGGCGAGAAATCAGCAACGTGCAGGGGAAATCTGTAGAGGTGAGGGTGTCGACGTATCGCAAGGTTACTGAGAGATTCCGGCCAGTGATGCGATACTTCTTCATGGAATACTTTGTCGATCCGGATGAATGGTACGCCAAGAGACTCGCGTATACAAGAACGACTGCAGCCATTTCTATGTTGGGCCATATCCTAGGCCTTGGAGACCGGCACGGGCACAATATCCTTCTTGACACTAAAAACGGCGAAGTCGTACACATTGACCTCGGCGTGGCCTTTGAAATGGGCCGTGTGTTGCCGGTGCCCGAACTCGTACCCTTCCGTCTAACACGAGACATTGTGGACGGAATGGGAATATCCAAGACGGAAGGTGTTTTCCGCCGATGCTGCGAGTTTACGCTAGACGCCTTGCGAGAAGAGACTTACTCAATCATGACAATCCTCGACGTTCTTCGGTACGACCCTCTATACTCGTGGTCCATCTCGCCTGTGCGACTGGCCAAGCTTCAAGACGCAAGGAGGGATGATGATGAGAGTGAGGAACTTGATGAACAGGAGGCAGAGAAGAATCGACGTAAAGGTAATAGGGTCAACGAACCCTCTGAAGCAGACCGGGCTTTGGAGGTGGTCAAGAAGAAGTTGTCAAAGACATTGAGCGTCACAGCAACGGTCAACGATTTGATCAACCAGGCGACAGACGAGAGGAACTTGGCGGTTTTATACTCTGGTAAGCCTTTAACAAGATGGGGGCATCCTTCCCCTCCCTATCTATCAAGCCTTCTCTTGCTTTCTCTCCCAATTCATCCCTATATAGGTCTGTCAAGCTAACAACAAGTGTTTTGGTAGGTTGGGGAGCCTATGCATAACATATTTCTCATCTTGAGCCTTTCGGGCTAGGTTAGGGTAGATAAAAGAGACCCATAGATGGACGTTTAAACACCGTTCAAGGGTGTCAAAGGTGTTGAGGAAAATCAGGGTAAATAGAGGTCTTATACCTCAGCATAGACGGTGTGGAATCTCGGGCAACTTAACTTAGTAATATATGTTCACTTTCTTTTGACGTCCCGTCGAGACGATGATCAACATGATCCCATCGAGGTATATTGATTCCACTACTTCGTGAGCCGCGTGGTGTTGGTCGGTGAGTTCTCGGTGAACTCTGGGGCAAGAGTAATTAGTAAGAAGCGGAATCCTCACTAAAAAGGTACTTTGCGTCAATGCTCCACGCGCCATCATCGAAGAAGTCACCGGCGACCGCTTTAAACGCCCACTCCCATTCCTGGCCTTTTCCCCCTTCATTTTCAATTGTTCTAAAAGAAAACGCCTCTCTCGATTCACTCCCACCCCGGATTGGGTGAGCGGTAATTGCCAACGGTTCCCTCTTCGCCACGCAAGCCGCAATCTCGAACCGCGACCGCGAAAGCTTGCCTCCGCGTTGTTCCTTATCGCCGATCGCTGGGGTACTAAGCTTCTGATCAGAGTTGCACCTCGACCTCGACCTCGACCGACCTGACCTTCGTCTCCCGCCGTTACCGAGCCAGCCCAACCAAGGGAAATAGAACCTAAATAAACCAAATTGTTTTTTTAACAAACTGCCGGCCGAGGGAATGCAATGCTCCTGATGATTTAAGCGCCTTGTCCATCTGTCGCATCATCAGATCCCGGCAAGGAAAGCGAAACCCCGCTAACCTCGAGCTGGGGGAGGTCCAATCCAGTCAACTTCCCTATGCCGCCCCCGATCGCCCTATCGCCCGCCAACGCCGCCACTACCGCTTCGACGAACCCAGATCCCGCCCACGCCGACAACGTACAGTCTCCCCTCCAGGAATCCAAGAGACGACGGACCCTCAGCTCCGACTCGCGCGCCCCCTCGTCCGCACCGGCCATGAAACGGCCAAGAATGACGGACGCTTCGGCTCAGTTGCAGCGACCGATTCCGATAGGCACCGGCAAGGATCCCATGAGTGGCTTCGGGCCCCGGACGATGAGGACCACGGTCAAGAAGCTCGTCATAAAGAATCGCCGCGTGGACGGCTCCGACTACCTGGCCGAGGTTGAAAAGTACTTTGACTCGGTGTGGACGGAGGTCTCGGCAGCGCTGGGCGATATCTTGCAGAACAAGAGGCCGAAAATCCCCTTTGACAGGATATTCAGAGATGTGGAAGATCTCTGCAGAAATAACAAGGAGGCCGAAGTCTATAAGAAACTCATTTCGGCTTGCGAGAAGCACCTCTCAGAAGTGGTCTTGAACAACATCAAGAGTGCTCAAAAGGGTAATGATACGGACACCGATGTTCTTGCCTCGGTGCTCTCAGAGTGGAAGATTTGGAATGAGAAATCTGTTTGTTTAACCCGTACCCGCCCCCGATCTCTGCCCGTCCCTACCCAGATACGTGGCTGCAATAGAACAACTGCTAACGACGTGGATTTCCAGAAAATTATCCGCTCTACGTTTGCCTATCTTGATGCTAGCTATCTAGCGAGGCAGAAAGAACTGCTACAAATTAACGACGCCCTCATCTCCAAGTTTCGGAAAATGCTCTCAAGCGGCTCAGGCTCCAAATTTGCCGACGGTCGGAGTGTCAGCCTCGTTGTTGCTGATGGCATGTGCCAGTTGATTCACTTCGACCGGGTGGGCGATGATAGATTCAACTCAAGCTTGCTGAGAGAGACGGTGTCGATGCTCCACATCTTTGGTGTATACGGAAAGTGGTTTGAACCGAGGCTACTCGAAACTTCGGACGATTACTTCAAGGACTTTGCTAGCGATCGAAGTATGGCGAGCCTTGGCGAATATATCAGACAATGTCGGGCGCTCGTTAATGGAGAATCGCATCGTTGCGATATGTACGCCCTCGACAGCTCATCCAAGCAGCAGCTGCTAGCACTGCTGCATAAGAACCTCATCCATGCACACCTGCAGAAGCTCTTGGATCTCACGAGTATCTCTCGGTTAATCGAGGGCGAAGAGATCGAGTCGGTGGCTACTCTCTACCACATCCTCAAGCTCTCGGATATACATGATAAGCTCAAGAAACCGTGGGGGCAATATATCCGCGAAACAGGTGCGAGAATCGTGCAGGATACAGAAAGGGGCGATGAGATGGTGACAAGGTTACTGGGTCTTCGACGGTCTCTCGACGGGATCCTCCGGGAAGCGCTCGAGAAAGACGATGGGTTCCTGTGGACATTGAGAGAGGCGTTCAGCGACTTTATGAATGATCGGAAGAACGTGCAGGGCTGGGACTCCGGGCAGGCCAAGCTTGGGGAGATGATTGCCAAGCATGTCGACCTGCTGCTTCGGGGAGGCCTCAAGGCTCTTCCAAGAGCTCTCTTCACAAACAGCATCGATCGCCTAGAGGCCGAATCCACGGGCGTCTTGTCTGCGGCAGACGAAGATGGCGAGCTAGAACATCAAGTCGACCAAGCCATTGCCCTGTTCCGCTTTGTTGAAGGAAAGGATGCTTTTGAGGCCTTTTACAAGCGAGACCTGGCACGCCGCCTTCTTATGGATAAGAGCGCGAGCCAAGACGCAGAGCGGATGACGTTGGGTAAGCTTAGGGAGAGTGTGGTGCCAATTTTACGCACAATCTAGAGCAAATGTTCAAGGACAAGGCGCTAGCCAAAGACGAGATGGCGGGATACAAGCAGGCGTGCGAGGCTGCCAACTACAAGTTGCCATTTGACCTTCAAGTCATGGTGCTCTCTTCTGCGGCGTGGCCCAGCTATAACGACATCAAAATCAACATGCCACCCGACGTAGCCAATCAAATCGAGCGGTTCGATGCCTACTACAAGCGCAAGTACAAGGGCCGCGTACTCAACTGGAAGAACGGGCTCGGCCACTGCAGCATCACGGCCCGTTTCAAGAGGGGGAGAAGGAACTCAACGTGTCATTCCTCCAGGGGTCGTTTTGCTCACCTTCAACGATGTTGAGGACGGCGACGCCTTGACATATCAGCAGATATCCCAGATGACCAGCCTCGCCGGCGGCGATCTAGATCGGACCCTCCAATCCCTAGCGTGCGGCAAGACAAGGGTTCTTACAAAACACCCCAAGGGGAGAGACGTCAAGCAGACGGACACATTTACCTTTAACCGCGCCTTTTGGGACGACCGGTATCGAATCAAAATCAACCAGATCCAGATGAAGGAAACAAAGGCAGAAAACAAGGCGACACATGAGCGCATTGTGCAGGACCGGCGGCTGGAGACCCAAGCAGCCATTGTGCGGATCATGAAGTCGAGAAAAACCATGTCCCATGCGCTCCTAGTAGCCGAAGTGATTGACATGACCAAAAGCCGGGGTCCGGTCGATGCGGCGCAAATCAAGAAAGAAATCGAAAGGTAAGCAATCACCCTCCCACTTAGGACTGAAGGTCTATTGTACTCGGCCCCCTTGCTAACTTGGAGGCTTCTTCTATTAGCTTAATCGACAAAGACTATATAGAAAGGGAGGATACAGTGTACAAGTATCTAGCGTAGTCGAGCACATGCCGGACGCTAGGCCATTCACGTTATCAACCGTCCGCTTCGCTTCGACGGCTTAACCCGTGACAAACAAGTCTTTGTTTATCTAGTTGATTAATATATCATCCAGATTAGATCAGGCATCTAGATACTCTATTCAGAGGGAAACGCGAAGCTCGTAGGCAATGAGTGCCAGTGTGATGATGTACGCCATGCGAAATACAATGGATGATTATCTAAGCGGCAAGGGGAGCTCGGGGAACTCGACTAATCACTATTACATTATCACTTCAAATGCGTATTTCGGGATAGAATGGCGGGGCAATGAGGGGCAGGCAGGCGTCTTGTTCTTGTCATGGATACGGCGAAAAGTGAGGAAAGGGTGGGGAAACGAGCAAAAGAATAACCCACAGGAGGATAATTCATAAGGACGTCTGGTGATGCCATTGCACGGGTGTAGCTGAGCTTTCTTACCCCGTGGTTAGACTCTGTCCTCTGATAGCCCCAATATCATTCACCTTGCCGAATCAATCGGCATTGCCGTTCTGCAGACCTGCCAAGGGGCCTAGCCGTGGGAAATTTAAGCCCCTTGAGGAAATTTGGTCTTCGCCGGCTGAGACCGCTTGTAAGACCCTTCAAGAAGCAAAGGAGAAAAGTCCATCATAACGGAGCGATAATTTAAAGCGCCCCTACAGCAGCATACCTTTTTTTTTTTTTTTCCATTCTACCCGAAAAGATGAGCCATTACAAATTCACCGCCGTCCCTGGCATCTTCAAGGGCTTCGCAGCTGAGTGCGCCGCGGATGAGACCCTCAAGATCACCACCCAGCCCGACCTTGCCATCATTGAGCGCGCCTACGAGACGGATGGGCCGGAGGATGCTGCCAAACTTACCCAGTGGCAGCGGCTCGCGCGGTACTTGAGGCCCTGAACGCCGCGGCGCTGGCGGGGACCAAGTACAAGCTGCTCTACCTGACGAGGCACGGACAGGAGACCACAATGTGATGCATGCCAAGGTGGGCACCGAGGCTTGGGATGTAAGTTTGTTTGTCCGTGGTGAGAGACGATGGGGAAGTGTAAATTGGTCTCACGTTGGCGGTACTCCTCTGTGCTAGGTTTGAGCGGTGAGCGGGCGGGACTGCTCCCAGTTTGCAACAACAGCTTTCCTGCTCGTTGTGAATAGGAAAATATTAAAGAAAAATGGAAGGGAGGAAGGAGTCGTTTTAGTTGCTAACATAGCTGTGCGACATAGAATCACTGGAGCCGACTTGACGGCGACGGCACGGTGTCGTGGTCCGACGCCCACCTCACCCCAGAGGGCGTATCCCAAGCGGTGACGCTCTCCGCATTCTGGACCGCGCTGATCGAGAAGGGCGCCCCCTTCCCCGACACCATCTACAGCTCGCCCCTGACGCGCTGCCTCCAGACGACCAAGCACATCTGGGCGCCCATCTACCAGTCGCGCGGCGCGCCCTTCCACCCGCTGATCAAGGAGCTCCTCCGCGAGCAAATCACCGACCACACGTGCGACCGGCGCAGCCCGCGTGCCCGCCTCGCCGAGGACTTCCCCGAGTTCCTCTTCGAGGAGGGCTTCGCCGAGACGGACACCCTGTGGAGGGCCGACCGCTGGGAGCCCCTGCCCGAGCACTGCGCGCGCAAGCAGGCCGTCCTCGAGGACCTCTTTCGCCGCGACGAGGGCGCGTGCTTGTCCCTGTCCGTGCACTCGTTTGCCATTGCCGTCATCATGGCCGTGTGCGATGCCGAGATGTATAGGGTTAGGAGGGTACTTCCTCGCGCTGCTCGTCAAGGCGGAGGAGGTGGATGAGCCGCCGACTTTGATGTGGGCGAGAGGCTTGTCGGCTATTGAAAGGCGGTTGGTGTTGCACGGTTGTCTGCTGGCTTGTTGTTGCAAGGCTATGTGAACCAGGGGAGGGGAGAGAAGGGGGATACAATTTCTAGGGGCAATAACAGGAAATGGGTGGACGGCACAAACAGTACGCTTTAGGCAGTGAGACAATGATGAATATAGTTTGGTAGATTTCGGGTATCTAATATCAAGCCCGTGATACGATGGCATGGCCCAGCTCATAAGTTTGTCGTGACCCAAAGAGAAAAAAGGACGTAGGAAAACGATGAAAAGCCCAAGGGAGGAAATCCTACAACGATACCATGCCATCCATGCCTTCCTGCCTGTCTGCCCATAACCCAGAGTCCCATACAAATATTGGTCCATCTCTTGCCCGAGATCCCAGTCCGAGAAAAGAAAAAAAAAAAAAAGAGAGAAAGAGAGAAGGAGAGAAAAATGAGGATGGTTTGCTGTACGCCTTATGGTGATTCATATCGCCGAATCCTCCTTCTTCTGAGGAGTTCGCCAAGTATATCTTTTTCGATCTGCTACCTCATGCATGTAGTCCTCAAACGTCGCCGGTAAATCCGCGAATCGCGGGAGAACTCCATCACTCGACCTCCTGCCGATGCTCATGAATGGCGCATCCCCTACGCCCTGGCCCTCAAATTCAAGCATGTCATCGTCCCAGTCCGAGTCGTAGCGGTCTGCAGGTGCCGGGTTCTCAATCCGTTCTCCGCGTTCCACCGCCTCAATGGAGTCGTTGATAGTTTGCGCCCACCAGCGATCCTTGTCGTCGATACTTTGGTCACGAAGACTAGCAGCTTCATCATCCGCGCCGTACCCGAATACATCGTCAAAGTCCAGCCCTACGAGATGGGCTACACGCACCCGGTTGGGTATGGAGACGCCCGGTTCTGCCGGAGCAGGACCCGGCTCTGCGGGGGCGGGCTCTTCCGCTATCGGCGTAGATGACATACCCGCGGGTCGCTGCCTCGCCGTTTCATCAGCAGGAACCTTGACCGGTCTCGAGCTAGGCTCGGCAGCCTCTTCCGTAGTCTCCGTCACATTAGGGCCCTTTGACGCCCCGGCATCCGTCTGGGCTGGATCACGCCGATCTTCCTCTGATTCCGCGTTTTCAATCGTCATCCTAGCTAGTTGTAATTGATCCGGCGTTGGCCAGCGGGTTTTGGCGTTCTCCATCCTCCTAACCGCGCAGGCATTTGCTGCGTAGCGGAACAACTCAAGGGCGTGGTCCAGTTCACCCATGAGATGGAACATCTTTCCCCGGTACCAGCTGCATTTTATCACCGCCGACGCCTCCGACATTGGTCTTGCAAGGTATTCTCTATACAGAATATCGTAGGCAAGAATAGCCTCGTCCACATCCTCACCTTCCTCATACAAGTGTGCAAGAGTCTTCAGAATCCCGCGCCTAGTTTTGCGGTTGCCGAGGAATCCCGCGGGGTCATCCTCGAGAGTTTTCCGATACTCAAAAATGCACTCGTCTGTTCGCCCAGCCAAGCGCAAGGCGTGGGCGAGACTCTTCCTCGTATCACCGCGAAGGGTCGATAGTTCCAAAGTGTGGTTCGATGCTGCGGCAAGGTCATCGTCATCGTCCCACGCTAGAAACCGTTCCAGAAGCGTGAGCAACGCGCGATACTCCTCAATCGCGAGATCATATCTCCCCGCCTTTTTCTGTACGCGGGCTGCGTAGTACCGGTTAATCACGGACAATAGGTTTCTAGGCGTATACTTTTCGTCGCAAAGATGCTGAATGCGGTGACAGAGGGTGACGAGTTCGCTGTACATCTTTTTCCGATACAGCAGTCGCCGGGCAAGGTAAAGAAGGACCTGGCCATGATCGTAGTGGATCATGCTATGCGCCACATCTACCAGTTTGTATTCCTTCATGGTTTCGTCACCCACTTCGTCCGTAACAATGAGGCAGGCAAGCAGCCGGAACCTCACCGCATCTTCTTCCTCGTCTGGACGGTGAACAGGCTTGTCCTTCCAACTTATTAGCCTGCGCCAGACAAGCACAGCCTCGTCAACAAAGCCAGCGATGCTAAGCGCAAGCGCAAACTCCTTCTCAAGATTGTAGATATAGGCAACGCCTTGAGCCGGCCGTCTCACCAACATCTCTACGATGGTGGTGTAAAACGAGCCGTCCTGGGGCGGTCGCAGGCCAAGGTAAACCGTGGCTAACTCCACGAGGTCGCACAAGCATCTGACACACCAAACGTCCCTAGGGTGTATTAACCTAAATAGGGCATTGTCCGCGGCGTCATTATAGCGTCGAGGGGATGAATTCCGGCCACTCAAAGCCTGAAACGTCTGGAGAAGATCCGTCGTGTCTGTAGCGATTTCCAAGGCTCGATTCTCGGCGCCACGGATGGTATAACATTGCAAGAGAAGTGAAAGACAGCGGCCAAAGTAGAATTGTTTCAAAGGGCTCTCTTCCAGCGCACGGAAAAACTGACGGGATAGTTCGAGGTCGCGAATCGCCGCATCAGTATCCCCCTGTTCCAGTGCGCGTGGCCTCGCGCCAGAAACGAGATTGGAACAACGATTCGATTTCTCTCGTCATCCGCCGCTAGAGTCCGCGATATGATTAGGGTGGCCCAGTTCCCGGCGAGTTTGATGAACTTTTGTGCGCCCCCGACCTTCAGAACCTCTCCGCCAAGAAGCAAAATGTAATGATGGAAATCTTGGACGAGGACGGCTCGAGGTCGCCGCTTTTCGATCGCCTTTCGAAGAGATGGCATGGCGACTATGCGCTCGGCTCGAGGCTCGACATCCGAGTTCGGATTCAGACACACCACCCCCAAGCTGACGCGAGAGGGGCTGAGGCAAATAGGTTGGTAATAGAGGAATATCCGATATTTCCTTTGCCTCGGAGTGTGATTTCGATGCGTTTGAAATGGGAGGAATTTATACGTATATCAAGGACACTATCCGAAGGTGACGCGGTCGTCGAGTCGAGAAAGCTCGGTAGGCAGAAATCCCATGCAACGATGATCGCCTCTCCCTCGACTTACGTCTGGGAGAGAGTGGCAAAGAACTTGGTATGTCAAAAGAACCACAAAAGCGGGATATTAGCCGAAATAGGTTCGCTATTGAACGCGGGAGCCTCAGAAGCGGGCGGCGCGAGATCTCGGGAGGGTCGCTCGACGTGACGTGGAATGCAAATAGGCGATGTACTGTGGCCAGTCGGGGACGGTCGCAAATCGTGAAGGAATGCTCTAAAGTACGGAATCTCGGTAGCAGCTTGGTCGTCCCAATACCTGCACAAATAAAAGGGGAGGGAGAACGAAAATCTACGAAAAAGGTGCAAATGGTCACGAATACGATTACCCCAGACTCTCCGGAAGACGTTGCCTTGAGATAGGGCGGCGATGGATCTTCAGGGATCATCCAGGCGGGCGCGCCCTGCTTAGTCAGTGGCATCTCACCACCAGCGAGACAAGCGAGGGGCACGACAGCATGAAAGAGGCACGGGTCTTCCCGTTGAGGGTCAAGGGTCTTTCCATGTGAGGAAAAGAAAAGAAACCAAGACAACCCAGTCGTGCATAATAGCAATTCTTCTTCCTTCAGAAAACGAGGCTGAACGGATGGCTGTTTTTCTCAACGTCATCGAAAAGTGTGCGCAAGCCGGACAAAATTTCTGATCCTAAAGCAAGAGTCTTCATTGCACATGGCTGAGTAGGTCGATGATCGCTCTTTCCTTGGGCACCCTGTGCCATCTTGAATCGAAATAGATTTCCAAGTTTTTCGGGTGAAGTTCGGCGAAACCTAACTTTAACAACTGCCACCCAACAACATCATCGGGAGGCAGACAGCAATAGGCGAAAAAACAAAAAAGAAGAAAAAAAGGCAAGGAAAAAGGAAAAAAGCACATATCCTACACATCGTATCTTCCAGCTATACCTCGGTACCAACAGGTGAAGAACTCAAGCAACTATTAGAGTAGCCCACGGTGTGGACGAAACAGCACTACGACCACCGGAACAGACCGGGGGAGAGAGACCTGCAGACCTTCCCATCCTAAGATGTCAACCCCAGTTCCAACGCCTCCTTCGGCCCTCCCTGGCTCTCGCGAAAGCGTTGAGTACTGGAAGGGCGTTTGCGCCAGCGTAGATGGCATGCTTGGAGGCATTCCATCCACCCGAACCTTTTCCTGTATCAATAGAGTTGACCTCCAAGGATCCCGAGCTTTCTTGGCGAAATTGGGAATTGGTCTTAAAAGCGACCGGCGTCGCATTGATAGCGTCTTAGAATTCGGTGCCGGGTAAGAGATTCCTAGAGATTCCTCTGCGCGATCGAGTATTACTACTAAACGTGTCTTGGGGCAACAAATAGAATTGGCAGGGTTACGGAAGGCCTGTTTCTTCCCATCGCCGAGCAAATTGACATCGTTGAACCAGTAGCCAAATTCACCAACGCGCTTCAGGGTAAGACCCAGGTACGGCAAATCTTCAACGTTCCTTTGCAGGAGTGGCATCCGAATGAAGATTCGATGTACGATCTAATCTGGATTCAATGGTGTCTTTGCTATGCGAGCGATGACGAATTGACCGAGAATCTGCGCCGATGCTCTCTGGCGTTGAAGAAGGGTGGTATTATAGTAGTCAAGGAGAACTTAAGTACTAGTGGCACAGACATGATAGACGCAAGCGACAACAGCATAACAAGGTAACCTCCGACTTACTACTCTACACATTCACCTAGCTGACCAGCACGTAGGGAAGATGGAAAGTTTCGAGATTTGTTCAAGGAAGCTGGCCTTCAAGTGATACGTGCGGAAATGCAAAATGGGTTTCCGAAAAGCTTTCCTAGAAAGCTGCTGCCAGTAAAAATGTACGCATTGAAGCCCTTTCACAGGCCCGCGGATGAGCAGGATTCTCTTGAGCGAGATGGCCCTGCCTGATGTCAAGGCACGACCTCAGGCAGTAGGCCCTCGAGCTGCTAATTGCATCGCCGTAACGCCTCGCGTCGCTTCTCCCAAGTTGTTTTTCTGGGCTCCTTGCTCGAGGAGGAGCCTACTGAACACCCTGCTAAACGAGTGCTGTAACATGAGTGGCTGCACCAAAGGGGAACATAATGATCCACCCAATTCTCTCCTGTAAAATCACTGCTGATCCCGCAAAACTCGCTGCCCGACCACTCAGTCTCTTCGATCTCGTTCATAGCGCTATCAACTTGAGTGCGGGTCCGTTGTTCAACTTTAAACCACTCAAGTTCCGCTTCCGGGTCTGCCCCTTTGAGAAGCAAATGGTCCCCCAATCTTCTGTAACCCATAAAGGAGGCGACATGTAATGCCGTGCATCCATCGTACGTTTTTGCATCAACGTTGGCTCCTGCAATGAGTAACAGATAGACCATGTCCATTCGGCCTTCATATGCCGCTAGATGCAGTGCGGATGCACCGTCGTCGGCTATTGAGTTCGGGTCAGCGCCGCGCTCGAGGAGGAGCGCGACGGTGTTTGCTTGTCCACATGCCACGGCCCACATCAAGGCTGTTCTCCCTTGTCTATCAACAGCATCGATCTCGGCTCCTTTTTTAAAGGGTGTCCACGGCTGTCAGTGCACCGTGCTGGGCGACCCAGTGCAAGGCTCTTTGGCTATGGTAATCCTCTGCGTTGGGGTCGGCCCCTGATCGATGAGAAACTCCACAACACTAATCTGCTCATGCGTAGCGGCCAAGAGCATGGCCGTGAAGCCGTGGATCTTTGCATCGAGGTCGGCACTGTGATTCACTAGCATGGCAACAATGCTGTCATGGCCCATCCTCGCTGCGATGTGTAGTGCCGACCGCCCGTTTCTTTCGCGCTTATTGACGTCCGCGCCGCTTTCCAACAGTAATTTAACCGCGGATTCTTCTCCCATTCGAACGCCGACTATTAACGCTGTGGCACCGCCGACTTCCTGAGCGTCGATGTCTACTTTTCGTTCCAGGATAGCCTTTATACGTTCAATACGGCCTTCCATGACGGCCCAGCGAAGGCCAGTAACAACTGTGCTTCCGCTAGATTTTCTCTCTGCCTTGTGCTCTAAGAAAGCCCGCTGTTTGGGGTTCTCGCGTTGCGAATTCGCCCAGGATCGAATGGACTGCCCATCATCAACATACTCTAGAAGTAATATCACAATCTCTTCGTGCCCTCGCAATCCCGCAGCATGTAATGGTGTCCAGCCATCCTTATCTCGAATATTGGGATTAGCTCCCTTCGTGAGTAGCAACCGCACCACGCCCTCTTGGCCCTTGAGGGCAGCCGCATGTAATGGGGTAAACCCGTGCCTGTCTTGCAGATCGACGTCGGCGTTATATTCGAGTAACAGCTGAAGAACCGCCGACTGGTAATCTTGAGCGCACCAAAGGAGGGCAGTGTGTCCCTGGTCGTTTGCTGCATTAATGCTGGCTCCATTCTCCAAAAGAATCTTGGCGGTGGCCACATGTGGAGTAGCCCAATGTAGTGGAGAATTGAGGTAAACGTCCTTCGAGTCAACATCAGCTCCAGATTGTAAAAGTAGAGACACTACCTTTGAGTGTCCTTCTGCAACAGCCCAAGTTAAAGGGGTGCTTCCTTGATTATCTTTCCAGTCAACACTCGCGCCACGATCAAGCAGGAGTTTCGTGATGACTTCATTTCCGGCTTCGGCCGCTAGAATCAAAGACCGGTTGCTTTTCAAAAACGCTAGACCGGCGTTGTTGCAGGTGTCCAGGATCAGCTCAACCACTCTGTTATTGCCCCGTATAACTGCCCAGTCGAGGCCTGTCCAACCCTCATGGTCTTCCAGCGTTAAACCCTTGTCTTTGTCCGCGAGAAGCTCGACAATTTCAGCATAGCCATTTCTAGCTGCCCAGTGGAAGGCCGTTTCTCCCTTCAGGGTCTCTATGTCCGTCATGGCGCCCTTTTGGATCAGTATTTGGACGACAGAAGTGTGGCCATGTTGAGCGGCTAGGTGCAAGGCCGTCCACCCACGGTCATCTTGGCTATCAATGTTAGCCCCTTGCCCTATCATTCTTTCGACTATTTTCTCTAGTCCCCAATATGCAGAAGCATGAAGAGGACTAAAGTTTTGGGGGTAGCGACTATGCCAGCCTTTAGTCTTGTTCCTTGGCAAGTAAAGAAGTTGCGCCAAGGAAGAAATCCATGCCTTGTTCTCTAGGAGATCTAGGATTTGCAAGTCGTCATGTAGTTGCCAGTTAGCAGCATGGCATCCAAATTGGAGAGCAGCATAATTGATAAACGGGTATTCCGCCAGACGGTGTTCCAAAGCTGCATCATCACAACAAGGTCCGAGGCTAAAAACCCCAAAAGATAGATATGTGAGGCAGGTTGTAGCGAGTTGTAACTGCGCCCCTGGCAACAGGTTGTCCGGTCGCGCATCTAGATATTCCTGAAGTGTATAGTGGACGAGCGAGACCGTGCTTGCACCATCAACGTGAATGAGGCCACCAGTTATCTCGCTCAGGACTCGAGAAGTTGGGAGGTTGTCTTTATCGAGTTCCGTACTACCAGCCTCAACGGCTAACGCATGACGGAGTTCCTGCAGTTGCAACGGTCTTTTCGCCAAGTGGATATAGGATATTGCTCTCTTTGCCATGATGCCATCCTGTACTGATTGGTTGTCAAGTCTTGCAATTGCTTCCTCGTAAAATCCATCGATTCCCGTCACCGCAGAACTCAGCGCCAAGCGGACTTTGGCGATACTTGACAATCCACCAATGTGGATACATTGAAGACGTGCGAGCAAAAACCTGGCGATACATTAGTCACGGAAACATGAAGCTTCACTGCTGCGCTTTCTGTGTGCACTTACATGCCTGCGGCTCTCTGCGCTATGCGCTCTAAGATCAATCCCTTGAGAGCGGTATCTTCCTTGATGAAATCACATAATCTATCATGCGATTCGAGTTCGGAGCCTACATATCGCCGAATGTCCTGATCCTGCGCCACAATATCTAGACGATTCACGTTTGGGTGGGTGGAGTCTAGACGAAGGTGTGGCCGCGAGGTAATCAACAAGCGGAATGAGGACGCTGTCCTTCTCATCATATGCATGAGCTTGGTTCTGACGGGCACTGTACATTCATCCTTCTCATAGTCAGCGAGGTCTGATAGTCTGTTTTGCAAAAAGAGGGTGGAGAGTGTACCAAAGCATCAATGAAAACAAATGTACGCTGAAACTCCTGGGATAAAGTGTTTAGTAGAGAGATATGTTCCTCATCTGTAGGGTACCGTCGTTTCTCAATAAATCTGTCTCGAAATTCCGCCGCAATGCGAGGTGTTTGCCGAGTCTGTTCAACTAATTGTCGGGTGATACTTGAGAACAAGGCGGTTACGGACTGTGTGCCTTGACTTTTATAGTCGCAATAAACGTAGGCAATGGCAACCGTAGCTCGCTCTGTGTTTTCCTCGACGTAGTTGACAGCTACTGACCTGCCCAGGGATGTCTGGTAAGTCTAGATATCCAAGTTATGGGCATCTGGGTTATGTCGGGCACTGACATGGTGACGGATTTTCCTGCTCCCGCTGGCAATGGAGTTAGATACGGTCAAGGCGCAGAATAGATGTTTACATGTACGTACGAACGCCAGGACACCAGAGGATCGTCTTCTCTTGATTTAAAAACCAGTGGCGAAACCCTTCGCTGTCTAGAAACCGCTTACAGGTTCCCTCTTGGTGTTGTGCAAATAGACCTTTCTGCTTCTCATGGAAATCAAGAGAAGAGAGCCACATCAAGAGGTCGTCTCGCTGCTGTTTGTTCTCGTAGACTATTTCAACTTCAGTATATTTCAATGTCCAATGTTCCCATCTCCAAGATGATGAGACTGGGGATGGATACCGTGGTTTTTACTCTCTGCGACTCCACCAGCCTTCGTTGAGCATGGAGAAATCGAGACGGTAGCGCAAGCTAGACTTTGACTCCTAGCTACGGTATCTTCTTCTACCTTGGACTTAGGCACCACGCGGCTAGTCTGTTTGAGGTCTTGTACAGAGACTAAGATTATGTTGTTGATGATGTCTCGGGCGTGCTTTGCCCTTCTCTGGAAGCTGTCAGAGGCGACCCTCAACTTGTCATCTCCGTTGGTCAACGCGCTCTGCAAGACCACAACTAAACAAAAGAAAAACCAGTGTTAGTGCGGCGCTTATATCCGGATGTGATGGAGATGATCGTTGCTAACATATTCTTTTTTCTGTATGTATTTAACACAAGCCCCGCAAACGTCCAGGATTGAGACGAAGACCTGTGTTAAAGCAATCTGCAGCGGAGGAATAACTGGGAGGTTATTTTCAAGCACTTCAAGCTCGCTGAGATAAAAGCTCAGCTCTTCGAAGACTGCCATGACCCTGTCGTAACTAGCCGAAACGGTGTTTGCCACCTAAGAACGAGTCAATATCTCCATGGTTCTATACATCCATGGATGTATCTTCGCTAACCAACCTGGAAAAGATACCGGATGGCAGAAAATATGGCCTCGCTCGGAGGGAACGCCTGTTCCGTCGACTATGTTAGCACGACGAGGAAAGTTACATATCATCGCTCTCCCGGCATACATACAGATTTGGTCGCATGAGCAACGACGGCACTCAGGAGCTCGATAGAATTCAGACTATTTTTAACGAGGGTTCTAAACCTCGCCGACTTCGAGCCATCATGTCGATTTCCCTCAACCAGTAACTTGCTCTTTTCAATTTCGGCCAAAATACTGTTCATCGAAGTTGCTTGGTCGAGGGACTCAATGTTGATTTTGGCTGTTTTCACATAGCGGTCGGCCGCTGCTTTCCACAGCAACCCCAGGTCAGTGTGATCCATGATGGTTTCAATGTTGTGTAAGAGTCAAGATCCAGCATATCTTCAACTGCGTCGATGATGCGACGAAATATTGGTGGAACAGAGAGTCGACCCAACCAGCCCATCAAACGCTCGGTGTAAGGCAGCAAGCATCTCCTGCAGCGCTCTCGAACCAACGCGTACGCGCGGGGTCGAGGAATTTCCGCCTTGCATGCAGTATCGCCCCCAGTCGATGGCGGAAACCATGCGGGAACGAGCGTCGTCGCCATTGCCTTCAATTGCCATTTGGCCGAATTGACGATCCTGGGAGACCGCGAACGATTGAATCCCCATTTGCATCCATTGTTTTCAATGATACATGTGCGCATTCGTTTTGATCCTTAGTTGCCCTGACCAGGACTATCGACACGCTGACAGCCATCTATTGCCTCCTCAACCATCCACACCACCTATTACCACCCATCAATATCAGTGCTACCCGGCCGGCCTTCGCAAGCTACCTCCTTGAAACCCCAATAGTCGCCGACGGATCCAGCATCAAAAGCCTCATCTCAAAAAGAGCACAGCCGACGTCTAACCACAGCGTCCCAGTCAAGCTACACTACCGGTTGAGAAGAACGAGTTGGCCTTGCGTGATGCACACCAAGTGAGGTGGACTGGACGCGTCCGTTCAAGGCGACAGTCGTGCTTGCTTCAAGGCGCCTTACTCACCCTGTCGATGTAGTTGAAGTTATCTGCCGTGGCGTTACATATACCCTCCTTTCCATCCATGGATCTATTAATTTCAATCAATGATGTTGGCTGCGAACGGGTTGCACGAATCGAAACTTCCCTTAATTTACGCAAGCACAAGCCCTGTCACGAAATTTCTCCTCTTGCTCCTCAAACTTGAGGCCAAGACCTGAAGACAGATTGACCCGCTGCGACCTCTTCCTACGCGTTCCTCTCAAGACTTTCATTCATCTTCCATTTTGGTTATTTTTCTTTTCACCTGTCCTGTCAGCCCCATTTACCTCGATGCTTCGAGGCGCAAAGAATCTAATGATAGCGCCCTACTCACGCCGGATCCTCTTTCGATCGACAACCGCTACCAATGGACCCGTATCCAACGCGTATCTCGCCTTGTTGTTTGGCGTGCGTACAAATGCTCAACCCTATTTCGCACGGAGTATGACAACTGCCCGGTATAAGCGAGCGTGCCTAGTAGATGTCGACGACACCCAGCTCATTTACAACCTCCTTCCAGCATATATCAGAAATCCAAGCCTTGGCCACTCTATCAACGAGGTCGTTATTAGAATAGACTCGTCCGATTACGCAAGGGTCTGGGAAGCCCTTTCTCGAGACCCCTGTGGTCCATCGCCACTCGCCTTTATTGAGGATCAAAATACAATCAAGGACTATATTGAAAGGTTATGCCTCGACCCAAGTACTACTAGGAAGATACTGGAGGCGTTAGATTGGTGGTCCAAGACCTGGGAAGCCGGCCAAGCTACTGTCACTACTAAAGAAGCCCCCGGTGAACCCCAGGATCCCTATGCCCAGCCTGAGGACGCCCCGTTCTCCATCCCACCACGAAGGGTGTTCGGAGAAATGCTAAAAGCACTCTTCCTCTCGCTCTGCCCAAATATAGAAACAGTCCGATTTGGTGGGACCGCGCTGAGTGACGGCCGGGCGGGGTTCTAGAAGATTATCTTCGCGCTTCTAACTATGGCCTTCTCCCTCAGCCGATATTCCAAAACGTGAGGCATGTGAGGTATCTGCGACACCCGGACGACTCACCTGGGGAAGAAATCGAATACTACCCTTCATTTGACCTCCCGGGCCTGATGCGATTTGTGCATCGGCTGCCCAAGTTGACAAGTGTTGTTGTGGAAGGGGTGTGTGATTATGAACAGTGGAATACCGATATGGTTGCGCCTGAGACATCGAATACCCTCAAGCAGTTACAGCTCACCCACGTGGAAGTGGGTAGCGACCAGGTGGCCTCTCTAATTCGCATTCCAACAGCTCTTGAGGATCTAAGAGTTTCCTATGGTGGCCTGCGATATCGTGATTGCTCTTCACTCCGTGTTTCTCCAATGTTATTAGGGAAAGCCATACGACAGCATAAGCCTACTCTGCAATCACTAGAGCTGGATCTGGGATGTGGTGGTGTTTCCTTTTATGACGACGACGAACCCCACGATTATGAACTCGACGAAGAAGGCAATCTACAGATAGATGTACCTCCAAAATGCGAAAAGTACCACGAGCTGGATATGGCGAACCTCAAAGTCCCACTACTTACAAGAGATCTTGCCGACGATCATAAGTTGAATACGGTTGGGTCTTTAAAAGACTTTATTAAACTAACTCGACTCTCTATCAGTCTTGAATTTCTGATATCCGGTATAGTGCCTGGGGAATCGCTAGTCAAAACGCCTGAGTGCAACCTCACCGATGCTTTGCCTCCGAATTTGGAGTATCTCTGCCTATATGGATACAAAAGGGATACAACAAGCAGCTAGATGGGCTGATCAGAGATTTCATGAAAGATAGGGCTACGCGGCTACCTACTTTACGGGAAGTGGTCGGCGTGGACCAGATGGAACCTGGGGCATATATCGCTCGTCAAGATGGGGAAATACCTCGGGAGCATGTTTGGAAAGCCCCTGATGATGAAGACAAATATCACTGGATAGAAGCAGACGGCGTATAGATCCATCTACCATGGATGGATATGAATAGATCCTCTTCTCCCTCTAATTGATACGCGACTTGGTCAAAGATAAACATGAAATATCTCGATTTACCGGCGCTATAACCTATGGAACACTGGGCTTTGAAATTGAAGAGAATTTATTTCATCAAATTAAGATTTTCCTGGTATGGCATATGGGATTTATAAGGTACAATAGATGTAATGTTGGCAACAAACCCACGCACAGGATTGACGAAAGAAGTAGAGATAAAATTACGCCCCTTCCTGAAAAGGGAAACAAGGTAGAAAGTAAGTCAAAAGAAAAAGGTAAACTAATAGGGCTGGGTAAGTTTGGTGAGCCTATATATATATCCATGCGTGTTGATGTATGTCAAGGTCTAGTTCTTAGGATAGTATTTATCAAAGTTGATCCTGTAGGCTAAGTCGCGAATTTGGTTCAGCTGGGATACCAAGCGTTGTAGCTGGTGGTTTGGTAGCTTGGAGTTCAAGAGAGCATCTAGAGCAAAAGCTCCGGCAGTGGCGAAATTGCGCTGCGAGTTGCTGAGGTAATGGGAGAATGCGTCAACTTCAAACTCGCTCCACAAAGCGCGGAGATTTCGGACGCCAAAGAGATCTTCCCCTATCCCCATTTCTCTCCGAAGAGTCGATACAATCACCTGCATCGCCAAACTTGTGAAAGCATCGTTCATGTAGTCGAAGGAGCCCACAATCTAGTGAAGAGTCAGAACAAGATTTCTCAGGTTAGCGAACTTGCTGTGTTGATAAGGAGGAATTCCATATTAAGACGGCACCCGACTAACCTTGCCTATAGCCGCGAGGAAAACAGCCTCCGGATCCGCTTTGTTCTTCCCGCGGTAATTGCTTTGTATATGGCCGACGAGGGTTTTGATTGTTGATTTGGCTATGAACGCCTTTCCATTTTTACTAAATGCCTGGAGCTTATAGGTATTCATGCCCCCTCCAAAAACGCAAAGGGTAGAAAGTTCCTTGAACTACCAAGCGACTCCATAATTCGCTTTGGAAGCGTCTGCGGTATGTTGTTATCTGGACCGATGGGAGGCAAGCGACCTTTGTCTATTACCATATCCCAAGCAGCCCCTAGTTGAAAGTGGTCCAGCGGCCCTATCTTAGAGAGTGCTCCTGAGGGTAGTATTCCTGTTACGCATGAATCGAGAAATCGCCACATGACCTGCGCTTCAAATGGGTGCTCGGTGTGGAATTCGAGATCATCACCAAGAAAGTCAAAGCCCTCGCGGAGCAGATCAGAGGGGTTCAACCGCTTGATTAAGGGCGCAGCGCAGGTGCTTTTGGCCATCCTATCCGCAACAACACGATGAAGGCATTAGTCTTTCGTGCTTACACTGCACGCGCTTTGATATGGCGAGAAAAGTTTCGGGCTGTGTCGACGGCAGATCGACCTCAGGGAGTCACTCTTCCGCCCCGGAAGCTTCACTTTCACAGAGGAGAGAGACTTACTGAAAGGCAACGGGAGCAATATCACGTCCTTTGCTCGCTTGTTTCGCCATCCACTTTATAAAGTCTCCAGACGACTTGTAAGAAGCCACAGTGAGGGTAATGAATTCTTTCGGGCCCGCTCTCAGACGAACGGCATGATCCCGGGCAGCCATCCGCTCGACAAGTTCACGCCCCTCATCGTACCCATCTTCATCATATTCGTCCCAGTCTTCGTACATCTCGTTATATGGCCACAAGTTGTCGCGGGCATCCACTGAACTCCGTTTCATGAACTCGACATCCGAGTCTTCGAGATCAAAACTGCCTAAGATATCTGGTGGGCACATTAGGTTGGATGCCTCTCTGAGATAATCTGTATTTGGGGTGCAGCACAAAGACTTTTTCCTGCTCACTAAGGCCAAGGCTGTGTTAGTCGGCCGCTACGGGAGGGTTAAGGTGAAGCGAGGCCGACTGGTCTCGAAAGGGGAGCTTGATACGCCAGAAACTTACCCAAACAGGAACTGAGTCCATTGTCCCCTACTTGATCCGTCGCCAACGTAACTTCTGTGTCGCTGCAAGTGTTGTCCGCACATGCCCCTTGTCCTACCCAGTGGCAGTTGAGCAGTGGTACGTGTGCGTTGCTGTCACAACAGTACTCCATCCCGGGGTTGCGATAGTCACATTTATCATCTAATCCCCGGGCTGAGGCGACCTTAGTCTCGCTTGATGAACACTTTTGGCCACTTTAAATTGAAAACATAGCCGGCACAGTTAGCACTAATAAATTTCACTCCCGTTTCTTTCTCTTTCTCCCATGAACTTACCAACCAGTCCACCGGCAAGTCGATGTAAGGGAGGTGTAAGCAGAGCTTTCGCAGCAAAACACTTTATGACCGGCGTGGCATGTTTTGGTGTTATCCTCATCTTTGAGTTGCCCTCGGTGCGTCTTACCCCCGCAGGTGAATCGAAGAGCGTAATTTCTCCGGGGTGGCATTGGCCGTTACATTGCGGATGATTGCCTCTCCAAAGGCAATATTTAGGCAACTTATTGGAAGGGCAGCAGATGCGTTTACCATATCTCTTATTCTATTTCGCAGGCGAATGGTTATCGAGTGTTCCGTGTTGAAGATACATGTAGGGGCTACACGACGGCCGAGGTGGCAAGGTAGTTGAATAGGTTGTGCCAAAGGGGTTGACTCACATCCTGATCTTTCCAGTTGCACTTCCTAGCGTCGAATCCCACGCTCGTGTATCCGGCATCGCAATCGGATGCTTGCGGATTGTCCATGTCTCGGCAGTCCTCCTGCCGATAGCATTTGCCCATAAGCTCACTCTCGTACTGCCATGCTTTGACGTCCTTGCCCTTATTGGGCCTGTCAATGGGCGTGAGGTCCTTACCCGTCAGGGCGGAGTGGGCGCTGAACGTGTAGTCATCTGAGGCCATACATTAGGTCTAACATGAATTCGGGTGGCGGTGGCTGGATAGAGCACAGGTGGGTAACTTACCTAGATCCGAGGCCCATATCAATGATCCAGAAAACCCAATCTTATTAGCCCACTCAATCTTTTGCTTAAATGTATCCTTGTCATCAAACGATATCCACTGGTCGTCATCCCATGACATGTATTTGACGGCGGCCTGGGTATCGTGGATCACCTTGATATTTGGATTCTTTTCCAGTATGTCTTGAACCTCATAGTACGCCAAGTAGCCACTGGTCTTGGTACATGGACCCGGCTTTGCGCCTCCGGAAAACGGGCAGCCGGGGGCCTTGCAACTTGGGTCTTGAAGCGTGAAAGCACGACCGTAGAATCCAAAACCAAGGGCAAGCTGGTGCGGTTTAACCCCAACTCGCCAAAGGAGTTCCGCTGCCAAACTGATTTCCGTGAGATTGGTGTGGGCCAGTACCTGATTTCCTCTTCAGAACAGTTGCGTTAGGCCATGGCGGAGATGAATCAGACAACGAAAGAGAAGAAACACCCAATGAAGGCCATTGGAGGGATGGGCTGGGAGTGGCCAGTGAAGTTGATAGAGGGGGAAGATGGACTCACATAGGGTTGTTGCTGTCCCAGATGCCATGTAAGTCATAACTCATCTAGAATCGGTGCAAAAGACGCGATAACCTGTTAGGTTTGGTCATGAAATGGAAAAGCAGGGTCAGCGCCTTGGCCATGGGGAAACTCACCAGGTTCGCCCAGTCAGCGTACTTGAGAAGCCCGGGCATGTCGAACCATCGCAAATACCAGAAAGACGACGGGATGGTGAAGGTAAGCCCAATTTTGCGTCCAGACTTGTTAAAGGTCTCTCGGATATCCTTGAAGAGGAGCACAAAGTTGGCAACGTCCTCTTCAGCGCCGCCTCTATCGCCGGCCCCAGGATACTCCCTTTAAAGGCAAAGATTTGCGTTAGTCGGGGGATTGAACGAGCATGGAAAGTGGAACGAGGGACAATGTGGGCAGGCGAGGAAAGCCGAGGTTCTCGTCACTTGTGTCTTGCGCAGATCTTACCAGTCGATATCAACGCCGTCAAAATTATAGGTATTGAGAAACCTTAGAAGGTTACTAGCAAAGGTAAGCCTGTTTGCGGAATCGCGGGAGATTTTGCCGAATATAGGCTGCGTGATGGTGTTGTTATCAGAAAATGTCCAGCCTCCGATGCTGAGATATATTTGCAGCTCGGGGTTATCTATTTTGAGATCCGCCATGTCACCGAAAAGGGACCCGGGAGTGGCGGCATCCATCGTCGTAATCTCCCAGGTAGTAGGGTGGATAAAAGCAAAGGCGTAGTTGACGTGCGTGAGGCCCCGGACTATCAGGTTGGACGAACTCATGTTATTTAGAGACCTTAAAGGAATATTAGTTCCCTAAGGGTTCCGATTGGCGCTTACCGGGAAGGTGCTTAGGTTGCATGGAGTGGCACTTAGACCGAGCATTCCAAGCTTCATAATATCCGATAACTGTTGGAGATATATCTCGGTGAGCTTACAATATCTGGGGAATGTAGGCTCATTATGCTCTCTTCCCATTCTCGCAAGGTACTCGAAGTCAACGACAGCCGATGCTCAAAGTTAAACTCACCTCTCGACAGGGTACGGCCGGTGGGAGAACCACCAGGAGGCTGTGGCTTTAACACACAATTGCTTTGACAGCCAGAGCCACAGAACTCCGTTCCCGTTCCACAAAATCCATGCTCAGAACAGCTTCACCCCACGTGTCAGTCTATAATCCATGGCTCTGGGCAGGAGTGGGTGTTTGTGGATGATGGAAAGAGAACGAACCAAACATTCAATGGGCACTTCTTGTTCGGAGGGTCGGCAAACTGGCCACACTCAGCGACAGCATCGCAATTAGACACGCATCCATCTCCGCAATATGTTGGACCTTGAGCCGAATCGAGCCAGAGTCAGTCTATATATCGGACACTACCAAGCTGTCGGCTTGGCAAGCTAGATTAGTTGATGCAAGACCTACCGTAGCCACAGAAACCGCCAGAGCCACAACATGCGCCGTTTCCGCATGGTCGGCCTGGGGCGCAGGAATAGTCGTCAAGGACTCCAAGGGCGAATAGTTGCTGGGAGGGTGGCTCCTGGGAGCTAATAGTAGCATTGCCTCCTCCAAGACGGTGCGCAGGAGTGGACGTGGAGTTACTACGCTTCACGCGAGGGTGATTCTCTACTATATCCGCAATAGCACGCGAAGCGGCGTTGTTCCGTCGCTGATCCTCTGCGTATTGTAGACGGTGAAAGATGCCATGGCGGCCGTGACCTCTACCCGGGCCTCCCTCGGGATGGCCTAATGCTAGTGGGAGGCTTGCACCCGCGAGCAAGAGAAGTAGAGCCTTGACCATCCCCAGGACCCGCAGGACTTGAAGGGCAAGCATGATATTTGAGGGCTATGAAATTTTGTGAAAAAGAATGATAAGTTTAGGAAACTGAAAAGAATGTGAAGGGGTCAAAGGACCACCGGATAGACCTCGATCGCGCTCTGCGAGGAGGCAGCACGGGGTAAGGGACGTGAGTGGAGGGATGCGTATAGGCCATTCAGTCATGAGGATAACACAATGAAATTCATGGGCTACAGTTAACTTATCAACAGTCCAAGAGGAGGTTCAAATCATGTTGAGCTCTCCACACCTAAGCCGAAGCATCACGGAGCGTCACGTTCTAGGGATGACCCGGTCGTCTTCATGCAAGGATCTCCCCTCCGGGCCCGCGCCGCCCTAAGGTTCCAACGCTGCAATGCAATCCTTGGATGCCGAAGCGACATTAACTTCCTGCTTTATCACCTCGGTACGCTGCCTTCGCTTCTTCTGTTTTGATTTCATCCCAACAATGTGATGTCTGTGGTGCCTGTCATTGTTGGTGGCCTGTGCCCACGAAGTTGCTGTTGCTCCCCGTTAGTGTCTGAGGTGATAGAGAACGTCTTGGGTTCCACCCAGCGTGGGCCGTGTTGGTTGGAAAACCAGGGGCAGAGGCCGGCAGGAAAGGACAAGAGCGGATAAAAATTTGGTTCTTTAATTCTATTCTAGAACGAGAACCAACATACCTCATTACATCTGGGGTGATACAAAAAGCTTTCAGTGGGTTCCACCCTGCGTGGGGTAGGCCGTGTTGGTTGGAAAATGGGGGCAGAGGCCGGAAAGGACAAGAGAGGAGACAAAATTTGGCTCTTTAATCCTATTCTAGAACGAGAACCAACCTCATTACGTCCAAGGTGATACAGAAAGTCTTGGGTTCCACCCTGCGTGGGCCGTGTTGGTTGGAACACCAGTGGCGGAGGCCGGCAGGAGAGGACAAGATTAGTTCTTTAAATCCTATTCTGGAACGAGAGACAACTTGAACCTCGTTGCTACGTGGGGTTATTATTATGTGGGGCTGTTCGGTTGGTGGCATCGCTTGGCGTGGACCAACGCTTGACTTTGGAGGGTCGAGAAAAACGTTTGAATTGCATGAATGAGAGTCCGAGATCACAAGGCGGGCCTTGATATCTCGCCCGTCTTCTCGCCTCGAATTTCTTTCCATTCTTCCGACTATTGCAGAAAGATCAATGTCTTCCACTTACCAACTAACAAGAACCCATTTCCCTTCATCTAACGCCTGACGTCCTCTGCTCAAGTAGGCGACTGTCATCACCTACAGCAATGGTTACCGCAGCATATTTTCTCTGGTTGACAGCGCTTCCTTTTTTGTTAGTTCCCAGCAGTTCGAAGATCGTAACTATGCCTACGAGCTTCTTGATCTGAGCGAGCAGTGTTTTTGGCACTTAATCAGACCGCGTCTGGCTGCTCTCCCATCATCCATCGTCAAACCCACTTGTAAGCTACCACTCGAGTTAGACGGTGCCTTTAGTCTTCTGACTGACCTGGCATCGTGTCCTCCTTTGATAGCGATACTGTTGTCAATCCTTTGCAGCAGGCTGAACTTACTGAACTCTGCGTGCCTGCTTGCAAGTCCAGTCTTCAAGCCATCAAAACTCTTATCAATACGAAATGCTCGGCCGTGGGAGACACCGTCAAGTTCGATCTTGTCGAGTATCCACGTAGGTGGCTATACTATCTTCCCCATGGACTAGGCTCTGGATTTCCTTTATCCCTCAACTTTCTATCTCTAACCATCTCATCTCACAGCGACATACTTCGTGGATCACTATCTGTATTCATACGATATTTCTTGTCGATTAGATCAGTATGTTTGTTTACCCACGGCCTTCCATGGCCCCTGTATCACGAAAGAGTGAACATTTTCCCTCCAGACTGCAAAAACTAACAACAGACGGAAAAGGGTTACCTCTAAGTTCTGCGATGTTCTGCTTTCCGAAGCTGGGAAAGAAGGCTTTGAGGCTTTTATGTGCTCCAGCTGCTGGCTTGGCATGGTAAAGAACAAACTAGAGAATCCCCTAGGCTATGATGAGGATCTTGATGAGTCCTTCTCCAGTCTCACGTCCAGCTGCAATATGGCCGGTTATGACATCGTCACGCCACCTCCCTACGCCCTAAGTACCCCTGATCCCGTCCCCCTCCCCACGTGCGAGCGGTCTTATGTCGTCGCGTCTGGTGATTCGTGCGAATCCGTCGCGTTGGCAAACAGCGTCTCTGTCCACGGCATCGTCTCCCGGAACGCCCTTGCCGCCGACTGTCGGGATCTGAGGCCGGGAAGAACGATTTGCCTCCCTGATACCTGTACAATTCACCGGGTGTCGAGGACCGATTCATGCTCTAGCCTTGGAGAGACGTACGGTGGCATCACGGTACCACAGCTTGTAGCTTGGAATCCGATTCTCGACCCAGAGTGCACTAATCTGTATTCGTCACTCGATAAATATATTTGTGTCTCGTAAGTTCTAGGCCCCCGCCTGATCATGTTCCTTTACGCCCCCTCTTTCTAGAAGACTTAATAATTCCCCTCTCATGCCGCTAGCCCCCTGGTGGGAAAATCGAGGCCGGCTCCGGGGACACAATAGATGAAGCAGTACCCGCGCCCCTGATACTCATCCGGGTTCGGCCAACAAGGTCTGCGGAAGGTGGTACAAGGTACGTTGGTATAATGTCACGCACTACTGCTATCTTGTTTTATACTTGTTCAAAAACGGCCGCCCGGCTGTTAAATTACTTTCATCTTCCGTCTCCTTGCCCCCTCTACGCTACGTTATCTCTCATTAACATCGGGCGGCACTCATGCGCTTATTAACTTCGTCTTCAGGTGGTTCTCGAAGACACCTGCGCTCTTGTCAGCATTGCAAACCAGATCATGTTAGAGGACTTTTACTTCTTAAATCCCGGCATCGATTCTGCCTGTTCCAATCTCTGGCTTGATACCTACTACTGCGTAAAGCCTGTTGGAAATATCCAAACATATCCTAACTACCCCGCGCCAACTCCCGAAACGAGCTTCACAAGACCTCCTATTGTCACAATTACGACTGAAGAAGTGCCTCGGCCGACCGGGATATCCCTAGCTCCAGGCACTTTAGAAGGCTGCTATTTGTACACGGTTGCCGTTGGGGGAACGTTACCTCGAGTCCTGATGTAGATTCGTGCCAGGTCGTTTCTAGGTTTCACCGCATCTCCATTGCCCAGCTTCGCGTATGGAATCCTAGTCTGTCGCACGACTTGTCTTTGTGCAAGCTCGAACCAGACTTATTTTACTGTGTTTCCAAAGAGGAGTTCGAAGGTATCTAGTCAAACCCTTCGGCCATCAATCTCACTTACTTATCCTTCTAGAACCTCCCTTTGATGATGGATCAACATTTTGCATCAGGGAATATCCCGTCGACAAAATCCCGGCTGGAACACACCCCCGGTGCAACTGCTTTACTCTTGTTAATAGCGATTTGTATGGTGGTAAGTCGCTCTAACCCTGGCAAGCACTAGGCATGCTCTCCTTTACCTCACCCCGACCCCCTTATCTCCAAAGTGGCGCGGTTACTAACGCATTGGCGGTGAATTTGGGAGGAGGCTAGGGCGGCGATGGTCCCGGAGAGGAAGAAGGCCGGGCCACCCTCTCCGACCCGCGTCGCACCTCCCTACCGTGCACCGCGCCACCTTCTTATAGAAACCTGCGCAGAAATCGCGGGATATACTAAAGTGGGGCTCAGTCGTCTCCTGGAGCTTAATTCATGGTTAGCACCGCCTAAATCGTGTGAGGAGGAGCTTCTGCGAGATGTGCAAGATGTGGAGGACAGCAACGGAGAGATCCACCGCTTGCTATGCCTTGGCACAATAGATGAATATCCAGAGCTGCCGCTGCCTGATTTTAGTAGCTCTCCATCATCTACCTTGGCTATCCCCAGCTCTACTCAACCTCCCCTACCCGGCACCACCACCACGGCTCCGGGACCCCCGTCCCCACTCAGCCGGGAACAGTAGCCCACTGTACGCACTGGCACGAAGTTGTCTCGGGCGACGGCTGTTGGGCTATCTACACGGCCTATAACCTAAACCCAGCTGACTTTTACGCATGGAACACCGCGCTTAGCGACGCGTCGTGCGTGGTGTGGCTGGCTACGCTGTCTGCGTTGGAGTTGATTAGATTCCCAGGCTCTAGGGTCATCATATATAGCTTAGGGTTAGGCTACCTCAGTATATTAGGATGAGTTCTAGATATCGATAAGAGTCTTTATTAAAGGATTAGTAATAATATAATATTGTTTTATTGAAACTCACTGGCAGCTGCAGCCGATGGATATCGGCCGAAGATCACCCGATGGTCCACGCGATCACCATCTAGGATCCAGGAGGGTGAAAAGGGGTTATCCAGTAGATAGGTAGCTAGGAGGGTAGAACTAACTTACTTGTACTTACTTACTACTAGTATTTTATAAGAAAGTCATCGCTACTTAGCAGACCCAGAGACCCAGCGATCACCACGAAAAGGCAGATTCTTCCCAAGACTCAGCCTAGCCGGACTGAGTCACTCGGGGAAGATCGTGCCTTCCCGACTAACTACCCCACCCCAGAATAGCCACTAATATCTCGCTGATGGATGGGAAACCAACCAACGCCCGACGTAATGACAACTTGAAGGAAAGCGCACTTGAACGGCCCCATTCCGTCCCCGTCAAGGAATAAGGAGTAGGGCTGAAGCTACCCTTGTGTGGTTTGCCCCGCTCAGGGATGCTACTTGTATGCGCTAACCGAGATATTGAATTGAATGGAATGGATGCATGGCGACACTCTCGGCACCCCGCCACCAACTTACATCACAGATTGATGCTCGCTTGTTCTCTTGCTGACACCCCTGCTGTGCTGCGCCATACCGTCGTTATTGGGCTGATGCCACAATGTATCAATACTGACTCGACACAAGCAGCTGCGCGCTATAAAGCTACGAGTCCCCCGGCCACATCAAGAATCTCTCAGCTTGTTTTTGACTCTCTCCTCGCACCATCCCCGATTCAACTTTCGTGCAGAAAGTCCTTTCAAGGTGCAAGGGTTCTGCCATATCACATTCCCATTTTGCGGGATTCGTCCGATATACAGTCACCAGAATGTCGAACATGGCGGAACAATCCCAGGAGCCATGGTTCCTCAGATATGGCTTCTCGGTCAACTTTCCCTCTCATCCAGCCCTGACCTTAGCCCAGAATGATTTTGCCAAATTCATTGAGGGGATGTAACTCCCGTAGTGGATGAGAAGCTCAAAGCGTTGAACCTCGGTGCAGACGAGGGAAAACCAGCTAAAAATAACACGGAGAAGGGTCACCCCTTCATGGATGCCCTTTATCTGATAACGGCGCTCCCCAGCTTGGGCCGAATATGACCTTGACAGAGAATCTTGACCCGACCCACGTTTCGACTAAGAACCCCCTTGTCGACCTCTTTTATGACATGGAGCCAACGGTCCAAGGAGAGCGGCTACAACACCTTCTCCGTGAAGCGTGGGCTCAAGATCCCCTCGCGACATTGAAAATCATCTTCAACTCCCGTTCCATTCACCTCGGCAAGGGCTCAAGGCCAACTTTTTACATGGCTGCGGGTTGGCTCGCAGAGACGCACCCTCGTACACTCCTACGGAACCTCGCATGGCTCAGTCGACCTGTGATAGAGAAGAAGGCGGCAAAGGAAGACCCGTCGGGAGCAAAGAGTGGCGAAGATTCTATGGTCGTTGTGACAGCCGAGGACTATTCTACAGACGGGGATGATTCTGGCGCCTACGATGTGCTGAACGGAGTAGCTCACGGCTATTGGAAAGATCTTTTGAATCTTCTAGCCCTGAGCGCCAACGACCTCCTCAATGTCCTAGCACAGCCTAAAGACATTCTCAACATTACTGATCATGAATCACGCAATACACAGGAGGAAGCCCGAGCGAAGCGCCGCAAGCTTCGAGAAGACCGTCATACTCGGGCCGTTGAGAAGTTCAATACCAATGCCTTCCACCGTGGACTTCATCTGTCAGTGGCGAGATTATTTGCTACGCAGCTTAAGAAGGATCTTGCAGCCCTCCGCGGCTCCGACACCAAGGCAAAGCGGGGCATCTCGCTCTGCGCCAAATGGGCCCCATCTCACGAGAGATTCCACGACAAGCACACAATAATCGTTTCGTCGATCGCTGAGCTTCTGCATCCCATGCCGGAAATTCAAGAGCGCGTGGCGAAGGACCCTGCCCTGGAGGGAGATCTAGCCAAGCAACGAGAGGTATACCTCCGCCACGTTCGTGAAGAATACCGCAAGTCAATTTCTGCGTTAAGAGATCATCTCGGCGTCGTTGAGCGGAATTTGTCCGCAAAAACGTATGAAAAGATCAAGTATGATCGCATACCATCCACCGCAATGAACAAATACATGGACGTCTTCCTCAAGAGAGACGAAGAGCGCTTTTTCGCCTACGCTGAAAATGTCGCTGGCGGGAAAGCGCAAATTAGCGGCGCCACCCTGCTACCCAGCGTTCTTGTCAAAGGCGCCTTAGACTCAAGCTCCAATCGTCAAAAGAAGACAAGCAACTTGGAGTGGATAGTCAAGAGTAAGATCTCTGACGGGCAATGGAAGACGCTAGTACAGCGTATCAAAGACTCGGGAGCTCTCGAGTCATCCATGGCCGTCTGTGATGTGAGCGGCAGCATGTTCTCGCCCCAGCTACAGGATGGCACGTCTCCCATGCATTCTGCCATCGGTCTCTCGCTATTGATCAGCGAAGTGGCCCAGCCGCCTTTCCAGGGGGCATTCATCACCTTTAGCGAGAGGCCGAGTGTTGCTCAAGTAGACCTGTCCAAACCCTTTTCAGAGAAGGTCGCTTCCATGTCACAGGCAGAGTGGGGCTGCACCACCAACTTTACGGGTGTATTTGAAGACCTCATCCTACCGATGGCCCAGAAACATAACTTGAAGCAAGAGGATATGATCAAAAGGTTGTTCGTTTTTAGCGATATGCAGTTTAACGAAGCCACTGAAGGGAGCAAGAAGTGGGAGACCTCTTATCAACGTATCGCAGCAAAGTACAAGGAGGCCGGCTATGAACTCCCTGAACTCGTCTTCTGGAATCTTGCGGGCGGGCGTGGTGAGGGTGCCCCGAAGCCCGTTACCGTTGATGATAATGGCACATCTCTGGTGTCGGGATACTCTCAAGGAATGTTGAAGGTGTTCCTTGACGGTGGAGGGTTCGAGGAGCCCGAAGAGGAGGAGGACGCTGTTGTAGTGCAGGTGACGGAAGATGGGGATGTCCAAGTCGTCGCGACCACCAAGGCTAAGACGGACCCTCTTAGTTTGGTGAAAAGGCAATCAACCACAAGGCCTACTCGATGCTGGAGGTGGTGGACTAAAGGTGGAAGGTAAAGGTCTGAATGGACAGAAACAGTCAAAAATAGGATGCCAATGAAGCAATAACATACTAATGAAGCAAAAATTAAAAGGCTCCTCTGAATTTACTCCACTGTTATGCTAAACCCCTCTATTTCCCAAGAAGTGATGTTCAAATATGATTTTGGAAACCTTTGCAACCAGAAGGACGGCGTGAAATCCTATAGTGGATGCCTAAAAAGTGCTCTTTTTCTAGGCAAGAGCCAACATGCCAACATAGTGACCCCTCATAGCCAGCATCCCCCTCCAGCCGGACAAAGATTCAACCTATCGTTAGACTTACTTCAACTAGCTATCCGAGATTAGAGGTAATAATATTCCCCTTAAGTAACTACGGCATTACTACTTGAATAAATTGGGGAGCTAATATTTAAATATACTGAGCTTGCCTTAGGTGCTTTCTATCTAGCAGAGGAACATTGAATCGATATATCAGTAAAACGAAATCGCTAAAAACGGTATGCGGGGGCGTAGGCACAGACATTGAGGGGCAGTGCCGTAAAGGTCAATTGGTGGGGTGGGGGACGATGACAAGCTCATTGACAGTGATAGCACATCAACCAACGACTTGCATCCAAGAGGGTGGTCGACAAACCACATATCGTTTGCGACATCTCTCAAAGGACAACGATTCCGAATGCACACTAGATAAATCCTCTCCCGAAAGCTACCCGAAAGCGCAAATCCATCCGCCATGGATGTTGCACTGAAGTCGTGGGGTGAGACCTTCAACTCCACAGCGTTTCGATATTCGCCTCTATACTAACCAAGCCTTCTTTTGACTGTAGAGCTCGACAATAATGTGAAGCTAATCGATCCGAAACGAGATGCACTATACATCCACGACCCCGCGGCGGAGAAGGAACTAACCGACTCGAAACCATGGAAAAAGGACATCAACTGGTTCAAGCATGTCCGCATTAGCGCGGTCGCGCTCATCAAAATGGTTATGCATGCCCGCTCGGGAGGCTCCTTGAGGTCATGGGCTTGATGCAGGGATATATCACGGGCGATACGTTCGTCGTCACCGACGCCTTCCGCCTCCCGTGGAAGGCACCGAGACTCGCGTCAATGCTCAGGCCGATGCCAACGAGTACCTGATCGAATATACCGAGGCGTCGAGAGCACAGGGGAGGACGGAGAATGTGGTTGGCTGGTACCATAGCCACCCCGGGTACGGGTGCTGGCTGAGCGGCATAGATGTCGAGACCCAATTGATGCAGCAACAGTTCACCGATCCCTTCCTAGCCGTCGTCATCGATCCCGATCGAACCATCAACGCCGGCAAGGTCGAGATTGGTGCTTTCCGGACGTACCCTGCCGACCACAAGGCCGCCGGAGGCGCTGGTCCTGGGAACAAATCCGAAAGCGGAGCTGTGCCTCTGGCCAAGATTGCCGAGTTTGGTGCCCACGCGAGCAAGTACTACAATCTTGAGATTTCGCACTTCAAGAGCTCGCTTGACAACCACCTTGGACCTCCTCTGGCAAAAGTACTGGGTCCAGACGTTGAGCGCAAACCCGCTTCTCACCAACAGGGAATACGGCAACAAGCAAATACTGGACCTGAGCTCCAAGATTGCTGAAGCTACGCGAAATCTCGCCAAGGTGAGGCCTCAATCTGGCCTCTACCCCAACAAGACGGCTGTGGACAAGGCGCTCGAGAAGATTGCCAAGGACAGCGATATGATTGCGACCAGGGAACGTACCGGATTGCTTGCGGCGGACGTCAAAGCCAAAGTATTCTGCGATTCTTCTACTAAGTCTGAATAAGCGGGCGCCATGAGCGGCCACTCCTTAACTTGTTCCTTTTTTTTTCTTTGGACCCTCTGGGCTTATTTTGCTTCACAATCATTGTAGGCGTCTAGTTTGAGTAGGTGGAGCCAAACAAGTAGTAAAAACTGTCTGAAATGGCAGCCTTGAACGAATGAAAACCAGTCAACGATAGCCTCATCCATCCTTTCTTATTCCTCTAGCCTAGTTCATCTTGACCCAGAAGCCTAAAGCCACCTGATATAAATACCCGAGAGCTAGTACAGGTTGTCGAAAATCCCAATATCTCTAATGTTTCTAGATTTCCCTCACCTTATACTGCGCACCTGGGCTATTGACATGATATAGCTCTGTTCCTTCCCAAGTCTCTATACTATCAACATCACCTCGGGTCCAGCTAGTTCTACTAGGTTCGTTGATGAGCTACACCATCAGAGCCCAGAGTGCCTTCCGTCCTTGTTAAGCCTGAAAGCACCAAAAAGATGAAAAGTTTTCTCCTCTATTAAGGGAAGGAACGGCCGGGAGTCTCGCGTCCTACTATTTATTTCTTGCCCTTGATATCCCACAAGAATGTTTTTCCTTATTTCAACTCTCGCTTCTCTTGGCTAGTTTCTCTCAGTCAATCTTGCAATCTCCGAAGCGTTAACAAACCATCCTATCCTTACCTGAAGTATCATCGTATCCGACTTTACTATCCTAACTTCTCTTTCTAAGCATTTTATCCTAGTAACTATGGCTAAGCTTAAAGCTAAGAAAAGTAAGGGAAAGTCTAAGAAAAAGGGAGGCTATTATAATAAGGCCAAAAAGGCCCATCAGAATGATCAGCATGATCAAAGGACAAATGAAGAAGTGACTGGCAGCGATGTCATCACTTATGATGGAGTTAATGATGAGGTTACTAATGGTGTGGCCATCTCAGTAAGTTATAGCAGAGTGTCTTCTATCCTTTGGCATTTTCCTAACAGCTACTACTTTCAGAAATTGGACTTAGAAGGACAGTCCCCCAGTCGAGTGCAGCAGATGATCTGGCTGAAGCCCACGAGCCTGATTCACCTACCCATACTCCATCTTCGGGGGCACTCTCGCTCATCAAGTCGAAAGCTGACTCCGAAAATCTTGGTATTGAGCAGGCGAGCTCGGGAAGTAATGAGGCCGAAGGATCTGTGGACGTTCCACTCAACTGGGCTGAACAGTTGACCCTTTTCGGAAAGGCCTATTACGCTCGACTCTGCCAACACACATCGGCATTCGACGAAGAGTGCACCTTCTGCTGGCAAGGCACCACCCTACGGTGTACTGGTTGTGGTGCTCGCTTTTGCACAACCGACTGCCGTAATATGGACCGGAAATTCCACAAGCGAGTGTGCAAGCAGTTCGGAGCATTTGATCCTACGACGCGACCTTCGAGCGATCATTTCCTTGCCATGGTGATACCTATGACACGCCAGAACCCCGACCTCGTCTGGTGCCAGCTAGTCGGACCAGAGAAGAAGCTCCGACTCGAACACGATGAAATTTCCGACTCTGTCAAGAATTTTGGCGAATTCATTTCTCTCAAGGGAAAGGCGTTCCATGTCAATGGGAGCCCCGGAACTTCTCTGGCCACCATTGGGCATGGTCTGGCAATGGTAGATGTCTATGGCTTGAAATCGTCGGAGAAGCTCGGCTTGTCGCATGTAAACCAGTGCCTTCACAGCCTTACCGCTCCTGGTGCCCTAAGATTCCGCACAGGTCCATGGATCGCTTTTGCTTTCAAGTCGGATGAGTCCGGCCTGCCCCAAAAGGGCCTCGATGTGGTCCCAAGAGACTGGCGCTATATTGTTGACCACGTTGTTTACGACCCCTCGAATGCCTTTTACGGGGAACCTCCTAGAACCCGTACGAAGCCTGTGACCTTTGGGGTGAAGCTCAACAATATCGACCACCCTATCATCTCTTTGGTCACGGGTATTAAGCAACCACTTGAGGACGTTTGCGTACCTATCTTTGAATGGCCTGACACCGGACCATCTGCTCTTGCCTTCCAGATCGGCTTACCTTGGAAGATACGGTACATCATGAGTGGCGAGGACGAATATACAACCCCTCACATGCAATACCTCAGAAAGTACTTCAAAAAGAGGATGGGGACGGTGCCTCTAAATGGGTCACGGTTGAAGAAACTGGGGTTATGACGTTCATTGCCTTCTCTTACGGATCGGACCGCCTTGTTCACTCCGAGCACATTAAGGCATTCAATAAATATCTCGACTTCTCGCTGGGGCGGAAGATTGTGCCGTCTCGAGTGGGTTTCATGGACTACTGGGAGAAGCACCGTCAGGTATTGGTTGCGAAGACCAACCGAAATATCATTGCAACCCCATACCATGGACCCCCTAACCTAGAGGAACTCATCCAGTTTGGACACGAGGATGACGCGAAGAGAAGAGGGGTGATGAATTTGATGGGGCACTTCGCCGCCAAGGGTTTCTTAATGGCTGTTCACGAGGAGAACGGTGTTTTCGTTCCCGACGAGATCACCGCTCCCTTTGACAGCGAGGGTGCTTAGAGGGTCCCCGAGGAATTATTTGCCCCGAGCGATGTGGATTTTAGCCTCTGAGATCCATGTGGAGTCGGATACATCACCTTCATGTTACGATGGAGATGCTAGTTTAGCTGCTGGCAAAGGCCGGCGAAAGCCTGGTGATTTGCTTTTCTACGTCACAGGATGCTTGCCAGCCAAAACTAGGCATAAGACGGAGCGACGAATAATTAAAATAAAGCGTGTAGAGTTCTTATTGAGCTAATAAAATAAAAGGAACCCCGTGGCTACTATTTTCCTTTACCCACTTCCAATCACCGTTTTAGAGTCTTTTGTTTGGTAGCAATGGTAGCCATATTCCTACCTTCAACGAGGAGGCCTTTCCTCTTCCGCACTCCATCCATGTACTTTTTAGCAACCAGCTCACGATCAGCAAGCTCGCCGAGGTCCTCTAGGTCGTCTTCCGTAAACGGCTGCCATAGCGGGTCTTCGTCGAAAATTTCAAAGCCGGCAAAGATAAGTTGCGGCTGCGCCGCACCGCTAGTCCGCTTTCTCATCTCGTCAGCAAAGCCGAATGATTCGGCGGCGGGCACCATGGCTTGGATGGTAAAGAAAGGCGTGCCCTCTTTCATAGCCTCGTCGACGACGCGGCCGCGCCGACGGGTGAGCACATCATTGACGCGGCCGAGCACATCCATCGACGCCTGGACTTCAACCATGTACATGGCGAGCATGAGGCGCGGGGACCAATCGAGGAACCCGGCGTGGATGGACTTTTGAACCATCTTGATAATGTCGCCGGTCAGGCGGCCGACGTTGGTGGCTTGGTCCTCCTCGCCGCCGGCGTTGCCGGAAGATCCCGTGACGGCGATTTCGTCGACGAAGACGGCCACGCCCTGCATAGGCTCGTTGCAGAGGGGACCTTGCAACGTGGCGAGCTGGAACGCGTGGCCAACTCTGTCGCTAAAGGGATGATCTGAGCTGTCGCGGCTCTTGTCGGCGTCGAGGAGGTGGGTGAGGGCGCCGTCCTTGGTGGCGTCGACGAGAATGTTGGGGCCGGTTCGACGTGGGCCAAAGGCAGAGATTTGGTCAACTACGCCCTTCCAGGACCGCTCTCTCGTGCGCTCGTTCTCAAGCGCTGCTTGGAGCTGCTGCTTGAAGTCGTCCAACGACATGGCTTTCGTTATGGCGATCCCGTCGTCGATGTCCTGCTCGTCGCCTTGGCCGGATGCTGCCTCTTCCTTGGCCTTGAGGCGGGAGTAAAGTTGGCGTATCGTAGGCGCATGCTTCACTAGGAACTCGGAGGCGTCTTGCGGCAAAGGCCTGACGTGCAAGCGCACCGTCACTTGTGTGATGCCGGTGGAGGCAACGATAGTTCCACGGCCGAGGTCCTTGTTTGCGGGCGGCCTCATCTCTTCTGCTCGGACGATTGTCTCGCGGTACGGAACGATGGGGGCGCCGACTTGGATCTCGCAGCGGGCAAACCGTTCCTGAAGATCCTTGATGCAGCGCTCGAGGTGCAGCTCGCCGGCGGTTAAGAGAACATGCTCACCGCTCTCGAATTGCTCGTATTCGGCGCAAGGATCGCTTTGTACGAGAAGGCGGAGACCGCTAATCATCTTGTCGAGGTCACCGGGGTTCACTGGCTCGAGGGCGACTCGGACGATGGGCTTCCCGGCGAGATTAACGCCTGCGAGGTTCATGGCCCCCTCCGCGATACTGCAGAGCGTACCCGACTTGAGGATGCGCCCTTCAAGGCCACCGATTCCAAACACGACGCCAGCGGGGACGGTATCTAGTTCCTCAAGGTTCCGCCCCATGAACATGTATAGGCTGGCCACAGTAACCTTTTGCAACTCCGCCACGTTACCCTCTTCGGGGGACCACTTGGGCGGAACAACGTAGAGTTGGTCACCAACAGACAGCGTTCCAGAGTATATGCGGGCGAATCCAATTAGATGCTCCGGCTCGACCTGAACATCCTCGACTTTCTCCTCGGGTGTGCTATGTAAATGCATGGAGTCGAGAGCGATCGGCAAATCGTTTTCTGGGTTGGATTCTGCGGCAAACGCTTTGGCTGCCTCAACCCGTTTCTTCCTCGCCAGCTCCCGGGCTTCCTCGCTGCTCATTTGTCCTGGACGGCGCTTGTTCTTGGGCAGCTCGCTTTCGGCCACAGATACTATTTTGCTGACGTAGACAACGACGGGATCCGACTTCTCCTTCTTGAAAGTGGTCACAGCATCTCGAAGCTTGGGGTTGATGCGGCTGGAGCCGGGGAGTCGTTAAGGAGATCTGGCATTCGTTCCGCCTGCGCGGCGGCTGGCGAAGGAAGGGACTCGATGACCGAAACAAGAAGTGCCGTAGAAAGGGGCAGCCACGAAGAGAATACCGTTGTCATCAAAAGGCGCGGATCGCGAGACCGGAGGATATGGGGTGCGAGAGTGACATTGAGCGTTTTGGTGATCTTTTCCAAAAGGTCCGGGTCACCCTTGCCGTTAGGCCCTCCAGTCGTTGCTTTGTACACTGCCCAGATGGGATCTAAGACCAGTTGAACAAAGAGAGGCTTCAAAGGCCTTCCCTTGAGATGCCTGGGCCCAAGAAGCTTCTTCGTCTTCGGGTCGAGATAAAAGTTTCCCCACAGGACCTTTTCTAGATTTGCGCGTTTGATGCCTAGTTTCTTCTCATACAGGGCTGAGAACTGCCTCACCGTGAACGCCCAACCATCGATTGCGCTGCTGAAGATGACATTGTTCTTCTCCGGGGCAAAGTATAGATCCTCATCATCAGCCTCCTCGTATTGCGACTCGAGCGGATCGTTGGTCTGAGCAGTTGTTTGTGCCTCTTTCGCCGCGACTCGTTTTTCCACGTTTTCTCTCCAATTCAAGTCTTCTACCATGCGATCTCCTTGGAAAAAGCTTCCGAGCACCGCATTTACTTGTTCTAGCAGGCGACTAAGGTGTTGGTACGCCTCTTCAGGAGTCATCTGGAGCTCTGCCACTAAGCGATCCATCTTGTTGAACACAAGTAGTGGCTTCAATTTCTCGATCCAGACTTGCCTAAGCACCGTAACGGTCTGACTGCAGACGCCCTCAACCACATCAACGAGTACAACAGCCCCGTCGCATAGTCGAGAAGCCGTAGACACCTCGCTGCTGAAGTCGATGTGGCCCGGGAGTCGATTAGATTGATAAGATACTCTTTAGGTATGGGTTCAGCATCGGGGCTCGTCCTCTTGAGCATTGAGAAGTAGAGCGAGATAGCAGAGGACTCCATGGTGATGCCGCGCAGTTGCTCGTCTGGGCGTGAGTCCAGGTACCGGACCTTCCCGGCCTGCTTGGGCGAGATGATCCCATTGGTAGCTAAGAGAGTGTCTGATAGGGATGTTTTCCCATGATCCACGTGAGCTAAAATACAAATCTGCGTGTGCCAAAGGTTAGTATAGAGCGATGGAGCACGGCTGTGAGGCAACGAAGAACTCACGTTTCTGACATCATCCGCTTTATTTTGCAGACTTGCCAGCTTCTCTGGCGACACAACAGGCATTTTGAGGGGGAATATGGAAGGATATAATGACAAATGAAAGAAAAGATAACGCCGATCTATGCGAAGCGAAATAGAATGGAAGACAGAGACACTATCTATCGTCAAAACAGTCCGCTTCTTAGAGCTGGCGTACGAAGGCAAACAGCAGAGAGACACTGGTAATTCGACTCATGTCGAGTCATCCGGCGGCAGCTAAGACTTCAGGTACCCCGCCACAAAATTCTAGGTTGACAAAGCTTCCTGGCTACTGTCCGGACCCAAGACAACATTGCGGAGAGAGGCGAGATTCACAAAAGGCTTAATGTAGATAGGATTCAGCGCCACTAGTTAATTAATACTCATTTTCACTATATATGGACACTCGAAGAGTCGGAAGAGCTATTTCCTGAGTTTTGTGACCAAGCCAGCTCGGGACGATGGCCTAATACTGCCCTGCCCTCTTCTGCTGTTCGGTGCGTCTTGGCGAGCTGGAAGGCTGCAAGGTGCAAGATGACCCCTCCTTCTCAGCGAAGAACCCCACTATTCTTCCAACTAGCATAACTCTCATATCAACATTTCTCATGCATCAAAGGGGATCCATTGAATAACGGGCCGTTGAACCTGACTGGAGCCCACAATCGAGGGAAAGAAAAATATTCACACAAAAATCCACCCCGCCCGATCCTTGATCGACCACGATACGAATAACGAAGAAGTAGTCGAGCCACGGAAGCCAAGACACTTTGCTTCGCAGCCTCGATTTCCCTTCGAATATTCCCCGAATCAAGGCTGAAAAAACCCGAGTGCATTTTGTGCCCTCCCGACCGCCATCATGAGTGCCTACGCCAATGGTGCGCAGCCCCGCGCCCATAACGACGACAGCGATGTCGAGGAGGAAGTCCTTGTTGCCGAGTACAGGGAACAACAGCAGTTTGAGCATGGCCTTGAGGATATCGAACAGAACTCCGCCGCCCAGCCCGATGACATCCAGGCTCGTCTGGCTGCTGCCGCCCAGCCCCTCGACTACTCGGCGACCCTCGACGTCAAGTTCCAAAGCTACGACGCCTACTGTAGCCTTTTCCACTACATTCTAAACTCCGAGGGACCCATCGACCTCGAGCCCCCTTCGGTTAGTTCCCACCATACCATCGCATCGGACTGGAAAGGAAGGAGTGTATAAAGGGGCACATGGGGAATGTGTGTGTGTGTGCGTGCATGCATCGCTAACTATCGAGGAATAGTACTACTGGGCGTGGGACGTCATCGACGAGTTCATCTACCAGTTTAACTCCTTCTCATCCTACCGCATGCGGATTGCTAGGCAAGCCTCATCCTCCAATGACGAGGAGCTCCAGCTTCTTCGTGAGAACCCCAACACTTGGGGTTGCTACAGCGTTCTCAACGTGCTCTACTCTCTCATTCAACGATCTCAGATCACGGAGCAGCTTGCCGCGATGAAGCGAAACGAGGACCCCGCTCCCGTTGCCGGAGAGTACGGCTCGAAGAACATGTACAAGATGTTGGGTTATTTCTCCATCATCGGCCTCCTTCGAGTCCACTGCCTCTTGGGTGACTTCGGCCTTGCCCTCAAGACCCTCGATGACATTGAGCTGAACAAGAAGGCCATGTTCGCTCGAGTTATGGCGGCGCACTTTACCACGTACTACTACGTTGGTTTCTCCTACATGATGATGCGTCGCTATGCTGATGCCATCCGCATGTTCAGCCACATCCTTATCTACGTGTCTCGTACCAAGAACTTCCACAAGAATGCTCAGTACGATTCCATCACCAAGAAGAACGAGCAGATGTACGCTCTCATCGCCATTTGCGTCGCCTTCCACCCCACTCGTCTTGACGACACCATCCACACCGCTCTCCGTGAGAAGTACGGTGATCAGCTTCTCAAGCTTCAGCGCGGTGGTCCCGAGTCTCTGCCCATCTTTGAGGAGCTCTTCAGGACTGCCTGCCCCAAGTTCATCTCTCCCGTTCCCCTGATTTCGACAAGCCCGAGTCCAACATTGACCCTATTGAGCATCATTTGGCCATCTTCATGGAGGAGGTCAAGAGCAACATGTGGAGCCCCACCGTCAAGTCGTACCTCCGCCTCTACACTACTATGGACTTGAACAAGCTTTCTGGCTTCCTAGATGTCAAGCCCGAAGAACTCCGCTCGTGGCTTCTAGTGAACAAGCAGCGAACTAAGCAGCTCCGCTGGAACGATGCCAGCCTATTGGATGGCGATTTGGTCAACGTTAGCGACCTTGACTACGCTCTGCAAGGTGTAAGTTTTATACCACTCCTTTCACAACCCTTTGGAATACGGACAAAGAAAAAGAAGAAAAAGGCCATCATGATTGCTAACTTGAGTTTTTTTCCCCTCTTACAGGATCTCATCCATATCTCGGAGGCCAAGGTTGGCCGGAAGCTGGTAGATTGGTACCTCCGCAACCTTTCGAGGACATATAACTAGATATAACCTACCATGATCGGGTATGGTACCTAATCAGGAGTGTAGCCGTCTCGGCCATCAAGGAGCAGCAGCGCCAAACTGTCGAAGTTGCTTGCGGCCTTCTCTGATGAAGAAGCATACAGTTGGCGTCTCGGAGTCTAGGATTTGGTTCGGTCATTTAGATCCTTTATGCAATTGTATGAGGGAGGACTGGAAAATAAGGGATGAATAAAAAGTACGGGATTAAAACTCGCGCTATGACAGACCACCATGGAATCGGCTTTCATCCCCATCAAGTAGCGTGGGGGTCAAGTGAGTGGGGAGGAATTGGTCGACACTCGTTCTTTTCCCGGAGCCACTAGCTCATCGAAGAGGCCCATCTGTATAATTCGAAGAATAATTTCCCTCCCACTTGGAGTTGGAAAGAAAGTTAATGCCAAGACCTTGATCGATGGACTTGGACCCGAACGTGGGTGTATATGTGATAAGACTCGGTTGCCAATATCCCGGGGACCAGGCTCCGTGCCGTCGAAGCGGCCACCCCGCCCCACGGAACCTGGACGGCACTTGTGCTCGTGGGTAGAGGCCGTTAGAAGACCAATCAGGAAAATGGGAAGGGCCGGTTCAATGCCAGCAATACCTGCACGCCAAGCCTAAGCCGTCTCAAGAGCACAGTTTACTTGCAGAAAGAGAGGGTGGTGGTGAGAGGGGACGGAAAAGGGAGGGGAAGAGGGATGTCGGCCAGTCGGCCCTGCTATCAGAGCTGATTGCGCACTCGAAGAAGGGCTGAGGTCTTGCCTCGGAGGGAGGGTTTATAGGCAAGGACCTTCCTACATAGACTAACTACCATGAGTCCTACGACGCCGGGTGCTCTTTCAGACAAGTCATATCAACATGCGGGTGGCCTCATGAAGAGAGCGGTCACCAGCCCTCCCTTTTGCGAGCACGGCTAAATGACCAAAGCACCCCGAGCATTCCCAAGTTGTGGTTGTGAAATGGTGATAGGAAGGAGGTGAGGGGAGGAGGGGAAGGGGGCCAAGATGGACGGCTAGCATTCGGGGCCGCTTCTAACCCTATGTTTTGGAATGGTCTAAAACTGGACTCGCAGCTCTAACCCTGTCAGTGTTACGTAGGCCGGCCGCTGGAAAGCGTGGCTCGCACCTCGAGATTATCGTTAGATGGCGGGGTTAAAAGCTTGGCGGCGTCGCCTTATCATTTGGAAAACCCACCGTCCCTGGGTCCTCGCCTCGGGTCACGGTTTTAGTTCGTGTGACCCGGAACATGGAGGGCTGAGCTCTCTCTCCGGGACCCGCGGGGTGCTGGGAAAGAGGGCGAGCCGCATTTTCGTGCTACGGGTTCGGTATGTTTACTGTAGGGTGGGAAAAGAGGGGTGGTGGCAGGGCACCCGGGAAAGTTTGTCGCCCGAAAAGCAAGCTCACTGCAAAAGAATGATGTTCAAGGAGACGACTTTCATGCTTCTTGGGGAGATTGTGTTGATGGGTTTTGGTGGCGGTGAGGATGATGTGTGTTGCGGTCGTAAAAAGCATGTGCACTCATTGCCTTTTGTCAGACAAGCCAGCGAGCAATCACTCGTCTGGTCAGCCACGGCTTGGTGATCTTTGACCAATGAGCCGTTCAGTCGCAGCAGTTAGGTTGGCGCTGCTGTTGGGGATTGGATAGTCGGGGCCGGGCGGTTTCCCTTGCAGAACGCGAGGAGCTTGGGCCCGTCGATTATTTGGAAGCAGCTTTGCACGTCCTCTCTCATGGTGTTGGCTCGTCCTCCTTTACAAGGCAGGCTCTTCGATCTGGTGCAGGACCACCCTTTGACTGACCAACCTCGCGTCTGGGGGATGACCAAAAAACGAAAATAAAAGTTCCGTCTTGCTCAACCAGATAGCCAAGAGATTGGGGCGCCGGTCGGCTCCCCCACCATCAGAGCGTCTCGCCCCTCTTGGGCATGTCTTGGCCTTTGCTTGGCAGAAACCTGTGATTGGAGTTGACAAGGCGGGACGTGATGATAGTGGCCAGGGCCTGGCGTTCCAGCGCTGGGACACGCAAATAGGACCACTCGACTTCTTCGCTCGAGTGGTACGTTGGCGGCCTCCCGAGGACGGAGGAGCCGCTTGCCGAGCTTCTGATTATTTTTGAAACACATTGAACACTTGGGGAGTTGAGGACAGAGAGAAATAGAGCAAAAGAGAGAGAAGAGAGAGAGACGAAATGATAGGAACAAAGAGGAAAGGAAAGAAAGTATTAGAAAGTGGGCACTTGAGGAAGGAAGCCCGGAAATAGAAAAGCAGAAAAATACAGCAATGGGTAGACCAGCCTCCGTCGAAACAGGTCATCTTCCACCAAGATTAGGCCCATTCGCCCCAGCTTGGGAGAGTTTGGGGTGGACAGTGTTATGATTTGGCCGCCAGCTCTTCGTTTGTGGAGGGCAGCATGACCTGCGCCAGCGTTGAAGGCTTCGCCGTCACAACGTCAATCATATGAGCAATCTCAACCCAGCCCAAATGTAAAGACGGATCCTATCAGAGCGTGCTTAATCCCTTGGTTGCGTGTGTCCGGTTTGGCCTGGGACCACACCATGGGCTCTAGAACAAGATGAAATTGGCAAATCCCTCTGTCAGCTTCTTCCATTAGATGAGAGGGGAATTTACCTCTGGGCCATTGTTTATATTTCCAAATATATGGCTGGAATGGAAGAATTCATGGGTTGATCGGCGGTTGGCCACCATATCAACATCACGCACACCAAAACAATGTTAGGCACCCTTGGCACCATCACTCTGGACTTCAAGCTTCAGAGGACCGGCTTGCCTTTCTCTTCTGGGGTAGCTCCTGCCTCCCTCGCTCACTGGCTGTAGCTTGCCGTCTCTTTCCCAAAAAAGTTGCATGTCACCGCACTATTATTGGAGAGTGCCGATGTTGCAGGGTTTGCCTCCTGTACCGAAAAGTACCCGCCTTATGACCAAAGAGAGTGCTGTCCGTACCATATACATTTTGATTTCGCTTGTGGTCGACGGTAGAAGAAGGTAGAAACAACTTCCGGACTGAAAAAGCGGGAGCTGCGAAATCCCTCACGGTACGCTCCGCGACCTGATGCGACCTAGTCCTCACACCGTCCATGTCAGATCTCGAGGCTATCTTGCATGCCGCTTGGCTTGACCTCGAACAAGGTGCGAACTCTGTCATCAGCACAGCTCTTTGCGGATGGTACTGCACCCTCTTGGGCCGTACCAAGTAATTTCCATCTCGAGCAACTAATAACGAAGCTCAAGGCTCGCTTGCGACATCGATCCCTCCCGATATAATTTTTTTCTCTTCCTTTCCCCCTTTGCGCGCCTCACCTAGTTCAGCCTGGAAGTGAAGAGAAGGTGCAATTTTCGACCGTTTTGGAGTCGAGCTCATTCCCGGGAAGATTATCTCGTGTTTGATTTGGTTCCGCCATCTAAAGTTTCCACCTCTTTCCAGCCACTTCTTCTTTGGAAGGACAAAGCAATTGTTGGTGGGGGATATACTTTCTTTCCTTTTTCTTTTGCTTCATTCTCCCTATCACTAGTTGTGGTCGACGCCCGAACTCTTCCTAACCCCTGGCCTCCTTGCCCAGCATCACATCTATCTTTTCCCCCTTCTTCTTTCACTCATCTGGCCATCCCGAGACAAGACTCTCTTCCTCATCCTTTGCATCGCACATTACACCGTCCTGCCGATCGAACCAACAGCTCCCCACCGAAACGGTGGTCTCATCAGAAGACCCTTTGGCTCTTGGGACCAGGCGCCATATCTCGACCCACTCTGCAAGCAACTCGGGGCTGACGGCTCGTCTGCCCACTGGCCGTTAGCGGGGCCCATCGACCTCTGGTCCATAGCCCATAAATCCCATTCTCGTTTTTCATGGGCTACGATTGTCCTCCTGCCTCGTTCTACCCTCTTCCCAAAGCGATCGGATTTAGACGGCAGCATCACACCCAATAGACCGATCCCGACGCCAGAGACGACCGACCATCTTGCGGCTCGCCCCTCCCACCTCTATCGACCTCCCAGATCCACGATCCACCTCGAGAACCTACGCTCCTGATAGTGCTCGATGTCTGATTCCTCGTCGTCATCGATGGCAAACCCACCAGACACTACCACTGCGGATCCTCTACCACTCGAAACGGCCCAACAACCTGCCAGCGCGACGAGCGCCTCTTCCACAAGGACCGACTCTCTCGTAGAGAGCAGGACACCCGAATCCGTGGCCCAGATTGTCCCCGAGTCGAAGCCTGCTATCGCACTAGCAACTCCCAACACAGCCGCAGTGACCGCGAACGGGAGTACCACGGACTGTTCGCCGGAATCAGAACAGCAACGAAACTCAGCCAAGTTCACTGAATCACCGGCTGCCACGCCAGAATCTCGGAGAAGCTCGACAACCTCTACCCTTCGTTTCGAGACGCCGCAGCATTCAGGATATCCTCAAGGAAGGTCTAGGGGTATTACCGGCAGTAGAATTCGCAATGCTAGCCCTCCGCACTCCAAGTAAGTTTGTGTGTGTCTACTTCGTTGTATCATCGCGGGTGCTTTCTTAGACGCCCATGGTGTGTTCTTCCGGCGCTTCCCTCCTGTCGTTGATCAACTGGAAACCGCCGCGCATGGTATTCCCCAGGGAGGAAACATAGCTCGGGGGCTGCTAGTCCAGCCTCGTCCCCTGCCTCCGAAACTGGGGTAGCTTCCCGTACCTCTTGATGCCCATCCTTCTTCACCTCGATCTTGATTCCTCGTGGATGGCGCATCAAGGCAAGCTATCGTTCCTTGTTAGCAGAGCCGAGGTTATCTACGTGCTGTGTGCCAGTCATGCAGCCCGTGCACTGCACGCTAACTGCCACATGGGGTCTCAAGCGAGAGTAACCAGTCATCCATAATGATCCTGAGAGGGGACAGAAGAAAAAGCCTGAAATTGGTGAGATAAGTTAGAGGGCTGTCCCTCGCCCTCAACCTACAGGTTTGGAACAACCGCATTGCGCACTTTCAGGAGTGTATAAAGAAATCCCGGGTCGGATTTAGCCCCGCTTCGATCTTCGTTTGTCGTCTTTCCCTCGACCTTGCCTCCTACCATCGTTTGCTGTCCCAGTGAGACAAAGACTGGTCGGGCCGTTGACTTGCCAACTTCTGGGTGGGTAGTCAAGCCGCAGCCTTCCCCTCCAATTCCTCACCATTATTGTTGGCGGGCTTCCGCGTCATCATCAGAGCTATTTGATTTTCCCCGTCAGGTGGCCTTCTCACGCCACTATCGACACATCCCTTGCGGCCACTCCCAGACTTCTGACTCCAACACGTCCGCTTTGAGGTAGTTCACCTCATTTTGACCCTGCACCACACGCCTAATATCAGGGCGGCTCATTCTGGGCCATTGAGCGGAGCATTGACACCCACCTAAATCCCTTAGCCTTCAAACTCCCGCAATTCAAATTTTGCCCTGCCACTCATCCCCCTTTCCCGATCCCTACTAGTGGGGTTTTAGGACGCAGAGCGCCGAGACCCGACCTTTTTCTTGGTCATTTTCGGCGCATGTGCCAGCTTCGCAGTGACCATCGTGAATCATCTAGGATTGCAATCCCCCACCTCTTCCCCTTATAACCTACACGATACCCCTCTCCACCCCGCTTCAAACGTTCATAGTGTTCGTTCGGACAAACGATTCAAGATCCACATAATTGCCCAATATACTTGCGCTTGCTTGCCGCCTGCAAAACACCCTATCGAAAATGGTCACGTCGGCCCTTACCAATACTGACACGCTTGGTGGCAGATTCCATCCCCATGTCGCCTTCGACACAATCAACCCAGATATTCCCAAGAATCCGGGCATCACCCTCTCAGCTCGACACAATGGCTTCCACGCGGAACGACGGTCGAAGACCTTTATGGTCGGCGTGGACGAAAACAAGTATTCAGAAGAGGCGCTGGAGTGGCTCCTGACATCAATGGTAGACGACCACGACACAGTTGTTTGTGTACGAGTCATAGAAAAGGACGTGAAGCACAGCCAAAGCGCCGCCTACAAAAGCATGCACAACAGCTACTGCAGTCGATAATCAAGAAAAACAAGCTCGACAAAGCTATATGCATTATACTAGAGTATCAGTTTGGGCGACTAGGCCAGACTTTTGACACAATGGTAGGCACCTCTTTTCTTTGCATGCCCCCAACTCCGAGGTCGTGGCATATTCTCGAATTTTGAATACGGTCCCATTCCTTTTCGCGGAAACACTGACTAAGGGCGATGTTTCATAGGTCAATGTCCACCTACCGTCCATGTTAGTGGTTGGTACCAAGGGCAAGTCAAACCAGGGCATGCAAGGCATGTGGAACACAAGGCACAGCTTCTCCAAGTACTGTCTAGAACGGTCGCCTATTCCTGTCGTTGTTGTGCGGCCGGACGAAGTACGGCAAAAGAAGAAGGACAAGCGATCTCGAGACCCGAGCAGGTCATCATATGGCCAGATATTAGCAGCGACGCATGGTGTGCACGAGTCAGAGATCATGGACGATGCGGTAATGCTGGCCACAGCCACACAACTATCTTCTGCGGATGAGGCTAGCCAAGTCGCCAAGGCTCTAGCACTCCCGGCGGAATTCGATCCCACGATCAAGGGTATTGCCCTCAAGTCGCATAGCCTACATCGGCCATCTATTGTCCTGACGGCAAATCCCAGCAACCCGGGCCCTACGACTGCAAGCGACGAGACCCAAGAGGCGGCAGGGAATGAGAGTGGAGCCGACAGCGGGCCAGATGACGATGACGATGACGATGACGACGATACACATGATCTAAGGCCTGGCGGGCCTCCACAAGAGCTAGACCCGTTGAAAAAGAAAAGCTTCACAAAATGGAGGTTGGCGAAGCAGCGGCGCTGAAGAAACGGAACACTGGAGACCTCGATGATGACGATGGTCCTTAATGGACAATGCTAGACGAATTTCGCTTATATCCTTTCCTCCCACCCTTTTCCTACCCTTGCCTCTCTCTCACTCCCTCTCATTCTCTCTCATTCTCTCTCACACATACACACACACGCACGTTAACTCTCTCTTTTTCTCTCTCTCTCTCTCTCGCTATCTCACCCTCTACCTCCACTTTTATCTAGTAGTAGATGCGAGATGACCTGTATGCTATCACCATAGACTGGAATGTCGTCCAAGAGGTTCACAGCGGGCAACCGCATTTTAAGGATTGGTGAGAATTCAGGGCAGACACAGAGTATGGAACCCGCATGATTTGTCTTCAACCTCGAGACTTGCTTCTAGCCATTGCTCTTCATATACACCCACTTCACATTCCGCTCTTTTCTGTTTTTCCCCTTTTCCTTCTTTCCTCCTTCTCTTCTACACCAACTTTTCCAGCCCTCATGGCAAGAAGTTGGGGGAGGGGGCTTGGCTTGTATCTCCCCTCTATTTTTGCAGTGCTATCCTCCTCGCCTGCCCTCTTCTGCTCGCTGTATTTTTCTTATGGTCGCCACTGTTTTAGATCAGACCTCGCTTTAGGATGATGATACCTCGGGGGATTGACAATACTAGAGATGTGTTTGTTCCCCCTCCCCAACTAACCTATCGTCTACGTTCCCGTCTACGTGATCTGACACATGTCCTCGGTCCTCGAAGCCTCGATGTGTGTATGTGTGTATGTGTGTAAGCTTTACCTAGTTCCAATATGTATCAGACTGGGCTGCCGCAGAAATTCTAAGCATTGGTATTCGGGAATATTCATCTATCCCACTTCTAGATTTGGCTAATTCAAGTTAATATTGAACTCGGCATTCGGCATTAGTCGACGGATAGAGGCCGAGCCAGAGCTTCCCGCCTGTCCATCCAGGGCCAATATTCCGTGTAAGACGAGGTCGCTGAAAATGAATAAAAAAAAAGCGGTGATAGGATCAGGGACCGATTAGATTCTGAAGACGATATGGTAAATACAGAGACGCGAGACACGTAGGGCTGCCGATGCCCTTTTCCCCGGGCTTTCCTTCTACTCTTTACCTTGGTCCTTGTCTCTTCTCTTCCCCCTCTTCCTCCTCTTCCTCCTCCTCCTCTTTCTATGTCCTCTTTGAAAGGCGAAAGGGCCCACGAGGGAATGGATCCGGAAATAGAAATCCTCTTTGAGGAACTACCTCGTAATTCCCCTCATTCTAGCAGCGAAACAGGTTGATGTTTTGACTGCTTGACTACTTTCCGCCCAGTAACGTTGTCTGCATTGCGCTGAAACACCCGTCTTGGCCTGATCTTACGACGACTTCCCCATACTCCACTGGCACAGTCGACGTGGAATACTCGTTGACTGTCCCCTGAGGGTTCGTCAGCGGGTGTGTACGTGCCCAGGCACGGACGGGAAAAGATTTGCGAAGATCTCCCCGTGGATGTGGTCTGATGGCGAGTCCCTTGGTTCTCAGTTTGATCGGTTGAGATGGGGCAGCCAATCGTGGTCACAGGGCAGGATGATTGACACGAAGACCCCTTCAAGTGAGCGATTGGGATAATACTTGTACTTGTCGTGGAATCGTGTAATAGTGGGGCAGTGAGGACGACGATAGCCGTGCGCACTCCACAGTGTCGTGCCTTCCCGTTTACTACAGCATACACACCCAAGACACCCAAACATCATCCCGACAGAGTATGAAGGTACCGAGTACCTCCTCGTCATTTCCCGAAACGGTGAAACACTGCATGATTCATTATTTATGGAACAGGAAGGAACAGACTGAGTGAGTTGTGACGAGTGCAGCCTTTTTGCTCAAGCTACAATATCTTGCGAGGGCATGGACTGATCAGGGGCAGCACCGCCCTCCTTTCGAAAGCTGGAAGGACTCGTAATCGACACATTGCGGGCAGTGGTCCCTACAGTAGAAACCCCACTTGGTGCTTCTTTTTCCGTTCCTTGAGGCGCCAAAGTGCCTGCGGGTAGCGTGCGCGTGCATAGTCAGCCCTGATCGCTCTCACTGGCTTCTCGGCTTTTGCGCGTGGGGCGGGACCATTTTTAGACCCAAAGTCTCCCGCCTGCCGCCCTGATATGACATCTATCTATTGCCGCGGATTTCTCGCTCCATCTATTGCTTTTGACACTTTCCATCGCGGAACCGACATTCGATTCACCCCTCCACGAGAGCCGCCCAATTTCACCACCAGACGAGTCTTCGCGAAATCCAAAAGGACGGAAAGGAAAAAGAAAAGAGAAAAAATACAAAAACCAACCAAAACAACGAAAACAGACCCAGTGATTTAACGAAACAGCACTGGGAGTCTACGTTGAGCCATGACCATCGATCCGGCTTAGCCGTCTCGTTAATCAATCGTTAACCCTCTACCGCCGCCCTCTCGTCTCGGCGCTGGTCTCGCGCGAGAACGAATCGAACGATTACTACAACCATGTTCCCCTTCGACTTTCTCGTCTCGCTGTGCTCCTCGCACTCGGGCGGATCCTGCGACGCCAAACCCCCACCACCACCGATCGCCTCCCTCCTCCCGTTTGTCGCCATCTTCCTAGTGACCTCGACCGTCGCCCACCGCCGCATCCTCCCTGCCCTCTCTACCCTCATACCGCCGTCGCACGACGGTGACGACCACCTCCTACCTACACACGCCCCGGCCGCCCTTCGCGCCGCCCACTCCGACTATGCACGCAAAACCCCAAGACGGCGCGCGGCCGCCCTCGCCTTTTCCTCGACTCTGGGCCTGTCCTTCGTCCTGGGCGTGCTGATTGTAGGGAGGTTGCGCAAGTCTTTCATCCGCGTGCGAGAGCCTTTACCCTCGACCTCGTGGTGCCTGGCTTGGTCGTATGTCTCGTGCTCCTAATCCCTTGGCTGGAGGTCATGAGCATTGTCGTCGGCAGCGGAAGGTCATTTGCCCGCGATGCAAAGGGTCGCGCCCCTCGTGTGACTTGGATACTGCAACTATTACTGTTCTCTACTTGGCTGTTCCTCTTCTGGTCCGTTGGCGGGGCGCTTCGCCGCGTCGAGATTGATAGCTCCGACGCAAGCATAATGAGGGCTTCTCTCGACCGCATCGGAATTGCCGGCGTGTGTATCATGGCTCTTCTTTCAGGCTTCGCAGCGGTGTCTGCGCCTTGGCACACCTTCGGATCTCCCGCCTCTCGCCGGCCCGTTTCCGACGCCGATATTGCCCGGAAGCAGGCTGGCCTCGAAGCCGCCGCCGACATGCTTGTCGCTAAGCGCCACCGGTTGCAGGTGCTTGAGAACAAGGCTGCCGAAGCCAGCTCCGCAACCTCTTCAGTCGGCTTCGTTGGCAAGATGTTTAGCTCCCTACGCGGAATATCTAGCGAGGAAGCCGAGATCCGCTCCTTGAGGCTCGAGATCTCAGGTCTCGAGACCATGCGGGCATCTCTCGAGGTGGGGCTGTCCTCTATGCTGGCCCGCAAGCTCGCCAAGGCCCGCGCCGCAAGTCTGGCGGGCCGCCTACTGTCGATGCCGAATTACGTATTCAGCGTGTACTGCATCTTTAGGGTGTTCACAACAGCGCTCGCCATTTTGCGCCGAATGGTTTCTCCTTCCTCCGATATCACCCCCGCTGACCCCATAACCCGCACCCTCTCCCTCCTCTCTACCCACTACGACCCTTCTCTCGACAAGGACGCGCTTGCCAGACAGATTTCCTTCCTACTCTCTGGAGTTATTCTCCTTCTCTCCCTTTCTTCGGTTTTGCAGACGCTCACTCTTCTCTCTCGCTTCGCTCCTTCCCTCCTCCGCCTTGCCCAGGCCAACCTTGCCCTCCTCCTGGCCCAGACTGTGGCCACCTACGTCTTCTCTTCAGCCCTACTCCTTCGCAGCAACCTCCCGGCCGGGATGCGTGGAGCAGTCGGCGATGCTCTACGCTCCTCGCTTGAGCCCGCCGTTGTAGAGGCTTGGTTCCAGGGCTGGTTCCTGGTAGGTTGTGCAGCAACCGCGACCGCCATATGGGTTGGCCGCCGCATATCCGGGGACGACGATGACGGCTGGGATGACAATTTCGCCGCTGAAGAAATGGGACAAAAACGGTCCTAAGAAGCCTATGACAGGCGAAAGAACCCTGTCTTGGCACCTCCATGTGGCGGGTCAATGATGTTTCAATGCTTCCCTATCCCCCTTTTTGTAAGAGTACTGTATGATTCTTGCCGGTCTTTTTACCTTTTTTAATCTGGGGCGTTTACACTCCTTTATTATTCCTTCCTTCTCTCACAATGGCCGCTAGATCTTTTGATTCTCATCCCCCCTTTTGCCCACCTTCTTACTCTACCTTGCTCCAGGAGAGATCTAAAAATGACACAAGTCTCTTATATTGGCTGAGGTGAATCCTTTCAGTCCAGATAGAGAGTGGTAGCTAAGCATTCAACAGTCAATGCTTGTTACCACTGCTTTGCGCGCCATTGCGGGCGTATCGTTTGTTTTACTAGAACTGAGATATGAATAAAATAAATAATACATTCAATCAGATCACCTATCCTCGTCTTTCCCCCTTTTCCTTATCTTTCCCCATAGTCCTATAGTAGTACAGATGTGATCGTAACTAGAGAGCTTCTCTTTTAAGAATAGCGATGAACCCGACATAGACATAGGGCTTCAGCACTATGACTGCCTATGCTAGATAGAAGCTGGAAAAGGCACAAATCTCCTAGAAAACTCTCTTCAAAGTATGCAAGCTGCTTAGTTCTTAAACCTACACTATAGGGAGCTGCGAGGTGCTTGCTCCTTGAAGTATCCGCTAGTTCTTAGCCTTGAGGACACAGAGGTGAGCAATGCAGGGGAACATTCTTCTTATTTTTCTTTTTCTTTTACTAGCGTAGGTATTCATTAATCTTTACCTCGTCTTGGTTGCGTCCTTTTATGCCCGTTGAAGCCATCGTTGGAAAAGGGATTAGAAAAAAACCAGAAAAAGCGTGGTCTGCAGTACGCCGCTACATACTAGATTATAGACAAAGAAAGAGATTGGGGGAAAAAAAGAAGAAAACAAAAAGTAGGACTCGTCTTTCCATCTTTCTCTTCCCGGCGCCGAAGAAACGCAAGGTCGAGGGTGAGACGGGGATCAGCAATAGCAAGAATAAGGGAGAGGAGACGGAAGTGGATGTTGGATTGGGCGGGAAAAGTGGTGAGGACTACACCAGGAAGTGCGACCCGTGCCAAAGAAAGGGATTAGAGCAAGGATGGGTCGGAACGTGAAGGAAAAAAATGCGAGCCCAATAAGAGAGAAGAAGGATTGGCAAGAGATGAGTAAACGTAGAAAAGAGAGTCGAAAAACTACCGATTGTTACACCTTACCAGCCTCGCTGGTATCAAAAACCCATCTCCATTTTTTGCTCCTCCGAACCGTTTTTCTTCTTCAGCTGGAAAATCAGAACCCCCAAAAGCTCCGCAGGCTACAAAAAACGGTCGTACATTCATTTATAGCGAGTCCCACTCTCTCTACCTCTCCGAACGTGCCTGTAAGTAAGTATATACGAAGCGTCGTGCCAGGAGATTTTCTAGATACATCCGGCCTTGGGGGTCGGTGCAAGGGGCTCCCAATGAGGCCTCACCAAACCCTCTCGGGAAGATACTAGAGGTCGGGCAGGTCCGATTTGCATAAGGGAGTGAAAGCGAGTTGCATCTAAGTAGACAAGGAAGCAGTAAGGGAAGCGACTGTCAAGCGCCCGCCCATCGGCGATAAAGAGGGAGTCAGATATGCAGCCTGGCAGACATTGGAGCATGACGAGCGCAGAGATCTTATCCCTTTCCGAACCGACTAACCCGATGTGCCGCCTTTATGAAAAGATGAAGACGATCGGGAGAGGCGACAGGCAGCTTCAGCTTTTAAACTCTGCCCTGGCCTCGACGGCCGCCCTTGGGGACCGTAACGGTTGTCCAGCCATCTTCATCCTGGGTGGGGTGGCCGGTTCAGCCGTCACGGGAGTGGCAGGTGGCTGTCCGCTGGATCCATTGGCCCGCGGCCCGCGGCGCTCTCACTTCGGCCGCCACGCGCACCGCCGCCGCCGCCGCGGCGAGCGCCACTAGGCGCGCCTCGCCCACCTCGGTGCTCTCCAGAGGGCTGACGCCAGTTACCGCTTTCCGTGGCTCGAGACTTGAAGTCGGGACGACCTTCCTTTGGCTCCTTTGGCTCCTTTGACTCCCTGGATCGAGGAGCAGACTTTTGGTCTTTCGAAGTGCTGTCATCCGTCTTCTCGTTGGGCTCAGCCTCACTGGCAACACTCGCGCTAGGCTCATCTTCTGTAGTGGGAACGGCGCTGGAGGCGGCTTCATCCTCAGCCTCCTTTTCGGCAGCCTCCTTGTCAGCAGCCTCCTTTTCGGCGGCTTCCTTGGCGGCGGCCTCCTTGGCGAGTCGACGTTCCTCCTTGGCCTTCTCCTCTGATTCCTTCTTCTCCTTCAATGCCTGCAGCCTCTTCTCCTCGATTTCACGCTCGCGGGCCATGGTATCGATGGGTCGGGCTCCGCCAAAAGGGCTCGCCTTTGAGTCGCCGGTGGCGGTAGGAGACGGCGCATCGGGGGCCTCGGAAACAGTTCGCTTGGCGAGGTTCAGCTTGGGCCGGGAGGCAACAACGGCAGGAGCCGGGGCGGGGAGGCAGGTGCCTCGCTGCCCTCACGAGACTGGGAGGGGGAGGCGTTTCGGGCATCGGGACGCATGTTGCTGCGCCACTGCATATCGCGCTCTGCAGCGGTGGGAGTCCTCTCGGGCTTTTCGCGGGGCTCGCGCTGAGGGCGACCACCTTCGGGGCGGGCGGCGCCTTCGGGTCGTCCCTCACCCCAAGACGGAGATTGATGACGGTTGCGTAGAGGGTCGGCATTGTTCCGGGCACGGCTGCCTTCGCGAGACATGGCGGGGGCTTCCGCCTGGGGAAGGGGCGACAGCGGCCCTTTACGTTCCCAGTTTCCAAAGTCCCGGACCTTTCCGTCATCCACAGGGGGCTCACGAGGCGCGCGTCGCTCACTGAAGTCAACCTGGCGGCGCTCGCCAAACTCACGCCTTTCATTTCCCCTGGGTAGGTCAGCAAGAGGTCCCTTTCTGGTCCAGTCGCTCAAATCACGGCCAGAGTCGCCACCGCCTCGGTCACGGGCTAAAAGAAGTACATGTTAGATCTTGGGAGCTATAGAAGGGGGTGGCAAGAGCATGAGGTGGTACTGGGGACGTACGAGGATCAGCGATTTTGACCTTAATATACCGGCCGTTTAGGGTCTGGCCATCAAGATCAAGCGCCTTCTTCAAGCCGTCTAGCTCCTGGAATTCGACGTAGGCAAATCCCTTGGGCCGCTGAAGCTCACGGTCTTCAATGATTCGGACGCTCACGATACCACAATCGGCAAAAAGTCGTTGACGGCCTCAACAGTCGCATCATACGGGAGGTTGCCGAGGTGGGCGGTGTAAGGGGGCCTCGTAGGGAGCTGCTGGGGCCCAGAGTCACGGGGAGGGTAGCCTGGGAAGGTGCGTCAGTACGAAGGTTCGTCTCGAGCGGAGGGGAAATGTTCGGGCTTTCGACATACCTCGATCACCACGATCGCCTCGATCACCTCCATAGCTTCCATAACCTCCATAGCTCGATCCCATGCCACCACGGGAGTGCTCGGTAGGAGGCAGCGGTTGAGTGCCTGTAAGATGCTGTTAGTTGCTTGCGTGGCCTAGAGTGAGTTTGTATTGCACAATTCCACTAGCTTAAAGCTTGCCCGCTTATTACATCGGCAACAGGTGAAATTGCAACACACGGGACGAGATTGGAGCACTTACCAATGGTATCCTCGACTTCATCGGCCCAGGATCCGCCGAAAGCTATGTTGCCGTTAGTTCTAGCCCCACGAAGCTTTAGGAAGTGAGAGGTGTATCGGGGGCTGGCTCGGCGCCAGTCCCAGATGGGCACAACGAGGATCTTTCTGCGAGAAAGTGCACCACTTTGTATGTATGCAACGGATAGCAACGGATATCTTACACGAGTCGTTTAGGAAGTCACCCAGAGACATCTTCTGCGGGGCCTCCTTCTTTTTGGGCGCTGTAGAAGGTTGGGTTAGTGACCAAGTCCATTTCCTTCTAGCGGGTACAAATGCCGGCGGATGGAGGGAAGAAGTAGGGTTCTGACAACTTACCCATGATTGCGGTGTTGGGGCTTCGGCGCGCAGCGACGTTAATATCGGTGCGCGTAGAAGAGGGTGAGCGAAGCCGAGCCGGTGGTGGCGGGCTTCTCGAGGGAACCGAACGAGGTGTGCGGTGGGGAGGAAAAAAAAAGACGGTGGCCGTCCAAGGTGCGGGAGCCTACGATAACTCCACGCGAGTCGAGGGAGGAATTTGAGTCTCGGATATCGATGCGATGCCGATGACGGAGTGATGAACTGCGCCTCGACTGTCTTCCCTTCCTAAATGTGGAATGTGGAGTGGTTGAGGTTGACGAGAGTTTTTGAAATTCCTTGGATGTTAGAAAGGGAAAAAAATTTGGTTGTGAGCACCAGTTGACATTTGGCTGGGCAAGGCAATGGTGGGTGACAGTTGGCCGAGAATTGGTGTATCTCTCCTGTACTCTTTCTGGGAGCTTAGGTGGGAGAGCTACCTGGCATTACTTTTCAGCCAGCGTCCCTAGTTCAGCTGCCACCGAACCCCTCCAAAAGCTGTGATTTTAGTGGGGGCTTTAACCTTGAGAGGTGGGAAGGTGCAACTGACCCAATGTCAAAGACGACAAGCTACATAATCTGATATAGGCATTTTATACGGTATATGCAATTTCATCATTTGAACTGGGAAAAATACTATATTTTCTCATAGGCGGAAGATGTTTTTAGTGGACTAGTCCTGTCTTTTTCGAGGCAGCATGAACTGCCCCAATGCTCGGAATTGACAGACTCGGCTAGGACTGGGGCAAGATCCATTTTGATCCATTGGGGACGAATTCCATTTGCTAATTGACGAGATGGACACTGGCTTGAGCAAGGTGGGGACCGCCACCCACAATAGGCTCAAGGAAGAATTCCCCTCAGGGCCTGGCAAAGGCACGTGGGCACAGACCAGCCCCGGCTCAATCAGTGCTGGCAGCAGCTTTTGATCAATTGAAACGAACATTTGCCGTCGGAAACCGGGGAGCTCGAGGCGGGAACATCAAGCCCACGGTAGACAACATTATTGATTTATCTGGAGAAGTTGGAAGAGATTCTTTTCATTGACGGAAGCCAGGGGGAATAATGCCACAGAACATGATAAGGATTGTTTGTAGAGATGACTAGCTCCTTGACGGTCTTGTTCCTGACCGTTGAGGGCTGGAAAACATTCGTTTAATCCGAACCGGATGAAACAAGGTTGAATATTGTCTTGCGCCGAAAATGAAAGCTGAGTCCAAATTCTTTTTTTTTTTTTTTGCTGTCCATTTGCATAGACCGACTTCAAGCTCCAGTTCCATGAGGAAACAAACGCGCCTGTGCCACTTTCGCCGAATCGGGATTAGCCGTTCGCTTTCTTGAAGCTTGGCACGAGCGTCTGTCGCCTCTTCAAACCTTCAGAATTATTATACTATTATCTTGACTGCCTTGTTCTCGTCCTCAAAGGCTACAAGACCAACTGTAATAGTCGCGCTCTCGCCATCATTTCAGTTATCCAACCTCTATGTGACGTCTTTTCTTCCAGACAACCCAATCTCTTCCCCTTGGAATAGAGATCCCTGCCTTCCGTGGCATAGTCGTCTTGGGCCTTTCCAATGCACTCTGCGATTTGAGTAGAGACTTATCGGACGAGATCCTCAATCAACCGAGAGAAACACTTAGTTTAGGAACACCATGGCTGGGTCGCCAAGGCACGACCCCGAAGATGGACAGCAGTCGAAGCGGCCGAGGCGTGGCCTTCTGCCACCTGAGCTGGTTGAGGCGCTAACACCCGCATTGAAAGTGGGAATGCTGGCTGGTTTGTCTACTTCCCTCTACTCTTCATGCAACTAGTGCAAAATGGAGCATCGCACTGATGTTAAAGTTTTAGGTGGTGCGGGCGCAGTGTCTGGCGTTGCTGCTGGCATCATCCGTGATGCCCCCTGCCTTGTTTGGGCTGGTCTCTAGTGTGCAGTGGTTTACCCTAGGCTCAACTTATTGGTGTATGCCCTCACTTGAAACCTCTGAAGCCTAAGGTAGTCTAACCCATTTATAGTCTCGAGATTGCTCATCACGCGCTCCTGGGAGAAGGACAAGCCGCTGGGCTCAGGTGAACGCATCAAAGCCAGCGCTCTAGCTGGCGGAGCTGCTGGCATGGTTGGCGGACTGCTACGTATGATCCTCTCGTCATTGAACCTCATCCCTTCATATGGTTTGTGGCTTATTAACTCTGTATATAGGCGGTCCACGAAACATTGTTCCCGGTGCCATCATGTTCAGCATCTTTGGCGCTGTGGGGCAGGGCGCCGTCAACAAACTGTCAGAATTGAGAGGGGCGGTTGAGAATGCCGACGAGGATTCGAGCTGGCTGAGATCAAAATATAGCCCCCTCAGGAAGCTCACGGATGAGGAATATGAAGCCTTTATTGCGGAAAAGATGCTCAAAGTTGAGGCTGAAATCGCCCTCATCGACGACAAGATAACAGAATTAAAAGTCGAGGATGCAGCGAGGCAGTCAACCGAAGAAAGGTTTGATGTCAACACCGGTAGAGAATCTCTACCCGAAGGCCCAAGAGATACTCACCTTATAGAACCCCGCAAGGTTCGAGGAGTTGGTGGAAGAAATCTTCATAAGTTTGAAGATGCTAAGCCTTTCCTACCGCGCAACCCACCGGCAGGTCGCTGGGGGCTAAACCAACTCTTGTACTATACAAAATTAATCATAGAGCCTGTAACATCTTGTAATAGACGTGTGCCTGTCTGGCGAAACGCCTCGGCGACAAACACATTCATCATCGATGTCGCTCTCCTTGGAACCACCTTTCCCCCTCTCTCCAACAAACCCCAAACTTTGTCGGTTCTTTGTCTTTTCTGAATACCATGCTATCACTTGGAACCTTTCTTTTATCTCTGCTACTGTTATCATTATAATATAAATGAAGAAGAGGAGCCTTGCATTGGATTGGAGCTTGCTCGATGAATGATGAGTTGGAGCTGGTGAGGCCAAGGACAGCTGGTCGCAGATGACAAATCTGTTCAGAGTGGAGCCGGAAGTAGCCGAAGGCCAGGTGGGTGCACTCGTCGCTTCCTTGATTGCGAAGATCACCCTTTCAGTCCATTGTCAGTCGAGCTCCCCGCCCTAATTCAACAAGGTCAGGAACCGGGTCCCTGATTTTTCTCTCGTTGCTTGGTGTCGGATTTAAGTTTGCGCCATCTTGTTGCTTGACCCACGTTGTTGACCTCTTACAAGACCCGGGCCAGCCGTGCGACGCCGGTAGTTCCAGCTCTCTCGTTCTTCTCTCCCGTTCTTCTCTCCCCTGCGCAAAGCTTCACTCCGACCGACCTTTCGAGCGAACGCATCCTTCCGCCCAATTCCCGTCTACCTTAGCTCGATCATTGACCCAATACCATTCAGTCTTCTGCGCCGTCTCACGGAACCTCGAGCCAGTGCTATCCGGTAGAACGACCGTTAGTGCCTCCGAACTTGCTTTTCTACGGGCACTGGAACCGGTTCAATTTCAATAGTGCTACGGCCAACCTCAACCACCCTTTCCCAAACACATTCCCTCGACATTACGAACACTGTCTCGTTGCCGGCAAAGAATCTAGACGAGTGCGATCCTTCTCGGTTTCTACCTCGCCGAGCGAGCGAGCTTCATATCGCCGAAGCCCCAAACCGTCCATCGAAAAATGGAGCGCAGTGGACTGCTCGTCTTGCCGGTCGTTGAGTGAATCTGGACGTTTCCACCATCTCGATCTTGACCCGTCGATCGAGAACGACGTCTTTGCGCGAATAGGTCTCGCCTAACTCTTGTGTGAGCTCCGGGCCGCACATCCAACTCCACCTCGAGGTTGGCTTGGCCTGGTGCCGCAATGGCCCTTCTCAACCCGACCTTTCTCCTGGCCGTTATCGTGCTCATATACTTGTCTACTTTTGTTCTGTTTGCAATCTTGCGAATCCTTACCGGTATCTCCATTCAGCGTATCGGATACTTCTCGCTTCGTCGACTTGCCTATACCCCTAAAGATGGCCTCAAGATCGAGATCCGAGGGCTCGGCCTCAACCTCCATCGGCCCAACTTCGCGCAGCCAACATGGATCAGTATCGTAATCAACGAACTTGTCGCCACAGTCGATGTGAAGGAACTCGACAATGGGCATAAGATTCGGGAAGAGGACTCTGAGGCCGAGGACGCGGTAACGCCTGCCGGGGACGCATCTGACACTCAGGCCGAAGATTCAGCCCCGCAATCCCCCTGCCTACGATCCGTACAAACATCAGAGATACAGCCTCCCCAAGCGAAGTCCTCAACCGATTCGTCGGCAAGATGAAGGCCCGCCTCAAAACGTTGCAGAAGAACGTGAATTGGCTCAGGATGGTTGATATAGTTGCCACCAATACAACAATCAATGTCGTCAAAGTCGGCAGCATTCAAGTTGGCAGCCTGACGGTTGCTGTCGATACGCGCCGCAAGATGGTTGATAGAGCCCGGTTTTTCTTTGCAGCCAGAGCCGACAGAAAGAAGCAGGATCAACAAGCGGAGTGGATCTTAACCCTGAAGAGCGTCCTATTCACTGCAGAAGGCAGGGAACCTCTCGAGATCCTCGATAACGCCACGTTTAATGTCAACGCCTACCTGACCGAAAGCTTAGGTAGCCTTCGAGACATGAGCATCGCTCTCAAACTAGGTCGCGTTCACATTCCGTATGACGACCTTGTACTCTCCCTCAACCACTACAAGCGGTGTCGCAACGCGCCGCCAAAGGTAGCTCGACCGGCTATCCACAAGGAATCCTCCACAGGGTCTGTCTTCGGCGATTTCAAGGAGTTCCAAACCGACGATGATCTCATGGAAACCCTTGCCAACTCCAAAGAGTTTATAACGGCCCTTGTGAAGGGAATCAAGGAAGTTCAGTTCGCTGTGAGCTTCGTGGGCCTTTCCAAAAAGATATACGCTGCCGGCGACCCTCTCCAGTTGACCGCTTCGATGAAAGAGGTGGGCATCGATCTTCATCGTTTAGACCCAAAATCTCCTGTCCACCAAATGTATTTCCCATCCCAAGATGTGGCTCATGAAGCTTTGGCCGCTGCCCTGTCCGTATCGATCGGTCTGGATGATGGTCAGGGCAAGCCTGAGAGAATCCTCTACATTCCGATGGCGACAACAACCGTCCGGACGACCCTTCCTTCGAAAACAGTCAAGTTAGCAAAGGATGGTAGCCCCGAGGAACGCAACGCCAATATCCTGTTTGCTAATTCTGTAGTCACTTCGCCCTCCATCGACCTTGACCCACGTCATCTTGCCCTTGTTCTCACTCTCCTACAGTCGAAGCCAAAAGTTCTCGAACGCGTCAGCCGCGAACATCTAGGAGGCATGTGCTAATGTCACGCCTTTTACCGAAAGCCACGATCAAATTCTCCATGCATGAACCTGTAATGAGAATTGCATTGCCCCCGTTGAGAAGTCGGCCGAAGCAGACGACTTCGACATGATCATCTCCTCTATTTCGTCCGTCTCTTTAGACATGGAATCCTACCACTCCGCCCATGAGGAAATGCATTACTCGCTCGTCGCTTCCACCAGGCTCCAGTCTCACGATCTCTACTACCAAACCTCATCTGGCAACCGATTTGACCTTCTGCAAACCGAAGCATTCGACCTCAAGTTCCAGATTAGCGCCGCACCTGATGTCTGCGTCGTGGCGAACGGCAATGTCCAGTCTTTCATCATCAAGCTCGTACGTCCTGAGATCACCGATGGGCTGCAGGCGATTTTCCAGCAACTCCGCGCGGTCTCCCGATCTGGACGTCCAGTCGAGAATGCTCCTGCCTCCCAACGCAATCTCTTGCGTGTAATGCCGCCTTGGTTGTTGCACTTCCAAATACAGACCAATGATTTTAGTCTGGAGGTAGCCGGAATTGACGAACACCTCTCAGATGATAGACGGGGTATATCGCTACAACTCGATTCAATAGGAGTGGAATACCGCGCACAACGTTTGGATGGGCTACAGCGGCGGTCGTCGAGGAGGAGGGCTAGCAACCGATCGCTAACCCCTGATGCCGACTTCACGAGGCCGCCCATCTCACCATCGCCGCGTAAGAAGCAGCAAGCGCTAGGCGATGGGCGTCGCCTGCATTCCATGCCAAGGGACTTGAGGCATACATGGTGGAAGCTGCAGACAAACTCGAAATGGAACCATTTTTGCGAATGCCAAAATTCGAGATTGCTCTCTCCGCCACGAGTGATGGGCAGGGTCCCTTGTTCCAGCTCCAAGCCAACTTTCGATCCATTCTGATCAACTACTCATTATATCGCCATTACGCCGTCGGGGTTGCAACACTTGTTCTTAGGAAGGCCTTTTAAGCTCGAGACGAGAACAGGCCGCTCCTACAAAAGCTCCCATGTCGCCGCGGGCAACGGCTATCATGGATCACTTAGCACCACCAGACTCGCCCTCTTTGGCCCCCGCGGTACCACACTGCCAGAACTATTTACTGTCGACGTCAAAGTTGCTATGCTCCAGATCAAAGGAGAGATGCCTCATGACCCCCTCTTATGCTTCAGGTCCACGGCCTTGAAGCCGGCCGTCACCGCTGGTCGCCGCCGTTCCTCACATCCAGGTTAGCTCGACTTTATGTTGGGGCTCCACGAATGCACCGACTCTGGGCAAGGGTGATTAGCGTCAAGTCGTGGCGAATCGATTATCGCCGATCGCGTCACAAGATGCCGACGGGGAACTATACAGAGGAAAAGCTGTTTGATATTGCCGCGGAGGCTACCCGAATCGCTGTGCCTCACGAAGCCATCGTGTACCACGTAACGGATAACATTGTCAACGTCTTTAAGTCTGTGCAACAGCTTCATCATCGGTTCAAGACCGGGACCAACGAATATATCTTGGAAAAGGGTCCAGAGGGGCCGAAGCATGTGCCCAAGGTGTCTCTGCGCACGCGGAGTTTCCTCTTTGAACTCGAAGACGGTGCATTCGAGTGGAAGCTCGGGATGATCTACCGTACTGGCCTTACTGAACAGATGCAGAGATTGGCCCGCGAAGACGCTTTTAAACTCAAGGTAAAGCGGATTCGGGAAGAAGATGCACGGATTGCTTCCACCAAACTGCGGGCGCGCTCAACATTCCATCCGCGGTCCACTACCGACTCGATCCCTGCCTCGAACAATACTGATGAGGAACCACGCCAAGGTCGGCCCTTAAGCAGCCACCGGTACGACCCTGAAGGAAACCCTCCTGAAATCAGTGGCAGCAGCAGCATTCGAGAAGAGGCGGCTAGGGAAAAGCTAAACATATATAATGCCCAAAGTTGGAAGAAAAGGATCAACCAAGCATACACTAGGTCATCCCGTGCGATTCGTGAAATGCGCGGCATGTTTTGGGGCCCTGATCACCTCCCCGATGACCTGGATGATGCTGAGAATATTCTTGAGGTCCCAGAACGTCCTGCCTTGCTTTCAGCGCTCGTTTCCGACTTGCAAATTGTTATCGACAAGCCATCCTTTCCTCTACAAGAACTGCCCGATTTCCTGCATTCGATTGGCAAAGGCATGCCGCGGGATATGCAATACAGTCTCCTTATTCCCATGCACATCTCCATCGAGCTGAACGAGGCGCGAATCAGCCTGAGAGACTACCCCTGCCCTTTATCCACGTCCCTTCCCTTAAAGCTGGCCAATCGACTCGCCTGAGCTCGCTCTCTCTCAAGACAAACTTTGTTATTGCAGAAGAATTCCGGGGCCACGAGTCTGCTCGAAAGGTCCGCGTCCAGGTCATCCCTCCAGGTACGTCTGGCTCACAGGACGATCGTGGGTTCGCCATCGACGTACGACGGACCATTGGCCCAGTGAAATCGTACTCCGATATAGCTGTCGATGTCAACACCGCATTACCTACACGGATAACCTGGGGACCCTGCTATCAGCCGGCCATGCAAGATATGATGATGGTTGTGGAATCCTTTACCAAGCCCCAACTCGACCCCTCGGAACGTGTGGGCTTTTGGGATAAATTACGCCTGAACTTCCATTCACGTATTCACGTAGCGTGGAAAGGTCATGGAGACGTTCTCTTGGCACTCAAGGGAACCCGCGATCCTTACCTCATGACTGGCTACGGTGCTGGATTCCTCATGTGCTGGCGCCACGACGTCCGCCTTGCACTCAACTCCAAGGATGATCCCAAAAGTTCATGACCGTTGACAGTGGTGAATACGTTCTCGCAGTACCGGATTATAGCCACGAAGTCCGAGAGGAAGCAAGAAGGCAAGGAATTTATAAAGGCCCGGGTGGCGACGAGGCCACCAAATCAAGCGCCGCTTTCAAGAAGGTTGTTATGAAATTGTCTGGCGAAGTACAGTGGATGATTGGCCTCGTTTTTGAGCGTGCCATTGAGAATGGCCAAAGGAGTTTCGACTTTAGGCCTCACTACGACATCATCCTCAAGGCGCCGCTGTACGCCCAATCCCAGAATGGCCTTCCATATGATGCGTTCCGCGGCTTCCGCAGTCAGCATATCCACCTCTCAATCGACATCAGGGCACCCGCAAGCCGGAACTGGTCGGCTTCCGTACCTGAGCCCTCGAAGAGTTACAACACAGTCCATTTCACGCCACGCTTCTTTACGCATTTCTTTGCCTGGTGGGCCCTCTTCGGGAGTCCAGTTTCCTTGCCTATCCGGCAGGGCCGCCTCTTCCCTGGTAGGGAGATGAACAGCAAGAAGTTTGGCCGCCACCTCGCCACTGTGAAGTACAATCTCCTTCTTGCACCCCTGTTCCTCAGCCATATTTACAAGCACAAGAATGTGGAGGCGACCTCCGCCGAGAACGCCGTCTCAGCTACCGGTCTTAAGGTTCGCTTTGACAGCTTCATGCTCGACATCCACCAACGACGCGAAGAATTCAACACGCGAGATCGTGGACTCAAGTCCAAAGCACGAACAACAGGCATCAAGATCCATGCGGCCCAGCTTGACCTCGTTTCGGCGGACGTTCGCGCTGTGTCTGCGACGATGGATAGCAACTCCGAAGCCCTCAAGCATGCTAGCTCCGATTCGCTCGATGACCAAGATGAGGAGTCACGAGGCTACTCGAGATTTACCATTCCTGACAATGACCCGAGCTGGATCGACATGGACGATTTTGTAGAGTTGGACTGGGCCACACCTGCGCAGAAAAATCCCGACGTCAAGATTCTCCCGCTTGCTTGCGCCCCACGCCTAACGTACTTCCGGCAAACTGATATTGGAGGCATGATCGCCGGAGACCCAGATAGAACGAGCCCGTTTGGACAAGAGCCAACTCATTTTTGCATGATGAGCCACGATGACGATCCTCGACACGTCCAGGCACAGCTAATTCGGGATCGACTCGCCCAACTCGAAGATCAAATGGAAACACATGCGCAGACCCTGGGCAACGCTGAGTTCCGCGTCATGCAGGACGAAGGTCAAGACGCACAGATGCTAGTCGAACTCGAAGCTCTGCGCCATCACACCACGTTGCTTTGCCGGAAGAGGATGTTTCTCGAACATATGCTACAACAAATGACGTGTGATGGATCGTCTAGCAGTAAATCGTCTAATTCGAACGGGACGCGCGAGGGCGACCATGGCGATACTTCGCTAGAACTTGCAGGGGATTCTATGACCTTGCCCTCAGGCGCAGAGTTCGACAGCGATTTTACCAACCGGTTCGTAGTTCACAACATGCAACTCAAGTGGAACAATCTTTTACGAAACATCGTTTTGCGATATATCCACCAAAATAGCCAGCGCCGTGGTTTCATCTATTACCTATCGAGACCGGCCGTCAAGTTCATACTTGATATTGTGGACGAGCAAACCAAAGCCAAGACCACGCAAGATGGCAAGGGTTCGGCGAGGTCCTTCCCAGGGAAATCTAATGCGACGGCAGAACCGGGGGCTGGGTCGTCAACTAAGAAGATTCGAAAGGATATCGAAGATCGCATCAGAAGTATTCTTCAAGACGGCAAAAATGTAGTAGACGCAGAAGAGAATGACCCTCCGAGCCAGCTTGGAAGCATGGGCACCATCATCTCGGACCTTGCCAGCGGGATCGCAGCGGAGTTTGCGGCTCGCAGCAGCTACCATGTCCGGCTGATTGCCCCTCAAATCCAGCTGCAGAGCGACAAGAACAAGAAGCACGTCGTCCTAGTTACCGCCAAGGGCATGGACCTCAAGGTTGTCGAAGTAATGGACAAGGCTCGCATCTCCGATACTGTCAGCGGCCTTGTGCAGCGGCGATTCCTGCTCAATATGGATAGTGCACAGTTCTTCGTTACTCACCAGAAGTGGTTCCAGACCGGATTAGTATCCATGTATGCAGGCGGCAAGTACGGAGCGCCGGTGGGATCCTCGTGGCCTCCATGGGTCCCTGTGGAGGTCATCTTCGACTTCCAGTCGGATCCGTTTGGGTTCAAGCGCGTGGTGCAGAAAACCTCTGCCATGCTCCGCTACGACAAGTACAACAACCTGCGCCTCAAGTACAACGACGATGTGAATACGGACAGCGTCAACATGGATTCCGCGGATAACTCGGAGAGCAGGATTGACAACCTCTGGGTCGAATTTCCTCAGGCCAGAGCACTTTGTAATTCTTCACAATACTACGCCATGTACGTCATCGTCCTAGACCTCTTGATGTATAGCGAGCCGGCAGAGAAGACGAGAAGCGAGCGCTTGGAAAAGATCATGCTCGCATCCGACTTTAGCGATCTCAGCGGGGCGCCACAGATGGTGCAGAAACTACAGGAGCGCGTGAGGCAGCTCGAGTCGATCAAATCCCATCTCCAAATATACGCCACGACGATGGATAGAAAATGGTGGGAGGACCATATTATCCTAGAAAAGGATCTTGCCGCTTGCGAGGATGAGCTATTCTTCTTGATGAAAGCCATTACTACATCGCAGCGGAAGCATGAAACAGCGGGCGAGTCGAGTCAGTCCAATGCGCTCCTCAAATGGACCATCTCTGCGAGGGATATCGTCTGGCATCTCATCAGGGACACCATGGAGCCTCTAGTCGAGCTCCAGTTGCGCGATGTCGAGTATGATCGCACGGATAATGCTGATGGGTCCCACATCAACCTCGTCCGCGTCGGTAAGATCCTCGGTCTAAACTTGTTACCCAACGCAATGTATCCCGAGATCGTCGCTCCTTATATCGACGGCGCAAGGGGTCATTCAACGACGTGGGCAACCGGCATATGATCAGAGTATGTTGGCACATGCTGGAGGATATCGCCGGCATACCCGTCATGGACCACTTCGAGGTCGATCTCTTCCCGATGAAGATTCAGCTTGAGAGGGAGGTTGGAAAGCAGCTATTTACATACATATTCCCTCACGTTGAAGGCGGCACAGAAGCAGGAGCTCGCGACGACTCGCCGTTTTTGATAAAACAGCAACTTCCCGGCCAAAACGACGACGACGACGACGCATCAATCACAAGCTCGTCCCAGGTCACGCCCATGACTGACAAGAGTTCAAGTTACCATACCCGCCAAGGGTCACTCGAGTTGCGTCTCCAGCCCACACTGAATTCCAACGCGCCCAATGCTGGAACCCAGAGTCCCAAGAAGGCGGTAAGCGTTCACACGTCAGATGGGCACTCTTCCTTCCGCCTCTTCAAGTCGTCTAGCGGGGCAAACACGCCTCGGGGGCTAGGTCGCAAGGCGTCGAGGGAATCGCTCGTGCCGAACAAGCCCGTGATTCGCACGGGCACCGGACTTTCGATAAAGGATGGGTCATCCTCCTCCATTAACAACGAAGGCCGGAAGATGTCGCGGTTCGTTCTGCGCAGCAAAGCACCTATTGAGGAGAAGCAGCAGCCATCGGATGATCTTACCAAGATGATGGAACGGGCCAATAACTATATGAGCTTTTCCTACATCAAGATGCCGTCGGTTGAGCTCTGCCTAAGCTACAAGGGCAAGGACAACCGTAATTTTGAAGACGTACACGACTTTGTGTTCCGCATGCCGACGATTGAGTGGCGCAACAAAACGTGGTCCAATCTGGACCTCGCCCTCGCGCTCAAAAAGGCGGTCATCAAAGCACTCATCTCCCACACTGGCGCCATCATCGGAAACAAATTCTCCAAGCACAGGCCCAACACGGCGCAGCAGAGCAAACTGCGCGAGCTCGCTAGCAACTCGGTCATCATTGGCGCGTCGCACTCGTCTATGGGATCTCCCTACACAGACAGCATCCACAGTGACGACTCGTCTAGCCTTTTGGAACGTCGCCCATGGACTTTTCTCGGTCTCCCCGAGGTCGCTGAGGAGTAGCCACCATGATAGCAGCCAACACCAGGCACGGTCCACAAGCCGGAGTTCCAGTGTTGCTAGCACTCGGTCTTTTAGGACGGGCGGCTCCAGCTCGCACGCGGCATCCGGCGTTGGCGGACCGGCTGTTCCCAGCTTCCTCATGATGACACCACCCACCCCGCAAGACACGCAGGGGCCCGGGTTTGGAGAAGAGCCCCAGAGACCGACCTCCAGACACAGCCTCAACCCGCTCAGCGGGCTCTTGTCAGCAGAGCACCGCGCCCACTCGAGCCCCACTGTACCGGGGGCGAGAGGCGGAGGTCTGCCGGTATCAAGAGCAAGCTGAGTGCCCTAACCAGTAGGCTAGGCCGCGAAGGGACGCTAAGGGCTAGCGGAAGCGCGGGTGGGGATGAGGATGGTTTTATACAAGGCGTGTCGAGCTCGCGGCGTTCCAGCATTACCTCTAACAAAGATTAACCACGGGGCCGGGATGAGCGGCTCGAGCTTGCTTCCTCCTACACCCCCTTCCTTCTCTTTTCTTTCTCTTTTCCATTTTTGGGGGCCTTCCTCGCCTGTTCCATTCGCCCTCATGGGACAAAAACGCCTGCTATTTTGATCTTTTCATTTGTTTTTTTCTTGGCTCGCTTGGGTATAAAGTGGAAAGGGGAGGGGACGTTTACAATGCATATATACCCTGTGGTGTCGGTTCACCCACACTCGCAGATTCTCCTTATTTTATATTCTACAACTTGTTTTTTTCTTTTCTTTTTCTTCTTACCACCTGGCGTAGACAGTTAGTGTCTGCCGTTTCGTAATTTGGGAGGTTTCTGTCTGTTCTTCCAGATCCAGATATACGCCTTCCACACCCACATTGCACATACACTCGCACAAACGGACACCAGGTATTTAGGGGCATGTTAGATATCAGCTAACTCTCGGGAGTTGCTCGGGGCGGCCTTTTGGATTCGTTTTACTTCTTTTCCTCACTCCTTCATCCACTCACCCCCTCCTTGTCTCTCTCTCTCTCTTCCCCGCTTTCTTGTCCTGTCCTTCTTTCCCAGGGCTTAACTTACGGAGAGCTGCTTCAAAGGGCAATCACGCAGAGAAAGCAGTGGTTCCCGAAGGCTGTCTGAGATAATCATCAGACTTGCCTAAATCCTTGTTTCCGCCCAACACGCGACGGAGCGTCCTTGCTTTGATTTTAGTTTTCTCTTTGTTTTTAGATGGAAAGCAATTTACTTTTCTGGTTCCCATTCCAAACAAATTTTATCCTCGTGCTTGATAGTGATGTCAAATTCTCAGATAAACAGAGATAGTCCATGCCGAGATTGTCTTTGTCTAGCTACACACATCTCGACATATCTCGACATATCTCTACAGCGTCAATCTAGATACAGCTATCGGTAGAATCAGCGTTGACTCGCACAGCATCGAATCTCTCATGTAATACAATCCAGTATCGTGATCTCCAAAGTATTAGCCCGGCGATAGCTAAAGCGCTGCTCTATCGTTTATCACTAATGGACCACTGGACAATCTCATCGCATCTCGCGGGGAGAAGAGGAAGACGGAATCACGTAAGAAAAATGGTGTGCCCGAGACAAGAAGAGATTGTTGATCTATCGGGCTTCCATTAGGGTTTGGTCAGGGCAACGAAGCCCTTATCATGGAGAGATCAGGAAGATTTGAGCCAGAGATTGCTCTGCAGCTCAGGCAATCGTACACAATCTATCATGGGACGGTATACGTAAAGGAATCCTCGACTACCGAGTAGAGGGAGAAAAGAGACACTATCACTAGCCAGAGATAGGGAAGCACGGGCTGCCTGCAGCGTGCAGAGTCTTGGCTCCTCGGCCGAGCGTATCCAGGAGCATCAGGAGTGGCCAGACCCTCGCACTGCAGCTTCCGAGCGCCCGCAACGAGAGTGGGAGGTGAGAGATCGTTTTGCCGGTGTGTGACGATGGCTGGTTAGCGAGCATTTGCTCCTGCGTCGAGAGAGACGGAGGGCAGCAGACAGTGTCTGGGCAGGGCCCCTCGACTAGGTGCGCGACCAGTGTCTGTTCTCGAAACGAGCAGGCAGTTCAAGCCAGTGGGTGGCTTTCGGCGGCCAGCTGTAGAACGTTTGCGGCATCGAGACACGAAAAAAGTAGTTTTCTTTTTTCTCTTTTCGTTTCCTCAAGGTTCATACCGCCTCGATCAGGAGCGACGCATCGATTATATCATGTTCTTGCGGGCGCAAGTTATCTCTCGGTGCAGGGGTTGGTGGGTGGTGGCCGCGGGTTATCGGGGGAGCACTATCGGATAAGAGAGAGATACGATGACGATGCTGGTGACACGGCGTCATGGGAAGGATAGGGGAGCAGCTTGCCGCCCTCGGGTTGATGTAAACAGGGTCAAGCCTTATCTGTTGGAGCTCTGGAGCTGGAGGCGTGTTATCTACATACACGACAGTACAGTACGCATTCGGCTTCGTGCTGCAAGTGGACGGGAAGGTGCTTTATCTGCAAGACAATCAATCTTATCTAAGCTTTCACCCCACAATCAGAGTCGACCTGTCAGCAAGCGTCTCGTCATCGTGCACACAGCTGCCACACCAACAACCCACAGACGTTCACTGTGCGAACTGGAGAAGGCAGGAGAGGGCAAGCACACGATGGATTCCATCGTAATCGATACTGGCAATCTTCTCTTCTTGGCCCTGGAGATAGTTATATCTACTTACCAATGTCCATCGGGTAGATTTCCTTTTATTTCCTCTCGAGATAGAGAATATTCCTGATCACCTTGTCATTCTTCCCGTCTTCCGCCACTCTTTGGTTTTTTTGCCTTGACCCTCCCTTCACTCTCTCTCCCATCACGCCTCCCTGCCTAGGTGGTCGCTTTCTTAGCGCATGTGGCTGAGGCTGAGATCCTTCGGCTGACACAAGATGAGAGAGGAAGAGAAGGACACGAAAAAGAAATGAAAGAGCGAGGGAGAGGAAAGAAGGGAGCAGCATCACCGACCTCAGCGCATCACCCCTCCTCTTTCGGCCGCAAAGGACCAGCCAATCTCCATTACCCCGGATTCGCAGAATCAGGCCGCATCGCATTGTTCAACAAGCCCCTCGCCAGGACGATGAGTGGTCCGCGGGGTTGATAAAAGTGAGGGTCAGGAGATGTGTGCGCCAGATTGTCCCGAGTTCTTTTCTAGGCAACATGGGATGGCTCAGGGTAGGGCAGCCACAAGATGGCTGTCGGTCCAGACCACGAATACTTTGTCCGGTAAAAACACTCACTTTGTTGCGACGGCGCACGCAGATGCATCGGAAACGATAGTGGGGGAGGGGAAATCTAGACTTTGCGGCACTGAGCACTTGGCGCGGGCTTCGCAGCTTCGCAGCCAGCAGCGTGACTCCTTTCCCAGCGCGCTATCTCGCACGCTTGTACCGAGTCGGCCGAGCGCCCCCGACCACCAAGATTAACCGATCGTTATTAGTCCCACCCCATCGGTCATCTCCCTTGTCAGATCAGTATTAGTGTACGGCATTCACGACGTCACACACCATATGAGAATTTGTGCCCAGGTATTACCTGTTCTCATCAGGCTTGCGGTACTCGGATGTATCCTCGTCGTCGCCAGCTGGCTTGACGCCAAACCCGCCAGCGCCCAAAATAAGGAAAAACGTCTGTGGTGAGTGACTTTTGCAACGATTGCTAACCTCGATACTTTAATGTTGTAAAAGCGCGTGCCGCCGTGTTTCCAAGTCCATGTCCCGGTCGTAATGCAAAGATGAGGGATTTCCTCATTGATTAAAATTCTCTCCCTCTCTTGTGCAGACACCCCCATGCCCAATTCATGGGGAAGCTGGGTATTATTGCTGCGACAGAGATGATGGGCCCTGGCCCTTGCTTCAATTCGGCGGGATCGGAGAAGAAAAACTTTTCTCCCGCAGCTTCTCCCGCTTCTGTTACGTACTGGGAAATCTCCTGGCGGGGTCCTTCGGGGTCTTTTGACACGCTTAAAGGAAGAGATTTTATTTTCCCCCAAATAACAATGCTTGCCTTGCCCAATCCCTAGCTTTTGTGTGGCTGGCTTGGAAGGAGAAAAAAATTCACAAAAAAACTCTGGTAAACGGGTCGGGTCGGGATGCGTAATCCGCGCAAGCCCCTGCACCCAGACGAAGAGATGAGTTGTATGCCGTATTATAGTATGGCCTACCTGGGGGATTGGGGAAATTGGTCAGGTTGGGGGAGAAGAACAATTTGATCTTGGCGGGGGCCTTGAGGGCTTGCTGGCATTCTCCCAGGGACGAATAGCGAGCAAACAGTTTGCAATTATTCATTGGTGCACTGGCAATTGAGTTGATCCTTCCCCATTGATGCTATGTTGTTCTTTGTTCCATTCTTGCCGGTCTCCGACACCCTCTCCGACACACCCTCACTCCACGAGGGTTTCAGTCAAGGTCCTCAAATGCAATCCACCGTCAAAGGAACCCATGAGCACGGCGTGTGCCATGCGAGAAGGAGTTTTCCACATGGATTATTGCCCTTTTGTGCGAGAAGTCATAGATCAAAATGCTGGGAGGAGCTACACTGGAATACTGTGAGAGTAACCTAAGCCGGCCTTCTGACACCTTCCGCATGGAGACACGATGCCCGACAGTGTTCATTTGGACGATGCAAAAGATTAGTGTCGGGTTCACAAGGCAGCTCCAGACGGGGTTTGATTAACAATTGTTGAATGAAGGCCAGCGGTGCGTGCAGTGCTCACGCCGCACGCAACAACCGACCCAGCAAATCCATTGGGCCCACAACGGAATCGACGTGCTGTTCTTCTCCCAACCCAACCGGTACCAATCGGGTACCTCAGCGTCCCACGTCTCAGGCCTTCCCCTCCCCCACACCATGCACTTGCACTCATACACGCCCCTCCCTTTCCAAAGTCCCCTCCCTCCCAAAAGACCCTTCACTGTACCCTTGGTTCGCCCTGTTACCCTCAGTTCCGCGTGCGTGTTCGCTCCTGGTCCTGGTCCCTCCAGTGTGTGTAGTGTGTGAATAGCAGCGTGCGGCGGTCGCATCCACTATTACCGCATTCGTCCGCCATTATCTCATCCGCCCCGACCTCGCGCTAGTTTTCGACCCTTCTGACCTGGGTTCGCAGCTGGCCCTTGTCCGTCCGTCCCTTGTTCGTCACTCATAATAATCCCGACATAACCTGGCACTGCCCTTCTGCGGACCACCTCCACCAATCCTCCACGCTCAACGATTTCCCCTTGACTTTGTGAGGCGTCGCCACCGCCATACAACCAGCAGGCAGTCATAACGAAAACAACCACCCCCTTTCTCCCTTTTTCTTCTTCTTCCCACCTTGTGCAGTCCTTCGGAAAACTGAATTATGAAGGCGGCCTCCACCCGACAACCACCGGAGCCCTTCAACCCCCAACACCTCGATCACAGCCGCCATCATGGGCAGAACGCTCAGAGGCGGCAAGGACGCCGCCCTCTTAGTCGCCTTGCCCACGTGCGCTGCAGTCTCGCCCACGCATGGGACGGCGACGATAACGACAACCACGACCACCGCGACGATGACGGCGGTTATGATGTCCACGACGACGAGGCACAATGTGGCCGCCCTCCCCGTACAAATTCCTACAAAATCGAAACGAGACGCAAGCCCCTTCACGGCCAAGCCACACGACAACAACCACCACCACCACCATCACCGTCACCATGCCCAGACCCGAAATCGCCCGCAACGACCTCGAGATGTCTGCTCCCCCGACGCCGTCCCGTCCTCTATTCATGCCTTGCTGGCGGTCACCGCCATCCCCGTCCCAAAGGTGGTCGCGGAAGTCTGCGGAGGAAGCAGCGAAACGAAGATGCGAATGCCGCACTGTCCGCCATTAGTGGTCTCGTGCCAGAGAAGGAGCTGAGCCTTTCGTTTACCAGCAAGAGCCCCATGGACGTGCTCCTCTCCGACCCCGAAGATTTAATGGACGACGATTCGTCGTCGTTTAATGATGGTTTCATGGGCTCCTTCTCGTCGACCCGGACTGTATCGCTCGAGTCGGTTCCTTCCTTGTCGGGCGCCTCCTCTCCGTTTGACGCTAGTCTCTTGACTGGTTTCTCCCCATGACCCCGCCCTACCAAGGCCGCCGGAGGTCATCACAACCAACCCGACGGTCCCTAGAGCCTCTGTCGGCGTCCCCTACAGGCGAACTCGTCCCCCACCCTCTCTCCTCGGCAGTCGACGTCGAAGAACTCGATTTCCGTGTATTCGAAACCCGGACCAACGCGGACGCCAAGCCCGAGGGCACCTTTTCTCGCCTCCCGCTCAAGTCGGCCTTCAAATCCAACCTGACCGCATCGCTGCGGGCCATCCGCTCCGCCGCCAAATCTTTCTCTTCCCTGGCCTTGGTCTCCATTCCACCCGACGATTTTCTCACCCGATCCATCCTGACCATCGATCCCAAGGTCCCGTATACCGACGAGCGCCGACCCCCGTTCTCGATGAAGAGCCGTCGGCTGCGCTGCGGCGTTACCTCAACCCAACGACTGGCTCGCCCATGGAGCCGAACGCCAAAAATTTACCGAGGTCCTCAACACGGTCCTTTGCCGCGTCCATCCAGATGCAGACGTACAAGGTCCAGAGGTCACAGGCTCCGATGAGTTCGGAGACGCCTTCTACTAGCCTATCGCGCTCCGCCCAAGCCAACACCTCCTCATCTTCCGCCAGCTCGTCTTCCTCCCAGTCCTACACGCCCCAACCTCAGTCGCCGAACCAGACGTCATTTTCTTACCCACCAGGTGTCATGCGGCAGCGCGAAATGCGTGAGAACTCGGATTTCATTCGCATTGCGGTGCTGGAAATGGCCATGAGGAAGCGTGGAAAGTTGGACGATCAACGTCCTGGTCGCGCAAGATGGGCTCTGCCTCCGAGGAAGCCCATCACAAAGCCTTATGATATCCGTTCCGACGGCGTTCCGACGCGATGGGTCCCTGTCGGCTGCTAAATGAGTGGGCGGGAAAAAGTGTCGTTCCAAATTCCATTTCCCTCTGGGTTTGGGACTGCACACGATATATTTCCTCCCTGGGAGTTGTGCCACGTGCAGGTTCAATTACGCCATTCTCTCCCGAGTCCTACTATCTCCAGGGAATCCGGACACCTCTATCTCGTTACACGCCAATTGCATGACATATTGCGTTATTCAGTGCTTCCAGCGAACAACCACCCAAAGCCTCACTTCACCCGCGTTTCTTCCACGACCATATTACTCGGCCGGTCTACCGTCATCATCCTCCTTGGGTAGTGGGCCATTCTCTCCAGGTGCACACGGGGACACGGAGAAAGCCGAACTCCCAAATCGACGCCAAAGGAAGGACGGGGCCACATTTTCCGGGTCACCGCCCTCAATTTCCCGTCGGTGAGCGAATGGGGTTTGGTCCTCTTTTCACAACGCACCAGCGGCCACTCAATCAACGACCCTTGATGGTGCTCTTTTCCCATTCTTTTTTTTTTTTTTCATTCTCTATTTCGAGAATTGGTCACCTCCGATTTGCATTATACTATTAGTCACAAGACCTAGAGCCTCTTTCGGCTTCCTCTTTTCTTTGCGGGATTTATTTCTTGCATCCTGACCCTGACGTCTCCATTGTGAGTCGTTCCGGGCGGACGCAAGAAGAAAGAAGTTTGCGTGCCATTCGTCGACTTTTGCCGATGAAGGGCTTAGCTTCTCTCTCCCCTATGAGTTTCATGCAGCATTTTTTTTCATAAGCATTTTCATGGCGCGAGGGAATGAACTTATGAGACAGGGCATAACCTTTCTTTTTATTTTCAGATGTTGGATTCGGGGCAGGGACCCTTACCCGCCTCTGATAGCGGAACACACTCCGCAAGCGAAGATCCAAGAAGCAATATTTTTTTATCTCGTTTTTTTCTGCATTCTTAAAGAGCACAGGAAGACATGAGCATATTGGAGTTGTTGAGAGACCGACAACGTTGGTTACTATTTTTCTTTTTTCTCTCGACATTGAAGCTAGAGTTAGCGGTTTCAGACTTCCTCACAGGAAACATGAACCCATCTTTATATATATACCTTGACCTATCTTTTGGCCTACTTGTTACCATTTGATTTCCCGCGTGATTCCTGACATGTGTGTAGTGTCTATATGTATGCATATGTTGGTTGTGTCTTGAACGGGCACTGGCGATGACCTTGGGCGGTTTTGTGTCTGGCCTGTCAATTTGGGCTTGTCGAGATTCACAGCCCGCAGCCTAACGGTGTGGCAGCTCGAGATTTCTCAGCTCATAGGGCCTCGCGATTCGCAAACAAGGTTTGACCGTGACGGCCCCTTTTTTTTTTTTTCTTACTAAAAGTGAGGCCGCTCCCTCGTTTTCCAAGGGATATCTCCAGGTGCCCCAGTGTTTCTACCTTCAAGCCTGTGATCGCTTCACCTTTGAGGTCACGGGGGCTTCTTTTTCGAAGCTATGGAGAGTTACGTATCTCCAGACAAGGGATGAGGGTGAAAATAAGTCGCCAAAACCAAGATTCTTTTCACTAACACCACGGGCAACCTACGATGCTCTCTCCTTTCCTGCTTCTTCCTGGTCGAGATGGAGCACTAGTGAGTAGAAAGTCACGGGTCGAGGCACCCAGAGGGAGCGATTGAGGGTGAATAGAGTTGGCGTATACGCTGTGGAGCCTCTGGATCGAGAGAAAGCCATGGGAAGAGGCTCGCCGTGTAGAAAGCCTATATAAGACCGTCACCAACGCGAGCGAAGAGAGAGGGAGAGAGAGAGAGAGAAACCCATCATCATCATCGTTTTCTATCTCCTCCCCATCCAACTATTCCATCACCATTTTTTTCCTAATCTCTCCAATCTTCCCCAAACAAACCAACTAGTCCAGGGCTGAATCCTGGCCATGTCCTTCTTTCGAAATCTGTTCCATCGAAGACGCGGCCAACCAGAATCAGGACATCAGAGGGCCTCGTCAAGCTCCGAGAGAAGGACCGCAGACTTATTCACGGGGCCAAGCACGCCTATGGATCATCAGCCACCTCGCTTGAGGCGAACCCCACGAGGGGCGCGGATCATCGATTTACCTCACAATACCGTCAGGGCAGCGGCCGTTTCTGAAGTCCTAGCATCCGGCCCCTGCCTAACCCAGACACAAGACTGGCGGGCGTGCCGCCTCCGGAACACGGGCCCAAGCGGACACTCAGCGCAATGGTCAGGGCCCGCGAAATCGCCGAGCAGGACGCCCTCGCGGCTCTCTCCGAGCACATGGACCCGCTCGTGGCCCGGCTCTACTACAACGCCCGGCTCAGCCCCATCTCCCTGCTCCCCGACGAGATCCTGCTCATGATCTTCAAGGCCCTGGGCGACGACCCGGTGGCGTACTTTCTGCTCCGGCGCGTCTCGCGCAGGTTCAAGCAGGTTCTGCTCGGCCGCGAGTTCCACCGATTTCTCTACCCGATGGACCGCGCCAACCCCGACGGCGTCGGACCCGACATCAGCGTGTACTGGAGTGACACTAATCGTAAAATCATTGCCCGGCGCCTGCGGGATGACCGAAGCTGCTTCCTGTGCAGGAGGACGCGGCAGCCGACAGAGTCCTGGCGGCGACGGGGAACCACGCCAGCAATACAAAGCGGCAGTTTCACTGCTCGGGCTGCAACTTGGACCACAACTGGCGCCTCTTCTCCGCGGCAGAGCGGGAGCGGCCGTGGCGGTTCCGGGAGTGCGCCGGACGCCAGGGCTACCTAAGCCTGTGCGCGCACGTCAAAATTACGTGGGACGCCGTTTCCTCGCGGTACTACCAGCTGCGCCACCGGGCCGCCCTGCTGAGCTTCGAGACCGTGCTCGCGCAGTGCAAGCACCCGAGCCACGAGACGCGGTGCCCGGACTGCAGGCGCGTCGCCGCCGACGCTGGGCCCGTGCAGAGGAACTGGCCCACGGCTTACCTGTGCCTCCAGTCGCCGTCGGGCGAGCTCGACCTGCGCCTCTCGTGGCAGGCGGAGACGGGTCCCCTGCCGAGGTTGCGGGCCTTCCCCAGCAGGGGCTTCGCGCCTCGGACGTGAGGGCGGCCATAGCCGAGCTGAGAGAGAACGCCGCCAAATACATCATGCCGGCGTCGCGGCCGGGCGAAGTCCCCGAGATGCTGGCTTTCGCCCCTCGCGGTGCAGCTGTCTCGAGTACTCTGGCCCCGCTTCTTTCCCCGGAGGGGCCGCTCCGACGACCGCAACACTGACCACCACGACAACGGTCACTTCGGCGGCGGCGGCGGCCGAAGTAGACGCGGCGGACGCCTTCTTCACCACAGGCCGCATCCTGAACATGCCCCCTCGGCGCAGCGCGACGCCTCACGCTACCAAGGCCACGTGGCCTGGCACCAGCACTCCATAGGGACGGGCTTCGCCGCCCGCACCTGCCCCAAATTCAGCCACGCGGGCCAAACCTGCCGGTTCATGGTCTCGTGGCAGCGCAAGATCGCCCTCGGCCGGGTCCCGCCCGTCCAGCGGAGCCATATCCCGGGTCAGACCTGGTACCAGGCCTTGGATCCAGCCTCCCTCCCGTGGTGCCGCGAGGATGGCGGAGAAGGGTGCTCGAGGGCTGGGGGTTCCCAGCCGGGCGCGGACAAGATGTGTCAGCCCGCTTGGTTCTGGGACCGTGATTTCTGGAGGAGCTTGCATGGCGCGAACCCGCCACGGGCGCGGGTTTTGCGGGAAGCGGTCGGAACGGTCGATAAGAGGGCTAGTAAAATTGCCTCGGTTGTATCTCGAAGATGTCGACATCTTATCCTGATTGTGTGTGTGCCTGGTCTTTTCTTTCTTTCTTTTTAATCGAGGGACAAGATGGGGAAATGTAAAAACTCAACATTCATGAAGGGGAGGAAGGGTATGGAAACCGCACGTAGGATGCATTTTAGTTCGTTGAAGTCTTTGATTAATATCGGTAGAGCTAAGAAAAGAATCTTGTTCTTGCATTGAGCCTCGGAAACAATGGTTCCATTTACCTTGGGTCGTAACCATAGCTCGGAGTGACGGGCAACCTTTGCGTTGGACTTGAAATCTCAACGCACGCAATTCCTTTCCATTACCACCGGGGCCCGGCATCCAGAAACGAAAGGAAACTTCCCAGGTAGGCTCACAGCTATGACGGGTATATAAAAATGCATCTATCTCCTCCTCACCGCTCACCTTCTTCCCACCCATGCTTTCGTAGGTAGTCGTGATTATAGAATTCGATATGCTGGGGTATGGGGACTCACAGGCAGAAACTATCTCTATAGTTCTTTCCTTCCTGCCAACCAGCTCTATATTTCGTGACTCTGAGGGGGCAGTCTGTCTCCGGAGCTCAAGGGGCTATAAATGCAGTTGAAAGCTTAATGGTTGTAGACATCTCCATCACCGACGCACCCATACTCAGACCGGCCGCAACTCTCGCCCTTCTAACACTGTACATTACTCGGATGATGTTTAGGTACGCATCGACAGGCCAGAACAAAAATATAAATCGTGGGACCTGCGGTCGCTATTCTGGCTTGGATTCGATTCCTAGGTGAGGTGGAAAGAAGGATTGAGCTCTCGCATGAAAAGGCTTGATGAAGAAAAAGAAAAACGGTTGGCGCGTCTTCTTTACCGATGCTTTGAGTAAAAGTTGGTCGTGGCTTAGGGATCTTGAGAGGCTTGTTGAAACCATCCTGAGAGGGTAAGGGTATCACAATGTTGTCTCCAAAGAGTATGTTGCTGGGGCGACTTTACAATGGATAGGGTGGGTTGCAGCCATACGAAGACTTTCCCACCTGGAAGGATCGTTGACTTGAGGCTGGGAGGGGCGGGTTTTGGCCCGGCGGAGGAAAGGAAGAGAACCTCATGGGGCGTCTTATTGTGTATCCCGGCTCTATTATCTCTCTTCAGCTGGGCCTAACACGAACGACACACTTGAGACCACAGTGATCACTCCAAGGGACCCCGCCTCGAAAGTCGTCGTCATAGCCAACCGGCTCAGCCCCGTCCAAGGGTTCGCCTGGGTCCAGTGCCAAAGCGGAATAACTAAGCACACTCGGCTCCATCACCTCGATGGACACCGGTTCCAGTCCCAAAGTGGCAACTTTGTCTAGCCGGCCCGGCGGGAAGCGCTGCTTCCCGTCAATTCCCCACGTGAAGCCGGGCTCGTTCGAGCGGAGCTCAAGCCAGGCGTCGACAAGACCGTTGTCGGCCACGAGGGTGGCATCCTCGTCAAGCACGGGGTTAAAGTCGCCGGCTACAAGTCCATGACCGGCGTTCTGAAGGTAGGCGGCGACGGTTTGGATCTGCCTGGGACGTTGGGACGGGCGTATGGCGAGGGAGTCTAGGTGGACGTTGACCAGGCGGACCCGAATCTGGGGCTCCGCGGGGTCGGAGGACCCGGAGGGTAGAAATACGTCGCAGCACAGGGCATCACGCCCGAAGCGACTGGGGTACCTGACTCGCCAGACGGGACCGAGGGTGGCGCCGCCGGGATGGGACGCTTGTGGAAGGCCAAATCGGCTTCTGGAGAGGAGGGTGACAGTTGAAAAGTGCGCATTTTGCCAGGTGGCAGTGTCACCCTCGCTCAAGACCCAACCCCGTCTTATGCGGGGGTCGGACAGGACGGTTTCAAAGGCGATCTGGGTAAGCTCCTGAAGAAAAATAACGTCTGGTGAGGGGAGGAGGTGAGGATGTGTGAGATGATGGAGCGGATGCGGAAGCGCGGGGACTCGGCGCCCGCATCCACGTTCCAGGTGTAGAGAGCCAGCTCGCGAGCTCGACTCGGCGGGGCGTCCTGGACGCTAGAGTACCCCGGCTCGACCCTGGCCCATTGGCAGGTCGATTCGTCGAAATGGTGCCATCTCCGGGCCTGGCAAGGAGCTTCTGGGTCCTCAACAGGCAGGGGGGAACCTTGCACCATGAATGTCCTTGTGTGCGAGGATCAGCGAGAAATGACATTTGCGGTCCGAATTGCAATCGAGGGACGGGGAAGAGAAGAGATGGATGGAGAAACCCCAAAAACGAAAACCCGGGAAAAAAAGCCAAGCAGCCCTGGTTCACGATCGTTGGAAATCAGACTCTAGGCGACGTCAATTGTGAGCGGGGAGATTGTCGTCGACTCACGAGCTCCGAGGTTAGGTAATCGTGTCCCAAGACAAAAGACAGGCACACGCACGCACGCACGCGGTACGCACGCACGACCTAGCGCCCCAGCACACCAGCACCAGCACCACACCAGCACCTGCGTGCGGACCAACGAAACTGTGCAGCCCACAGCAAAAATGGAATAAAGCTGGCCCGTCGGGGTTAGGCTCAGCTAGCAGCAGCCCACAGCCCACAGCCCAGTCAAGTTTTTATTAGTGGACGGCCAGTTGAGGTAATGGGTCGAATGGACGGGTGGCATCTAGGATTGATCAATTTGATCCATTGCTTAGACCTAACCTAGCCCAGCGCGCTTTCTCCCGTTTTTCCCATTGATGGATTCTTCACGCCTCCCAAGCAGTTAAATCTCGCGTCGAGACTAGAGAACACAATGAACCGTTTGCGCTTCATACTCCACCTCCAACGGTTCCATTCCATTTGATCTAATGGATGTTATATGGATCCCCTGTCGTCCCACATCGGTAAAGCCCGTGCGAAGGGCTAAACCCCCTCCCGCCGGCCGCCGGCACATTGAGCTCTAAGAGGGGTTGAGATGGGCGAGACGAAGGAGTGTAGAGACCTCACCTGCAATTCTGTTGTAAATGGGTACAGTCCGGAGAATTGTGCATTTGCGTGTGTGTGCGCATGCGCGTGTGCTCGTATCGGGTTGTTTTTCTTTTTCCTCCTTCTCGCCCTTACCTTTGTGGGGCATGCGAAAGACCCTCCGCGTTTCCTGTGAATGTGCGAGTCACAAGGAGAGGACGAGAAAGCTGGTAAGAGCGGGGATTTAATATCGCGGGGCAGATTTGAGGGGCGAAGCACCGCCGATTGATGTGGGCAACTCTTGCGAGCCATCTGTTCCTACCTCGGTGATGCTGGAGAAGGGCCGCAGCAGCCGGTCTCATCAGAGACTAGGCGAGCTAGAATAAGCCAAGGAAAATCCTGAAAAAAAAAGGGGGAATGAAAGGCGATATCAAGCACCTCTTTACTCTCCTTTCACAAGAAAGCAAAGATTCGCCAATCTTAATTACACGACGGTTTGGCCTTGCCGCTAACCATAGGTCGGAAAATATAGCCTCCGCCTTGGATTAATATATCGGGCAGTGTCATTCATCATCCCGACTGCAAGGCATCCCTCAATAGATCCAACGTGGTCAGCCGAATCTCGGAGCCGAACCCACCTTCTGCCTTGTCAAGGGTCCCCGGCCGAATCGACTCCCCTCCGCCACCTCGCCCCGTGATCTATATCTATCAAATTCTACAGCCAGAATCACCCATCGTTGGAGAATAAAGGGCTTGAAGACTAGATGCAGGCGGACAGGGCGGGTACGCAGAGGTTGTCAAGGGCCGTTTGGACTGTAGGTAGCATCATGAGGTAGCATGATATGCAACACGAAGTCGGGCTTGGAGGGTCTCGGCCAAGTCATCACTGGCTAAGAGACGACGATTATGGGTAGTATTGCGAAATGTGCCATCTTGTCGAACCAACACGCCACAAGCAAAGGGTCGGGGCGCATCTGTGACGACCGACTAGTTACTCCGGCCCGCTGCTCTTAGCGGTACATGTAGCCTTGAATGCAACACTGGACGAGCATTGAAAGCTAGACAACCCCGCCATCATGGGAATCGCAGCTAGGAACCCGCAAATGCGATCAACGGACTCTGGATGGATCCATGGATTTATCGACTCCGTCAATTGATCAATGATATGCACTGGATTACTATTACTGACATGTAGTATTGACGTCTGGCACTGGCGTATTCTTCCAGGGTTCAGCGACTGGCGCCTGAACTTGCCTAATCTAGCGCTACCGGGGTCTCTGATTGGCGCAGTTTGCGCACCAACCCTTCCTCAACCAAGAGTTCAAGTTTGAGGCTTCTCACTTGAGAAGCAGCCCGCACGAGCTGAGGTCGAACTGTGTGTGCAATCCTCACTTTCATTACATAGAGCAAGAGAACCTATTCGTTACATTTTTAACCCAAAAAGGACGCCTAGTGTTGCCCTGCCCTACCCTCACCCTTTACCTATCCTGAACTCCCGTCCTTGTTGACCGCTTTTCGAAAACACAAGCAACGCAATCTAGAAGACGGAGCAATCGTATGCCCCCAAACTTCCTCAAAAACAAAAACTCCTACAAGCCAAAGGGCCACGTTTCTTCGAGTTCCAGTGACGTCGGAGGCTGGCGTTTCTCAAACGCCCCCACGGCCCTAGTCTCGTCAAACCACACGTACGCGTCAAACTCCCTGGCCAACATCGAGGGCGAGTAGTGCGCCCTCACTTCGTTGTCGGGCTTGTAGATGACGCCGATATACCGCTCGAGCCTCTTCTTGGAGAGCTCGTCCAGCACCTCGTCGTCGCACCAGCCCCTGCGCAAGTCCAGCAGGAAGCGCGGGACCCCCGTCGCGTGCATCAGCTCTTCGTAGGTACCCCTCATGCCGGGCCGCACCTTCATAACGCTCATATCGCCGCCCCACTCGTCCGCGGCGGCCACCGTCCCGGTAAACGTGCCCATGCCGATGCTGAGCGCGCCCGCCTGGAACGTTTCCCTGCACAGCTGCCCGATGTTGAGCTCCTCGCGCAGCAGGCCCATGTCGGTGGCGCGGGCGTCGCCGACGTGGCTGTTGTGAGCCCACACGATGGCCTTGGCGTCCGGGCCCCGGTGCTTCATGATGCGCACGAGCGTCTGGAACATGTGCGCGTCCCGCAGGTTCCAGCTCTCGTCGCGCCCGTGGTACATGGCCTTGTAGTAGCGCTCGGCGTCGGCGACCAGGCGCGCGTTTTGCTCCCCGCTGTGGAACTCGTCGCCGTTGCCCAAGTGGTCCGCGTACTCGAGCCGCTTCGCCAGCAGGTCCTGGAGCATCGCCACCACCTCGGCCTCGTGGCCGGCAAACGTCGTGAGCAGCACCTCGAGCCCGTACTCGTGCGGGTCCTCCGCCCAGCCCATGAGCTTGCCGTACCTCTCCTCGGCGACCTTGGCCATCGGAGGGTCCACCCGCTGGAGGTACGACGTCACCGCCTTCATCGAGGCGCCCATCGAGTATAGATCCAGCCCGTAAAAGCCTGCCGCCTCTTTGACGGGCTTGCCGGTGTTGAACTCGCGGAGCCAGGCCACGAAGTCGTGCACCTCGTCGTTCCGCCACATCCATGAAGGGAACCGCTGAAAGGGGGCGTCGTCCCCCCTCCTTGGGAACGGTCTTGTCGACGCCGTGCGCGGGCCGTCGCCCGGTCTGCGGCGCACGTAGCGATCAATGGCCTCGGCGTCGGGCCAGTCGGCTTCGACGGCGACGATGTCGAAGCCGTGGTTTTGGATCATGTATTTGGTGATGGCGGCGCGGGCCGCGTAGAACTCGGACGTGCCGTGGGATGCATCCCCGATGAGGAGCACCTTGCAGCCGGCAAACCGGTCGAAATGCTGCCCGAAGCCGTCGCCGGATGGGGAGAGGGCCGGAAGGGTTTGGGCGTGCCGGCGCACGAGGCGGGCTGCGGCTTCGAGGGTGCGCATAGGCTGTAGACTTCTGCGGGAGGTGGAAGCCATTTTTTTATGCTGATGTTTTGAAACACGGATCAATCCATGGATGATTTCAAAAGGTTCAATGTTGAGAAGGCGTAAAAGAAAGAAGAGTAAGGAAGCCTCGTTGATACTAGTTCCAAAGAATTATTTAGAGGCAAGAGCAAGATGAGGCATCGCCGAATTGGTCAGTCACGCTACGAGTTCTATTAACAATAAAGGTTGCCCTCGGGTTATTTGGGGTCCTTTGCCCCATCCGTGAGGTGATCGGTGGCGTTGCGTTGCACCCAAACACAAAAAGGTTATGGATGGTGACGTCGATGACGATCGGCTTCAATGGGAGAAATGTGGCAACTGATTCTTTCAGGAGCAACTCCTCGTCACCTATTTTTATTGCGATAGATCCATGGATGGATCTATCCATTCAGTCCAATAGATATTCGTAGCTGGTAACTGGATCCATCAGGCGCACTTTTGGGCTCCCGCTTGCCACTCCTGCCCTCCGAAGCCTCTCTTTCTCTCCGACTCTTGCCCGCTATGACGGCTACTACAACGGCACGAGTCTTCAAGCAGCCCATAAAATGCCGGGGTGCCCTTGAAATTGTACAGGCAATGATGCCATGATGCATCGATGGCGACGATGGCAGGGTGGTGTGCTGCCACTTTTTTAAACTCCATCGATGGTCGGGCACGGATCACTGGGTGCTCCAACTCAAATCTTCAAGACCACTCTGAACGTGTCATAGATTGATCCATAGATGTCTCTCGTCATGTCCAAGCTGTCGATCTCGTCCCCCGGATATGGGTGATCCATTGCGACGTCGATGCTGGCACGTCAGTTAACAGTGCCGATTGTGGACGGACCCCCTGTTCTCAACATTGAACCCACCCGTTCTATCCACCATCACCCGAGTAGCCTGTCATCACGAGCTTGGTTGAGCCTGAGCCCCGTTGAAGCTCGCGGTATTGCTTATCTACATGTAGCCAGACAGTTCGTCTTGATTGTGGATCTTGTCTTCTCAGTGATGTACCCACCCACACATATGGGAGTCCATTCCATTAGTCAATGTTCGCCACTACGAAGAGAGGACCCTTGGTTGAGACGAGCCCTCCGTCCAGAGAGCCAGTGATGAAATCACGGCACGCAAGATGCGGGCGGATAAGAATGACGAGAATGGTTCCATTCGATCGGAAAAGAGACTACCAAAACATCCGACATCCGGAAGAACTAGATCGACACTCTATCCCGACGTAGAAGCATTCAGCAGGATCTCAGCCCTTCCATAGGCTAAACTGTAGGCCAGCCAGCCAGCCACCAGACTCGACAAAGCAGACCCTCGAGGGGGAAGCACGGCCCGGCTCCAGTCGACCCTCGGTCAATCATCAATGCCCCTCTCAGCGAAGGACAAGGCACGGATCTTCGGCGGAGCAGGGGGGCTTCGAGAATCAAGTCAGTCCCATGAGGGCGGACGCCCACCGGCCACCCCAACGCTCCGGAAGGTCCGAGTCCAAGGCATGATGCTGCTTATGCTCGTCGCTCGAGCCCCAGCCGCGCATCCCCGACAGAACGGCCGACTTGGCGCTTCTGATTCGCTGGCGTTGTAGGGCTTAGCTGGCTTCGATGACTGAGGTTGCTGGCAAACCCCGAAGCCGTTTTTCTCCAGTCTGTACTCATGGCAGGTGCGATGGATGGTGGTAGGTTGTGGAGTGAGCACTGCAGTCGCTGCAAAGCCCTTGGACCTGATCTGTTCTTGCTTGCTCCCCTGCATCAGATGATGTGCCCACGATACACCCCCACTACACACCTTCTACCCTTCACAGCCCGCAATCATTGATGCAGGTTATGCTGCGCCAACAGAGCATAGCTTTTCACAGCTGATTGCGACGGCTTTATTGTCTCTTTTTTTTTTTTCCTCCATCATTTTCTTCTTATTCTTTGCAATAGCCCCATCTTCACGATGGAATCGGCCTTGCCTCGAGGCCATTCCTCGGGCGAACTGACAGCAGCCGGTTGGCGAGTCTTGCCGGCCGCCGAAGTTGTGCGAGCTAGAAAATGAACCCTGAAACGTCGGTGTATCACCAGCTCTCGATCCGAGCGCGGCGGTCGCCGGTCTAGGGCTAATAATTGTTTCCTCCCGGAATAGAGGCGGGCAATGGGGCAATGGGTCGAGGGAGGGATCCGTCCATGGATGGATATAACGGGGTTCGCTATAGCCCTCGACTTTTGCCTTTGTTCAAGACTCAACGAAGGCGCTTGGGCCTTCTGGAAGACATGGACCCATTCCACCGTGTTGCGAGGTTGACAGGTTGACAGGTTGAGGTTGACTTGAACGTGCCGCCCCATAGTCGAGGGTTCAATGTTCCCTTGGTGCATGAGCCTCTCTGCTCAGAGATCGACGATTTCCGACAGACTCGGCCGTGCAGGGGTCGCTGCCAGGGGCCTCCCTTGTCTGAGTGGTGCGTGCGATAGCAATAGCGAGTGCCGTTAGGCTAGTCACATAGACTAATGCAACCTTGAATTGATCTGGGGTTTTTGCTTTTCGCCCTCGATTCTCGCCTCTCCCCACATTCAAGAGAGCGGCTTCAATTCTTTATTCGCTGCACCGAACGGCGCTCGAGTCGCGGCTGATTCAACGTCGATGTCGCTCCGGAGACCGAAAGAAAAGTCTCTGCGATCACTTTGAGCCTGGCGAAGCCAGAGTAAATACAATTGATTGTCGAAGGGTACTCTACCAAGTTGAGACTGCCTCTTTTCCTTCTTCTTTTTCCATCCATCTATCTATTGACCGACTCTTTCTCTTCCATCTCGTGTAGTACAGCAAGGCCCTTTTTCTTTTTTTCCCATTCAATAGAAACAACCTGTAGACATTAGTAGGTAGTGGAGGCTGGGGCGAAATTCAACTGACGGACATTGGCTTATGGAGGTGTCCGTCGTGAGGCTCCTAGGAAGAAGAGAAAGGGCAAGAAAACCCTTGGATCTGAAACGCCGAAGCCGTCCCGTCCACTCGCAACGCCCAAGGCGATATCCTGCTACAGGGGTGTGCACCATCATTGTGGTTTTGGTCGCACGGGACTGTGCCGTGAGCTTGACCTTGACGCAGGTACCTAGCCTCCTCCCCCGGCTACCCGCTTAGGATATCTGTCGTTGTATGCATTTAGTTCGCCGTCCTCACATTTGGTACGGTAGTTTAATGGCCACCAGCTCCGGATCGGTACCTCGTTCGCTAGAGCCTCTTCAACCTCTGATACTTGCATCCCCTTTCGGGGAAAGGCAAAATAACCTTATACCTACACGGGGCATGTCCCGCCTAGTACCGCTTTCGGTGAGGTCAGACCTCCGGCCCGAACGAAGCTCGAGGGACCCCGTCTATGGGTGAGGGCTTGCCATTGTGCTGCAGACTATGCCGCCCTCCCTCCAACCCTGATGCATCTTTGACACCCCTAAAGCACGGATAAGCTTAACGACTGCTTCACCACGAAAAGAAGGGTATCCGCTCTACACCATCCGCACACCGTAGCTCTGACGACTATCCATCCCCTTTCTTCCTCTCTCCTCAGCTAAGCCTAGTGGTAGAAACGCTGAGCGAGATAAAGAGCGAGAACCATGTGGCGATAGCTTTCCGTGCCGGGACCCCAACTGGGCAACATGACACACCAAGATCCTTTAACCGGATCTGGAGTCTGTATCGTGTAGGATCCAAGAGCCCAATGGCCAAGAGCTGATCGACAACGGAATCCGCAGATCAGTAACACTCAAGCGCAAAAGTGGAACGTGCGATCTCTTCATCCCAACTCACACATGGCCTTTTCCATTGTTCCTATCCCTATCGCTCCCATCTACCCCATCGACCCCCTTCCACACTTGCCCTTACCAAGGGAGGCTTGTTTCCCACGCTATGAACTTAAAGAACTTAATCGCCCCCGCATGTTTGATCGTATCCCCGTCCTTCTTCCTTCTCTCTCTGTTCTTCTTTTCCTTTTCTTGTTCAGCGGTGGCTGAAAAGCAAACAAGACACTCATTTATTTGTGCTTACTACTCTCTTTTAATACGGTAGGATCTGTTCCATGATTCCCACTTGATTTTGGGACGTCGAGGAACAGCCAACAGACACCAACACTCTACACTCGCGATGGATTCTTCAGGAGTCGGCATGGCCACGGGGACGGCGGGAGGAGCGGCGGCGACCAACACGGGGATGACGGTGGAAGGAGGGAACAACATGATGCTCTTCTCCAACAGCGTGCCGGACAGGTCAAGTGGGCTACAAATCTTTGCTCTCTTCGTCCTCTTTTCCTTCCCTTCGCTCGCCCTAGTCGTCGTATCGCTCAGAGCAGCAGGAAGATGGGCCTGGAGGCAATTCGGCTGGGGTACGTTTCTGAACCATCTTCCTTTTTCTCTTTGCTCGAGATGGAAAGGGGTAAAAATGCCGCGAGGCAAACGCAGAAAAGAAAAGCCTGGCTAACATGCACACGAAACTTTTAGACGACACCCTCATTTGCGTCGCCATGTTCATGTCCGCCATCGAGACAGCGGCCAGCTACAAGTACATCAAGACCAACTACGTCGGCATTCGGGGCCGGGATATCCCCCCACGACCCTACGGAGGGCATGGTTTGGAACTATGCCGTCCAAATCTTCTACAACCCCATCCTCGCCCTCGTCAAGCTTTCCGTGCTCATCTTCCTCTACCGGCTCTTTGCTCACAAGCGAGGAGTCAAGCTCTACATTGTCGGGCTTTCGGGAGTTACCCTGGTGCAGTTGGTGGCTGTGGCTGGCGCCATCATCTTCCAATGCACCCCCATCGCCTTCAACTGGACGCCCACCCTCCCCAATGGACGTTGCGTGGATCAGAGATCCCTCTACGTGTCGACGGCGGCCTTCACGATCCTAACAGACGTGCTGGTCCTCGGATTGCCCGCATACATCTTTAGGGATCTTAACATCCCCAAGAAGACCAAGATTGCCTTGCTCGTCGTTTTCCTCATGGGTGGACTGTAAGTCAAAAACACCAACCAAAGCCACGCATCCCCTCCTCCCATGCATACCACTTCAAGAGGTGGTGCCTGGGTTGAATGAAGATACTGTTGGTATAGAACTAACACATGCGGCTTAGTGTCACTGCGGCAAGCTTCGCCCGCCTCATGATTCTCGTGGTCGGCCTCTATAACCTCGCTCCCGTGGCCAACCCTGACCCTACCTACAACATTGGTTTCGTCACCTCGGCCATTGAGACCAACTTGGCCCTCATCACCGCCTCAGCGCCTGCGCTCATGCCTCTTCTTAAGTCGTGGTTCCCCAACGTGTTTGGCCAGAACAACAGCGAGCCAAGCGCGCGCGACAGGGGCACAATGCGGCACCTTGTCAAGCCAACGACGCCGAGGAAGAGCGACGAGGAAGGCCTTTACACCGTTACAACGGGTGGCCAGGCGCGTTAAAAGGGAGATCAGTCCAATCCCCATTTATCGATATTCTATACCTTGCATGGATGTATCCAAACGAAGACCTGCAGGGCTCTGGCTCTTTCGTCCCATCCCTTTTCCTTCTCTTCTTTCCAATCATTTTGTTCCTTTTTTCTTCTTTTTTTACCAAAAAGCTTTCATGACTAGAGAGCACGGGTCCGCGCTTCACGTTGAAATGGGGAAATGGGGGTGGGATATGGCTGTACACTACGGTTCCTGTACGATGTATGAAGATGCAGGGAATAAGGGGCAGCAAAGGTGCACAGGTGCGACTCACCAGCAACAGCCTGGTGGAAGATGGCGGATCCAAGAGGCGAAGGACCTTTTTCGGGTTTCCCGCTTCTCTTTTCTTTTCCTCTTTCGTCTTTTGGCGTCTTTTACTTTTCTCTTTGCCTTCTTTCCATTTGGAAGACACACTGGCGTTTTCTCGGGATGAGCGGACTCAAAGCCCGGACATACGGGAGGGATACCTGGGGGTCATTTTCTTGATACCTGTTCTTCTTTTCTTTCTTACTCTCATTTTACGCACCCTTACTTTTTACCAATGACTACACACTCTTTTTTCTTTTATCCTTTTCTCCCGGATCGTGAGAAATGATTAGACCTTTAGACTGCTCACCCTCCGTCTACTCAGGTGCTCAGGGTAGAGTGGCTGACGGCGGCCGAACGGGCAACTCCATCATGTCGGTGATAGTCAAAAAGAAAGGCTAAGCGATAGCCGGTAGAGAAACACAAATAGATTGATTTGTGATGGAATACAAATCCTTGTCAACCATCGATCGTCACCATCTAGCGAACCCATCCGTGACTAGCCCGAAACGTCAATATCCGGCTGCCACGTTATTTTCACAAGAGAACGAACTAAGGGTCAAAGGTGATGGTAGTTTGGTTCCCGCGGGATTCTGCTCCATGGAACAGCTCAATGGATCGGCCAGAGGGCTATCAGCGTGTTCGGATCAAAAATTTCCTTGTGGGGGCGGGACGGGAAGAGGGTTCCAAGGCGCGGGGAGCAAGTGTGAGAAGAGCGTTTCAGCGTCTGGGGAAAATATACTCGTGACGAAAAGGTTCGAAATGCTGGTTACCGTATAGGCGGAATGCGGAGGGTTGATGCAAGGGCGGACAAGATGAACGGGAGTGGGGAAGATGAAGGGAAATTCAATATATGAAAGAAAAGAGTCATTCCGTAAGATAAACCTAGATGACAACGAGGGTTTGCAGGAGTCGTTGATTAGTATTACATCAATAGATCCAGGATCAATCGTCGATGCATAGATTCAATGGATGGATGCATGTTCTCAGATGCTCCTTCTATTATTTGGTGGCGTCTATTATAAGTGTTGAAGGAAGGGACAAGTCACATTGAGTCGAGATCGAACGCCGAACGAGAAACGAGGCAGCTGATGGGTTCAATGTTCTGGCTAGTTCCTTGATATCAAGCGTGGACAAATGGATCGTTCCTTTCGCATTTTTCGGATCTTGTTCTCGGCGGACAACCCCCACTATTTGACATCTTCACTCCCTGGATGCCCTCAAAGGTGAATATCCCTGAGATGACAAATTCACAATGCGCAAAGACGAGCACGAACAAAGACGACATGACTTTTGGCAGTTCTGCTATTGGACAGCTCAACAAGTAGCCTCTAACCGGGGGACCACGGGCTGGCCAGTCATCAAAAGGGCGTCGTCCTGCAGAAACCGCGGCGCGGGGTCGCGCATGCGGGGAGAGAGAGATTGGAGATGGGAGAGTGTTTATCAAGGACGGCCCAAGGATTCGAGACCGAGCTTTCGTTCTTTGCAAAAGCGGCTATCGAGGGAAATCCACGGACCTTGGAGCGGAGTCATAGGGGAACTAGCAGTAGAAGACGCGGATGCAACTTTAGATTGCGCAACGCAAAACTAACCCGCATCCTGCTGGATTAGCCCGGGCTGACGGCAGGATCGGACTTTGGGAATATCGAGAGCACCGGTGACTCCTCACTGACCCCATTGACGCACCGAGGCGCGTACGGGGTGCGCGATGTGAGAGGTCCAAGGCGGAGGCGAGGAAAGATGATAAAAAAGTGGAACAATGGACATTTTAGATTTTCGATTGCAGTCCTCTTTGGTCCCCTTCAAAATTTCCCTAGTCCACTGAACCCGCTTTAAAGCGTTTGAGATATTGACAAAAGCTCCTGTGGCTTCCTCCTATTTTCGAGTCTCTCTCAATCTTGATTCTCAGCTTGTTCCAGCGGTCAAAAATGGCTTCCGCGTATAGTCTCTCTCAGGAGCATAATCCCATCTTCGGCAAAGAGCTCAGGAAGCAGTTTCCCTTTGCCCCCGAATGGGTTAACCTCAACCACGGTAACATCCCGTCTCCACGCCTCTTGACCAACTTCCCGCGTGCCGCGTGTTAACACCAAAGCTTCAGGTTCCTTTGGCTCTCTCCCCAACGTCGTCCGCCAAAAGAGCGATGACTTGCGGAGCCAGACGGAAGCCCGTCCGGACTGGTTCATCCGCTACGAGTACCCCAAACTCCTAGACGAGAACCGCGCCGCCGTCGCCGAGCTCGTCAACGCCCCGCTCGAGACCGTGGTGTTCGTCTCCAACGCCACCGTCGGCGTCAACACCGTCTTCCGCAACATCCGCTGGAACCCGGACGGCAAGGACGTCGCCCTCTGCTTCTCCACCGTCTACGGCGCCTGCGGCAAGGTAATTGATTACATGACCGACTACCACCAAGGGCTCGTCTCCTCGTACGAGATCCCCCTCGCGTACCCCGCCGAAGACGCCGATGTCGTGCAAAAGTTCCGCGACGCCGTCCGCGACCTCGAGGCCGAGGGCAGGCGCGCCCGCATCGTCGTCATTGACGTCGTCTCCTCCCTGCCCGGCGTGTGCTTCCCTGGCAGGATCTCGTCGCCGCCTGCAAGGAGCTCGGCGTCCTGAGCATGGTCGATGGCGCCCAGGGCATCGGCATGCTGCCCCTCGACCTGTCCGCCGCCGATCCCGACTTCTTCGTCTCCAACTGCCACAAGTGGCTCCACGTGCCCCGCGGATCCGCCGTCTTCTACGTGCCCGTCCGGAACCAGCACCTTATCGCCACCACGCTGGCCACCAGCCACGGGTACATACCCCGCACCTCCAACCGCCTCAACCCCTTGCCGCCGAGCTCCAAATCCCCTTTGTCACCAATTTCGAGTTCGTCGGCACCCTCGATAACTCCCCTACCTCTGCATGAAGGATGCCATTGCGTGGCGCCGCGACGTTCTCGGGGGCGAGGACAAGGTGCTCGCCTACCTCTGGGATCTGAACAAGGTCGGCGCCCGTCTCATCGCCGACCACCTCGGCACCCCGTCATGGAAAATGCCACCGGCAGCCTGACCAACTGTGCCATGGCGAACATCGCCCTCCCCATCTGGGTCGGCGAGCCCGGCGCGGGTGCCCTGGACACCGACGTGACCCTCACCTCGGACGAGTCGGCCAAGGCTCTCCAGTGGATCCTGCGCACCCTCATGTCGGACCACAACACTTTCGTAGCGCTTTTCATCCACGGAGGACGCTACTTTACCAGAGTTAGCGCGCAGGTGTACCTTGACCTCGATGATTATCGGTACGGCGCCAAGGCTTTGAAGGATGTTTGTGACCGCCTTGCGAAGCGTGAATTCTTGTAAGGGGGCCGAAAAGGACAGTTCAAGGAGGGAGAGCGGCGCACAACGGATTTGTAGTATCGGCGATGGTTCGGGATATATTATGCGCATGCGCGTGTGCCCAATTGGTATCGGGGTCTGGTGATCTAGCAGTCATTCAATTGAACCGTACCAGAAACTGTTTAAAAAGAAATGGTGAATTATACGAGATACTGATATATATACCTCGGTATGCAAGGGTTTATCTATCTGCTTCTGAACAGTACTTGAATGGGTATTGTATCACTCCGATATGGAGTCAACATAGGAAATAGGATTTTAAAAGAAAAAAGCAAGAAAAGAAAGAAAGGAAGACCTCCTCAAAAACAAGCCGGAGTGATTATGCGATTTGACCAACTCACTTCTTCCTCCTCATCACGACGCCGCACGCACTATCCCAGACACTATCCCCCACCCTCGAGGGAATCTTTCTCCCCTTGAGCCTCTGATCCAGCAGCCACATACCCACGACAAACTCCCTGCGGCCCAGCGCGCCCTTCTTCTCCCTGTCCACCAGGTCCCAGACCTCCTCGAGCTCGTCGTTGGGCAGTCTGCTGCGGGCCCAGATCTCGCGCACGACGGGACCCACGACGTACGAGGACGCCTCCTCGTCGGAGGGGATGACGCGGGCGCCGTGGACGTCGACGAGGCGATCGGCGAGCATGCCTCTGTTGCTGGCCCACACGGCCTCGTAGCGGCGGCGCTGGGGTTCGGTGATGGCGTCGCGCCAGCGCTTGCGCGCGCCCTCGTGGTGGGTGTGCTTCTTGGGCCGTAGGCGGTTGCGGCGGTAGCGCTTCTCGCGCTCGGAATCCGAGTCGTTGTGCTGTTTGTGGTGGTGGTGGTGCGGGTGTCTGCCGCCGCCGCCAGTGTTGTGATGGGACGAGGTTCCGGAGCCGGCGCCCTCGGGGACCGGAGGGTCTGCAGCAGGCGCGGGGAGGGTTGCGGACGGTGGTGCAGGACGCGATCGGCGTCACCCGTGTTGCTCGGCGTGAGGCGGGCCGAGGCGAGGGAGCCGGCGACGATGGCGTTGGAGAGCTCGGCCGTGGGGAGGGTGCTGGGTATGGCGCCGACGGGGCCGCGGCGTGGCGGGGAGGGGCGGGCTTGCGGGTGGGGGAGGCGGATGTGAAGGCTCGGCGGACGGGCTGGGCGGTCCTGGACGGCGAGCGAGAGGGGGAGGGGAGGGGAAGGGGAAGGGGACTGGAGGGAGGAGGCGGATACAAAAGTGTCGTGGGACGAAGTGGTGTTCATCGTGTCCCGCCTTGCGAGGGGGTCAAGGCTTGCTCGTCACCAGTAGGATCTTTGGGTTTTCGAGGTGGGAGCCCGGCGGGGCGTTTGGCTGCGCGCGGGGCGGGGCGGAAGGTCGGTGGTTGTCGTCCTTGGCAGGTCCGGGGAGCGTCTTTGTGGAGCTGCCACCACGCGGTTTTGGGGAGTGGGAGGTCTCTGGGTACTCGTCGTCGCCGGCTTCAGGACCGTTCCTGTAGGGGAACAGCCTCGAGTGACCGTACCGCAGCGGCGGGAGATATCTTGGCCACCCCCTCGCCGCCATCAGCGCCGTGTTCGCAGGGTCCATGTGGGGCTTTGGGTTCGGGCTGGGCTTCGACTTTGGCGCTGCTGCTGTCGTTGCTGTCGCTGTTGATTTTACCGTGTGTGTCGTATTTGTCATCGTTGTTTCCGCTGTTGTCGAAGGGGAGCTACGGTATTCTTGCCGTGCACGCCATCCTTTGCGTGCGCACCTGGCCTCCCGGAATCGACTGCGGCACCACCCCTCTTTGGTGAGTCCACTTTGACGGGGTCTCCGGTCCGGACCCTTCTCACGTCTTCAAACATGGATATCAGTGACGTTGTCGGTTTTAGTGAGCTCGTATCCGTACGCTCCAGGGAACTGGGTGCGGGTGGTCCAGTCCTGGCGGGACTGATGGGGCGCGATAGCGGTCGCGGCGCGGGGATGGCGACCGACTGGCTGCAAGGTTGGCAGCGATAAAAGAGGTATTTTTGGAGGTGCGCCCGGCCTTTGATTCGCTTAGTAGAGAGGTAGTCAACCCCGTCGCGGTCCTGGGAACCTGCGATGAAGCAGCGACGTGACCGCCCCTCCCCTTCAGCGCGTATTCCGACGCCGAGTCCGAAGCGGGCGAGGCGTCCCTCGACGGGTCGCGGGCTCTCCCGTACCCTGAGCGGAGAGTCTGCCGTCGCTCCGAGCGAGGGAGCTGTCTCTCGACCCTGCCGCAATCCCAGCGGCTAAAAGCGCGCTTGGCGACCCGCCGGCAGACGGCTCAGCCAATTTCCGCCGCTCCATCGTAGCCGGCAGGCTCGGTTTCGGTTTCGGCTTCGGCTTCGGCTTCAACTGGGACGGAGGCGGGGACGACGGCGCGCGGGTATAGGCTTGATTCGTGGAGAGGGCGGGTCTCTGGGGGAGGTTCCCCTGCGGAATGCCAGCAAGGCGCCTTGCAGAGCGGGACTACTCGTGCCTGCGAGGGAAGGGGTGCCGGCGCCGGAATGGCTCGAGGAAGGAGAGGGCGAGCCCAGCGGGGAAGGCCGCGGATGGGAAGGTGTCATTGCGGGATGGGCGTGGCGGACTGGACGTGAGACATAGGGGGCGTGCGATGGCGGGGATTGGGGGCCCCTCTCCGGCCGGTGAGACAGTGAGCGAGAGGTGCGGGCTGGGAGCGGGAGCGGACCCTGCGACCGAGACGCGAGAGACGCGGGGAGTTGACTCGGCGTGGTGGTAGGCCGCAGTGCCTGCGAGGTATATAGATCTGTGTGCGCGTTTAAAGATTGGCAGGGGCGTAAGAGGGGGAGGGAAAAAGGGGGTTAGGATGGTCAAAAAGAATGTGAAAGAGGATGCTCCCTTTTTTGGTTCTCCCCTTCGGCGTTCGCGGATGTGGATCTGGAGGATGAGAAGCACCCAGAAGCTGGGCTGACAATTGCCAACTGGAGCTAAGAATACCACGGCAACATAGCTCCAATGGGCTGAAACCGCCTTCGAATTTTAGCACTCTCCACACTGCTCCCGTGGTGCGGGTACCTGCTGTAACGCTACGGTTGACTGGGACCAGATGGCCGATGACATCGGTATACTTTGTACGAGATCGAGAGCTTCGCGAGGTACATTGACCCTTGGGCTCAATTGTAGAAAAATCAGCAACCGCAAGGTTTATGGTACTGCTCTCGATGGCATTCTAAGAGGTTGCTGGATGCGCTCAGCTAACGACTGGAACATTCGCTGCCGGCCTCGCCAGCTTCAGGCCCCGTCACCCCATGTATTGATTACGCACGACTCCACACCGCAAACCGGATCACGGAATCGAAATTCTGAAAGAGAACGAAAAGGCGGGTCTTCTCGTCCCCCCGGCAAAGGCGGGAGCAGCTTGCCCCTTTTCAGTAAACGGTCGCCATTGCGAGACGACGCCACTCGAAGCTTCCAACCCCGAGATCCGTCGATGCGAGAGAAAAAGTTTTAGTGTGTATTATCAATGATGCTTACCGAATGCAATTTGGCCTGGGCTGAAGAAAGGCGCATGCCGGTTTAATGGATTTTGGGTCGAACGTTGCCAGTTGCTGTAATTAGCTCCACCCCATCAATCATCAATCAATTATTGACTGCATCGGCCGGATTCATGGGCCCGCTCCATCCTCTGCATCCACAACTAAAATGTCGTACATAAGGGAGGATAAAGAGCATGCGTATGTACAAAGTATCTCGTTACTCGTATCCCCACCAAAACCGCGCCGGCTTGCTGCAAGCACTATTACATCAACATGCGTCAAATTACCTGATCTCAATCGGGTCTCGACCTCCAAGAATCCCAGGCGTGACCACCCAGAGGCCAGAACATCAAATGGGATTCATCCAGTGGATAGGTCTGGCAGCGGTGCAACCTGGCTGGCGGCGCAGTCACACTTGACCAAAACCTGACGGCAACGGATATTCGAGATCATCAGCACATGCAACACGTCACGGAGCGGAGCACCAGAGCTCAAGGATCCAGTTCTTCCCAGGTCCATACGGGTCAACACGGGTCAACACAGGTCAAGAGAGACTTGAAGGGGAGAAAATGTCATGGAATTCGAGCCGGTTGGCATCCTTTCCAAGGATGCTCAACGGCGATAAATGAGAAACCGAACAGCAAAACAAACAGAATCCACCGCCCCCTGACCTTCCAAAAGGCCTATAGATCAGATGAACGCCCCGATTAAACTCCTGGTAAACAACGTATCAGACAGACACCCGGGCTGTTCAACAACGCAGGGACGCCAGCCTCCCTCCCACACCCGCCCACGCATCGTTCCCTATGCCAGGAAACAATGAGCGACGTCCGCGTCCTTTTTTGTTTCTCAGACGAGTCTCGGCTCGCGATACGCACGATGCGCGCAAGCCTATCCTCGTCCGCCTCCCGTAGGATTTCCTGCCCCGACTCACCCAGGGCCACGGCCAAGGGCTTACCGGGTGTAGAACCCAGACTCGCAAGATGAAAACAATAAATACAGTGTCAAAAAGAAAAGAGAAGAGTCCGGTTCAGGAAAAGACGGATATGGTTTGGGGAGTCATTAATACAAGTAAGAGGTGAACAAGGTTGATACTTGAGATCCCCTAGAGAGCCCTCCCGTCTCTCGTTAACTCAAGATCAGAAAGCCATGTTCCGAAGCAGAAAAAGAGAACGACAAGTAAAGGGAAAGAAAGAAAAGGAGGGTTAGAACAAGAAGAAGAAAAGAAAAAAGGGAAGAATGGAGAGAAAGGATTGTGTTCGCGCCCAACAAAGATGCCATCTGATATCGAATGCATCGTCAGTCGTGGTGAGTCATGGCGTTAACTTCATGAGGGCAAATCATGATATGTACTATCTTCGGGAATCCCGAGGCCTCGACCCGAGAACGGCACCCCGGGAAAACAGAAGAAAAGAGAGGGGAGAAAGACCAAGACCGCAGAGGCGAAGCCATGCGTGGTGCGCGTAATTCGTTGGTAGTCGACTCGTTTCGCTTTTAGTCAAGCTGGGGAAAGATGCGGAGAAAGAAATTAAAGAAAGAAAGAGAAGAAAAAAAAAGGAGAAAACGGCTTCTTGTCTCGTACACCCCAAAGGGAGTGAGGTGGGAGATGGGAATAGGGGCTGACAAGAACAGCGGGGAGGGGGTATGAGCATCCATTATCAGAATGCGTCCTCGTCTGTCCACTCGCTTGCCGAAATGATCCGGTTTCCGTCCTGATCAATCATGATGTGGTTGGCGTGCGGATGAGAGCTGGGCGGAACACCACGCGGCCGCTTGCTCTGACTTGAATACGGGCCATGTCCGCTCTCCGGCTCCACGCGCTTAATCCGGGCTGCCCTGACCTTGGCGTAATAGGTGTCGGTGGCATCCTGCTCGGGCTCGCTATTGTCGTCGTACGTCTCCCAGTTCTCGGACCCGGATACTAGCGTCGAAGTGTGCGATGTGTGCGACGTGCCCGATATTTGTCGGGCCGCGGGCGGCGCTGGCGGATAGTTGGATGACTGGAGATGCCTTATCGACCCAGGACGCTCCTGCTGCTGCTGCTGCTGCTGCATATACGAGTGGGTCGACGCCGGCCGAGAGTAGCGCTCCGCAGCTCCGTCGTCATAGACGTCTTCCGGGTCCACCCGCGCACGATTGACCCCAGTCCTACCGACGAGTAAGGATTGGCGGGGGTCTCTAGAGTGGGCGCAGGTATCAGGTCTCGCATCTTGGGGGTGGCGCTCTCATCAACCCAGGTCCCCCGTGCGGGCCCCATTCCATCCGCCCTCGAATCTGGTCGGCGTTCCGGAGAGTTGGTTCCGTGCTTCAAGTTGCCCAGGGGCACTCGCGCAGGGATTCGTGACGGACTCCCCTTTCCGTTGGCTACAATTTGTGGCGCTGGTGCCGGGTTGCGCTTGTTTCCTGTGGGAGTCTTGTTCATCGCGCGCGATGGCGCCGCCGACCGACTAGTAGTGCTGTTGGTGCGCGTGGGAGGGGCAGATCTAGAACCCTTTGTCGTAGAAGCCGGAGGCCCCGCGGGTGTCTTCGACCTGGGTCCGGTGCGGCTGCCTTGGGTTCATCTTCTTCCATCATCTCGATATACCTCTCACCATGAACTAGAATTCCCGTCCATATTCGTCCTCCCACTTTTCGAGGGCCTTGCGCAGGTCGGCCGAGATCTTGGGCAGCTCGCGCGCGATTCGCTTGCGCATCTTTTCCTCGCGAAGAAGCTTACCGGGATCGCGCCTTTCGCCCTTTGTCCGCGCATCATCAGCCGAGACGCGTCTTTAGCCGACGCCTGAAGCTCCTTCTGCTCCGTCACGAGGCTCTTGTGCCTGTCTACAAGCGCGAGGATGGGCGCCCGCTGCTCGGAGCGCTTCGAGCCGCGCAATCTCCCGCTCGTGGGCTTCGAGCAACGCATCACTATACACATCGGAAAAGGCAGGCGTGAACTCGAGCATCTCGTCCTCCGACAGATACAGAGAATCCCAGAGTTCCTGAAGCTTGCAGCGCGCGTCTTCGACAAAGAGGTGAAGGTTTTCGTGCTTGAGCTCATTGAGTCGCGCCAACTCATCCTGGAATTCATTGATTTGGCGCACCCCGCATCCGCGGTTGGCGTTTGTGAACGCCTTTCGTTCACCCTCGTCGATGCCCAACTTATTCCAGAGGGCCTCCACAGCAGCCTTGAGTTCCTTTAGGCGTCTTTCCCGGTTCTTCTTCTCATCCGAGAGCTTTTCCTTCCTTGCCCGAAGCCGCACAATGTCTTCCTCATGCAGTCCCAGTTGCTCGGGGGCGTCGCGATAGTACTTGACGATGGCGCCGTCGGTTTGGGCTTGGGGAGTGCCGAGTTCCGCCCAAAGCTGGATAATCTGCTCACACACTGTCTTCACAGTGGCAACGCGTCGAGAGTACTCCTCATACACTCGAGTGAATTCGTTGTCCAGCTTGTCGACGTATGCCGGTGAAATGTCGAAGTTGGGAGGGATAGACTGGTTGGGACCCGTAGGGGAGGGAAATCCGTACAAAGGTGGGTTCGAGGTGGGATGAGTAGGATTCGAGTGCTTGCACCAGTTCTAGAAGATGCAAGGTAACGGGGTTAGTGTCCGCCCTAGATCGCGTTCAGGATGCAGTAGGGAAGGATGAACTCGTACTCTTAACTTGCTCAAAGCGCTCTCTGTGTATCCTGCTTATTTGCAGGTGCTTCTCCTTGAGAGTTAGGAGGCACTGGTTGAGAGGGTAGGTGATTTGCAGCTCATCATCGTCATGGTAATCTCTCCGCGAGCGCGAGTCGTCTAGGGACGACTCCATCTGCCGGATAGTAGTGACGATGGTCTGAGCCTCGTCGATGAGGTCCTTCTTCTCGGCTGTTACACGGCGAAGTTGGTTGTTTAATGTGTCGGAGAGTGCGGCAAATAGCTAAATCGGCGTAAGCATTCACAATCCGGAACGAGTGCTTGCGGGGTGGCTTCAGGGAGAGAGAGAGGGAGAGAGAAGTGGATGTCTTACCTCTGCCTCACGATTTTCCCGATCATGATCAGGAACTCCAATCTCATCAAATAGGCCGTGAAGCTGATTGATGATGGAGTTCACCTGCTGTGACAGGTAGCTTGTGTCCATTTTGGACGTGTCCATGGCGATTGCAAGTCAAGTCCGGCCAGTTGTAGAGGCGTAGGGGCGATATGCCTTTGTTGGTTCACACTGGGGTTGGTAAAAGAGGTAAGGAAGAGACGAGAGTCCGGGAAGGTTGAGGGGAATGGGTGTAAAAGGTCGAGGCCCGTTCCGATGTCAGGAAAGGGGAAGAAGAGGGAGAGAGAACGCTTGAGGTGCGTCTCCCTTTCGACTCGAGATTAGGAAAGCGCAGGCACAAGGCTGGTGTGTACTTTTCTTCGGTACAAAGTGGAAGCGTATGCGTGAATGTTTATTCCAAGTTTAGATGCAGGGCCGACGTCAACACAAGATCGCAAGTAGTGAAGAGGTACAAGGGCTGATGCATTGCACGAAAGAATGGCCAGGCGTGCTTGCTTTGTGATGTGCGTTGAAGGCAAAAGCAAGGGGGCGCTGCAGATGATGATGAGGGCGAAAGCCTGGTAAAACTAGACGGCGATTGGCTGTGTCTTCCAGTTCATCAGTTCGATCGCAGCAGTGACGGACCAAGATGGGAAAGGCGTGCACTGAGAAAGGATCCCTGGCTGGTCAAGGTCGTTCACGGTCGAGGGTTCATGTCCTGTTTTAGCACAGCACGAGGGGATCATTGGCTGAAGTGTTTTGGGCGGGCCAGATCTTGTTGTTGACAACACTAAACATGACAAGCGTTGCCCAGGCAACAACAACCGCCTTTGGGCCATCGCGTGGACGGAAGCCCCACTGTTTCATGTCGAACCCCGCCGCGCAGGCCTTCAGTCCAGTCCGGGTTCACTGTACCCTCTCATTTCTTGCATCCTTGCCTTTTTATTACTTGGTCTCCATTTCGTATTGTCAGGGATTTGTATTGCCTCTAACTCCATTCAGGCGCGCTCTTTAAGGTGCTGCACATCCGAGGTCCTTCACGTCAGTCGTTGATTGATGACAATGATGTACAAGTATCAAGTACCTTTTCCAGAAAGCCGACTCTCAACTTGAAGCCCAGGTCGGTCACGAGTCAACCGATCCTTCCATCAGCGACGCGACGCACCACTGCGCTAGTGTTCGGGCGCCGGCAGCCGGTCCATCGCCGACCTATGCCGCCTGCCATGGACCGGCGAAGAGTGGAAGAATGTGGTGTTACAACCGGTATCGATGATGTTGGTGCAGCATCACGTCTCGCTTCGGGGGCTTATCGTTGTTTTTGCAGTCAACGCAAATAGATAATAGTCGCGCTGAGTCCCTTGTCGCCAAATAACACCCGGCACCGTCAACCCTTCAAGCAGTGACCATTGCTGGCTTCCCGGAGAGAAAAGGCGGAAAAAGAAGCAATATTCAATACTAAGATGATCAAGTCTGAGCGGGCATGTCGGAAATAGTAGATCACTTGTCTTACGTGACTCTCTAATAAGTTAAAGAGTGCCATCCGGGAAGGGAAGGTGCGTTAAACGCTTTCTTCATCTCATTTAAGACATCCAACAAACTCAGACAAGCATGATAGATCGAGGTATGCGCGCCCGGCGTCGTTGAAGTCTACTGCCATCCTTCACCTCGTTCTCGGATGCGCACAACACAAGCGAGGAGAAGCCCAATTGAGGGGTAGACGCCAATATCAACACCCACCAGACTAGATCTCTGAAGAAGGATGGCAAGGAGTTGCCAGCTAATAAGCAACTTCGTTCAGCTCATACATAGTAGCACATGCGCTAGTTTCAAGGAGGAGAGTTGATCATGAGGAAGACGCTTGGTGTGAAGACTCTTGATTTCGTAATTCTCCTTAGACTAGTAATTGTACCTCACGTCAGCTTGAAGAGGCTCGAGTGTTTCTCCAAGCAGCTACTTGATGCCGGTCCCAGTGTCAATGACGATCCTTCCCAGTTCACTCTGGCATGCTCTTGCCTCGTGCCTGATATGCCACTTTCATCCCGCCCCGCACTTTCCGCACTTGGAACTTTTTCCTCGCCCGCCCGATAATATATCCGGACTCAATGCGGCGGGTGAAAGGTCTTCGCATGTAGAGTAGCCAAAAGGATTGAGGGAGAGCTCAAATGATCAATTGATAGATTGCACTGTGCCACTGCACTCCAGAGCAGCGCAGGCAGAGCACACGAGAGGATGAATGGAAGAAGACACAAGCGATAGCTAGCACAGGTCTCGGAGCAGGAGCAATCGGGCTGTTTTTTTTTCTTTCTCTCCACGGGTCGAGGATGAGAGCCAAGAACTCGCCCTCGCTTCAACGTTCCTAGGCCGAATCGACGCGTCCAGGAAATTCCGGGAAATAGTGGAATGCAACGCGGCAAGCGTCCTAATCGTCTCCCGTGTAACTACCATCTATGATATCCAGCGATGAAAAAGTGCGAGTTAGGATACCGTGTGATTGGGAGTAACCTTCTATAAACGGAATGAAGCTTCTCCATCGGCACACATCCATTGCATGCACCTTAAGGAGCGCCAAATGTGTGATGCATCGATCCCCCGCCTGTTATCGTCTCTTTCGGATTCACACCACCTTCCTTCTCCAAGCGCTCTATCCATGGGCCGCAATTTCTTCTGGTTGCACCTAGGCAGACCTTTGGTAGTACTCGCGGAAGGACCAGAGGCGAGGTGCCTTGTTCCGAGCCACGACATGCTCCCTCTCGGCAAGCGATGATGACATTTTGGGCAAACCACCATCATCTAACCGCCTCTACAAGATAAATAATATTCCGGCTTTCTTATAGAGTTACATGACCGAAACACGCCCGCCGCCGCCCCGACCAATATCATTATAATTTATTAGTCTTGATTAAACGCGAATGGGGGAGGCTTAAGATACCATGACTGGCCGTTGCCATATCTTAGCAATATAAATATCCGGCTCTTGTCGGACAACCCCTCGTACGTCCCTCTAGCTTTCGTCGGGAAGCTATCGCCAGTCACAGCTACACTCCACCTCTCCACCTCGAGACGCGCTGTCCAAGTTCGTTCTTGAAGATGAAATCATACCTCTCTCTTGGGCTGCCGCTCCTTGCGCTTGGCGCTGCGGCGAAGAAGTGCTTCAGTCCCCTTCAGATTGAGAAGGAGATTACCACTTCGAGGTTCGTCGGCTCTGAATAGAAGCCCGATACCATGGTCGTTCAAAAAAAACGCTAATGCCTTATCCCTCTTAGCTTGAAGCAGACGTTGACGGACCTAGATGGGATTGCCCAGAGAAATGACGGGAACCGGGCTTTCGGTCTTCCGGGATACAAAGCCTCAGTGGATTACATCCGAGAGCAAGTCGAAGACGGCCTCAAGGATTCGTTCGACACGTGGATTCAGCCATTCAACCACACTTTTGAGCAGACCCGGAGAATCAGAGTTACTGGGCCCAACGGGGGAACTGTGTATGCTCTTTCCGTTATGTATAATCCTCCTACACCCGAGGAGGGCATTAAGGCCCTAATGATTGACACCCCGTCAACGACGAAACTGGTAAGTAGAGGGCCCATACCACGGCATCCGTGATCCTTTAGAGCTCGGAGGCTAACATCCAATCCTGTTCCAAGGTTCCATGTGCACCGAAGCAGACTGGGAAGGGATTGACGCGACTGGCAAGATCCCACTGATCAAGAGAGGTATCTGTGCTCTGTCGGAGAAGCTCATTCTCGCTCGTGCCCATGGAGCGGTTGCCGTCATTATCTACAACCAAGAGCCTGGTGACACGTACCAGAGCGCGACACTGGGTTCCGAGAACCGTGACAAGGTTCTTCCCATGGCGATTATTCGGCTGGAGATTGCCAATTATTGGAAAGAATCCCTCCAGGGGCCTGGAAACCCGAACTTATACGTGACTCTGCTGGTTGACTCCGTTTTGAGACGCGCGAAACATGGAACGTCATTGCCGAGACCAAAGAAGGCGATCCAGACAACGTCATCTTCCTCGGTGCACACCTTGACAGTGTTCAGGAGGGTCCGGGCATCAACGACGATGGGAGTGGAACGGCCGGTATTCTCGAGATCGCGAGAAGCTTTGCAAAGCACCCGGGCATCAAGAATAAGGTGCGGTTCGGGTGGTGGGGCGCCGAGGAGTCCGGGCTAGTTGGATCTCTCTATTACACTAGTCAGCTTAGTTCCGAGGAGGCTGACAAGATTCGGTACTACTTCAACTACGACATGATCGGCTCACCTAATCCAGCCTACGTCGTCTACGACGGGGAAGAAATTGGCTCTCAAAAGCTATTCGACTATCTCAAGGCAGCTGAAAAACCTGTCGAATTTGGGTATGCGCGTACATCCTACAATCCCTCGTAATCCCCTTGTTTGCATTTGCCAGCCTTTCGGAATTGCTCAACTGACAATGATATAGCGGATTCGGTTCATCCTCCGACTACGTTGGCTTCCTCGACCTCGGTATACCATCATCTGGCCTTTTCACCGGCGCGGGGACCCTGAAGATCCCTGCTACCACCAAGCCTGCGATCATATTGGGAATATCCATTGGGATGCCTTGACGTTGAATACCAAGGCTGCCGGAAGAGTAGCTGCAGAGTTCGCGGCATCCCTTGAAGGCATTCCTTCACGAAATGTCTCCACGACCCCGGCGAGAAGCAAGCGAGGAGACATGGCCCTTCTCAAGTGGGAGACTGCCCTAGCTCAGGTTCAAGCCGTGCGCCCTTGCGCGCACCAACATGATCACGACAACTTGTACTAGAGTATTGTGTAAAACAGAGACGAGTGGGAACTGAGTGGATGTCTTAGCGACAAAGCGAGCGCGTGTTATGCCCCTATTTGATGTTCGAGCAAGGAGCGATTCTGAATATAATGACAACTGAGCCGATGAAATACTACATGTATGGCATGAATTCTCTTTTCAAGTACTCCAAGCCTCCGCTGTGCCTGGATGCCTTGGAGCGACCCAACCGCCATGTGCCTTTTGAATCCTCTATCTCTCAGAACTAATCCACCGTCCTCTTACCTCGAATCAAATCGGCGGCCTATAGTGTGATTGCAAGTTAATAAGAAGACCACAATATTGTATGAAAGTTGAAAATGACAAACCTTCTCGCCGATAGCATAAGCCGTTGAGCTCGTGTGCGTTCCAGGCACGAGCGTCATAATCGAGCAGTCGGCAACCCTTAGCTTCCTGGTACCATGAACACGCAGGTCTGGTCCAACTACGCCGCCCAACTCAATGGGGCCGAGGGCACAGGTGCCACTGGGATGGGCAACGCTGGGGTTCATGGTTGTTCGAAGCCACTCCTCAAACTCGTCTGAGTCGGCATCCGCCTGAGGGGCAACTTCGGTAGGGTCTAGGGCCTCCACCATTGCTTCGCTCGCGAAGAAGCGTCTGATGAACTTGAATATCACACGGTTGAAAAGGACGTCGACAGGGTTAGTGAGAGCGCGGTAATCCACGACAGGTTCGGCATCACCCCTACCGGCGCCGTCGTCATCCGGGGAGAGGCGGACAAAGCCTCGGCTGAGGACGCGGAGGTTGATGGGTTGAAACGAAGAGACTCCGGTGAAGATGAGTTCGAGAACTGCGGACTTGGTACCGTTGAGCTGGCGAGTGAGGACCTCGAGCTGTTGCTTGTAGCCCGCAATCAGGGTTTCGTCGAGGCCTTCGGGGAGGTATTCGGTGGGTTCTTGCGCGGCTACCATGGCGACGATTTCGGCGAACTCTTCGGTGAGGACGCTGAGGGGAAGGAAGGCGCCGCTGTTTGTGTATGCGGCGTGAGGGCCTGGAAGAGGCGAAAGAATACCAAAGGGTAGGTTTCTCTGGTTAGCCGCGAAAAAGAAAAAGAAAAAGTGACGGGACCGAGGGCACGCATGTGGCACATACCGGTCTTGTTTGCAGCCCAAAGCTCGTTGGCCATAGCCATGAATTCTGGGTCGCTAGCCAAGGTCTCCGCGGATGGCTGAACCTCGACACCCCCTGCGAAATGTCAGCAAAAAACGGTGCACGATACCGAGGGGACTCCTTTTAGCTAGATGGAGACTGCGCAAACTTACAAGACCAGCTGCTTGCGGACATTTGGTGGTCGTGGAAGTTCCAGCCGACGCCGGGGAGGTGGTGCTTGACCTCAACGCCGGCGGCTTCGAGGACGTCCCTCGGCCCGATGCCAGATCGCTGCAGAACCTGGGGGTATGGAACGTGCCGGCAGACACGATGACTTCCTTTTAGCGCGGACCTGGTACGGTTGAGCGGGCATGTCTCCGTCGCGGGGCGCGAACTTGACGCCGACGGCCTCCCAACCTTCGGGGCTGTCTTCCTCGTCGACTTCGTCGAGGAGGAGCTGGGTGACGCGGTAGCCGGGAAGAAGGTGAAAGTTGGGTCGGGTGTGGGGGCCTCCCTCGTTGGAGTAGTGGCCGAGACGGGCGTAGGAGCGCGAGCGAGTGACCGGGTCGATGGAGTTGGGGAACCAGTACACGCCAACGGCGTCTCCTGCGGCGTGCTCTACGGGAAACTCGACCCCTTCCACGGTTTTGAAGGCATCCCACATGAGCTCTTGGAGATGGTGTTAGCCGCAAATCTTTATCCGTACGACTGAATATTACCAATTGGTAGGGATCTGGGGGATGGGGGAAGAGGAAATCGGCAGAGGAACTCACTTTGAGCGGGCCACTGGAATGGTGAGTAGCTAGAGTGGATCGGGGTAGATCCGCCATAGGCGGCGTCGGCGTCGGCAGTCATGCCGTACTCCTCTTCCATGTGCTCATCGGGCGGGTGGAACGTGACGCTCTTCCTGAAGTAGGGCAGCAGGTTGTCCCAGCCCCACTCCTTTCCGTACTCCTCCTGCCAGTCGCCCGTCGCCCAGACCCAAGCATCGTAGTCCTCGGCAGAGCCGCGGTCAAAGATCATGCCGTTCACAGCGGTGCTACCGCCGACAACGCAGCCAGCGGAAATGGCCTTGGTTCGGTTGTTCAGGCCTTCCATGGGCAGACTGGTGATGTTGTAGTACCGAGTGTCACGAGGCATCTCGTGGTCAGATGCGGCGTTGACGTCCGGACCCATGGCCGTAATGGCATTGGAGGAATCAGGTAGCCGTACTCGATGACGAGAACGGTTGCTATAAGGCGAAAGAGATGTCAGTCACGGATGTGCACACACACAATTGACCAGTTTCCTGGCCGTAGTTACGCATCCAATTTAAAACGGGGTCCTTACTGTCTTTATCCTCGGTGAGACGATCCGCAATTGTCAAACCGACAGTTCCGCCGCCAACGATGATGTAGTCATACTCATCTCTCAACTCTGCTTGCCGCTTGAGGATAGAAGCGGACGAGGCATGGGCGGGCAGGGCGGCGACATGGCCAACGAAGACCCAAGCAACGACGAGGAGCGAGGGGACGAGCCGAGCGGGACTCATAAGTGAGAGAACTGGAGCCATTATCGTGCAAATCAGAGGTCTCACAAAGGAACGACGACTAACTCGAGGGTAGATAGACACCGTTGAGAATTGTAGCTAGTCAAGCGAGTGGCATGGTTCCGAAGGCTCTATTTGAGCTGGGAAAGCTCGAGATTCGGCGCCAGGTATATTTATACACCGGTATCTCCGTTCTCGCGGAAGATGGTCCAATTCCCCCTCTTCCAGAGCCTTGCCGGTCATTCGAAATGCCCGAGTGCCAAATATCAATGGCACTCTGACATTGGACATCTGGGCTGACTTAATTTGGGCGCGGGTGCATTCGTCGATGCTGTGCGACGACGGGAAAGGGACGCTTTGGATCCATGTTTTCCAGAGAGTTCCGTAGTCTCTGCTAAAATCTCGGCCAGTCAACAAAGAGCTTCGTGTAAGCGAGTCGAGGCAGGCCCCGCACTTCAGGTTGTACATTTAATCTGGGATATAACAAACGGCCGCCCCTTGCTGGCAATTCTCGGCCGGGAAAAGGGACCAGGCTACGGGACGGGCTGGAAGTTCCTAGAGATGAGCAAAGTCCGATTCCGCTCAAGTCCTCGGTGACCGGCGTTCGATGATGGTGAGTTTTTTGCCCTTTTCTATCTTCTTCTTGGTCCATACCTCAGAGCGGTAAATTACTAGATGCGGTTGTGGATGAAAGCGAAATCAAAGCCGATACATCACGGTCCAGAGTAGCACCAACAAGAGGGGGAACAAGTACCAACACAATACACCGAGCCAGCCTGGTGGACCTTGAAAATCAGAAGCTCCTGCAGAGTAAGAATGCAGGCCTCTGGCCATGTTATGCGCTTGGGATCCATCCTCCCACGATTTTCGGCACAGAGGCGCTCGGGCAGGACCGGCAATCCTCCACCGCCGATCATGACGGATCCTTGAGTAGCATACGATTGATGCCCATTCGTTTTTCTCATATCTTTGCTTTGTCTTGGTAGCGATGGCCCTGTCGCTAGAACCAATATTTTAAATATCAATGACCGCAGTACCTGGGTTGCTGACTCTCTTGATATCTTCATAGCTTCATAGCTTCAGAGCGAAAGCCCATTATGGCTTCTCCTGGCACCGATGCACCAATGCACCAACGAAGCCCGAGATTGATAGAGCACTGTATGTATCCGAGGATCTGTATCAACTGATTCATAATTCTGGGCATGGCCGAGGCTGAACTTCTGACTAGGTGGGAGGCACAGCATGGCCCAAAGTTGACCGATCAAGCATCATGAGCTTCAATGTTCAATGCACTGTCCTCCACTGGCGAGCTTGGGACACTGAGTGCCCGCCGCATTTGGCCCACCCGGCACTTCAAGTTTGTGCAGACGTGCGGCGAGCTAGTAGGTCACGTGGACATGTGTCTCTGAGTCGTGGTGGGCCACGGTGCAACGTGAAGAGTGACTAAACCTCGACCCCACCGCAGCCACTTGGGTTCCGTTCCTCCCCCACCCACTTTACCTCGCCCTGGCTAGCCCAGCCCGTCAGGGTCTCGCCACGCTACGCAGCGCGTCGCTTTCCTTGCGGCAATCCTTTCAACCGCCTACGCTGACGACGCCTCAACTTTTCTAGCGTCTTATGTCAACCAACGCTCCCTCTTTTTCTGGCCTGGGAGGATCGACATTTTATGGTGGGATTGAGCCGACGATTCATTCTTCATGGTTCCCTCTCCCCACCATAGCCACTCCGCGCGCCACTCCCCCAATTTCTACTCTTACCTTCATTTTTGACCTTGCTGCCTTTCCTTGGAGTGTCTGAGCATCGGCTTCATGGCATCAATCCTTACTTTATTATCCCCTCTAGCAGGACATTCTTTTGTCAGCTCTTTTAGTCTTCTCGCCCTCAAATCCGAAGCCACTCTTTCCACACGAGGTTTTTCCTCTTTTTTCTTTTTCCCACCGTCCCACTCGCTTCTCGTTGCTGTCTCGGCCCCCCGGTCCCTCGTGTCGCAAAACTCCGCGCACCAGTCCCAACTCTCCTAGCGTTGCGCGACCGGCGCAAAAATCATCCTCGCCATGGGTCTCTTTGATAAGAAACCCAAGATCTTCCAAGGGGTCCAAGCCGCCAGGATCCGCGTCGAAAAAGTGCCCATTCCCCAAAAGCCGAAGCCTCCAAAGTCCTCCTCCAACCTACTCAAACCCTCGTCCCGCGCAACTTCGCGATCTTCCTCCGCCCATCCCTCTCCTCGCCCTTCTCCTCAACCGAACAGCTCCTCCGCCAATTCTGCCGCCGTCGCCCGTGAAGCGAAATACGTCGACCGTAAGCGCAAGGCAGCCTCCACACCTAACAAATCCCGGTCGTCCCCGCTGTCTCAACGTCGCGCGTTGAGTTCGACAGCGACTCGGGCTCTGGAGACGATGACGACTGGCTCGGCGCGCTCAACTCGCGCAAAAGGCAAAAGAGGGGGAAGCTAGACGACGGGCGCTACGTGGACCCAAACCGGTCCCTCCGCCACAAAAAGGCTTTCGAGCACCGTATCGAAGGTCTACGGTTCATCCACGCCGCCGATGTCGCGTCGCTAGCTCTAAAATGCACCCCCGTTCTTGGCGCAAAGGAAGACGAGGTTGCTGTGCGTTTACAATATCCCAGTCTACAGAGACGGGAGAGGTATGTCCTGTGTTTCTTTTTCGTATCTTGCCTTGTACTTCTTGGAGTAAGGGAAGACGGCTAACATTCCCATTTTGGTCCTCTCGCTAGATACGAGCTCGTTTGGGGTAAAGACAAGATCGACGCCGTCCATAGCATCATCGCCGTCGTTCAACACGTAGCCGATACATACCTTACGGAAGACCAAGCCGAGCCATTCACAAACCACATGACGGGTATCGTGCGCCGACTAGAGAAGGCGTCAAATCACAGGGTTCAAGACCTTGCCGCGTTCAAGGAGGCGCTGAACGAATACAACGATAGGCTTTGGAACCTTGTCAAGGATGGAACGATCACGAGGAACCTCGACGGGCGAAAAGAACTGCCGAGAAATTTTATAGCATTCATTCTCGAGCAGGTCTATGACCGTACCGTCGCACCCAAAGTTGAGCTGCTAGCCAAGTACGAAAACGGCACCGACAACGTCTATGGCGAACTACTACATCCCTTCATCTCTTCCATCCTTGTCGAAAAGCTCCAGATGACATCAGACCAGGTCTTTGTGGATCTCGGATCCGGCGTCGGCAACGTCGTTCTCCAGGCAGCCCTAGAGATTGGCTGTGAGAGCTGGGGTTGCGAGATGATGGAGAACGCCTGCAATCTGGCAGACGCTCAGGTAAAGGAGTTTTCAGCGCGCTGCCTGCTCTGGGGTATCGCCCCGGGCAAGGTTCGTCTTGAACGCGGCGATTTTCGAAAGAATTCGAGAGTCCACGACGCGCTGAAGCGCGCAGACGTCATCTTGGTCAACAACCAGGCGTTCACTTCCCAGCTCAACGATGACCTTGTCCGCATGTTCCTTGATCTCAAGTCTGGCTGCAAGATCATCTCCCTCAAGAGCTTTGTGCATGATCATAAAAGCGCCTCCAATGACGTTGGTAGGACCATCCTAGAGGTTGAGGATATGACCTATCCAGAGGACTATGTGAGTTGGACGAGTGCAGGTGGCACGTATTGTATTTCAACACGGAAATAGGAGTCAGCGATACCCCCTTCTTTCTCAAACCTCCCCCTCCCCTTCCTTTTACAGCAAAGAGAGAAAGATGAATAGAAAAAGAAGAGATTATGGCAACGCTCGGGATTGGGTGGCTGGCGTCTTTCGGTGGATGGTCTATGTATATCTTTTGTAGCGAACATTTTGCAATTTGGTTATTAGCTTGAGGGGCTGCAGGCGGGATTGTTGGTGTCTGAGTAGGAGCGTCCTAGATTCTCAAACACAGCGTTGCCGTGTTTTCTTGAATGTAGCAGGGTAGGCTTCGATAGATATGTGCCCTGCAGACAAGTCTCCTAGAGAAAATGAGCGATGTCCCAATCATCATCTTCACAATCACTGTCCAGTTCCCAGTCGCTCATGGCACCTTCGTCCGTGTTCTTTGAGTCCATTCGAGGAGGCACGCCGTGCGTTGGTTGCGAGTCCAGGCGCGGTGTTCTTTGTGCATCAGACCTCTCATCAGCGTGCGGGTCCTATCTGCTCGCATCAAATAGCGCCTCGTTGTCAATATTCATCTTATCTGCCTCGGCACCTTTACTTTTCATCCACCGCTCGACTAGATCCCTATTCTCTTTCTTGACCCGATCGCGCTCGCTTTCGGCGACGGATAGCTGAAGATTCAAGGCAATCATTTCATCTTGGATGTTCTACGAGGGCGTCTGGTTAGCGTCACATCCTAATAAGATTATATGGGGGAGGTGAGGGGATTCTATAGTCGTACCGAGGAAAGCTTGCGTTGCTCTCGCAACTCGTGGTCCCTGTCCTTGAGCTTGGTCATAATCTTGTTCCTATCAGCATTGAGCTCCCTCACGGTCTTGTCGTGGTTCTTGGAGCTGCTCTTGAGCTTTGCCAGCTCTGCCTCGGCCGCCTTAGCCCTGGATTCAAAAAAGCCCTTTGACCGCAGGGCTTCGGCGAGGTCGCGTTGAAGTTGTGTCAAAGTATAGTCATCACTAGTACTCGCCGGCTCTGGCTCTTTTCGGGACTTTTTCCCGCTCGCCTGAGTCGACGTCAGAGGGCCCGCCTTCTCGAGGGCGGCCTTTTCGGCTTCTAGGAAGCAACTCGGTCAACAAGTTGGGAGCCTAGAAGGAAAAGTCAGCTGGGGGAAAGGGATATTATCGGAAACGCGATTCATCTGGGTCTCTTGTGGGCGGGGGATGCGCACAGGCTTCCACAAGCTCCATATTTACGGGGTTGTTCTTCTCGGCCTGGAGAAGTTCCGCGAGATACTCATCCTTCCAGTTCGGCATATTTATAGGTGTGCCAATAGTTCGTATCTGATGTCTTAAGCTCTTGGAGTTTGTGCAAACGCGTGCGGTCACAGTTCAAAACGCCATCCAGGGTCTCGTCGAGGTTAGTGTTCGAGCTTAATAACCCCACCTTCCATCGCCCTGATCAATACCCCGCCATTAGTGACCTCACTTGTCTTGAACAGCCCCTTGGACCTTCCAAAAAAATTCAATTGACAATGGGAAACCCCGAAACACAAGATCCATAGATACTCGTAAATACCTCCGAAGAATCAAAATTAGCACACAGACGAAAGGAGTTCTCAATCAGGTGATTGATTGTTCAATGTAAACGTCCTCCCAAGATCTTGTCACACTGGTGCAAGCTATGCTTCTGTGGGCCTGGTCTTCGGCAGTTTGGCTCCTCATTTGGCTTCTCCCGCAACATCCTCCGGAAACAGGACGCTGTAATAATTCTTGTTATGAGATAATCTCGAATTGCTTGATCGATTTCCCCGAATCTATATTTACGATCGGGTTCTACAGGTAGTGTGCTTAACGGAAGATGGAAACTCTCGCATAGCATTAATATAGTGTAGCTCGAAAGAAATGTGGTGCAGGCTAGGCACCGAGATTTAGCCGTCTCCTAAACCAAGGATTGGCATGCGCCAGCGGCCAGCAACCAAGCTCATCATTCGCCCCATGCTCACTGAGAGCTCATCCTGAGCTCGGCCGGACAACGACGACCAACGTGCCCCCAGCTGCAAGCCTTGGAGCTCACTCAACCCGCCCTGTCTCTCCTAATATCCCGAATTCTAGCTTGTTCGACTTCCACGGCGTATTATTATGGGACATTGCTGCTTGTAGAAACCCAATAGACGAGAGTGAGACGAGCCTAGGATGGACACAGCTCATCCTCGGGCAAGCTGGGAGCGGCTTGGTGACAAATGGTACCGGCGCATAGAGCATTACACCGAGGTGTTTGACTTGGGTCTTGACCTGGATAATTACATCATCGCTGGTGCCCCTATGGCGGTGCTATTGGTATGTCCGACATCTTTCTCATATCTTAGCACTCCGTTACGGTCGGGATACCGGGACGCCGCCAGCTTGGAACCCCTCATCAGCCAAGATGGTCGATGAATGTGCTAATACTGGCGCAGCACTCTGGAATGACGATAGCAAACTCCAGCAATACCAAGCGGCGAAAGCTGCCAAGCCGAGCATAGATGTTCACAATTACGCTGGCAAGAAGCTTCGCAGTATCCCGTGGACCGAGGGCACCATCAAAGGACTTGGTTGGTCTGAGGAGGAGCAGCTCCTCGTGGTTTTGGCGGATGGGACCGTTCGTTGTTATGACCTTCAAGGCGATTTCACTCAGTTTTCCCTCGGCCATGGTGCCGACAACTACGGGGTCCATTCATGCAGGTAGGCTCAGTCTCGAGAGGGCGGTATCGGCAGGCAACGGACCGCTGACCCATCTTCCAGGTTCTACGATCGCGGCATGGTAGCAATGCTCAATAATAACACTTTAGTGACGGTGCAGTCGTATAATGAGCCACGGCCGAAGTCGCTAGCTAGTGTTCCTGAAGGCGAAGTGCATTCTTGGGGGATAATACCTCCAGCGTATACGTTATCGCGATCAGTCGAAGTACTACTTAGTATAGGTCAGACCGTATATCTAGTCGACTCCAACGAATGTGAAGATCGCCTCATCGACATCGGCCCCTTTAGCCATATCACCGCCTCCCCGATGGTCGGCTCGTCGCTCTCTATACCAAGTCAGGTAAAGCCCACGTGGTGTCGAGTGACTTTCAAGAGAGGTTAGTCGAGCATGACTCCAACTCAAAAATACCGCCCAAGCATGTCGAATGGTGCGGTCGAGACGCTGTCATTGCGTGGGAAGACGAGGTTCACATCATCGGCCAGGGCGATGCCTCCGCCGTGTTCATTTATGATACAAATCGCGTGCACGTAATATCAGGTATACCAGATCCCTACCCTACTCCGTTCATCATTCCGGACCCCTAAGCAGCAGTCCGAGGAGGCTGACAAAAGTTGGCAAGAACATGACGGGGCAAGAATAATCACCAACGGATTTTGCGAATTCATTCAGCAAGTACCGAGGGATACATTCCAAGTTTTTGGTCTCTTTTCCGAGTCTTCTCCCGCTTCCATCCTACTGGACGCTATTGCTCAGTTAGAGGCGCACTCCCCCAAGGCCGATGACTACATCCAGCTGATTCGCGGTAACCTCACCGAAGCGGTTGACACCTGTGTACGTCTTCCTTTGGCCAGCGATCTTTCTGATGAGATGCACCAAACTAACGTCGCCGATTATAGATTAATGCAGCAGGTCGGGAGTTCAACGTGCATTGGGAGAAGCAACTATTGAAGGCAGCGTCGTTTGGCAAATCGGTGCTGGACTTGTACAACAGCGATGATTTTGTCGACATGTGCGAGACCCTTCGAGTCCTAAACGCGGTGCGGTATTTCGAAATTGGAATGCCGCTGTCGTACGAGCAATACCAGCGATTGACTCCCGAGAACCTGATTAAACGCTTGATCAACCGCCACGAGTATCTGCTTGCTCTACGCGTTGCAGGTCACCTGAGGCTACCCACAGATCGTATTTACGTACACTGGGCTTCTACCAAGGTGCGAGTAGGCTCCGAAGACGACGATACCATTTGCCGGTTAGTAGTCGAGAAACTAGCAGGCAGGGCTGGTGTTTCGTTTGAAGAGATTGCTCAGGCGGCGTATGATGAAGGCCGCGGCAGATTGGCCACCGAGCTTCTAAATCACGAACCCAGAGCTGGTCGGCAGGTCCCGCTTCTCCTAAGCATGGAAGAGGACGAGCTTGCCCTTGACAAGGCGATAGAGAGCGGCGACTCAGACCTCATCCTCAACGTGCTCTTGCAGCTCAAGAAAAAGCTGCCCTTGGCGTCTTTTTCAGGGTAATCAACAACCGCGCCTCGGCGACAGCGTTGGTCGAAGCCTCGGCACAAAGAGAAGGTGATAACTCGGTTTTGAAGGATCTCTACTACCAAGACGATAGGCGTGTGGAGGGCGCGGACGTGTTCATCCGCGAGTCGCTCGTGCAACCAGACGCGCGGACAGCGTCGGACAAACTCGCGCTGGCGGCCAAGCTACTCTCGGATTCGCGGGAAACCAACTTTGAGCTACGGGCGCTCAAGGAGGCGACAATGCTCCTCCGGGCTCAGGAATCGTTTGACCGAGATTTGACGGACACGTTTACGGGGCTCAGCGTCAATGAGACCATGTTCAAGCTCATCAAGCTCGGCTACATCGGAAAGGCCAAGAAGATACAGAGCGAATTTAAAGTTCCGGATCGTGTGGCGTGGTGGATACGGTGAGTTTCTAGAATCCCCTCCGCCCCCACTCCGGGAATTGCAACTTCATGCGGCGTCCGGGCTTGACGAGGGCGACCCGGAAGAAGGAGATGTCAAGGGCATTCGTCTCGGAGAAACACTAACAACATATGCGTAGGCTACGAGCACTTGTTGCAAAGCGAGATTGGGACGAGATTGCCGAGGTGGCTAAGGCGAAGAAGAGTCCGATTGGATGGGAGGTGAGTACCGATTCTTCTTTGACTTTTCCTACCGTACCGGATATAAGCCGGGGTTTCTTTTGGTAGAGTATACACGCATCGATAGACATCACTGACCGATGTTTCGTCAACGCGCAGCCGTTTTTCAACCTCACCTTGCAAGCGGGGAATCCTAGGCTCGCAGCGACGTTTGTGCCAAAGTGTACCAACGTGGAGCACGGAGAAACGATTACGATGTACGAGAAGTGTGGCATGAAGGTGAAGGCGGCGGAAGAGGCCGTGAGACTCAAGAATAAGGAGGCGTTCACAAAGATCCTTGAGGCGGCCGGCCGCAACACCCACGAGGGGCGGGAGATTGAGAGGCTCGGTGCCACGGTTTTCAAACCTTAAGTAGACAAAGCTCATCGCTGGCTGGCACTGCAATTTTTAAATTTTTTTCCTCTCTGTCTTTACTCTTTCTTCGTTTTCTTTTTGGGGGGCCGCCCCGATAGCTACGGTCATGATGTGCCATGATTTGCCATACATCAATGGATATCTTATTCTACTTTCTCTTTCATGTACCATGTAGTCTGTCAGAGCCTGCCTTCTTAGTCTACCAGTCCTTTGGAGAATCTGCTTTTATGTCGTTAGACCACGTTCCGTTCCGCGACCAAGCTCATCCAGCGAAATTCGGTCTGGGCCAATTAGTTCGTTAAACTAAACCCTACACGCATGCGAAAAACTCCCCAGTCACGAAGCTACTAGTGTTTGGAGTCACGAAAGTCCCCGCCCCCCTTTTGCTTTGACATGGGAATGCAAGGACCCTAATGCACCCAAGGAGGAATAAACAGTCGCCATGGGCGTTAAGGTCGTCACCCTCCGCTTCTTGGCGATGGGAGTGAGGGGCAGACGCACGCACGAAATATCTAGCGAAGATGAGGAGAGTCACGGGGTGAGGAGAGGTCTGAAGAGGGTGGGTTCGAGATAGCTAAAGTGACAATTGCTGGCATCCAACCCCTTCCCTTTCTTCGCTCGTCTTTTTTTTTCTTCTTTTTTTCTCTTTTTCGGATGTAACGAAGGAGAAGTTATCCGGGCAAGAAACCTCTATAGACCTAGTTTGAGGGCGTTTTTCTCTAGAGCGAAAATGAAAGAGAATAATTATCCCAAAAGAAATCGCTATCTGCTGCAGTGACTCTCCAGGGCCAACCGAGCCGTGATGAAGAGGAACATTAGTTCATGGGAAGGACCCCAATGACCGGGTTATTTTTAGCGTCACATGCGTACATTTGGAGAGGACCCTTTTTCTCTCCTTACTCCGCTCATCGTGGTCAACGGACCATCTTCAGAAGTGGAAGCACATCGATCAAGCCATCCATCCATGCTTCCGAGGGATGAGTGGGGATGTGGGAGGGGCGGGGGTAGTAGGCACCACTAGGCCAGCCAGGCAACTGGACAGATGCGGAAGAAAGGCGATTAGTTCCTCAAGGGTCCCCTCCCTCCCAGAGCTCTCTCCATCCACCCAAAAACTAAGGAGAGACTTGAGAACAGGTGCAGGTGAAAGGGAGAAAAAAAGAAGGTGGGGGGGAAGGAAGACGGAGGCAGACCCCACTGCGTTGATGCACCGCACGGGAGTAGAAGAGGAACACCGTAGCACCAGAATGCTGGGAGCTTCAGCATCAGCGTTGGACAACCAACCAAGCAAAGAAACAAGAGTCTGGTGTACATTTGGGGGACGCTAAATTGCCCATGGACGGCGTGCAGCATGCAGCGATGGAGCATGTGTGTCTGTCTGTTCAATGTGCGACGAGTGGCCCCCTTCACATTGACGAGAGGATCAAAGGGAACCAACAAATGTCGGTGTCAAGCAGAACATTACATGTAGCGAACTTGGTTGAGTTCCTGACCCAGTTTGGGCGCTGTCGTGCTGGCTGTTGTGGATCTAGAAAAACGTTTGGCTTCTCACAGCACTGATATTCCAAATCTTACCCGGCATCGAGACCCGAGGCGAACAGAAGTCAATTGATCCAGCCTCGAAGACGGGCAAAGCGTCAACTCCTTGTCTGCTTGGCTGCGTGTTGTCTGTGGTCCCCTGGACACCTCCCCCTTCCCCCACTACTGCACCCACTCGGCCTAAAATTCAGATCCATGGCCCGCATCCACTTTTGGGGCGAGCCAGTGGGCTCCTCCAGGTGATGGGCGGCGGGGTGCATGATGCGGTCACGACGGAGGGTGGGTGCCCTGCATTTCCCTGATTTTTTGTTTCTGAAGGGGAGGGGGAAGGCGAGGAGAAGAGGAACTGGCTCAGGTGCCCGGCACGACATGGTGGGACAGTGAAAATCAATGATCCACCACACGCTGACGGACGGACTGGACTCTCTTGGAGTTTTTGGCTTGATTTAAGCCCGTTGCTGACGGACGAGGCTCGAAAAACAATAACCCGCTGACGTCGCGAACAAGGACCTGTACCATGGTCATACTCCTTTACCGAGAAAACTTAGCCTTGGGAGTAGCCGAGAAAGTTTTTTGTTTTCTTTTTTTTTTTAGGCCAGTTGCTTGCTTGCGGCCGATTCGCAGAAACGGCCGCTTCCGCTCCCAGCATGCGTGGTCAGATTGGAATGTGAGACAGGGTCGCGGCTAGATTATTTTGGAATGTCTGACTGGAGGCGGTGCCGAGCCTGTCTCTCATAAGTTCGGCTTCAACTTTCTACTGAGGCAGCTTGGATGCTTGGCCTTTTTTTTTTCCTTTTCTTTTACTCTGCATGATATATACTGCAGATGGGCCTGGCCCTATCGCCAAGATTGCATGTGCGGCATGTTGAGATATCAATCATTCTTTGCCTCACCTTAAGCCCCCAAGATAATGGATGTCCGGCGTCAAAAGAAGAAAAGAAAGAAAGGAAGAAGAACTTGGGCGCCAACACAGCTTCCACGTACGATTCTCTTGCCGTGATTTTACGAGATATGCCTCGATCAAGTGCATGGATGAATGGGTCATCGAAGAGCACAACGCGGCCCGTTATGTCATCGAACCTACAATTCGCTATTGAACTTTGAAGCTTGGATACTCATTGGATTTATCTCCACGGCTTCCTTCGATCTGCGCCAGCGGGCAATCAGCGTAGACAGTTGATCTAACAAGCATCCGTGAATGCTCCGACCGGGCTTGATGCTCGGCACAAACGAGGTTTTCGTAAGATAGCAGCAGATCATATATACAAGGGCATCATCCGATCGAGACATGGGGGATAGATACCTTAGCGTTTGGGAGACAGGCGGTAAATTGACTGAGCATGTTCCAAATAGACTGTGGTTGCAAAAGCGAGCATCTCGAGCTCCCATTCTAACCTTGGGATAGCCTTTTCGGTGGACAAGTCTCAATCTAGACCGGGAAAGCTTTTGTTAGAGCTTTGGTCCCTGGCTAAACATTGTCCATGGGTATTTCGTGTATTACTATCAGTGTTTTCGTTTAGCTGTATCCAAAAGGCTTTTCCTTGATTTGGCTTTTTCCGTGATGGTCTCTGACGCAAGCCCCTGCCCTGGGCTTCCCCACCAGTCGCCTTCCGCCCCTTGATCGGAGCTGTTGCACAGAGCATCCACCATTCAATGATCTGGCGATTGACCGGGATCTAACCTGTTGAAGCAGATTGGTAGCCTCTGATATCATCTCTGCTCTAGCATAGTAGTAGGCCTTTGACCCTACCCGCATTTAGGAGCCCTAATGGCTCAGCTCAGTCATGGTAAAAATTTCATTTTCGGTTCTCTCATTGATCCCATCTACCTGTCGGAACAACATATGGCCTGCTCACCTGAGTGGTGCGAGCTCGGGGAAGACGCCCATGTGCTCTAGGTAGGCTGTCGCATCAGGTAGATGGCCTCGAGGTGAGGTCAAAATGTCCACGGTCACCTCCCTCAACTAGGGAGGGGAAGTCTCTCTCGTGGCCCTTTTTTGATCCGGCGACACACACCATATCTAGATGCCCTGCGGGTGGTAGGGGTTTTCAGCATCCACGCTGATCCTTCTAGGCGTTCAGGTGACTGTGAGGGCCGCGGGGAGTGAACGGCATCGCCGATGAGGGTAAGGCGTTCCTGAAATGGGGGTTGACAGCTGGAGATCCTCGCTCGACAATAATTGACACCAAACAAAGATCGCTGGGGGTCGACTTGGCTCTGCATCAGGGCTGCCATCCCATCAGAGAAAGATATCGACCGCCATGCGTGTGTGGCTAACAGACTCTGAAGACGCCAGTGGCCAGCAGCCCACCTTATGCTTTGTCAGGTCGAACTTTGGGAGGTACTACTGCCTGCAGAGCGAGAGGCACGAGATGGAACTTTACCATGTTCTAATGCAAGGCCTTGCCAGGCCCCAAGCATGTACATGTACTGTGGAAATGTGGAAACAATCGTTGGGTCTATCTCTGGCATTACATCAATTTGATGGAAGGTTCTTCTCCACCCTTGCTAAATCCCCTTCCCACCAGCAAACGCTAGCCAACCCTCCTCGATTTACACTGCATGTCTGGCGAGGTAGTATTACTTGTCGGTTCCTGAGGTAAAGCCTAGAGGTTCGGTGTCCGAGGGACCACCAGCATGAATCCTTGACAGGAATGGGGAAGCAACTTGCAAAGGCGGGTACGTTCTGGAGTGGAACCCCACGATTGTCATGGCGTTAGCATGAGGCCTAGCATTATCATTATGCATCGATGGTGGATAACCTAAAGCCTCGGAACATGGCTGTATCTTCATGAGTCGTGATCCTGAGAACGGCCCGGTTCTCGCTCAGGGAGAGAAAAAAAAGTGAGGAGAGACGGCGGTGGAAAAGGAAGAAGAAAGTGGGTGAAGGAAAAGGAAGTCAAAAAGAAGGGAGCCAATTCATCGCCTTGACACCCCATCCCCCATCCTCATCCATGCTCCCATCTTGCCCCTTTGAGCAAAGTACACCAGGGGCTGCAGCGCGCAGCGACGCCTTATTGATCTTTAACATTGGAACTGATGCTCGTCTGTCTCCACTGACTGTCGTCGAAAAAGCCCACGCTTGGCTGGGCTTGGAAGTAGCACCGGGCAGCCCTTGTATCCTCTTGCCGCTTCAACACGAGCATGGGAGCATGGGAGCATAATACACAAAGCAACCAGCGAAGGGTAAGCAGCTAAAGGTAAGGCCCATCGCCATCGCCGACCAAAAATAAAAGTGGTTTTCTGAACTTCTGTGGCCATCATCGAAATGCCGCTTGGCAAAGGGTCGAGAGGCGTGTCCCGCTTGCACATGTGGTGGCGTGCGCATTATTAGACAATGGAAGATGGCGAATCCCCACCAGCTCTGGCACTCCACGGGGGTTTTTAGCTCGAGTTATGATGGGGCCGTGGTGGTTGCTCGTCCGACATCGATGGTTCTCCTTTGTGAACTCTACATTCCACAGTCACCAGTGCTCTTACACAAGGACCAGACAGAGGTACATTGGGTCGAACAAGTCCTGGCCCTGGATCAATCAATTTGGTGGTGCGCGTGCTCATGAGGTCGGTCCAAAACTAGTGTAGCCGGCCTCGATGAGACTCGGGCCCCACCATCGCCAGTGCGCTCAAATGTTGATTGGGATCACTGATGCTTGGGATGCTTGGGATGGCAGTCAAGTAGATGTAGTGTGCACTACCGTGGACTACTTGTACGAACCGTGGAGTATCGGTACAAGGTACACATTGGGGTGCGGGCAAGCAAGGTAAAGGGTGGGTACAAGTAGACCTGAAAGTTGCAACGAGGGTAACCCAATCAAGTGGAGCTGTCGAGCTCAACTTGCGCTCAACGCCGAGCCATGCCAGATCCAAAGACGCCAGGCCGACCCAGGCCAGCGCGCGCCTGGCCAGCTCAAACCTGGACGGGGCCCGCTTCGTCGAGCCAGGAGTGGCCTGCGTAGCCCACGGGGGAACATGAGCATGTACGAACGATGCGTGCGTCGTCGTCAACGGATGGTGGATGTATTTTCGATAAAATGTATGTTTCTTCTCCCTGGATTGGATACCTGACGATTGCGGACTCGTTTCCTTGGTGTCAAATGGATTTGATTTAATAGTATCCTCCCACCTCCTGCCTCCCTCTTCGCCACTTGCATCTTACTCCCTTTTTTCAATGTTGGCCTGTGTTGATCCTGCATTTTGTCCAGTTACATTCCGGCCTGGGTCTCTTTTGGCTTTTTTCGGATTCCATTTCAAGCTTACAAGATTGGACTCAAGCTGACGTTCGCGACGATCCTTTTACATTCCTGTCCATGGCAACCACAGCAGGAGCAAGCTCTCCCTCACATTATTAGCGTCCACTGTGTCGACCTAACAGCACAGAACAGAACAGTGCACTTGCACTTGCACTATTCCTCTCCCCCAGTCGCTGCCGTCAAGCTTTCGACTTCACCGCTGCCCCCATCTCTCGCTGCTGGCGCCAGGTCGAACCACCCTCGAGCTCCCAGCCCCCTTTCTTTCATCATAATCCCATTCTCTTGTCAAGGGCCCTGTGAAACCTTCGCCCTTGCTTCGCCTTGACACACATTCCGAGGAGACTGGATCTTTTTCTCTCCCTCTTCCCGACACCTCTTCTCCTCATCCGGATTCTGCGAGCTATCGTCGTCGCTCGACTAAAGACCAAAGGTGGCGGGCTCCTGTTCTTGACCACACCACATCCATTCCGTCCCTTCGAGTCTCCACCTCCACATTGATCAACCACTGGCTGCTGCAGCACCAACAACAGACAGCCAACCTCCCCCAACTGAGAGCACCCCCACCAAATCAGGGGGCCACTGCTGTACCATTTTGGCATCGTCGATCCAAGCGCCAGTTGACGCTTCTTGTCGCCTCCAGGTGCCTCTATCCCTCAACGCCGCTGGTCCCTCAGCTGTTAGGGCCCTTCCCCCTCCCCGCGACCAGGCCAGCACATCCAATCGGCCTCGTCCGAAGGTCGTTTTCATCTGCCCCCTTTTGTCACTGAATTCAATTCCACCCTCTCGTCCTGTTGAAACTCTTCTGTTTAGTTACAGCGAAACTGCCTCCTGCGACTGTAACCATTTTCGGCTTCCTTACTATCGTTATTTGAAGGCGCCCCATTCCTACTGCTAAACGACACCTGGGTGCCCCTTTCCCCGTCCACATTATTCAGCAGAGCGCCTTCCTTCTTTTCTTGGGAAGGCTTTTGAGAACTTGCCTACAAAATGTTCACCCAACCACTCCCCACTGCGGCAACCTCGCCTTCTCCCGTGGTCTCGTCTCATGCCTCAGTATCATCCAGGAGTAGCCGCCTTCGGGGGCTCAGCTACCTAAGAAATTATACCCCCAGTCACCTTTTATCACGCGATCAAAATTCCTCCTCTTCATCCACTACAACAACCTCACCGAGATCCTCCCGCCCACTTTCGCTCTCAGCCCTTTCCCGCTCTTCTGGTTATTACTCCCAGTCCAACCCCAGTGCGCGTCGCAGTCCCCCACTAGCCCAACCTCCGCATCCACAAACACCACAACGCCGACGACTTCCACCGCCCCAGCGAATTTTGACGGTCAGCCCACCGAGTCGGCGATTTCGAATAATCCGTCATCGACTGCCCTCAATCCGCCTTCGCCCCCTGTTCCTCGACCACCTCTCCGATTAATAACGCTACCGAAAATACCGCCACCTCGTCTTCAGCGCCCTCTTGCAACTCCGATCAGCCCGTTCTCGACGCACCACCCGTCGTAGACGCCGTCGCTGGTGGCAGCAGCAACAGCAGCAGCATTGACAACTGCCCGGTTTCAAATTCTGCCGACTCCGACGTCGTGCCCACCACACTGGCACTGGACGCCGCCATGTCTCGACCTCGTGAGAACGGGGCGACCACCCCTCCCGAGACCCTGCCCTCCATTCGTTTCTCTGCCTATTACGATACAAGGGCCGCTCGGCCCTCCTAACTTTCCAGCCCGTATCGAGGACCTTGCCCAGTGGTATTGAAGTGATCAAGGTAGGCAGGTATTCTGAGCGAGATGCTCAACCCATTGTGCCGGCCAATACCCCGTCTGCTGCGCCCGTCGGCTTTAAGAGCAAGGTCGTCAGCCGCCGCCACTGTGAGTTCTGGTTCGAGAATGGAAAGTGGTATATCAAGGACGTGAAGAGCTCGTCTGGTACCTTTCTAAATCACATTCGATTGAGTCCTCCCGGCACAGAATCTCGGCCGTACGCTGTAAATGATGGCGATATTATCCAACTTGGAATCGACTTCAAGGGAGGCGAGGAAATGATTTTCCGATGTGTCAAGATGCGATTGGAACTCAATAGGGGCTGGCAGAGTAAACTCAACACCTTCAAGTATGCCAAACTCCCAGGCCAACCCGACCTTCTTGCGTTTCCAGGCTAACAATGCATTGTATCAGTATGTCTACACACAAGCAGCTTCGGAACCTCGTCGCTAAGGGCTCGAACAACTCGTCTCAAGACTGTTCCATTTGCTTGACCTCGATCGCTGTATGATATGCACACACTCCTTGGCTCTTTATTCAAACTAACCTGTTTTATGATAGCCCTGCCAAAGCCTCTTTGTTGCGCCATGCTCCCACACTTGGCACTATAAGTGTATCCGCTCCCTGCTGACTTCACCACAATACCCCATCTTTGTGTGTCCAAACTGCCGTGCCGCGGCCGACCTGGAGGCGGAGGTGGATGAACCGGGTGAGGAATGGCAACAACTCACTGGAGAGGAATCTGCGAATGACGAGTCTAGCAATGAGCCGCCTGCTGTCCCCATGGATACTACTGTTGATGCGATCTCCCAGGCTTCAGAGACCAATGGCGTGGACGTGGCAGACATGACCATGCAGGTCGACATGACGACACCTCCCCGATCGATACCCTCTCTCGCCTCCGAGAGGTCACAGCCCGCTTCCGACCCCGTCCCCATTCCTCCTCAACTTCGAAGCCAGGCGCCGGGGTCCTCGATGTGATAGCCAACGGTAACGAAGGACCGATCACTCCTAGAAATAATGCCGGTCCTTGGGTATTCGACGGCAGCGCCGGCACAGTTGCACTTCCCATCGCCTTGGCTGGACGGGATACGGCTCTTGGTGAAATGCGCAGCATAGACTCTACTGCGATGGATGCCGTGAGCCGTTCCTAGCGTGGACGCCTCCTGTCGAACCGTCGCCACGCCAGCTGTCCTCTGGATAGCGAGTGGGACACCATCTCTTGATCATTTCCAAGTCGGCGGCGAAGCGCCCTGCGATGGTGTAAGAAGTGGGCCCCTATCCCACCAAAGCCTTCGCCGCGGCAGGAATTCCTCTAGTCAACCTTGCAATGCTGCTTTAGGACGTGACGGCAAAAGATACGATTCGCCATTCATGGTGACGTGTCTGGCTACAGGGTTGAGTTCCTTTTTCACGGCCTCCCTTTTCCTCGCAATCTCCTTGGCCCCAGGTTAGGCGAGATCGTCAATCCTAGTCAACGTTATGATGGAACGCAAACACGGTCATCTGATTTTTTGTTGTTACCCCTTGTTTTTTACTTTCCTAAATACCCCATGGGGAGCAGAAGAGACAGCTAGAAGTGGACTCAACGGCGCTCACATACATACATATATGGAGTTCGGTACATGGAGTTTGGGATTGGGGACTGCGTGTTCTGCATTCTCGGGAGCTCACGTGGAGGACACACCTCCTCGTGATGGTCTCCCTCGGATTTTCCGAGGGTCTCCCGGTCATGTTCTTGCGCTTCTTGGGATATGCTGGGAACGCTCTTGTGCCTTCTCCGCCACCTCACTTCGCGCGACCAACTTTTGCTACATGTTTCTGTTGAAGGGGTTCATCTGTTGGGGTTTGACTTCTCTACTCGACGGCGGATTCTCCTTGCTCTTGTTCTTCAAGTTACACTCATCTTTACGCATCATAGGCGTCTGTGGTTCTAAACTTTAGTTTACATTTCTTGTTTCATCTTCAGGCGTCTTCTCCATGGTGACCTATGGAAGCTGTGCCGTGCCATGGCATACAGCACGATTTTATGGCACCAAGGTGAAGGGAACATATTTCTGGCCTGTAGCAGGAGCAGAGGATTGATTTCGTCTTTAGCCTTAAGCTGTAGGGGTTACTGTAATACTAGATACAGTGGCCCTTCAACATCCCCTTCGCCCAACTTTCACAGTTCCCGAGGCAGTACCAATAATTTGAGGTGAAGGATTAAGCCTGGGCCCGAATTCCTCGCAAAAGCCGTGGCGCAAAGTTCACCGTCCGTGACTGGCGCCTTCCGTAACCCAGTATCTTGTTCTGCTGCTCTTTGCATATATCGGCTGGATAAGAAAATCGGTAGTGGTGGCGAGTGGCAAGAACATAACAATGAATCACTTGACAGAATTAGAGTCTTGGCACAATGTGCAAAAATGCCACTGCCGACTTTTGCCCAGCACGCCTCAAGCAAAGACGCAAGGGAGCTGCTTGTTTTTTTCTTGGGGGTTGTGCTACTTTGATCCCAGAAGATCGATATAGCGAGCGACCTGCAATTTTCAACTTCATGACGGGATTTACGGATTTAGGTGCTGAGATGATTACCACGCACTTCCTACGGCTGGGCTAGCTGAGCTGATAATATAACGTCGCCATTCTGGCTAGAAACGATAAGAGTGTGAGAATCGAGTTGAAAGCTCTGACGTTCTCGGTCGTACATCTTCTTATTATCATTAGCGGCGAAAGCCGAAGTTGATACCGGGAGTGGTTCAATTGATGACAAAGATTTCCCGAAACTCCCGTTATCTTATCGGTCTCGCCCGCGATTTTGATTTCCGAGCTTCGTACTGTACTATAGTAAGAGTAATTTTTTCCCCTCTGAACCATTCTTGTACGGGTCGAATCATCACCAGGAACCCATTCTCCCTTGACGCCATCCTCTCGAACGGCCCAGAAACAGTATACAGACTAGCCATTCGTTTTGTGGGTGGCAAGAAATTAGAAATCGACTTTGGAGGGCTTCAACGCGTGCCCCTTTCCGCCATGTTGCGATCACTAGTTTCCCGCGTGCCGAGGCGCGCGGCCGCGAGTTCCCTGACGAGAACTGCGCAGACGTCTGCGGTCCGGACCGTGGCTGCGACGAGGTCTCTTGCTACTATTGTTGGCGGCGAAAGGGTATGCCGATCCTGCATTCCTCCCGCGATTCCCTACAACCGCTCGAGATACTAACTTTTCCCTCCCCACGATGCCAGGAACCGACCGAACTTGACGCCATTACCAGACTTCCGAATGGCCTCCGGGTAGCCTCCGAAGCCCTCCCGGGCTCCTTTGCGGGCGTGGGTATCTACATAGATGCCGGGTCGAGATTCGAGGACGAGTCCCTCCGGGGCGTGAGCCACATCATGGACCGACTCGCCTTCAAGTCGACATCGAAGCACAGCGCCGACGAAGTCCTGAACCAAATCGAGATGCTCGGCGGAAACATTCAGTGCGCATCGAGCCGCGAGGCCATGATGTACCAGGCCGCGACCTTCAACTCCGCCGTTCCCTCCGCCCTCGCCGTCCTCGCCGAGACCATTCGCGACCCCATCATCACCAAGGACGAGGTGGACGCCCAACTCGACACGGCTGCCTACGAGCTGCACGAGATTTGGGCCAAGCCCGAGATGATACTCCCCGAGCTCGTGCACACGGCGGCTTTCAAAGATAATACGCTGGGTAACCCCCTGCTGTGCCCCAAGGAGAGGCTCGATCAGATCGACGTCGCGACGGTACAAAAGTATAGGGAACTGTTTTATAGGCCGGAGAGGATGGTGGTCGCGTTTGCGGGAGTAGAGCATACCGAGGCGGTTAAGCTCGCGGAGCGTTTCTTCGGGGACATGAAGTCTACGGCGCAAGATCCCGTGCTATCCCGGACGGGATCTGAGACATCCCTGGGCTCCCAGGACAGCTCCTCCTCTTCCTCTTCTTGGTCCTCGTCCGGCTCCTCTCAAGTATCTGGAGCCACCATGGCGTCTCTCAAGTCGCCGTCCAGTCTCCTCTCCAAGGTCCCTTTCTTCAAGACCCTCTCCACCTCCGCTCCCACAAAGGCCTCGCTCCTCAACACCACCCCCTCCCAAGACATCTTCCGTGCCGCTCAGTACACTGGCGGCTTCCTCGCCCTCCCCCCGCCCCTCCTTCGCCCAACCCCGCCCTCCCCAACTTTTCCCACATCCACCTCGCGTTCGAAGGTCTCCCGATTGTGTCCGATGAGATCTACGCCTTGGCCACCCTTCAATTCCTCCTCGGCGGCGGCGGGTCCTTTTCTGCTGGTGGGCCTGGCAAGGGCATGTACTCGCGCCTTTACACGAATGTCCTTAACCAGCACGCCTGGGTCGAGTCGTGCATCGCCTTCAACCACACGTATACCGATTCTGGCCTCTTTGGCATATCCGCCTCGTGCATCCCCGGCCGCACCGCCTCCATGCTCGACGTCATGTGCCGCGAGCTTCGCTCACTCACCCTCGACTCGGGCTTCTCGGCGCTCAACGACGTCGAAGTCGCTCGCGCCAAACACCAGCTGCGCTCCAGCCTCCTCATGAACCTCGAGAGCCGCATGGTTGAGCTCGAGGACTTGGGCAGGCAAGTCCAGATCCACGGCCGCAAGATCCCCGTCGCCGAGATGTGCGAGCGCATCGAGGCCTTGACCGTTCAGGACCTGCGCAAGGTTGCGCGCAAGGTCTTTGGTGGCCTTGTCGAAAACGGCGGCTCCGGCGCGCCTACCGTCGTGCTTCAGGAGGCGCAGCCCGTCGGCTTAGCTAGCTGGAAGCATATCCAAGACATCATCCACGGTTGGGGACTCGGAAGAAGGTGAGACAACCCCTCGGAGCCTTCTACTTTGGATAGAAGGAAAAACAGAAAAAGAAAAAGAAGACAAAGAGTAAATTAGCGGGATATGGTGCCGTGTGTATTTCATCTCCCCGACGATAGATGTGTGGGGCATATAGACGCCGACAGAGCGTACATATCCATCTTTGGCGTACAGTGTACTACATATAAGCTCGGACGACGGTGGGAACGGGCGACTGTCCACCACAAGTGGGACACGCGCGTCCCTTTGTATAATAAGTTTTTAACGGTTCTGGGAAAGACTCTTCTTTTTCTTCTTGTCTTTTCTTTTGTGTAATGTCTCGTTGGAATGAGCGGTTTGGATGAGAGAAATAGATGCATCAGATGATAAGCGAGGCAGGAAAAAGAGGCCAATGCATAGGGAGGGACTAGGTTAGATCTAGATACCTGTGACTGTTATTGATATCACTCTATTTCAGAATGCGCACACAGCGTCCCAAGAAACCTCTTTAACTATTTAGTAATGGTCCCAAGATGGTGTTTAAAAAAGGAACTGATGTCTAGCTCAGCTTCTAGAAAGATGGTTCGGGATGTTTGGATCGGAAGACCCCATCGCAAGCCAGATCTATGGACGCAGCCGAAAACAAGGTAGATAGAACGCCACTCTTTGGCGCTCACACATGGGAGAGCCGAAAACAAAAAAAAAAAAAAAGAAAAGAATGTAACCCCAACGCGAGATTCCGTATACATTGCCGATATTGCCGATATTCTAACCGCCAGCAGAAACTCCCCAAAGTGACCGAAGAAAAAAAAAACCAAGAAAAAAAAAACCAAGAACAAAAAGACAAGGGTGAAACGAAAAGAGTCGAATAATAGTGCAAGGGAGGTAGATAGAAAAAGGGAGGAGGAATGTCTGTGATCGTAGAGGATTTTCTGATACCTCTTCCTTGCTACCTTTATAGTTTAGACCGGACCGCCTCAAGTCTATACTTGACGTCCTTGAGGGCTTTTGTCGTCGGCTTCCAGTCGTCAAACTGTTTCAGGAGCTGATCAGTCTCGGCCGAGAGCTCTGTCTTGACAAAGTCTTCTTCAAGTAGGCCCCGCATAACCCAAGGCAAAAGGTAGGGGTTGGGCGAGGTAAGGGCGCTGTGTTGATGGATACGACAGGGTAGCTTAGTCGGCACGTCAGTCGTTTCGAGGGCGTGGAATATGGCCAGGCTAGGTGAGGAGAGGAAGAAATTAAGTCAGCTCAAGATTGGTCATACACGCTTGGTCATCCCTTCGAACATACTCGTAGACTTGATCATCAAAGTAAAGCCTTGAGTGACCTTCTCCACCGTACAGGCTTCCAGCTAACGGAATGGAGAGCTCGCGGATCAGGCCGTGGTCTGAAACGCCTAGGTTTCGAAGCTTCAGAGCGAAGCCGACGAGATGTGCGATGCTAGAGAGTCATAAAGCGTTAGCGGTTGTGGGGAAACCGGGAGATTCATGGGGATGAGAGCGCTTGTGCTACGTACAAGTCGGGTGCGTGGATGCGGCCATCGATAAACACAGCTCTGTAGATGTATGGGTGGTCCGCAGGGGAACAGACCGCAGACTAAACGCTCGTAATTAGCAAATCTTTCTTCCACACAATCACAGTGCTGTGTCACATACCTCCATGGGTACGAGTTGGTCATCGATACTGCCGATGAAAGTGATGCGCACTCCGTACTCAAGTACTTCCTTCAAGGCAGCCTCGTACCGTTGGGAAATCTCACTAGCTGGGTTGGCAAGCTCCCACAACTCGGCCGCCGCACCCATCAGAAGTCCCATGCTCGATTTGTAGTCGGGGAACGGCCCAAGGGTGACTCCGGCTAGTTTCCTAGTTAGTATGCAATGCTGGACAAGGTTCTCGGACTGAGGCGGGAAAGAGTAGGATACACACCCATTGCGCAGACTCCAATCTTTGCGTTTTGGATGATGCCCAGGTCTATTAGTTTGGCGAGTAAGATGATGCTTACTGGTACGCCCTGGGAATGGCATGCGACGATGACAAGATCGGCTTCTCGTAATTGCTCGATCCAGTTCAGCAGAAGGGTCCACAAATTGTTCACCCGATCAGCAATCTTTCCTTCACCCTCGAGCGCGACCTTTTCAATGACGCAGTCGGATTGTCCATTGGCATCTGCCCATCGTCGGATGGCCTCCGCTCCCAGATTGGCGAAACGTATCGAGGTGCCTGTCGGTTGCCCGATAATAGGCTTCAGATATGCAGCGGGGAACAGACCATGAACGCCTATGGAAATGGCCTTGCGGATTTTAGGGGCTCCTTGACCCGGTAAACGTGGTTCGCCGGGGCTTGCCGCGTTCGAAGGAGAAAATTGGTAATTTGTTGCATGATGGACGGGTTCCCCTTCATGCTGTAGGTGCTTGGAAAGGTTGGGAGTAGTAGATTAGGCGGCAAAGATGCCGTGGAGGATTCCTTGATTTGAGCGGGTGTCTTTGCGGGCGTGGCCGTCGCTGGAGTGGTAATCTGCTCACCAACTGTGGTAGCCTGCTTGGAGGATTTTGCGAGCTTCCCATCCGACTTGGAGGAGTCGCAGCCGAAACGTCAATATCCATCGACTGTGGCCGGGTTCTCTTGTTTTTCGCTCGTGGGGTGACGGGCGCCGGTGGTTGTTTTGGGCTAACCCTGTCCGGTGCCTCAGCTTGGCTCACTTCAGAACTCTTGGCTGGGGTGGGGTGAGACTCGGAGCCATCCCCTATGATGGCCAGTTCTCCAGCCTCAGTTGACTGGACCTCAGTTGACTGGTTAGAGGATCCACGGGCTTTCGAACGGCTATCTCGAGACCAGAATGCCCATGTAGAGCCCTCCGAGGGAGTCTTTACAGGCTCCGGCTTGGGCGCTTGAGGGGCGTCGTCCGGCTTGGTGTCAGAGGGCGCCGCATCTGCCGTCGCATCCACCATGGGGACATCTTCCGATACTTGGGGGTTGTATCTTCAGCTGGCGCGGTCTGCCCAGGAAGAACCTCCGGCACCGGTCCAGTCCATATAGTTGTGGTCGAAGACCAAAACCCATACCAATAACCAGTGGAGGCAGTCTGGGACGGCGCGGGCTCGACCTGCATTTGGGTATCTACTTGCTCCGTCTCTTGGGTATCAGCCTCGAGTGGTTTTGGCATCACAGAGTCTCTTGTCGCTAAAGGAGCCGTTGGATCTGGTACGGGCCCCGTTATGCCTTCCTTATCATCCGCCGTTAACGTGGTGTCCATAGGGAGGGTATCTGCCGTTTCTTGCGTTTCGCGGTGCGAAGGGGGTGCTGGAGATCGGCCAAACCATGTCAACCACCCAGAAGAAGTAGTTGGCCTTTGGGGTGTCGAGTCGTCGTTATTCACGGTAGGCATTATGGCTGGTAGGTCGTCTGTAGCAGGTGGCGCATCCGCGACGATGGTTGACTCGCTCGAACGGCTCGGCTCCTCATCGACACTCATCTTCGTGTCACTTCGACTCGGAGTGGTATTTTCAGTTGCGGTTTCTCCAGCAAGCTCAGACTCATGGGAAGACTTTGCTATAGTACGTTGCGAGGGTGCGAGCGAGGTAGTGGAAGGGGATCGCGAGATTGTAGGTGTGCGCCTTGGGTCAAATCGCGAGAAATCTGGCGCACTTTCGGGTTTCATGGTCCCTCCAAAGATGTTTTCTTTGGCAACCTGGGTCGAAGGGGCAGACTTGGGAACTCGAGGCCATGATCCATACCAACTACGGGTTTTGTGCACCTAGTGAGCAAGATTAGGGTAAGCGCATAGTAGGATTTGGGATTGAATGAGCGACTAACCTGTTTATCGAGGTTAGGAACGGCAGATGGAGGGTCTTTCCCCACGGAACTTTGCTTTGGGGAGGTGGAGGCATGTCGGAGTCCCGCGCTGTGTTGAGGGCCACAGAGGGTGAGGCTACGTGAGAATCCGCATTCGGTTGGGAGCTGGGGCTAGAGGAAGAAGCGGTTGCAGATGCGTCCGTCGGATTTGGCCTAGGCCGCTTCCGAGGCATCATTTCGAGCAAATCAGTGTGGGCGAATAATGACTGCTTGAAAGTGGGAAATTCTCCATGGATTGAAGGCAAGATTTTTGTTGAATAACAAGCGGGAACGAAGTGCCTAACTGGGTTGATGGGTACGCCGTGTTATTCCGGTTGCCTTGGGCTGTTGTGGTGGTGTCGTCACTGGCTTCTCACTGGCTTCCATGTTCCATGTGCCTCTCTTCCTCGGCCGCCTGGACCCCTCCACGTCCGTGACAGGTTGACCCACACTCTTGTTGGGTCATGAACTGCGTGATTGGCCAAAGCGAGAATGCTAAAGATCCATGGCTGATTCTCGGCTAAGGTCCTTATCTTATCGGGGGTTTTTGGTGGGGTGGGATCCACTTGACATTTTGCTGCAACAATTGAACATAGGGAAAAAAATTTAAAAATTTCTTGAGCTTTGGCTCTTTTCTGAATTCACTTGCACGCCGACTCCATTCAATCGTACTTCTCAGTCCCCCATTGCACCAAAATGAGCGCCGTCAAGAGGAAGGACGGTCCAGGTGCGCCCAAGGGCATCAAGGAGAATCCTGCCAAGCGAAAAAGTTTGATACTCCCGAAAAGAAGACGACAAAGTCGCCCAAGTCTAATGGAGCGAAGCCGCCAGCCCCCGCGTCCAAGGCTTCGGCCCCATCGACCCTTCAACCTCTGAAATCTTCAGTCTTGACGAGCCTTAGGGATGACGAGCCCATGTTCCCGCGAGGTGGGGGAGCGTTCTTACTCCTCTAGAGCAGAAGAAAATTCAGATGCAGGCGAAGCAAGACGCACTCGACGAGGCCAAGGCCGACGAGCTTAACGAAGCCTCTTCTAAACCAAAAGCCAAGGCTAGGAAGGAAAGGGCGTCTAGGAAAAGGAAACCAAGTCTGCCGCAGACAAGGTGGACCCGGATGCTGTCAAGGTTGAGAGTTTAAGCTTCAAGGTAAGCAGCTTGCCCTCCATGCTGTCTCTTTTGCCCCGGGCCTGGCACTTTACTCACACGAACCTCCAATCTGCAGAAACTTGTCAAGGGATCTCTTGTTCTTGGCCAAGTTACCAGCATTAATGCGCTCGACCTTGTTGTCGCGCTTCCCAACAATCTCACCGGCTCAGTCCCCATCACCGCCATTTCAGATTCCCTTACCACCCGCCTACAGGAACTCGAGGCCAGTTCGGACGACGAGAACGAAGACGATGCGGCCGCCCAGGGAGTCGAACTAGCTAGTCTTTTCCACGTTGGCCAGTACGTCAGAGCTTGCGTGACGTCCACCATGGATGAGTCAAAGGTAGACAAGAAGAAAACCAAGGCCAAGAAACGAATCGACCTCTCCCTCCGCCCTTCTGACACGAACCCCGGCCTCACGACCGACGATATCGTCACGAGTGCCTCGCTCATGGCCTCCATCGTTAGCGTGGAGGATCATGGCTGCGTCATGGACATTGGCTTAGAAGGCTCCGACATCCGGGGCTTCCTACCAAAGAAGGAGATTGACCCTGCCATTGATGAGCGACGTCTACAGCCGGGCAACGCTTTCTTGTGCCTAGTCACCGGCAAGAGCCCTAATAAGCGCGTAATCCAACTAACCACCTTGGCTGAGAAGTTGGGATCGCTCAAGGCTCTTCCGTACGATGCCACAACGATCAACACCTTCCTTCCCGGTACCGTCGTTGAGGCACTTGTTGTCGACACTACATGGGGAGGGTGGTTGGCAAGGTCCTCGGTCACCTCGATGTCACAGCCGATCTTCTGCACTCGGGACTTGCTACAGACACGATCGACCTCGATACTGCTTGCAAGATCGGTACAAAGATCAAGGCCAGGGTCATCTGCAACTTTGCCACGGCCAAGAACCCGAAGCTTGGTATCTCCCTCTTGCCTCACATTCTCGGCCTCAGTCAAAAGACTATTTCCGTCGAAGGGGAGGATAGACCTCCTCTCGGCGCCATGCCTATATCGTCAACTGTCGAGAAATGTGTTGTCAAGAAGGTTGAGAACGATATCGGCTTGTTCGTGGATATCGGCTTGGAGGGTTACCGTGGCTTTGTCCACATCTCGCGAGTCAAGGATGGCAAGGTCGATGCCCTCTTTGAGCACACTGGTGCTTATAAGCTCGATACCGAACACAAAGGACGCGTGCTTGGCTACAACCCAGTGGACGGCGTCTTCCAGCTGTCTTTTGAGCAGAGCGTTCTCGAGAAACAATACCTCAGACTCGAAGACATCCCTATCGGAGAGGTTGTGAACTGCACTGTCGAATCGCTCGTTATAGGGCCCGAGGGCGTCAAGGGCCTCATCGTCAAGTTGTCCGATGGTATGACAGGTTTCATCACCGAAAGGCATCTCGCCGATGTGCAGCTACAGCACCCCGAGAAGAAGTTTAGGGAAGGCATGAAAGTCAAGGCTCGCGTTCTTTCCGTTGATTTGCTTGAGCGACAGATGCGCTTAACTCTCAAGAAGACTCTAGTCAACTCGGATGCGCCTGTGATCAAGTCCTTCGATGATGTATCGATCGGAATGCAAGTTCCGGGCACAATCACCAAGGTCCTCCCCAATGGCGCCTCCATTCAGTTCTACGGCCCTCTTAGGGGCTTCTTGCCGCGCTCAGAGATGAGCGAGGCTTTCATCCGCAACCCCGAGGAGCATTTCCGCGCCGGCCAGGTTGTTAGCCTTCACGTGATAGATGTTGACGCTGAGCTGAACAAGTTGATCGTCTCCTGCAAGGATCCTTCATCCTTTGGAGTCGAAAAACAAACTGCCCTCATGGGCCTACAGGTTGGCGACGTGGTGTCCGGCAAGGTTACGGAAAAGACGGAAGACGTCATCCTAGAGCTCGAAGGCAGCGGCCTCCGAGCCACCCTTGCAGTGGCCCATTTGACCGACAGATCCCTCGCTAAATGTCGCTCTGAGCTCAAGCGGATACACGTCGGCCAAACTCTAACCGACCTTATGGTCGTCGACAAGCACGACCGCCGTCGAGCCATCGTGTTAACGCGGAAGCCTAGCCTCATCGAGGCGCAGAAATCCGGCAAACTTTTGGTAGACGCGAGCACCGCCAAGGTTGGTGATGTTCTCGCCGGCTACGTTCGAGACATCATTCCTGCCGGCGTTCTCGTCCAGTTCGGCGGTGGCACTAGGGCCCTGCTTCCCAAGGCTCGCATCCCTCCCGAGGCGCAAGAACAAGAAGATTTCGGCATGTTTAGGCTGCAGTCCATCACCGTCAAGATTGTCTCCGTTATTCCAGACCAAGGCCGCCTCGTAGTCGCCCTTCCGACTACAGAAGATGAAGAGGCTAGCAATATCCAGCTCGACTTTGGTTCCAAAACCAAAGCCGTCATCACTTCGGTTCGCGACACGCAGTTGAACGTCAAGGTAGCCGGCAACCAGCACGGCAGAATTGACATGTCAGAGATTTACGACAAGTGGTCGGAAATCAAAGACCCCAAGGCTCCTCTAGCCTCGTTCAGCAAGAACGACACCATTGACGTCCGTGTGCTGGGTACCCACGACGCGCGGAACCATCGATTCCTTCCCATCTCTCACCGCGGATCGAGCAACAAGGTCCTCGAACTTACAGCCAGACCTACTGCCCTCAAAAGCGAACCTCTCGAGGCTACTACTATCGACAAGGTAGAGGTTGGGGCCGAGTATATTGCGTTCGTCAACGCTAACGGCGAGCGACACATCTGGGTCAATCTATCGCCCTTTGTCAGGAGCCGCCTCAACGCCATCGACATCTCGGACGACGTTTCCGTCCTCAAGGATATCCCCGGTAATTATCCAATTGGCTCCGCCCTCAAGGTCCGCGTCCTATCGGTGAATGCCGAGACCGGAAGGGTCGACGTCTCCGCTAGCCGACGCACTGCTTCTTGCTCTCTGTCTTGGAGTGACGTCAAGGCAAACGAAATCGTGACCGGACGGGTGACCAAGGTCAACGAGCGGCAGGTTCTTGTGCAATTAAACAACGAGCTGGCCGGTCCCATTCACCTTCCCGATCTTGCCGATGACTACTCTGAAGCCAAGCCCCTCAATTTCAAGAAGAACGACCTTGTCAAGGTATCCGTTGTCGAGGTCGACAAAGCCAATAAGCGCCTCCGTCTTTCTACCCGACCATCACGCCTCCTCAACTCGGATACTGAAGTTGTGGATCGTGAGATTACAAGCGTTGACCAAATTTCTAATGGTGACATCATTCGCGGGTTCGTCAAGTCCGTCACCGATGTTGGCCTCTTCGTCCTGTTAGGTGGCCACATCTCGGCGTACGTCAAGATTGCCAACCTATCAGACAAGTTCTTGAAGAAATGGAAGGATGAGTTCCAGGTTGACCAGCTCGTCAAAGGCCGTGTCATTCTAGTAGATGCCGTAACCGGACGGGTCGAACTCAGCCTGAAGGAGTCTGCCGTCGACGAGAACTACGTACCGCTCAAGACCTTTAGCGATATCAGGGAAGGCCAGATCCTCACAGGCAAGGTTCGCAAGGTCGAGTCGTACGGTGCTTTCATTGAGCTTGACCACTCGACCAATATCAGAGGTCTTTGCCACCGCAGCGAAATGGCAGAGGCGCCCGTGAGCGACCCTTCCAAGCTCTATACCGAGGGCGATGCAGTCAAGGTCTACGTTGTGATCGTAGACCAGGAAAAGAAGCGCCTAAGCCTTAGCTTGAAGCCCTCGCACTTTGATGGCGACGATTCTGATCTCGAGATGGGGGATGCGGCAGAGGATGACGATGACGACGAAGACGACGACGATGATGAGGAGCCGAGCTCATCGACGAGGAGATGGATGATGTTGACGATGATGAAGACGACGATGTTATGGAGGGCCTCAAGATCGAAGTTAGTGACGATAGCGAGGACGATGAGGAAGAAGGCGGCGTAGGCCTCGCAGAATCGGGCCTTGGAGGAGCTAGCTCCAAATACAATTGGGCAGGAGACGCGTTTGGCGATGACGATGCGGAGTCGGACAAGGAGGACCAGTCAGGAGCAAAGGCCTCTGAGTCGCGAAAGCAGCGCAAAAGGGACGAATCGAGGTTGACAAGACCGCTGCACTTGATGTGAATGGCCCTCAGAATTCCAGCGACTACGAACGTCTTCTCTTGGGACAGCCCGATTCCTCGGAGCTGTGGATCGCGTACATGGCGCTTCAGATGCAGGTCAGCGAGCTCGCCAAGGCGCGAGAAATCGCTGAACGGGCCCTCAAAACGATCAACATCCGGGAACAGACGGAGAAGCTCAACGTATGGATCGCCTACCTCAACTTGGAAATGGTCTACGGCACAAAAGAGACCCTGGACGACATCTTCAAACGGGCATGCCAGTACAACGATGAACAAGAGGTGTACGAGAGGGTCATTAGCATCTACATCCGAACCGGCAAGCACAAGGTACGTCAGGCATTGTTCGCGCTAGAATGCTCAATCCCCGCTTTTTACATAACACCCCCACTAACAATGTTCTTACAGGAGGCGGAAGAACTCTTCAACGCCCTGGCTAAAAGTACGGCTCCAAATCTCCCCAGGTGTGGCTCAACTACGGTCACTTCCTCTACGTGACATGCGAGGAGCCTGAGCGCGGCCGGGCCCTTCTCGCGAGGGCGCGCCAGAGCCTGGAGCAGCGCCACCACCTCAACACGTCGGTCCGGTACGCGGCCCTCGAGTGGCGCTCGCCTAAGGGCGACCCGGAAAAGGGCCGCACCTTTTTCGAGGGTATTCTCGCCAAATATCCCAAGAAGGGCGACATCTGGAAGCAGCTGCTGGACCTGGAGCTGGGTGCGGGCGGGGATAAGGCGGACCCGGCCATCGTGCGCGACGTGTTTGAGCGCAGGACCAAGGTCAAGGGCCTGAAGCCGCTTCAGGCTAAGAAGTGGTTCGAGAAGTGGGCGGATTGGGAGGGCCAGACGGACCCCAAGGGCAGGCAGAAGATTATGACGCGAGCGGGCGAGTGGGTCGCCGCGTATAAGGCGAAGCAGGCGGCGAGGCAGGAGGAAGCCGATGCGGACGAGGAAGATGAGGAATAAGAACCGAACTCGGTACAAAAAGAAAAGGAGGAAAGCAGGTATGGAAAGAGGGGGATATAGTATAAGAGTGGATGAGCATATTGAGGCATCACATTTTCTCTCCATGTTCTCTTTTTTGATTTCATTTTCTGCACATGTATGGGCGGTGCCTGATCTTTGGTTCCTTATTTCGTTTTCTGACATAGCCAAAAGTAAAGCCCAGATGGGCTGGGATATATATTTGCTAACTTCATGAGAGGATTCCTCGCTTTTTTGTTGGTCATGTCCAGTTCGTAATTGCAGCCAAGCGCAAGGCATAAAACTAATCTCAGGGGAACAAAAACAGCAACAAGCAAACTTTTCCCCTCGCCTTTTCCGCGATTTTACTCTCCGTCAAGCTCGGGATAGTGTCTGTAGATGCCATTGCTGTACTTTTGGCGGCGCTCGCTGGCCAGATATTCCTTGATCCGCGGGCGGTCCTTGACTGCCTGGTAAAGCTTGAACACGTTGTCATACTCACCAGAAGCCTCGAGCTTTCCAACCGTGTTGGGGAAAGCATACTTGAGGCCATCGATATTCTGACGTGGAAGTAGTCTCGTTAGCCAACCGTAACCTCGTAGGGGGTGTCTAAAGGGTGGTAAAAGAAAGAAGAAACGGAAAAAGACAAGGATCAAAGAGAAACGGAAGAAAGTCCTTCTTAAAACTTACCTGGAACAATACAAGATCGACATAGGTCAGCGCACCCCCATACAACCAAGGGCCGTCGCCGCTCTTCTCGCCGCGGAGCACCTTTTCAAAGTAACCCAAGAACTTGGGCAGGCGGTTCTTGGTGTAATCGGCCGCGCGGCGCTTGCTCTCCTCCTTTTGGTTCTCGTAGTAGTCGCTGACGGAGACGGGGTGGTGCGTTTCGTGGACTTCGTTGGACAGGCCGTCGAGGGCGGTCAGAGCGAGGCCGTTGAGGTGGAAGAAGCCGGCGCCTTGGGCGGGGGCGAGGTTGTGGCGCGAAGCGAGGTAGAGGAGAATGTTGGGGGTCTGGCTGATGAGCAGGTCGCCATGGCGGAGGATGGGCGGGGCCAAGGGCGGCGGGTTGGAAGCGTCGCCGAGGTTGTCAGCGCTGATTTCGGCCTGACGGCGGCGACGGCGGCCTTGGCATCGGCGACACCAAGATCCTTGTACTCGACGCCGGCCTCCTCGAGGACGAGGCGGACGAATTCGCCGCGGCCGGGAAGGCCGGGCCAGTAGATGAGTTCATAAGAAGGAGACATCTTCACGGGAGATTTTGAGAGGAGATGGGGAGGTGGGTAGTTTGAGTGATGACGCGACCGGGCTTGATGAGTGTGGGACTTGCTGAGAGCTACGGGTCTACACGGTGTAATGGATGATGGACAGAGGGAGGGGAAACCATGATATTTATATCTGCTTGACGGCGGATGATGCCGGAGGAGAGAGGCCAGGAGCGGGGTTGATCGCATCGATGTCGTGCGAGCGGGTGTCTGTTTGATGATGCGTATGCGTGTGCCGGAACGTGTGTGCCTATACAACAAGCGGGAGGTCCAGGCCGTCGCGCATGCTTACGCGGGTTGTGTCACAAAGCTTACAAAGGACTGACCGTTTTTGCCTCTCTCGGGCCAGCCACAATGAGGGGATGTTTGGACAGCTCTGAAGCTTGTCCATGCAGACGTTCTGGCGTGATGTCATCAAAATCACTGATTAAGGGAGCAGCTAGCTCTGACCCCTTGCTGGGCCGCCTTGGCTCCCGCGGGCGTGGAATGCGGCGCAACCTGCTCAACCTCGCGGGGGTTCATGTGAATCCGAACGTGCAAGGGTGGGTATCGGCTAGCTCTCCGAGCTTCACTCGCGCTCACAAGCTGAGTGTGCTAAAAAGGTGAGGCTGCATGAGACCGCGTCTCCTCTTTCCGATCTAACCGGAGCCACGAACCCTCTTCAAGGGTTGGTCGTTCTGCAAAGGAGAGAACAAGGGGGACTGGGGGAGGGGAAACGGCGTATCGGTCTCCGTCTCCCCGTCGCCGAAGGTGATTCATGATATTATTAATCAGGATCGGAGGTGGATGTGGGCAAAGAACCCACACAACGTGCGCTGGCGTCCCCGAGGGGTGTGGCTCATCGCGGGCGTGCTATTTTATGGTGGCAGCCCTGTGCGCTCTTCACGGTTGGTGTGAACGAGTATTAGATGCATCTAGGTTATGGATGCATTAGTCTAGGTTGCATTGATCTAAACCATTGAGGTCATCTCTGCGGTTGCTTTACGACCTTTGCTTATGGGGTCCTGTAGGAGAGGTCCGTAGCTCTCGGGTAATCATGATGCTCCACGGCCGTTTTGAATCGCGGGGTTGCAATCAGCTGAGGGAGGAGCATTCAAGCTCTACGAGCTAATTTTTAGCCAGCTAATAGCTGTCAGTGCCCATGCCAGCCGATACATCAAGGGAAGGAGGGATTGATGAGAGCAACCATAGATAGCCGCGCTTCTCCGAACTCGAGCAAAAGTACCTGAAGCAAATTCCGCCATTCCATCATCCATTGCATTTGATCGCTACAACCCGTATCAATTCATCACCTTCCGCACAGTGCTGCATGGGGGTCAGTAGCTCAACCGTGAAACAACAGTCCAGTCCAGTCGACATGATCATTATCGCCGGAAGTGCAATTGATCAATTCTTCAATTGATTGATTTCGATTTGAGCATTTTCAACGGACCAATACCAGCGCAGTGTGCCTGAATCGAGGGTGTGGGGCCGCCGTAACACAATGGTGCCGAGCCAAGCAACAGAGCTCGGCCAGCTCAAAGGATCGATGTCGTGACTGACCCGTGCCTTGTCTCCCATACTGTGCCCGTCACAAACACCACCGCCTTTCACCTTTCTTCCCACACCCGCCACCTCCTCCTCTGCTCTCCTCCTCCTTTGCAAATCTCCCCGTACCTCGAGAGATGCGCGGGGCAGCTACCTCTACACTCTAACTCAACCAGCGATACCAGATAATATCAGACAACTCAACCGGGTGGGACAAAGCACTAACCACCATTATGCATCCCGAGAAGGAGGGGCTCCTTCCCCTCGGGGCCGGAGAAGCCATTCCCAGCCTTCCTCCGAAGCGATTCAACCCCGCGGCCCGGCGCCGAAACCTGAGACGCTCCAGGGTCTTGCGGCTTGCGTTCTTGTTTTGCGTCGCTTTCATCACTTATTCGCAGCTCGAGCAACTTCGCAGCCTTCGCTTTTGGTCACGTTCGTCTCAGCTGTCTGCCACCCGGCTCCAGGCGAACCTCGAGACCTGCAAGAAGCTGCAGCGAAGACCCGAAGACCCCAAAGGCCTCGGTCGCGAAAGGAATGGTCGTTTCGTTGACGGAACTAAGCCCACCCTCATCCGCAATGCCACGGTCTGGGTTGGCGAGCCTGCTGAAGGCACAAGCGAAGAGGATGCCCGTGCTGGCAAGGGCTACGCATGGATCAAGACCGACGTGTTCGTCGACGGTGGACTGATCCAAAAGTTGAGGCCGGAATCTCGCTTGCCTCTCTGCCCCATGGTACCCAAGTCTACGACGCCCACGGTCGCCAGCTAACCTCGGGCATCATCGACATGCACAGCCATGCCGGTGTGGACTCCCTTCCCTCCATCCGCGGAAATGAGGACACCAACGAGATGTCGGACGATATCACCCCTTACGTACGATCCTGGGATGCTATCCAGCCTCTGGATCATCAGATCCAGGTCATCAAGTCTGGCGGCGTGACCACAAGCTTGGTGCTCCCCGGCTCTGGTAACAACATTGGCGGCGAGGCCTTTCTCATCAAGCACGCCGTCGGAAAGCAAGACGGCCGCAGCGAACTAAGCATTGAGGACATGTTTGCCGATCCCGAACGCAACTGGCGATACATGAAGATGGCATGTGGCGAGAATGCGAAGCGCGTGTACGGCAAGGTCGGTCGCGGGCCCTTTAGCCGCATGGGCGAGTCTTGGTACTTCCGTCACGCCTTCGAGGAGGCTACCAAGCTCGTGAGGGATCAGGACGACTGGTGCGCCAAGGCTGAGGCTATAGGCGCCGAGAACATGCCCCAATATCTCCCCGAGGAGCTCAAGTGGGAATCGCTCGGTGCCGTTCTCCGAGGACAGGTGCACGTCAACACCCACTGCTACACAGTGCCCGACCTGGAAAGCTTTGTGGATCACACCAACGAGTTCAAGTTTTCCGTCCGGGCCTTCCACCACGCCCACAGTACTTTTCTCGTTCCCGAGGTACGTATCGTAACCTCAATGCTGATGGTTTCCACTCGCTTTCCCCACTTGCTCCTGATGGATTCGGGGGCCCGTCATTTCCTATACATCTTTGGGACGTAATACTTGAGCAATTACACTGACCCGGAATGACAGGTCCTAAGACGGGCTTGGGGCAACACCCCCGCCTCCGCCTTGTTTGCCGATAACATGTACTACAAGGCCGAGTCCTTCGTCGGCTCAGAGTATGCCGGCAAGATTTTGTGGGACCATGGTCTCGAGACCGTCTACGTTAGTGATAACCCCGTCCTCAACGCCCAGCACGTCGTTTTTGAGGCGGCCAAAGGCTACAAGTACGGTCTTCCCTACCATGCCGCCCTGTCCAGCGTGACGTCGATCCCGGCGCGCCTTCTTGGCATGGGGGAGAGGCTGGGCAAGGTCAAGCCCGGGTTCGACGCCGATATCGTCGTCTGGGATAGCGATCCGCTTAGCGTTGGAGCAGCCCCCGTTCAGGTTTGGATCGATGGCATCTCCCAGTTTGAGGATCCGGTGGAGCTAAAGAAGCCGGCATCGGATCCCATCAAGCCAGACGAGAGCCTCGGCAACATTCCCGAAGACGTCCCAGTCAACTATAAAGATGTCGTCTTCACCGGTGTAGCCAACGTTTGGCTCTCTGGTCGGGCAACGGCCTTTGGGTCCCTCAACGTCGTGGTAACGGACGGCAAGCTTTCCTGCTTTGGCAGATGTGAGGCTGAGTTGCGCGCGGCTGCCGAAGCGGATGTCAAGATGGTCAATCTCAAGAATGGAGCCTTGACCAATGGTCTAACTGCTTTTGGATCCCTGATTGGCCTCAATGACATCGACGCGGAGCGCGACACCGACAACGGCGCAAGCGGCGGTAGCGCTTTTAGCCGTGCCCTCGACGGCCTCGCCCTTGATAGCAAGAAGCTCCACGTTGCGAACCAGTACGGCATCACCAAGGCTATTACTGCGCCGAATCACTCGGGAGGCATCTCTCGTCACGGAACCGCAGTCGGGTTCCGCACGGGAGCCAAACACCCCTAAGCGATGGCGCGGTCTGGGGCGACGACGTTTCAGTTCACTACAGCCTCACTCTCGACGCCAAGTCTGGCGATACCCCTTCCATCTCGAGCGCCGTCGGTGCATTAAGATCAAGCTCCTCGAAGCCATTACCAACTCGGAGGAGAAAATCACGGACCCGTACTCGGAAAAGGCCTTCCTCAGAAAGGTTGTCAAGGGAGAGTTGGCCCTTGTGCTCTCGGCCCACAGCGCCAACACCTTGGCGGCCATCATCAGACTCAAGTCGGACGTCGAGAAGGCCATTGCCGATGCGAGCTCCAGCCAAACCCACCCTAAGCTCCGGGTTGCCATCCTTGGCGGTGCCGAGTCGCACATTGTCGCCAAGGAGCTCGGCGAAGCGGAGGTGGGCGTCGTCCTTGCCCCGCTTCTCCCGTATAGCACTACATGGGAAGAGAGGCGCTCCCTCACAGGTGCACCGCTGACGAACGGCACCGCCATCGACGCTCTGGTCGAGGCCGGCGTTGTCGTGGCCATTGGGCTCTACGAAGACTGGGTTGTGCGTGACCTCGCGCTGCACGCGGGCATTGCGTATCGCAATAGTGAGGGCCGTCTCAGCGAGAGGGAAGCACTGGATCTTGTCTCTACCAATGTTTACAAGCTCCTGGGCATCGACGAGCCAGAGGGCCGCGGTACCACGGATTTTGTTGTGTTTGACGGCCATCCGCTCGAGATTGGATCGCGCATCAAGGCGGTCGGCCTTGGTACTTCGGTAGATGTGATGGTGTAGATCTAGGGATTTAAGATCTTACTACTCTTATATACTAAAGTCCTTTTTCTTTTCATTGTTCCCTCCCCTTTGTGGATACCTACTTTGGCGGATACGCGTAGATACGCATAATCATAGTTTCCATCTACATCCAACCTTAGGCGGACCTCCAGTTCAAATTGCTCATGAAATGGCGTGAGACCCCACCAGGGATCAATGGTGAATTTTTAAATCCGAATTGTGAAGAGCAAAGACTAGCAGCGCAGCAGATTTGACATCGGGGCCAAGTCGCCTCCCACATCAGCGTGCAAGCAAAATGTAATTTGATTAGTTTCTCATACCAAGTCCGGCCATCAAAGGAAGAATCTCTCCGTTGCTGGTTGAGATAGCCCCGAGTGTACGATTTGTAAGCCCCACGATTCAACCAATGGTTCTTGGTGTGATGGTGCTTGGTTAGCAATGCTGACGGGAAGCTTTGCAAAAACTTAGTAATGCCCGAGGCTCATGGGTCCTTTCGTGGTCATCGTTCTGGTGTAAGCCGAGTTGACTCCAGTGAGCACTGAGATCAAATTGTTGATTGAGCATCAAGTGGTCCACCCGTAGATAATTCCGAAGTCTAACAGGAGAGAGCCGTATTCCCGGGAAGCTTGGTTCAATTTCAGGCGTCTCTCTATCTGATTCCACTTGCACTCGACTGATCCATGGATCAATTGATCGATTTCACGTAGTGGACCCTGAAGTAGGTAGGGCCGGCCCCTCTTCCGATGGTGGGGGATATTGGAGCTCTTCTCCCAAGTCGAGAGCTCTCTAGCTCTTTCGTTCATAAACGCTTGATTGGAACGGAAAAGGGTGTGAAGTCTCAAAAGGCGTCACAAGTTTTTTTCCCTCCTCCCTTCAGTTTCCCCCATTTGCCTCCGTCCACATTAGTGTCTCTTTGTCAGGTTTATAATCGAATTCGTATACTTTGTCCATCCCTACGAAACCATTGAGGTCAGACGCCGAGCGCTCAGCAGCACACCCTCCCCTTCCCCGTCCAGCTCAAGCCATTTTCCAAGGGAAGCAACGGCCCGACGCCTGCCGTGGAAGCTTCGACTTGATCCTTTTGTCAATTGCGTCACACTTGTACTCGTTCGGGACTGGTTGAAAGGCCAATAGTACACTTCACCAATAGACTCCCGTGTGCGATTATATAACCCCGCCGCTTCCCTATCCCACCATTTAATCTTCCTCCCCCTCTCCACATACATGTCGAGCTACCTACGAAGAGGCCTCATCAGTGCCATTGTGTGTCTGTTAGTTGCCGTAGCATTTCAATACTCGGGCTCCAACCTGGCGTGGTTCAAGCAGCTCGTTAAAATTCCCGCCGCAGCTGCTCCCAGGCGGCATCGAAAGCCAACGTCAACATGGTGCGCGCACCCGTGATCGCACTCTCCCACGGGGAGGTAAGTGATGGCCTTGAATTATCGAGATGAGGTTCGCTTACCTCGACCTCTGCCGAGTAAAACTAACAAGATAAAACTCAAAAGGTCCCATGCCCATCATGGGAGACGCGAACCACAAGGATATCATCTACTCCCTAAAGCACCGGGTCCCTAAACTCCTGCGTCTCGGAACGCCCGATGCGCCCCAGGCAATTGTCCTGGTCACGGCCCACTGGACCACCTCGACACCCATCATAACGTCTTCGCAGAAGCCTGGCCTCTACTACGACTACTACGGTTTCCCCAAAGAGACGTACTCCCTCAAGTACGACGCGCCTGGCTCGCCTAGCATTGCGGAAAAAGTCAAGGCCGCCATGGAGAAGCAGGGCTTGGAGCCCGTTCTCGACGCCAAGCGCGACTGGGACCACGGCGTCTTCGTGCCCATGACCCTCGTTAACCCCAAGGCCGACATCCCCATTGTCCAGGTATCCGTGCTCAAGTCCGAGGACCCCGCGCAGCACTTTGCCATGGGCCGCGCCCTCGAGACTCTGCGCGACGAAAACATCGCCATCATCGGCTCCGGCTTCGCCTCCATGCATAACCTGGCCAAGATGGGCGAGCTCATGATGGGCCGCCAGCTCGGCGGCGCCACGCCCATGCGGAAGCGCTCCGACGAGTGGAACACCGCGCTGACCGAGGCCGTGAGCAAAGAATCGGCCGGGGAGAGGGCGGCCGCCCTTGCTGGCTGGAGACAGCTGCCCCACGCGGACGAGATGCACCCCAAGAGGGGCGGGGAACACTTCCTCCCGCTGCTCGTGTGTGCTGCGGCTGGCGGCGAGGAAAAGACGGGGAACTACAAGGATGATTTTATTGGCATTGATGTGTTTACCTACTATTGGGGAAACCAGATTGACCTTTAAGGCGTCGAGAGGGGTGGGAAGAGAATGATCAGTTGTGTAGATAGTAGTTACTTTGGTAGAAATGTCTCCAATACGTCTGGGGGCGATCTCACGAATATCATGATCCAATTCAGTCAATTCAGTCTCTTGACCCTCTATTCTCTGCCGTGCACAATCAACATACTGTACTGACAGGGGGCCAAGGTTATTCGATGAAGCTTAGCTGCGGCAGGAACGAAGGAGGATGGGAGCTATTACTTGGCCAAGTACATAGTTGAGTTGTGGTTGGTGGGGTATGTGCTATTCCTATACAAGGTATACCTCACTATCCAAATATTCAGAAGGGCAACTCCAGGCAGACGTGCCGCCCTTGTCCCAAAATCGCCAATCGACATCCAACCAGCCCACCAAGCGCGGCGCAAAAGGTTGCTGCTCAAAACACCAGCAAGTGTAGCCACTGCGAACAATCCAAGCAGGGCCAATTGAGCTCGGTTCCAAACGGGCAATGTTTCCCCATGAGACACGTATATATCAATCACTCTCCTTTCCAATTCTTTTTTCAATGTAGCATTGATCATTTGTACCATCACTTACAGCTCTATCCTCTCTTCGCTGCCCCTCCCTAACATCCCATTTTCATCGGCGGCGTGATCAAGAAGGGTCCCACGAAAGGAGTTGTCGAGCGCAACGCATTTCCTCTCACCATGAGCCAGCGCGTGAAGCGGCCCACGTCCCCCGATCCGGACGCGCTTGAAGAAGATGAGCGTATGTATGGCGAAGAGTCTGCCTCGGTAGGCGTCAATGAGACGTATGTGTACTCATGCATTTTGTTTTCACTCTCATCGTGAGAGGCTTCTGCTTACCTTCCCACCCACGGTGACAGCTATCCGGATCGCCCCAGGAACTTTCGCAAGACTCTCCTATTCTCAGAGCTGTTCAAATCTCTATTCAACCCCTCATCGACCTCCGGAAGAATGCCTCTGGTCCTGTGCCCGGTCGGCCCAAGACTCGCACGGGTGGCGGTGCCTCCGTTCAGGAGCAGAAGCGCCACATTATCGAGCGCTTCGTCTCCCGGTGGCGCGCCGAGGTCGGCGACGACTTTTACCCGGCCATGCGCTTGATCCTTCCGGACAAGGATCGCGATCGGACCGTGTACGGCCTCAAGGAAAGCAACATTGGCAAGCTCCTCGTCAAGCTGCTCAAGATCGATCGTAACTCCGAGGATGGGTACAACCTCCTCCACTGGAAACTGCCCGGCCAGACGTTTGCCGCTCGGATGGCGGGCGACTTTCCCGGCCGGTGCTACGAAGTGATTTCCAAGCGACCCATGAGGACCGAGGTAGGTGATCTAACGGTCGCCGACGTCAACGAGCTCCTCGACAAACTTTCTGCGTCGTCGAGCGAGACGGAGAATCTGGCCGTCTTCCAAATCTTCTACCTCCGGATGAACGCCGAGGAAATGCTCTGGCTCATCCGCATCATCCTGAAGCAGATGAAGATTGGCGCCTCCGAGAGCACAGTTTTTACAACTGGCACCCGGATGCTGAGGCACTCTTTAGCGTTTCGTCTAGTCTGCGGCAGGTCTGCTGGCAGCTGCGCGACCCGAGTATCAGGCTGCAGCAAGAAGAGACAGGCCTGCGGCTGGGCCAACCGTTCCAGCCCCAGCTCGCGCAGTTCCAGACCTCTACGACCTTTTCGAAGATGGTCAACCACCTCGGCGTAACCGAGGATGACCCAGAGTACTGGATCGAAGTGAAGCTCGACGGGGAGAGGATGCAACTGCACATGAGCGACAGTCCTGACAAGCCGGGTGGCAAGTCCTTTTTCTTCTGCTCCCGCAAGGCGAAGGACTACACGGAATTGTACGGATCTGGGTACGAGGAGCCGTCCGCCCTCACCCGGTTCCTCAAGGGCGCCTTTTCTCCCAAGGTTCGCAACGTCATCTTGGACGGGGAGATGGTGGCGTGGAACATGAAGGAGGATATGCCCGACGCTTTCGGGAGTCTTAAGACCGCTGCGAACAAGGAAAAGACTGGCGTGGCTGGTGACGGCGCGGAAAAGGACCTACGACCCGTTTTTTCGTCTTTGACATCCTCTACCTCAACGACACGCAGCTCGCGCAGTATACCTTGCGAGATCGGTATCGCGCGCTGCAGAGCGCCGTTCCGGGGATGAAGCGTCGTCTAGAAATTCACCCGCATGTCTCGTCTACATCTCCCGACAATATCGAGACGGAGCTGCGCACCGTCATCGCCGAGGAGGCGAGGGCCTCGTCCTCAAGAACCCCGATCCATGTACCGCCTCAACAGCCGCAACGATGACTGGGTCAAAGTTAAGCCCGAGTACATGGACGAGTTTGGCGAATCGCTCGACTGCGTCATCGTCGGCGGATACTACGGCACGGGCCACGCGGCGGCGGCCTATCCAGTTTCCTATGCGGTCTTCGCGTCGGGGAGAATGAGATTGCCACGGGCGCCAACCCGGAAAAGTGCAAGAGCTTCTTCAAGGTCGGCGGCGGCTTCAAGGCCGAGGACTATGCCGAGGTGCGCCATCATACCGAGGGCAAGTGGATCAAGTGGGACTCGAGCAAGCCGCCGACCGAGTACATTAGCCTCGCTGGCGGCGAAAGGCTCGAAAAGCCCGACGTCTGGATCCGGCCCCGCGACTCCGTCGTCATCTCGGCCAAGGCGGCGAGCATCACCGAGTCCAAGACGTTCGCCGCGGGGTACACGCTGCGGTTCCCCGGTTCCGGCGCCTGCGGCTGGACAGGAGCTGGGACTCGGCGCTCAACGAGGACGAGTTCGACGCCCTCCGCGAGAGGGTCAAGGCGGACCAGGAGACCAAGGACATGAAGGTGGAGAACCGCAAGCGCCGGCCCACCAAGCGCGCCAAGAAGGAGCTCGTGATTGCCGGCACGGATGCGGCGCCCGTGGCCTTCTCCGGCCCCAAAACCAAGGTGTTTGAGGGCCTCGAGTTCTGCGTCCTCAGCGACGCCGCCAAGCCCGTCAAGAAGACCAAGGCGCAGCTCGAAGCCGTGATCAAGGAGAACGGCGGCGAGGTCGTGCAGCGCCCCGCGGCGGGCACGGGCATGATTCTCGTGGCGGACAGGAAGCTCGTGGGCGTGGCGAGCCTGATGAAGAAGGGTGACGTCGACATCATCCGGCCCAAGTGGGTGCTCGACTGCGTGGCGCAGTCGGGCGGCGGCTACCTCCTCCCTTACGAGGACGGACATCTTTTCCACGCCACGCCCGCGCTGTTGCGCTCGGTGGACGATAACACGGACCGGTTCGGGGACAGCTACGCCCGCGACGTCGACCTCGATGAGCTCGCGCAGATCCTGCGGGATATGCCCAAATTAGAGGGGCTGACGAACCCGTTCGACAAGGACCTGTTTACGTCGCAGCTCCGCGAGCGCGGACACGGGCTCGAGGGGCTCAAGAGCCAAATGTTTAATCGGTGCGTCGTCTACTTTTACGAGCCCGGTACCGGCGCCGGTGCCGGAGGAGACGAGGAGGGTGCGCCGGAGACGGGGTCCGCTTCTTCGTCGGGCGAAGAGAGCTTTAGGTTGGGCAATTACGTGCGCTTCGGGGGCGGCGGCGTCGTGGGGTACCTGGGCGATCCGGCGCTGACCCATGTGGTCGTCGTTGATGGTGGGGTCGGCGGACGCGGCGTGGGTGAGGTGAGGAAGGAGATTGCGGCGAGGCCAAGGATCCCGAGGATAGTTACGGGCAAGTGGGTTGAAGAGAGCTGGAAGGAGGGGACGTTACTGGACGAGGAGTCCTACACGGCCACATAGGTTTTTTTTTAGTTTACATGGGGGACGGCGTAAAATGGCACTGATGAATTATCTTTATTTTTCTGTTCCTTCTTGCCGAGTATATAAAAGAACAATCTATATAACTCCCCGAGGGTGGTTTCCCCCAAATATGCGATTTCCGGATCTCTTTGGCGCGCACGTGCAATCGTGATGATTGAGCTGTCGGGCACCAAATTGCGAGGACTCTGTTGGAATGAAGAATAAGATGAGGTGAGAACACTAGGGTAGCTTTGTCCCATATCCCCACATCATATTCTCCTCTTGTACCTGTTTTCTTTTTCTTGATTTTGATTTTTATTTGCCAACGGTCAAGAACAGCCTATCACCTACGTCGCCCAAGCCGGGCTTGATCATTCCGCCGCTGGTAATCTCCTCGTCGACGCCAGCGACCCAAATCTCAGTGCCCTCGGGCCACTCTTCGGCGGCGTGCTTGAGGCCAGAGGCAGCGCCAAGAATGGAGATGACGAGGATACGCTGGGCACCCCATTCTCGGAGGGTCTGGATGGCGGCGACGCTCGTGCCGCCAGTGGCGATGATGGGGTCGAGGATGATGGCGAGGCTGCTGGCGGAGTTGGGGGAGGGGTCCTCGGGGTCCGCGGCGTGGGAGGACAGGTTGTTGTAGTACTCGACGGGCTCGAGGGTAGTGGGCTCGCGGTAGAGGCCGAGGTGGTGGACGGGCACGGCGCGGGGAGAATGGCTTGGATGGCTGGAGGGGAAAAGGAGAAAATGAAAGACTAGGTTAGCATTTGCTCACAAGAAGAAGAAGGGAAAATAGGTGTACGTCTCGGTTCTCTTGTCTCTCCGGAGTAAAATGGGAAGATTTCCAGTGACGGTAGAGCGTGGGGCCTATGAGGAGGAGAGAACAACATACCGTCAACCATGCCGAGGCCGGAGCGAAGAATAGGCACGAGGCTCATGGTCTTGGGGTGGATATCTGTCGTGGTGTATTCAAAGCCGAGGGGCGTCTTCTCCTATAGACGCGCGATTGCCCAGCCAAGGTTAGAAAAGGAGCCCACACAGAAACACAGCCGCACGTGCGTATAGAAGATTTACGGGGATTTCGAGAGAAGCACCGAAATCCATGCAACGTCGGGACAAGGAAAATCCAAAGGCCCATTTCTATCACAGCCTAGATTGGGGATGGGGGAAGGGGCGGAAAGAGAGAGTGTCCTACTTTCGGGCCTGGCGCAGACACGATGGCGCTGGCTAGGGCCTCGCAGCCGAGAATGGTGGAAATCTCGTGAATCAAGGCCTTGACATCCCTGGCGCTCGCTTTCGCGGATCGGAGCTGGCTGAGTTTGGCCTGGAGGCATGGATGAGAGGAAACGCGCACGTTGGCGGGGAGGTCGGCGACGGTCGTCATGGCGGGCGAGGTGGGGCACGGGGGCAAAGTTGACGGGTCGACGGACAAGGACGGCGGGAAAGAGTTGGTGTAGTATGGGACCCGAGATTTGAATAGAGGGGCAGAAACAACGGTATCGTCGCGAGAAAGAACTGTAGGCAAAAAATGGAAGTGTTTGCCGATGTTGGTTGACGCTTGAAGCTTGGGGATGGAGAGTGAAGGGGAGGAAAGGCGGAAAGGAGAGGGGAGTCAAGGCCGGGAAACCTAAGTCGGGCCTCAACAAGGTGGTGTAAGGGGGACGCCGTGGTTGGGGGTGTGCACGGAATGGGGAGCAGTCGAGGTCCACGAGAGCGTATTAGATCAATTCGTGGATGGGCCCAAGGCTAGAGCACAAGTGAAGAGGTGCAGGGGAGGTGTGTGTGGTGCAGGGGGTAGCACATGCACACATGCACGCATGCACACGGAAGACTTCAAGATTCCACAGCGACTCCAGGCCGGATCATGGTGGCTCGCCCAGTTTTGATCTCAGGAGCTCGAGGCAGAGCTGGGGTAGTTCCAGGAGGACTGGAGGGTGTAGATCTGAGGGGTCAAGTGCGTTCCGGCCCTGGCACGAGTGCTGAGGGAGGTGGGGTCTCTCTGGAGGGTTGACAGCACCGTGGACGAAGAGTCGAGACACAGGGGGCGGCTCTGGCCTTGGGGCACGCAAGCACGGTATCAGTCTTGGGTGTGCTCAATGGGGCAATCAAGGGAGCGGCTGATTGATTGAATGGACTGATTAGCTTTAGTGGGGTTGGAGCGATAGTTGAGATCCATTGATCCTGCACTCGAGTGCTGACTGCCCGGTCTTGACCTGGCTTGCTGGCCAGTTCAACGCTGTGCTCTTGGGGGACTTGGAGTTGATTCATTGGTGCATCCAATGAGAGGACCCCATCAATTAGGATGATTGATTGAATGGATCCAGAGATGGATCTCTGGATGCATGGGCTTCCAGCATTGGATCAAATGGGTCAAATGGGTCAAATTGAGCTATCTCTGTCCGCGCTTGGCGGGGCTTGCGGCAGGTCTTGTGCTTGTGGCACGGGCGGGTCCGGGCGATAAGATAAGCAAGCTTGAGCGCTCCAGCTCCAGAGAACATTGAAACCACTTCCTTCCCAAGGTGGATCTGCTTGGGGAACTTTGCTCATTCGTCCACAACCAGCACCCGCCATACTAAAGCTGCCTGCCTGCCCATTCAGCTTGGCACCACCAGCGACTCCCTTGGGCGGCGCAGTTAGCGGTCGTCACGGCCCGCCAAGACTTTTCTCCGAGTGTGCGCGGCCAAATTGGCCCGGTATCAGAACGGCGTTGTTTCCGGCCGCAAGGGATGCGGCGAGGAGAACACAAAACGGCAAAAGCAACAGAAGCAGTACGTGAGAGCATTCATGTTGAGGCGTATAAGTCACGGGGCGAAATTTGTTGGAGGGCTTTTTGGGTACGAAGAAGTTAGAGGGTGGGAACAGCGGTGCTTCTTTCACCAGTCATCTCGACTTCTTCCCTCTTCTTCCTACAACTTGACCCATCATAACTTGTCCCGCATTGAAGCCGCCTACAAGGGGAGGCAGCAAAGAGCCGCGATGGAAGGGCAAACACCCACAGAAGCGTGTAGCCCTGCAGCCCAAGACCGGTTACATGGCCGCGATATAGATGCGCCAGCGAGCAAGGCAAGCGGTAGCACTACGAACGGGGGCAGCATGGGAAGAAGCTTGGTATCAACGCCACAGGCGGAGAACCCACGGTCTTCGGGCCAAGATGACGAGGATCTCCCGGAGAGCTATGCCAACCTAAACGAGCTGGCCGCTCCCTCTCCTCCCGCCCAGGAGCGAATACGCGGCGCATATACCATCCTAGATCTCGAAGGCGCGCGCGACCAAGATCTTGCTACGCGCAGCAGGCCCGAACCGTTGACGATCGCGCAAAGCAGGCCCGAGGACGAGCTGAGGCACGCGCGACGGGAAAGGGCGTCTCGCATGGCGACCCAGTTCTACACCCACTGCTACTTCATCCTATTCTCGATCCTTGGCACGCTGGCGAGGCTCGGTCTTCAAGCCCTTACGCACTTCCCCGGAGCGCCCGTGACCTTTAGCGTCGTGTGGGCGAATTTCGCCGGGTCCGTCGTCATGGGCTTCCTAGCAGAGGATCGCATGCTCTTCCGGCACGGAAGAGACCATTATCTCGTTCCCCAGCAGCCGGAAAAGGGCGGGCAACCACCTTCCCAGCCCGCCTCGGACAAAGACATCAAGAAGACGATTCCATTGTACATTGGCCTCACCACGGGGTTCTGCGGCTCCTTCACGTCCTTTTCGTCCTTTATCCGCGACGCGTTCCTCGCGCTGGCCAACGACCTACCCCCACCGACACAGCGAGCCCAACAAGCCGAAACGGTGGGTACTCGTTCATGGCGTTTCTCTCCGTCATCATCTCCAGCATCTGCATATCGCTCGGCGGCCTCTTCATCGGCGTTCACCTCGCGGCCGGGCTCGAGGCCCTCACGCCCTCGTTCTCGCACCGCTTCGTGCGCCATTTCCTCGATAGAGTCGCCGTGCCCGTGGGGGTCGCCGTGTGGATCGCGGCCATACTGCTGTCCGTCTTCCCGCCCCACCGGAGTTGGCGCGGCGACGCCCTCTTCGCTCTCGTCTTCTCCCCGCCGGGCTGCATCGCGCGGTTCTACCTCTCCCTCTTCCTCAACAAAAGGTACCGGCGTTCCCCATGGGTACTTTTACGGCCAACGTCCTGGGCACCGCGGTGCTGGGGATGTGCTGGGACCTGTCGCACACGGCGGCCGGGGGCGGCGTCGTGGGGTGCCAGGTGCTGCGCGGGGTGGAGGACGGCTTCTGCGGCTGCTTGACCACCGTCTCGACATGGGTGCTGGAGCTCTCTACTCTGAGACGAGGGCACGCGTACAGGTACGGGGCGGCAAGCGTGGTGGTATCGGTCCTCGTCATGATTGCCATCATGGGGGGCTGCGGTGGTCGCAAGGATTTGGGCCAATGGCCTGCTGATTGCGTGTTGCTGCACCCATTCCCTCGGGCGGAGGAGTGCGTTGCATCTTGAATCCTTCCATCTCAAGATGGCAATAAAAGGAGGGGGATAATTCCGCCCCGGGAACGCTCCTCTTACCTTCCCTCCCCCTTCTTGGCAGGGATTTCTCAAGTCCCGAATGCTACGAACCTCTTGATACCCCATTCAATAGGACGAACCTCGCTTCACATGCTACATGGGGTCTGCCGTGTCCCCGAGGAGAGGGATATGATCTGATCCTTGGAGCATCTCCTCTCAGGTGCGGTTCTACCCGCAGGAGCAATATACTATCAATCTTTCCTGTACAACTAAACCCGCAAAAGCAGGGTCTTTCGTTTCGCAATCAAATACGCGACAACGGGATCGTCAGCGGGAGGCGATATCAACTACCCTGATTCCTGGCCCATCCCCAATCCTTGCGCATGAAAGATGCACAAATGAAAAGGAGAGGTAGATATCTAGATGATACTTGGATAGGATGGAAAAACAGATCAAGTATCACCAGTTTCACTTGTGCCACCAAAATTCTTTCCCGAATAGAAAGAGAGAGAGATAGAAAAAAATAGTAATAATCGATGAAATCATGAAGAACACCAGGCGCACGCGCACGCAGTGTTGCATCATTTCCTTTGCGCATCATTGCGAAGCGTGGTCAAAGTCTCCTACGGAGAGGCCATGTGTGACGTCATTCCTATCCTGGTGGGGACTCAACGTACCATTTTGGCCAGAAGAGCCGCTAGCAAATTCAACCTCACCGAGAAAGGGGAAGAAGACATTCTCAAAATCGATCTTTTCCCCCATTCATATTCAATTATCCACAGATGGATCTCCTGGTTTACGATTGAGTACTGGGGATGTCTTACGTCACAAAGCGCCCCCAAGCTCAAGGGGAGGGAAGGGGCAGGGAAGGGGGAGGGGAAGGGGGACGAGAATTAGAGCAAAAGCTTCGCACCGTCTGAAGTTAATATGGCGTACATGTAGCTTCCTTCGCTGTTATGCGTGCAGCAATCGGCTTACACTACGGCCGATCGGGAATGAAGGAGGGGGTGGGTTTCTGTAAACAACTTTGAGGAAAGATGGGGGACGGGCGTCGTCGGAACCAAGCTCAAGGGGCATGAACGAAACTACGAAGTACATGAAAGAAGAAGACGGCGAGCGGAAACGGTGGTGTGATTAGGAGATATTTGTATTCGCATACCTTTCTTCTTTGCTGTGCTGAATACAATGTATGCATGACAGGTCGATGCTGGGCCGGGCTTTGGCGGATGAAGAAAAAAAACACAAAAGGAAAACCCACAAGACAGACATGTACGATTTTGAAGAGCCAAGTCAGAAGGACCAAAATCTCGTTTATACACGGCTCCACCAGCACACATGTTTTTATGTCTTACGAGGCCTATATCGTGAAGAAGATCCAAGGGGAGGAAGCACGATGAGACTTTTCTGCTGTAAGCGGCGTGCTCATGCTCCCCGAGACTGGGAAAACAATTCCCCATTGATTCAAGTGAGCGGAGGTCACTCTCCGCGAACACAACATCGCCATGGCCAACCAGGGACATATTCTTGGATTTTGTGTAGACCATGAAAAGGTCCAAAATCAGGTCCCTTAGCTTCCCCTTCCGCCAAGGGGGAAAAGGAGGGTTTCCCGTGCCAGGGTGCTTAGGATGAAGTTGAGTGGACCCAGGGAGCTGGGTATCTTAGCCAGCCATTCGGGATGAGAGATTGATGAAGTCGATCGGTTTAGGTCCTAGTGCTGATGTGCGCCCGAACCGGTTATTTACTCATGGAGTGATGAATTGTTTTCTCCTCAGCTCCAGCCCGTGATCCACTGCCACGACGACGGACAAAGACTTGGAATTTCGTTCTCCAGCCACGACCAACGAGACGAGACGGCGGGTGGAGCTAGCAAAGACCCGCAGCTGTTGCTCCGCATGCCTCATCATTGGTCGATTCAGCCCAAGCTTGACCTTGACTTCCGTCTTCATCACGTCACCTCGACCTTGTTCTCTTACTTGGCGTCCAGTCCCCCTGCTCGTGCACTCTTCAGCGTCGTCAAATCCCGATTTATTATTGCAATTTTTTTTTCAGTTCGGCTTCTTTCTTTCTTTGGTAGAGAGGGGGTTTTTCCCTCTTTTACTTGGCTTCTACCTCGGTACTCGTAGTCAGATATCTGAGAGAGAAAGAGAGAGAGGACAAAAAAACATCACTGGGTCAAAACATTGGGGAGCTTCAAACATCCGAGACATCAAGGTCCGTGGGTTACGGACTTCAAAGGAAAGCAAGCAATGGTCCCGCGCGAGATGAAATTACACGAGATTATGATAATACCGAGCATTTGAAGCTTGGGAGAGAGTAGAGAGCCGATCCCTCTGCTCTCTGTGACTGTCCGTGACTGTCCGTGACTGTGGATCTCCATCGCTTCCCCTCGGTCCTACGACGGCCGCTTGAGCTCCCTTGCGCTGCAATAGCTTCCGCAACTTAACTCTACTCACCTCTGCCTTTTGTTTTATGCAAAGCTTATGCGTTCCATCTTCGGAGAGTCCCTTCTCTCGCATCATGGCGGAGAGAACACCCAGGTGACTTAAAATGGAGGCGTTTGAGTGAAGCGCCGTTGCCTCATTGCATCCTGCACTGCACCTTGTCGTCCAAGAACTATTACATCTTGAGCTTGGCCAAGGGAAGCCGCCAGCCTTTGATGGGTGGCGTTTAAGGCACGTCCACGACCCACTCGTGCAGCAGGTTCTGAAAGCCCATCGTGCAATCGTGCTCCCCAGGAGATCGTCGCAGAATTCATCGGTTCCAGCAGACATCTGATTCCTGCCGGAGGGGGCCATGCTCTCAGCATTGCGCAACCTTCCCCTTTGCTTTGCCCTTTCTGGTAAGGCACGTCCCACATGTCGTGAACAGCCTCCGCCTTTTCTTGTTCTCCGCCTTTTGACACTGGTGGCCTGTTGTGGTTTGGCCGATTAAACTGCTTCCAATGGATCTTTATCATGCTTTTCTGCCATTACTTGTACCCCTTTGCTTCACTTTTCCGACATGAGAGGACCCGCCGTCAAGCTCAGGTTCTCTTGAACCGGATAGCGAAAATGTCTGGGAGTCTAAAACACGCGACAGTCCAAAAACAACTTGCTTCGTAGTTCTTAGTGTAGAAAGCGGTGTTTTGCCCGGAGGGTTTGTGCAAAGACAAGGAAGAATATTTCTTCGGCTTTCAGGCTGGCTCTCGGGTCCATAGTTTCACTAGTGCACTTGGCTTCAAGTGCTCTTTGATTTTGGAGGCCGGAAACACCCAGAGTTACTGCACTTTCCCGTCTGCCGGCCGCTTGCATGACCGAGCAACAGGGCAATAGGGCAGGCAATAGGGCAACAGGCAACTTGGAGGGCAGCAAGGAGCAAGGCAACAAGGCAAGGGTGAGGTTCAGCACTGAGCCAACTCAGACACGCCCCCCTTCTCGCGTTCCCTCTTTCCCCACCGGAACCTGAAGAGCCAACATTAGTCAAATCCTCAATCTTAACTGAAATGGGATATTCTTCTTTTCGCGGCTTGCTCGATTAGTCAATGGCTGGTCCACGCCATGGGTACAAGGATACAAGCGCGTTAGCACGGAAAATCGTGGTGGCTCCACGAAACGACGACATCTCCATGACGTAACCGACACTAATAGCCAACCCAACCAAAAAGAACGAACCAAAAGAAAAAGAAAAAGAAAAAAGAAATCACACAACAACTTCGCGGCTTGGTTCTCTCCCCTCCTGGGAACAAGAAGAAACGGAGCGTGGCACATTAACCATTACCGTGTACGAAAGTAGCTGAAAGGTGCTCAAGCGAAACCCGCGCGCGCTTCTGGCCCGGGTTCCTTCCCCCTTCTTTCCATCGATTGCCCAATGGTTCACCCCGGTACAGGGTGTAGCGTAGCTCCTCCAAACATGATGATTCCATTGATCCATGCCATGCCATCCGTGAATCAATGTACCCACTGAAACGGGGAAGACGAAGCGATGGTGTCACTGCATCCCCATCCGGTCTGTCTAGATCGCATGTCCCGGGCTAGTCTTGGGTGATTGACATTGGTTCTGCCCCGAGCTCGAACTGCTATGTCACTTGTGTGACGTCTTACCCTCGACACTCTCGACCTGACCTGCGCCTTCCCTCCCTCCCTCCCCTTCCCTTACCCCAAATCTCCGCCGACATCAAGAGTATAAACCAGCCGCTTCCGTCCGTCATTCATGATCCAATTCTTACTTTCTCTTTCCTACAAGTCAACAATCTGACATCTAACGATTATCACGCACCTTAGACCTTGCTCGGTGAAACTTTCTCCTTCCCCCGACACTTTGATACCCCGGAGAAACACTTCACCTAATATCAAACAAACTTACATCGCAACCTCACCTTGTCTCGCCTTGTCAAACAGCAAACTACTACCTACCTCCCGACAAGCCCGCCGCCCTTCCGCTCCGACATTCAACAAACTAAGCCTTTGTCCCGTCCCTTCCATCTCCTCTTTTTATCTCTCCTAATCACAGAGCCTTCCTTTTTCTTGTTTTTCTCGATTTCTTAGGCATTCTTTTGCTTCAGTCTTTGTTCCGTTTTATTCCCCATCTTTTAGACAACATGGCTTCCCTGGGATCCTCTGTGAATAGACCGACCAACGTCAAGGTCAGGGACGAAAATATCGAGTCCAAGCTCCAGCTTTACGCCATCTACAGTGCCTTCAAGGCTGGCAAGGTCCCCTCGGTAAGTTGAGTCCAGTTTCAAAAGGGAGCAGGTTTTGCTTTTACGCGACGAGGTGGAGGAACCGCAGAGGAACCGCTTGCGACTAACACGGCAACCCCTCGCCTCTAGAACGAACAAATCGACATCACCCTCAACAGCTTCCTCGAGTCCAAGGCCCTCAAGTCTCCCTCCGGCAAGCTCTCCACTGAGGGCCAGGCTCTCGTGGCCGATGCTCGCGAAGTTGTGAGGCTCGCCAAGTATCTGTTCCTGTCCAAGAACGAGGGCAACCTCTTGCAAGACTTCATCTGGGAGACCGAGCAGTTCAAGCCTAGTGCGATAAGCACCCCCGGCGCTCCCGTCGACAAGGCGACTGCTCAGCAGCACGGCGACCAGGCCCTCCAGGGTCTGCGAACCGTCGGAACTCTCCTCATCACCAATGGACAGTTCCGAAAACTCCGTACGTTCTCAGCCTCCTGACCTTTTCCCCATCGCGCCGCGGGCCTCCCAGTTCTTTACTAACTCGTGCCTACAGTCAAGGACTTCACCGTCCTCTTCCGTGATGTCGCCGGCGATGCCGCCAGCAACGTTGCCGGCCGCGTCCGACCTTCTGAGGACCAGCTCAACCAGGTGGACATGCCCGCTCAGGATCACACCTGGCACGAGAAGCCCGACTTTTCCAAGGACACCCTGAGGGAGAAGGCCCGAGGAACTTACGGCGGAAAGCCCAAGGAGGACCTCAAGGATACCGCCGCCGCTGCCGCTAACGCCGCTAACCCTACCGGCTCCACCAGGCCCGGCGATGTTAATGCCCAGGCCGGCGCTTCCACTGGACGTGAGAAGATCAAGCAGAAGATCAACCAGAACGTCAGCGAGGAGGATCGCGAAAGGTCAAGCAGCGCAACGACGAATACCGCCGCCGCACTCGCGAGTACTTTAACCAGAAGATTCCCCAGGAGCGCAAGGAGCAGACCATCTGGCGTCTCAAGAAGATGGTTCTCGAGTGCCAGCAGCATCCCGACTACTCCCGCGCCGTCGAGACCATTCTCGATCTCGCCGGGGAGTATGGCCGTCACGGCCGCACCGTCGCCCAGGGCGGCACCGGCACTGTCCAGCAGACCCGCACCCATCTACAGAGGGCCCAAGACGACCTCAAGACCATCATCGAGCGCTTCGCCAACGGCACCTCGAGCGACCCCTCTGGAACTCCATTCAGAGCCTCTACGACGCCGCCCAGCGCGACGATGAGCTCCGCAACTGGTTCAGCCGCATGGATAGTTACATCCGCCGCTGCCTCCTCCAGGAGGGCTACATCTTGGACGAGTCTTCCAACCAGGAGTGGGATCAGCTCTACGATCACGGCCGCTACCTCCTCCGCGACAAGTACCGCCCCAACACGGACCGCATCATCAACGAGACCAAGTTCCTCTCTGACCAGTTCGACAAGGACGCCCAGAACAAGGAGTTTGGCCTTGCCGTCCAGCGCCTCTTCCAGCACCTCGGAAACGATGAGAACGGCAAGCCTACCTTCAAGCCCCATCTCATCAAGGATCTCACCGAGGTCATCATCCCCTCTGCTGTCGAGGGCATCGAGTACGTCCCAATCCCCGCTTGGAATACTCGGATCACCAGGTCGATGCCGTCATCGAAAACCTCATCATCGAGGCCGACAACATCTTCCCCAACAACATTGAGCTCAAGAGCAACCACTACTTCAAGATGGGCCGCAAGAAGATTTCCAACGACCAGCACCAGGTCTTTGACGTCCGCGTCGGCGGCATCCAGATGGATCTCCGCGATGTAAACTACTACATCCACCGCAAGACCGGGTTCCCCTCCGTCAAGGATACTGGCGTTGCCAACATCTTCCTCGGCGGTACCGGGTTGACCTTTGAGCTCGCCGTCTCGACCCCCAAGAAGCATGACCGACAGAGGTTCTTCAAGGTTGACAATGTCGACGTCGACATCCGCAACCTCAAGGTCAAGCTCGTCAAGTCCAAGTACAAGCTCGTCTTCTCGCTCCTCCAGAGCATCCTCCTCAAGGTGATGCGCCCCGCCATCCAGAAGGTGGTCGAGAAGAGCATCAAGGACCAGTTCAGCAAGTGGGACAAGATCATGTACGAGATCCAGAAGGACGCCAAGACCACCCTCGAGGATGAGCGTGCTCGCATCGAGTCCGAGGAAGGCGGCAAGAAGTCCAACATGTACAGCCGCTACCTCAACTCGGCCAAGAAGTACAAGAACCAGAAGAAGGCCGAGGCCAAGACCGAGGCCCAGCGCAAGGCTGCCCAGGCCACCGCCGGCAAGAAGTTCAACATTGCCTACACCATGCACGACAGCATCTTCCCCGACATCAAGCTCTCCGACGCTACCAGCACCCGCGCCACCAAGTACAAGGACATGGCGCTCCAGGGCGAGAAGTGGGAGAGCCCCGTCTTCTCCATTGGCCATGCTAGCACCAGCAAGGACATTCCCCGCGCCCCCAAGATCGAGGAGAAGCTCGATCAGAAGAGGATCCACGAGCAGAGCAAGTTCCAGGAGGAGGAGCGCCTCCGCAACCTCCAGAGCCAGCAGCAGCAGCAGCCTGGTGTTGGTAACCTCGCCTACACCCAGCCCGGCGCCGGTGCTCTCTACAGCCAGCAGCAGCAACAGCAGCAGCAGCAACAGCAACCCGGCCTCGGCGCCTACGGCCAGCCCCTCGGAGCCGGTAACCTCGCCCAGCAGCCCGGCGCTGGCGGCTACGGTGAATACCCCACCGGTGCCACCGATCGCGGTAACCAAGTTATTGGTTCCGCGCCCCTTGGCAACGTTGGCAACATCGAGAAGGAGAGGCTTGGTACCGGCAACGGCAACGGCAACGGCGTCGGCCACGGTCACGGTCACGGCAATGGCCTCGCCGGAAACGGCTACGGCAACTTCCAGGAAAAGGTTGGCGAGTTTGGCACGGGCTTGAAGATTGACCCCAACTCCAACTGCAACACCGGTGCTCAGTACGAGAACGGTAATGCCGGTCTCCGCCAGACTGCCGAATTCCCCGGCACCGGCGGCACTACTGCCCCAGTCGCCAACCCCCAGATTAACCGCATTTACTAAGCGGTTTAGACGGGAACGCTCTATCTCGATAAGAGGATAGACGCCACCAAAAAATAAAATAAGAAAATGGCTTAGACCGGAAGACAAAACAACCCCCTCCAAAAATCACCAACAAAATTCCTGTGTTCTTGGTCTATTGCTCTCTTGGTTTCCTCTGTACACTGATTTTTAATTTTTTGATACCACTCGGCATGACGCTAGGAGACGGGATCCTCCATAATTAATAGGAAGGAGAAGGAGGCCGTGGACCCGAGAGAAGGATATATCAAGTCTGTCAACAACTTGTACCTTGTTTTCTTTTCCTTTGTTTGTTTCAATTCTGTCGTCTGTAGTGTTTTTGTGTTTATTCTCCTAGTTTGATGAATGACGTCAAATTATATATCACTTTTACCGTATCCGTTTCTGACTTGAACTAAAAAATGAGTGACAAGAAATCCACATGTAATGAAGCAATAAGAACACAAGTGTGTAATAGAGGCTATCACAGCCTCTGATTGTTTTTAGGGGTATCTATCATTGATCTAACGACCGAGGTATCTCGACCACTTGAAAATAAAACCGTGTCCCCGTACCGAGGTAGAGAGCTGTCCTGTGCTCTTTGTTGAATGCTGTCCATCCTTCTCTGTCGCAAAAAAAGATGACGACTGGATATCATATCATATTGATGCCTGTGTTTTGCAGCAAACACTCCTACCCCACTTCTGTAATCGTGGCATAGTCCGCGGAACTCCCTGACAATCAAAAAGGAAAAAGAAAGAAAAAGGATTAAAGGAACAGGGAAAAAGAGGCTGTGAAGATGGAAAAGACCCCGAAAATGCCCCGGTCTTTACAGAGACACGTGATGCGCCTCCCATGCAGTTGAATATTGAAGTTATGTACCGAGGTAGACAAGGAAAAGAATGAAGTAGAAACGACTGGGAAAAAAAAAAAGGAATGTAAAAATTAGAAATTACGATCAAGGAGAGGAAGTAGTGGGAAACGGAGGGGAGGTAGCGTAGCAGGAGGAGGGGGAAGGAGAAGAAGTAGAAGGGGCCGGGAAGCCGGATCCCCTCTCTCCACTCGACGCTATCCCGCGCGGCGTAGATGGGCTCAGTATCGTGGTGATCGGCGCCGTCGCTATCATTGGGATCGCCGCCCTCGTAGCAAGGAGGGCTGGGAGGTACCTCGTCGTACATGGGGGTGCTTCGTCATCCCAGGCGACGCGGGAGCCGGGCTTATCGGTGAGATAGACGCGGAAACGCATGCGGAGGATGCGGCCGGTGCCCGTGTCGACGAGGGCATCGGGCTTGGACGCCGGAGCGCGGGCACGAGAGACGATGAGTTCGACGAGGAGGGAGTGCGAGATCTGGGTGCCCTGGGCGGTGACGGTGTCGCAGACGAAGCGGGGAGCTCGCTATCGCGGTGAGCGTTGTGGTGATAGTGGGGGTAGTAGTGAGGATGGTGGGGTTGGGGCTTGCGAAAGGCGGGGTGCAGGCCAAAGTCAAAGAAGAGCTCGATGTGGCCGTCGGCGGAGAGGTAGTCCGACTTCCAGTCCCGGGAGATAATTTCCTCGCCAATGACGCGGGTCTCTGTCCGGGGAATCCTGTTCCTGTTCGTCTCAGCCTCGGCCTGGGCAGGGTCGGTGAGGGGGTCGCGTGGCGGGCGCAGGCGTTGGAAACGGCCTTGATGCTCTCTTCGAGGCGCCACGAGGCCTTTTGAGGCGCCAGCACTCGACCGAGTCCTCCTGGACAAGCTTGGTCGTGAGCCCGTCGAGGGCCATGGTGAGGTTGTTGCGGCCGGAGGGGTACAGAACCTGCTGATACTGTGCGCTGGCGCGGATGTTGGTTGGGGGAAAACGCGGACCGAGTTGTGGGGCGCGTCGGTCTCGGGGAGGCTGCGGCGAACTTGAAGGGGTTCGGAGTGGAAGATGGGAATCCCGGGGCCATCGGGGGTGACGGGGTGGCGGGAGACGAGGGTCGTGGCGCGAAGCTCGTAGGAGATGCTCACGAGATTGGTTTCGGTGGTGATGGGCAGGTGGCCCTCGAGGATGCCGGTGAAAGGGAATTTATGGAGACCTAGGCAAAGAGAAAAAAAAAGGTGTTAGCGGGATGGGAGACGCTAGCAGACATTGATAGGGCGAGGTGAAGAGGAAAGGACAAAGGAAAAAAAAAAAAAAGTAGGCTCACCTCGAGACAGGAGCAAGGGTTGCGCCACAAGGGTCCAGTGTTGCAGCTCCTCTTCGTGCGCAGTGCAGTCATCGCAATGGCTCTGAAACGGTTTCTTGTGCACCACAGTCTTGGTGACCGAGGCGGCCACGCTGTTCACCTCAAGTAGCTCCTCCTTGACGTCGATGACGACCTGGCCAGAAACTAGGGCGCCGGTGCTGCGTTCGGGGTCAAGGTAGAATAAGACGGGCGGCGACTCGACAACGAACGCGAGGGTTGCCGGGGCGGGATGTTCGTGGGACTTGGAGAAAAAGGGTAGGGGAAATTGAAGCGACGCTTCTTCTTAGTGGGGAAGGCAGGGGTGACGCATCGTCATCGCTTAGCCTGCTGAGATAGCTATGCCGACTGAGGAGACTCGGGCGCGAGGACGTGACGGAGGGAGATTGCGGCGGGTGTCGGGTGTCGTCGTTTGATTCCATCGGTGCGGAGCGAGGGATGGCGGACTCATCGCTGGCTTGGGTATGGTGTTGGTTGTGCGGGTGAGGTAGGGAGGAGGGGCTGGAATGTGTGGAGGAGCCGGTCGCTTGGGAATTGAGGCGGTCGATGGAATACCGTGAGTGGAGCGAAGTGGGGTCTTTGCCGGGTTCCCCTCCTCAGACCTTGTGCGGAAGATGTTGGCAACGCTGAGCAGGTTGTGCATTGTCATCGGAGCAAGTGCTTAGTTTTGTCGCTTCCAAGACAGATTGATGCCAGAGGTTCCAAAATCAATGGTAGTGCCGTTCGACGGTTAGTGACGGAAGGCGAGCGTGGAGCTTGGTTGTCCCACAATCTTGAACGGGTCAGCTGCTCGGAGCGAGCGAGCGAATTGAGCAGGGTTCGCGGGTCGAACACCGAATCGTAGCAAATTGGCCAAGCTGAAGGCAGGCAGATTAATTGTGTCGGAGGCAATCAGGACGTGAGAGTTGAAAGTGCTGGTTGGGCTGAAGGAATCGCGAGTCGAGGTGTAAGTGGAGGTGTTTTGCGTTGCGCCGGTGAGCTCCGTTTCGCGATCGGCCAACACGAAACGAAACAGTTGGATTTTTGTGTGGGGCACGGGCGAAGAGCTGCTACGCAGCTGCGGAAGTAATAGTTGAACAGACGATTGACGGGTCTAGAGCTGAATTTCCAATCTCCATTACTCGGGAGAATGAAGACCAAGAAGAGAATAATAGATTGGAGGAACCAGAATTGTTGTCCGAAAATCCAGAGCAAAGGAAGTGAGGGCGAGGGAAGGAGAATTTCGGGAGCGGGGACAGGGGGAATGGCCGGGGAGCGAGAACGTTGATTCTTTGGCTTCGGCCGGTTTTCGGGATTGTGGGTGGCGAGAAAAACTGGCGATGAAAAGGATCGGAACGCTCTTTCTCTCGATTTTGGGGCGCAGGTTCCTCGAACGGCACTAATCCTCAGTATAAGGTTTTGTCCTAAGTGGAAAGGGCGTGAGGTTTGTCGATAATCGTTCAGCAGGCCAACGAGCTGGTGTTCATGAGGGTGGTCAACGGGTACTGGGCCGTGTTGCAAAGAGGCGCCGAGCTATAGCTGAGGATTGCGCGTCGCATATAAAGTTCCACTGGAGCGTGAAAGGGATGGAGATTGTGAAGAGAAGGGAGAGTGAAGAAAAAGGTAGAGAGAAAGGGGGACCGAAGAGAAGGTACAGGTAGTAGGGGGAGCTCATCAGATCTCTCAAGACATCCATCAATGTAAGTAATAAATCTACGAAAAGGAAAGAGGCCAATGCAAGGTAAGGGAGGAGAAAAAAAAAAAAAAAAAGACCAAAACCAGCCCCCGGTACCGTACCGCCTAGCCTCCACGCCAACCTGTCACGATGCCTGTCTGAGGAACGAGGGACGCCAAAACTTCTAGAATCCAAGCACGCACCCTTGCTTGCGAGCCAATCTATTTGCGCCGGTCGTGTACCACGAGGTCCGCATTGGCGGGGAGGGGCCGCAAGCAAAATTTCTGTTCTTTGCTCATGCTCACACGGGTACGGGCAGGGTGGGGAGCTCTCCTGATGTTTGAAGGGAGGGGTTTGTTCCCTTCCCCCTTCCAGTACAGCAAATAATAGGCCTCCATTCCCCATTTTCTCTTGACAATCTCTGTTCTGCTCGTTGATATCCAGTCCCGTTTATTCTTTTCATCCCGATTTTTGTGCCTTCTCGCGAGGGTGGTTGTTTCTGTCTCTGCCTCGAAGTCGGGGTTTGCCGCCTATGATCTGCTCGTATGTGTCATAGGAAAAAATTTATACCGACGAAAAGCTAGATGGACGTGTTAGTTCGATCCGTTCGGGCCAAGCTCGATGTAGATGGGCCCCATACGCCGGATTTGGCCGTCACAAGGTACGACGGCCATGGCCCGCCCACCCTTGGACCATTCACAAGATCTCGGGGCTACCACCGGGAGGGCACGCACCCACTCTTCATCCAGCTCGCGTCCCTGGGCCAATCCGATCGAGGAATGGCTGGAGCCTATTTCATCTAGTGGCTATTTTTCTCTTCTCCCTTTCACTTCTTGATGCAGGCTGGCTGGTGAGTCAAGCACACGAAGCAGCCAAGAGTACAAAATCGATCGTGTTGGCGATGGCCCTGAGATCGTCAGTCTCATTCGACGAATGCTCAAGGCGTGTGTGGCCCGGGAGGGTCGATGCAGGAATGTTGGGCTTCTTCTTCTTCTCTTTTCAAGATCGGCTAGCTGAGTATCCTCCATTTGGTACGGAGGAGGCCTCGTTGACAAATCAGTCCGAGTCGAAGCGGCGGACCAAATTTTTTTTTTTTTAATAGTGCTCTGGAGCTCCTTCCCGCTGGAATGTCCACCGAACCTTGTGCCGCCGGTCGACGCCGCCGGGGTTGTGGGGCTGGGAAGGCACTGGGGGCACTGAGGTCCTCATGACCCCGCCAAACCCAGCAAGCAGCAGGAACCAGCCAAGGCCCAACACGCCAATGCCAGCCCTACTCACACCACCACCATGCATCTCCCTCGAACGCTTTTTTTCCTTTGCCTCTCGAGGGAGGGGAGGCGCCGCCATCCGCCTGGGGCCCTGGTCCTCCCCGCACAGGGTTCTCACCATCGCATGACCTGCTGCATTTTTCCCCCTCTGCGTGTCGCGGACGGGATTCCGCTTTGGGCCTTTTGGCCATGGCAGCCTTCCTCCGAATGCCTCGAGGTAGGTGTCAAGGCGCACCTTAGGCTCAAGCTCACAGCATCACGTTAATGTTTTGATGCTGGGCGCATCTTGGTGTTTCTTGGCCCTTGACTCTGACCCCCTTCGCCCTTCGCTTCCGCTCCTATTCACCCCCTCATATAGTCGTTTTCCTTCGTGCGCTGAGGTGGGGAGGAGGACGGAGAGGGGGATAAAGACGAGGCTGTTGCGAACAGGCATGCGAGAACCCCCATCGCGGTTCACGGACATGAGCAATTCATTTTGACTCCTTCCCAAGGTTCCATGGATCTCTAAAGTTATTAATATCCGCCTCCTCCCATCAGCCCCTCCTTCACCCAGCTTTCCACAAATCCAGGAGAATCGGGCGAAGGGCGGTGGAGTGGATGGTTGGGGTGAGAGAAAGGAAAAGGGTGGGTGAGTGAGGAAAACAGGAATGAGGGAAACAAGGGTCGAGTCGATGGATGCCCTTTCTCCTCGGACCACCTGAGTCAAAGAAAATAAATTACTCTCGCCGCATCAATCGATCGCGTCGTTGGCGGGGAGGGGACGGCAAACGGCACACGGCACACGGCACCGGCCCATTTGCGCCTGGACCATCTTCGGCTTTGGGCGACATCGGTCGGGGGACGCTTTTCTGCAGGGTTGGCTTCACGAAGGAGTTTTTTGCTTCGCTTGCCAGCTGGCAGTGCACACCTACGTGCTCCAAGTACGTGGTGATGATGAAGCTATCACCATCGCAAAAGTATACACTAGCTAGCCATAAAAGACGGAGAAGGAAGGGCAAATTGGCAAGTCATCAGGGTCCGGAAAGGGTCTGGGCCTGGAACTGCTAATGGTGGGCAATTATCGTGTGACACACCACCAGCATCGTTGCCCAGCCGCTTCGAACGAAGAGAATTTATTCCCCGCATCATCCTGCGACGCACGAGGAGTTAGATAAGTTCGAACCCCGCCTTCACCCAAGTTTTGGCGCAACATATTTAGGGGAGGGGATCAGTTTGGCATAATGTTACTGGCATGTGAATGCAATAGAGAGGTATGTGAAAGACTTGCAGCACTGGTGGAGAATAAGTCAATGGATCATCAATCTTTGACTCCTTGGCCTTAGAAGCATACGGGTTCGGCGTTAGGTTTTAATAGGTGGCGGATGAAGCTATAATAATCATCTCAACCTACTGACCACCGTCCCATCTGCTTTAATGACCCCCTGTCTCTTTCTTCTTTTTTTTTCCCTTTTTTTCTTTTTCTCTTCTTTGCAGTTGACTTGCATTCTTTAATATTTGAAAGGATGTTTCAAAGGCGAAGAAAAAACGCGCCGGTGAGGATGAGAAACTTCTTTCAAGATCGGGATGACTCAGCTGCATCAACACATGGTCTAGACCTCGATGGATCGTTTAGGCGAAGGTGATCGTAATCTTGGTCGATTCCTTTTACCCTCCAAGCGCGTTCAGGCTGATGGCTCCTTCCGCTTGGCTGTGTTTGCAATGGATTGACGTGGTCCGCAGCTATACTCCCAGAGACATCATATCTATTCCTCTCAAGTCAGATCCAGTCAACCCCTCTAATGCGCCAAATGCGACGAGAATCTCACATGCTGAGAGTCAATCAAGCTCGGCATGTTCATGTCTTGATTTTTGTTTGCTTTTTTCGACCTCGGTGGCTTCGTTTCCCCTTTCTCTCTTTTAATTCTTTTCTGCATCCCCACTTGGAAATGGCATTAGTACGGGCATGGGAGGGTTTTCTCATCCGTAACAACCCCGTTTATCTTGTTTGAATGGCGGAAAGGGGGCCTCGGTCGGAGCCGGAGTGCCCGATCCCGCCGGTTTTCTTCGGACCCCGAACGAAGGCGGCCATGTGGCAAAGAGAAGGAAAACGGACGTCGATGGTACTATTTTTCATCGCCCCGTTTTTGCCTCACGAACGTCGGAAATTTGAACTTGATGCGAGCCCCGTCAAGCTCCTCACAACGAGAAATTTTGCAGGGGGCTAGCGAGCGGGAGCGGGACCGAGGAAAGCCCTGCGCGGAAAGGTCCACATCAAGATTGATTGATCGAGAAAAGGAACAAGGCAGATTGTCGCGTTTCCCCGAAACTCGAGCTCCTAGTGTGCCTCAGGGACTGCCCGACTCTCGGTGCAATACGAAACACGTGAGAAGCTATGACCGCGCCAGAGAGTTCTAATTTCCGAGCATCGCATGAGTCGGAACAGGAAGCGTATGAAAGAAAGAAGGGGAAGAACAATTACGTATCTCTCGTATATTAGACGTGTCAACCTTATGAGTGTAGCAAAAAGAAAGAAAAAAACTCAAAAGAAAGAAAGGGATCCAAGTAGAAGCGACTGACCCATGCGGAAAAAGCCTGATATGAGAGATCCCCGCATGGGCATCGACTCTCTCATCAGGGCTTACAAGCAGACAACCGACTCATCGCGAACTGGTTGACTAACTTAAAATCTTAGCACATCTCGAATAGTCCGTGGAAGCATCCACTCCAGCAAGTCATCACTGCGCTGAGCCTCCATGTTGAATCATCACGTTCTGGGAAATCAGCGATCGGTGGTGGCAAGCGAGCGCATGAGTCGGAATTCGGGAATCGAATTGGGATTTAATTCCTTGATTGTACGGAGGGTGAAAATTGTAATCGCAAGAATGCGAGTGCCCCCATTCAAGAGACGAAGAAAACAAAGCGAAAGAGCAACACGGAGAATCGGACGTCATCAATTCCCCGAACCTGAAGCGTGACAAGATAACGGGGTGCAAGGGCCAGCCACCGCCCACATCTGCTTCAGCCAGCGGCATGTGGCAGAGTGATTTAGGCCTAGTGCCGGCCGGTCTCTGGCTCCCTTACACCTCAAAGTTGCATAAATGTATCGTCTACATGGGTAGGGAACCGGAAAACCTGTTCGAAAGCACGGCGCCGGATTGCCGACGCTTTCCAGTCAGCGCCCCTCAGAATAATAGATGGTGGTCTCAAAGGCCCAGCAAGGAGTACAACTAAATAGCAGTGGAGCGAGCCACGACAAGGAACGTATCTTGCGTATCAATTGCACAGAAGGAGAAAAACTCGAGGCTCCACAGCCCCTGGAGGAACTGGTAGAGTGGAGTCAAAACAGGGGGTCGATTGTGAGGATCAGCAACCTGCTAGCTCTGAACGTCGAGGAGGAAGCACGGTTGAGCCGACGGTTCCATTCGGTTTGGCGCCAGATCATCAGCCCCCAGTCTGTATGACGCAATGTAATCACTTGTCTCGTGTGCGTCTTTGCCCAATCAAGGGCTGGTGCGTTTCGTGACTGCCAATCGACGACCGAGACAGCTCAGAAACTCGAAGTCTGGCCTCCTGAACGGATGTCACTGCGACATGGACTGGCAACGCCTCTCCCGTATCTCCTTGCAAGCCAGCAGGCCACATCGTAATTAATAATAATAATATTCAGTTCAATCACCAACAACTGGCTCGTTAGAGTACAGCCTCCTCACCACAAAACACCAGTGTTCACATCTACCGCTATATAGGTAGAGGTTTCTTCTTTCTTTTTCCTTCGTTTTCGTCAATGGCATGGGGTAAAACTGGAGGAACATCAATCTACTCATCGAAGATATCATGTCTTGAAGCAGTCGGCGTTAGACTTTCAGCTTCAGTGGCGAAGTAGACTTTGGGTTTGACAGATGGTTCAAAGGAGCACGCCAGTATATTACGGTTTGGCCTGTTCTGGACTGACTTGAAAGGATTGATGCGCGAAACCTGCAGCGACGGACGACGTCCGTGGTTGGTGTCAGCGTGCCGTCAGATGTGCTCCAGCCTTGGATTGTTTGGAGACGAATAGAGCACTAGCACAGGCCCCGTCCTGTGCCCGGGTCTCTTTCCGAGCCATCTATGGATGTATGTAGCAACGAACTCTGTCACCTCTATCGCAGCAGCGAATGGACTTTCTGCTTCCTAAGGTCACCGCTCTTCGTAGGGCACATTCTTCTGACTGATCGGGCGACTGCACCGTACTGCTTGCATGATACAAACTGCCGATGTCGTTACGTTGTGCTCGACAAATCCGCTCTTCATGAGAATACTAGGGCATCCCCGGCGGGACAACTCAGGCCACTGCGGTAAACGGTACTGCTGGCGAGTCCAGCAATGAAATGAATAGCTGTTGTGATTTGTTGGCTCGAGAACGTCTCCACCCCGATACAGGTATTTGCTGCGCCCAGTGGGTGCCGCAAGAGGCTCGACACTGAAACAAACGGAGGGCATAATGAGGTGTGCGTCAGCCTGCATGGTGTGGGTGGACGGTTGGATGGATCCATTGGATGGTGTCGTGTGGGTTTCTTCCGCAAGTACCGGCCGTCTTCTCTTGTCACTTATCGCTCTTGAGAAACTCTCATTTGAGAGGTCAGCTTGCAGCATCCCCTTGGATTGTGGGGCGGAACTCTTCGCTCGCCGATGATATCTTTTACTTTCCAAAAGAGGAGTGGCTTTTACGGAGTACATGTCGGCGGCTTTGTGCCACTGCCACGATGTTTTAACGTTCGCCGTATATGTTCTTTTTGGACCGACACGCGTACGTTGCGTCTCCTGTGCGCCCATTGACGAGTGTGGGGCACGCCAACGCGGACTTCATAGCGCTCGACGGCAAGGATGGACGATATCCGCAGGGATCCTCAAACGGGCAAACCCACGTCACGACGTCGAGCCCAAAATAAATCATCGGTCCACCTCGACGACTTCGTACATTGCATGCAAGAATTTGAACGGCATTGAAGACAAATTGTATTAGGCCGGCCACAATTCTTCAACCGACAACAGTGACAAAAGCCGTTTTCTCTACTACGGTAAAGAGTAATTATTATTATTATCGGCAATTCTCGCCTAGACGGAGCCGTGCACAAAAGGGCATTGGTGCACACGACCTCTCAGCAAGTTGGGTCGTGGTGTATCAGGTACAAGACAGGGAATAGGATGTACCTGCGCATCATTAAAGTGTTGTTTCCTTTCTTTTTGGGTGGATTGCCCAGCCCACAGCCAGCTCCTCTCGTAATCAATCAAATTGATTGACCTGGGCCTCGAAAACCGCAGCGTTTGCATACCGTACCGTCTTTGCTCCGGCTCTTGGGCGGGACGGGGGCTACCCTGCTCGCCTGCCTTCAGTGAAAATAACCCCAGCGGATTTCCAGGCAAGCGAAGCAGCCAAACGGAACCCGCGGAGGAGATGGGAGAGAAACGAGACCTGATGCAACCTCGAGCATGGAAACTCAGATCTCCCCGCCAAGCACTTGATGAACAAGACGACTTTGGCTCTTACCCTCCCAGTGTAAACAGACCGTTGCCCTCCTCGAACAGACATTGCATGTGCACTCTGTGAGAATAGACCTAGTCCCGTGTTCCGTGTTTTCCGTAGCCCCTTCCTCTGCTCCCAAGCTCTTGCCGTCGCCGCCGGTCGTTCGGATTGGTTCCACTTGGTGGTAAGCCCCATTTCTGGTTTCTTTTCTTTTTCCTTTTTCTTTCCTTTTCTTTCTACTGGGTCCTTCCTTCCTTGTTCTCCCAAGCCTTGCAAGTGCCCTTCCAAGTACAAGTAGTCCGTGTCTTGCACCCACACTCACACTGGCAGCGGCGTCGCCAAGACGGTTTCTCACCTTTCCTGGCACCGGGACCAGAGCTCCACACTTGAAGACCTTGGCCTCAACCCCCATGCGTGTCCAAAAACCTGGCTCTTGCCTCTTGTCTCCTCCCATTCAGACTCAAACCCCATCTCTGGCCGATCGATTCCTAACTTTCCGTCCTCAAAACCAGTCCCATCCCCACAATCTTGTCTCAATTCCATCCCCTTCCCACCCCCTACTCCTCCTCTGCAATACCTTCCACCTCACCACCCCGCCGATACTCTTATCGCCGTCATCGCCCTACTTTGGACGTCTACAAGCAACCATCACCACGACGCCTCCAACAGACCACCCACCATGGGCATAGGCGCTGTAGCTGAGCCGCTCGTGGTCATCGTCCTTCTTTTGGAGGGGCATGGTTTAATCGCACTCTGGGCCAGCAAAGCGTCGCCTCTAAGCTCGCTGCCTATTCGCCCCTAGAAAACACACGAAAGCGATCCGACGACCTCTCAGACTCGGAACTCTCGGATAGGGATCCATCAGTCGACTGGGCTTCCAGCTCCGGCACTCTATCTCCTCTCGAGCAGTCAAGATGGAGGAATCGCAAACTCCGCTTGTTCCGGTACAACCGAATCGTGTCGACACCTAACACAACTGTTTTCAAGGACCGGTTGCTGAGTCGCCTACTCCAAAATTCCCCTTCCTTGTCGAGGCCTGGTACTGGGCATTGATCTACTGGGTAAGCACTTGTCCTGCCCATTTCCGAGCCTACCGCGCGCGCAAAACTGCCCCCCTTTCCATGCCAACCCAAATCTGCGATGCGGCAGGTGCTAGATCCCAGCTCGTTGTTCGATAACTGTTTCCTCTTGATTTGTCCAAAGCAACCTATACATAACTTAGTCGAATCTTCCTTGCTAACAATTCCTCACCTTAGGTTTACCAACTTGGTCGAGCCTTCACAGCAGTGACACTCGTCGAAGGAACTGTGCACGTTGCTCGCAAGCATGCGCTACAGCTGATCCACCTAGAGCAGGCTCTGGGTATCTTCGTTGAGCGCCCAGTTCAGGAGTGGTTCCTCCAATATCCGACTTTGATGCGATGGACTAACCGCGTCTACTCCTTCATTCATATTCCCGGAACCATTCTTTTCCTTGTGCTCCTCTACTATTTCACCACCACCCGCAGGCGGCGTTCCATGGCCGGGATGAATGGCGGCGATAATAGCATTGGAGGAAACTCCGGGCCGATGCTTTATGAAGCCCGCCGACGCACCATGGCTCTTTGCAATTTGATCGCTTTTGTCGTTTTTACACTCTGGCCTTGCATGCCACCTCGCCTGCTGAGCGATCCTGATTACGATGGCCCCGATGCGGTCGAGTCGAAGAGTTTCGGATTTGTCGATACTGTTCATAGCGCCGACGGCGAAAAGAGCGTCTGGACCGCCAACAAATTTTGCAACCAATATGGTAAGTCAATGCCACATCACTAATGAGGGCGTATTGCCTATCCCCTTTTTCCCCCATCGTTTTTTTATAAAACAAAATGTCATCGCCGATGCTAACGTGTCGATTAGCGGCCATGCCTTCGCTTCATTTCGGATACTCCCTTCTGATCGGATTGACCATTGCGACATTCCCGGTCGCCGGCCTGCGCTCGACATCGTGGAAGCGCCTCGTCATCGTCATCCTGGGTCTGTCATACCCCGCAGTCATCCTAGCTGCCATCGTTGCGACCGCGAACCATTTCATCCTCGACGCAGTTGCCGGAGCGCTTGTTTGCTGCATTGCCTGGAATGCCAACGGAATCCTTCTCAACCTTCTTGTCATTGAGGACTACTTCCTATGGGTCGTTCGCATCCATAAGCCCATAAACTGGACGGACCCCGAAACAGCGGTTGAGAGGACGTGGCAGGGTTCTCCACTTCAGGTTGTTTGAATGAAAGAGAGCGTTTGAAGAGTTAGGAAACGGGGCGAAAGCGCCATTGGGGACGGGGGCAGAATTTATACACATACCAACACATACCCACACACACACACAACCAGCCAGGCACACGAACACTGGTACGAAAGTAATGTCCCACAGATAAACTACTCACTGCAGTTTAATGGCGAGTAGTAGGGCGCAATGTGATCCTCGCTAGTAATATATCAATGAGGAAAGGCGTTAGCCGTATTTTCCCTTCTTTGTTCAAGAGCAACCCCACTCACTTTCAATGCCTCGCTTTCAGCAAAGGGTTCTATTCCCCTTTCTTACCTGGCCGCAATGCACGATGTTCCATGCAGTTTCTATCCCCGCAGCTACCGAGGTCGACCTAACTACATTTTGCCGTGCGTTTATTCAATGGGGGCGTAGTTTAAAACAACCCCAACCCACCCTCCAAGCACGCCTTCACGACGCGGTCTTATTGCTCTCAAAGGGGAATGCAGGCGGCGTTCTCGTGACTCAGCATCGACCCCTGCAGGAAATGAGGCTAACGATCAAGCGTAGCTACGAAAGGACAAGCATCAAAACGGCAGTTAGATAGATCCGGTTGGGTCTACCCGAATCCTTCGCGGAAGCAACGAGGAACTTGGGTAGTTTTGGGGAAAGGAGGGGAAGAAAGGGAGCGGAGTTGAAACAAAGCCGCGCGATTCTCACCATCATCTCGGAGAATTTTGAGCCGCTGTCTCTCTCGCTACAACTACGCGACGGCCGGCACAGAAGGGAAATGTGCAATTGCCGCTAGTCCCTCATGAAAGAGAGGAGCTCGTCGCCCAGCGGTTTTTATTCCTTTTCTTTTTTTTTCTGTTACCGTTCTATTTCAATAGAGTCATTTCTAGTGGCATATTTTAAGACAAGATTTCTTAAGTTTTCTTTCAAGCTGTCCGTTATCCGACTCTCGCACCGGCCCCGTAGTTCGCCATTGAGTCTTCTATTGCCATGAAGGTGATAGATAGTACGCGGAGAGTCTTAGTCCGTGCTGAATCTCTCTATTAACACTTGACACTGTCCTGGAGCAAGCCCACCTCCAACAAGGTACCGAGGTAGACCTTTATGGAGCTAATTCTTTTGCCGGACTTTTACCGCCGACTTCGTGAAGAGGGAATGGAAGCAGAGCGCAAGAAGGGAAGGTCAATCATCAGACCTTGGGGTCTAAACTGAACTCAAAATTCGAGAGGTGACTTCAAATTTCTTTGCCGACAAGGAATATAACGAGATATCGCTGGCCCGAGACTCGCACGCACGTACGCACGCATGAGTTTATTATAGCAACGAAGGCGCAAGTCTCGACGCGGGACCCCTACCGACACCATGAGGGAGTTCATGGTCCACGTCCAGAACGCTTTTTACAACGCGACAGGATGGAGCCAGGACAATTCATACTCAACCCTCAATTCTACTGCGCATGGTACGCTACCACCTCCTAGCCCTCCCTAAACAACTTGTTTGCACGCCCTTGGGCGCTAACACACCACGACCGCGATCGCCTGCAGAGCTCCTCTGCTTTCCGACACCACAGGGACTTCGATTAAGCCTCTCCTCACTCGCCACGCCTCACTTTGCGACATCATACCAGCTCGGTTCCATCGGAATAGTTGACGGCTCCGTGTCCTACCTTTACTCATCCGCGCCTCTCAAAGACCACTTCGATCCGCAGTCCGAAAGCCTACCCCTTCCAATCTTATGCCGTGGCTATAGATCACTACAACAGCTCCCCAGACGCGACCCTGTCCAGGCTCTTCAACCAATTGTAGAGAATGGGCCTTCGTTGCTATATGGGAGGTTATACCTGCCACAGTCCTTGCTGGAGGCGCTCGTGATCAAGAGGTTCTCTTCGGGACTACAACTCCAGCTCAGGGCCGTATCATCCAAGAGTCTGAGGAACGGTGGTTCTCTTCTCGGTCTCGCGCAATACGACGTGGGTAAATTCTCTGTCGAAGGTCTAGCATCTTCCGATGGTGGCCTTCTCGGTGTGAGGGCGTGTATAATTTTGGTGGCGACGCGACAAACTCCCCTCCGCCGACTTCTACCGGTGCTGAGCCCCGGACGAATGGAAACGGCCCGGATCGCGAACGGATATACGGGCGCTTCACGGCGGGTGGGGAGATCTATTACGGGACGCTCAATAAGTCAGGCGGAGTCAGCTGCGGGCTGCGATTCGCAACCCTGCCATCATATCGGGGCACGCCACTTACGGCCACGCTGACACTCAACCCACTTATGGGCAGCATTCGCGCGAGCTACTCCGTCATGGCAGGACGACACTGTAGCCTCGCCACGATGCTCGACTTCAACGTTTACAGCTACGAAAGCAATTGGTCCGTCGGAATGGAGCTCTGGCGAAAGGAGTTCCTCCGGCGCGTTGAAGATCCCGCAGCACAGCTCGAGGCGCCGCTCTCTACGACACACAGCCTGGTTACCACCGACCCCGCGGTAGTTAAAGCGTGGAGTCGGAGCATGCAGGCCAAGTTGGAGTGGCGGTTGGACGAGCCCGCGGCGCATGCGCCCACTTCCCTAGGAAACCAAAAAGAGGTGTTGTCGAGAACGGAAACCGCTGGCGGTAAGGAAGAGGATTATAGTGGGGTGATCAAAGCGCGAATCAGCCAGAACTCGACGATAGGGATTCTCTGGGAGGGAAGGGTAAAGGCGTTGATTTATAGCATCGGGAGCGGGATCGACCTACACAGGCCAGATCAGCCCTTCAGGACTCTTGGATTAGAAGTTCAGTACTCCTCGTAACGCAAGGCGAAGCATTGAATTTATGCGCCAATTCTTTTTCAATGGGCCAGATAATGGGGCCATCATTTCTGCATGTCGTGGAGAAACGCCCACCCAAAGAGTGGCTTCTTTCTCCGCTCTGTCGCCCATTCTTGGAGCATATGTCGGGTTGGCCATACTGGTCTTCTACATCAACTGAAGGGTTTCTGGTCCTGAGAGCCAGCTCCCCAACCAGGCCAACTTTCGCAATTAAGCCACGGTTTGAGCCACTCTAGTCCGTCGTTCTATTCTCCACCAATCCAATAGCGGTTCTGAGGCGGTAAATTCTTTGTCTCCGTCTTTTCGGCCGGAGGATGACCTGCATCCACCGGTGCGGACACCGTACAGTATGAGACACCAGTCTTTTGTATTTACACAGTAAAGAGCTAGCGGGCCCTAAATGACTAAGCCGGCTGTAATTGGGTGGGGTCAAACCCTAGAGGATGCCCCGCCAAGACTTGCAACACCACTCGAATATTTTTTACAACGATCTCAACTTTTGAATTTGTCGCCTGTGAACTCCAACATCGCCAACCAACAACCTATCCAACCCACCTACCCATCCTCCATCAAAATACCGCAAACATGCCTGGCGGAGTCTCTGTTCGCGACGTTGAAGTAGGTTGAACCTTTTGAAACTCTCTCTAGACCAGCTTTTAGATCGGACCCGCAAACGCAATCCTCATGATTCACTCCCGCGATATATGACCGCCCCCTGGGCGCTTGCCTCGACTGAATTGGCTCGGTCGAAACGGTCGACGGCATCGCCCAAGAGGGCCATGGGCGAACTCATATATCTGCACTTAGAAAAGGAGACAATGGGATTGCGGCAGTCTCGTGTTTTATATATACCATCTCTCTCAGGATGAGGAGCAGGCGCGAGGGAGTCGAAAGACTTCTGATGACGGAATATGCTAATTTATGGGTTTCCCTTGTCTCCAGGCGCAAAAGTTCATCAATGCCTACGCGGCTTTCCTGAAGCGCCAGGGCAAGCTCCCCATTCCCGGTACGTGCTAACCTCCATATCATTCCGTATCTGGTGCCTACTGGGACCGTCGACTAACGTGAGATGACAGGATGGGTTGAGCTCGTCAAGACCGGCCCTGCCAAGGAGCTCCCTCCTCAGGACATTGACTGGTTCTACGTCCGTGCTGCCTCTGTCGCCCGTCACGTCTACCTCCGCAAGACCGTCGGTGTTGGCCGTCTCCGAAAGGTTCACGGTTCCGCCAAGAACCGAGGCTCTCGCCCCTCCAAGCACGTCGATGCCTCCGGCAGCGTCGATCGCAAGATCGTCCAGGCCCTCGAGAAGATTGGCGTCCTTGAGCAGGATGAGGAGAAGGGCGGACGCAGGATCACCCAGGCCGGTCAGCGTGATCTTGACCGTATGTCTTTCCCCATTCTCCACACATTTTCAGCTCCAACTAACATTAACTGTAGGTATCGCGCAAACCGTCTTTGAGGCTGAGGAGGATGATGAGGATGATGACGAGTAAAGGGTTTATGTCAAGTTATATTGATTCGCTACCATGGCATCTGGTCACTTACATCGAGGATGGCGTACACGGTTTTTAAAAGGTTGGCAGGTTAGCATTTTCATGCCGTCGTAAGACATGTTCACATACCTCGATCTCGACACAGTAAACTCCTTGCCCGTGCCTTCTATCGTGACCGAAACTTCATCTGCTCTTCCGTGTGCTTCCATATCATGTTTGGACAAGCGTTATTCAAGGCACTAACTACAACAGTGTTCCTGCCTATTTTCCGCAACTTGGTGGTTCCAGTATGAGATGGGAACCCGCTAGTCCCTAGTATTGCGATCAAGGGTCCTCTCTTGGTCCAGTATAAAAACTACTGCCGAGTGTCAGTACTGGCGCCCACCCCATTTCCAATCTGCACCGCACCTATACTCCTCGCCCCCGTGGCACCTTCCCCACGGTATTCATCTCCATCTTCTCTCTATTGAGGCTATTCTCCAATTATGATGATTCATGAAGTCCTGCCTAACTGTGAAAATACCTCTCAAGGTCGTTCGCTCCTGCCCTGACAGGTCTCGATGGTAATGGACCTCGATCTCGTCAGCCTACGAGTTGCCAACCACCTGGCCCCTCTCCTTTTCCTCGGCCTCATTTCTCACCTTTTATTGATCTTTCATCTTCCAAACATCCTACGATTCCAGCCTTGATTTTAAAACTGCCTCTTTGCTCATTCTTGATTCACAAGAACGCTCCTCATACTCCCTTATCGTCGCCGAGGCAGGTCCCAGCGATATCGTTCCTCAACTCTTCCCAGAAAGTATGAATCAGTATTCCCTTCCTAGCCATTTCAATTCATCATGCTAACAATATGAATAGGGAAGCCCACCAAGCAGTCACTGTGTTCATCAAGGAAGCATCCCTTCACATCGCCATTCAATATAAGTAGGTCCTACCCACCTTGGGAAAACGGGGAGCTGGGAGCTAGAGATGCTAACCTAGCTATTCCCTCTATAGAGTCTATCACCCTTCTAAAAGATATGTCGGGTGCATACGTCACAAGACATGGCATGTCCAAGGTTCGCTTCCAATGGACCCCAAGCGGCATAAATGTCTACGTCCTTCAAGGAACCTTCTCTGGCCCAAAGGTCAATATGACCAATAACCGTGTGGCCGGTATCCTTGCTCTCCAGCAAGGCAATAATGAAGAGATTCTAGCATCAGCCTTCTCCGGTGGTGTGGGCCATCCCATTGGAGCCGAGATGGTACTCGGCCCAGATTGGAATCAAAAGGTCCAGCACCTTGCGAAAATCATGGGCCTCCAGATGGGCAGCCCCTTCGACGGCCCAGCCGGTCGAACTGTCCCAGGCCAGTGGCACTGCTCGCACAGCGAGAAGAAACTCGCGGCCTTTGCCGCAGCTACTCTGCTCTCTCTCATCGGTCAGCTGCCGGCCGAGTTTGACAGCATCACGCTGGATCACCTCGCTGCGGTACGGGAGCACAAGTGGGCCCATGGCGAGAGGCCTAATCTACAAATTCACATCACACGCTCCCTTGCCAGCTGTGTGAGAAATTCGTCCGATTTCTCTCTTCCTTCATGCAGGTAGATATTGCCATTCACACTGGGGGCTTCGTACAAGATGCCGAGCTCAAAGAAAGCGCCCCTGGTGTGAACCCGGTCAGGCCGAGGAGGAGGTCCTGGACTTGACCTTTGACACAGACAGGACCCCAGACATCCCTTCACGCTTCCGCTCAGCCTTGGCTGACGCCATGAACTGCACTGAGCCCGAAGTAGAAGTGAGCATGGCTCCTGAGATCCTCAGCAGTGCTCGTTGGGCCGAGGAAGTTACACCTCAAATTCAAGCACCCGATACCAGCATTGATAAGCCCTACTGGGTCGCCTATGAGGAAAAGCTCAAGCGTGAGAACAAGTCCTGGTCCGCGCCCAGGTCCAAGGAGCCCTCCCTTGCCCCTAACTTTTCCTCGCCTGAGCCAGAAGAAAATGGCAGTTCCGGGGCCGGGGACGCAACCGGTTACGATACAGATGTTAGTATTGAGGTCATCGGCAAGTCTCAATTTTACTCACGCCCTTTGGCGAACCAGACCTCGCCTGAATGGTCATCAAGCTCTGGGAACGATGACGACCTAGATGAGCTTCACCCAGATACCCCCATCGCCTCAATTGAGTCTGAGGAGTTGGATACCTGGGTTGAAACCCATAACACTGATCATCATGACGATTCGGACCTGAGCAGTGACTGGGCGAACCTGCCTACGCCCGACGCTGGTGCTGGTCCTGTTTCCGACGATGCCCGCAAGCACATTGCTGAGTACCAGTACACCGGTCCGATCCTTCGGCGCCCATCTCTGTACCCTAAGCCTCGTTCCAGCCCCATCTTGTCAACTCCCTCCTGCGTCCGTAGGCTCAATCAGAGGGCCAGCACGCCTTACCCACAAGGCAGCCGGAAAAGAGGACACTCCCTCTTCCGGGAGGATAGCGACGGATCTACTGACATTGCCACTCCTCCATCGAAGCATCCACGAACGAACGACTACTCCGTCCGTGAATTAGCGAGTGTCCCGGACGACGAGACCGAGGGCTTCGCTGACGAGAACCGATCCCCAATTGAGTCTTATTACTGGAGCTTGGACGACTGATTCCGCTCCTCTTCTTTTTTTTTCGATGAATCACATCAAAGCCATTCCTTAATTTTCTTTTTCCTTTTTCTCAAATTTTCTAACATCACCCATGTCCTCATGGTACACAGTCATTCATTTTTACAGCGCCCCGGGAGTTCGCAACTTCGCGGTATAGACTTTATATCATCCACTCTTTATGCATTTTCACCAGCGGATCAGCGATGAAGACTTACTTGGTTGTCCTCCAAGAGCTTCGCATTCACCAGCATCATCTGCATACTTCAGGAAGCGTGGCGCAACCGGTCATTCATCTAATGTTTCTTCCACGGTTTTACAATCCCTTCATGTCACCTGAAAGTTTCTCTTTGCGAAAACGGTTTACAGCTTGGCGGTTTAGCCTCGCGCCAGTCTTGTTTTTCTTTTTCTTCTGTTTCTCTTTTTCGTACATGTCTTGCTTCGTCCGCCCCTCGTGGTACTTGCCACACTCTCACGATAGATTAGAGATGCAACGTTGAGAACTTGGGCATAAACATGATTAGCCTCGCCTTAAGTCGATCCGGACGCCCGGAACTACAGTAACTTGCAATGTTTTTTTCCTCGTTTCTTTTGAGGACTCAGTTTAGATGTTTACTTTACAAAGAAGATCAACTTGTTAATTCAAATCACCTTTCACAACACACTCACTAGAAAGCCTTCATCATGTGTCTTCTGATGCGTGGAAGTATTCAAGGACAGAGCCACTTCTAGCACATTGTAAATATCACAGTGCAAGTCTAGGAAGAACATGGTGGTGACCTAGGTGCGCGCAGCTTCGATCACAACGCAGCATGTGGTGTTGAACAAGGTTCGGAATTTCTAGCTTCCCATGGTTTTAAAGTTGAAAGGTAATATAATACATAAGATGAAGAAGACAAGCCGGAATGAAAAACCGGCAGCAGAGCTGCCCCAAGCATGAGCTGGGGGTTAATTCTAGATCGATCACGCCACAATGGTAAATACTTGGGAGGCATTGCCCGAGCAAGCGGCGGAATCGACGCGGCCCTGGCCGTCGACCAGACAGGTTCGGCCGTTCTCACTGACGGGAGCGAAGGCGAGCTCCGTCTCCCCGTTGAAGGATACAAGCTGTCCAGTGTTGGTTTCTCCTCTGTTCATCTTCGCGTTAGCCTCTTGACGCTCTTCCTCAGCTTTGGGAGAAAGGATAATGGGAGTTTGCTTACCTCCTGCGGCACGCCCTCCGCAAGAAAAGATGGTGACGGTGTCACCCGCGGGTCGTCTGCCGTCGAAGCTGATGCAGCCATTGGTCTGTTATTAAAGCAATCACGAGTTAGCAGGCTTGTTCGCGATATAGCTATAGCAAAGTTACTCTTTAGTCTGCAGACGTACCAGGGTGCTAACGATGAGCGCGGCGCCGTTCGCATTGTTATGCTTCCCGGCCGTGATGATGTCGAACTGCTCGTTGGGGCTGCCCGTGCAGTCGACGAGCTGAACGGGGATGAGGTTCTGCCTGAAATCGCCCGCGGTGGGGTCGACGAAGAGGCACTGGCCCTGGGGAGAGCGAATCTGGACGGCGGTGAAGGCGCGGGTCGCCGTCTCGTCGAGCTCGTGGGCCTTGGCGGCCGCAGTGGGGTTCAACGTGCCGCCGGCACGCGAGACGGGAACTGCCTCGGTGGGGTTCGCGGTAGGAACACCGCCGACGGCGGCACCACCTGTGGTGGCCTGCTCCTGCTCGGGGGCAGTCGGGGAGGTGGTGGCTTCTTCGGTGGCTGAGGCGGCGGGGGTCTTGAGAAGGAGTCGAGGCCTCGGGAGCGGTTGCCTCAGCGGTGGGCGATGGCGCATCGTCGACTTCAGTGGCAGCGGCCGTCTCCGTGATGTCAGCGCCGGTCTCGGTGGCAACAGGAGCCTGGACTGTTTCGGTGACGGTTACGACACGTCCAGGTCCGCAATCCTCGGCGTTGTTCCCGCCGTTCTGGCCCTGGTTGCGGCCCCTTCCGTTTCCGCGCCCGCGGCCACGGCCTCGTGCCCCGCGACCGTTCCCGCGGTTCCTGCCGCCGGCGTTTCCTCGACCACCGCCTTGGTTATTTCCCCGGCGTTTCCTCGGCCACCGCCTTGGTTATTTCCTCGGTCGTTTCCGGGAGCGGCCTCTCCGTCGTCAACGGCTGGATCCTCGACTTCTCCCTCGTCATCGGCCGGGTCCTCGGCTGAGCCCTCATCATCGTTGCCAGCGTCAGCGTCGGCGTCAGAGTCATCCGCACCGTCGTCTTCTCCGCCGGGCGAGGCTCCTCGCCGATAGTGAACGTTTGGCCATCATCAGTCGTGTCGCATGCGGCAATGCCAACCACGTTACCGTTGACGGTGAGACACTGGCCTTGTGAATTGCGAGGGGTCAAGGCAAGGGGGTCCGCGCCGCCGGCAAAGTCGAAAAGCTGCGAGTTGGTGACTTCTCCACCACCGTCGGCTCGACCGCCGCAGGAAAAGAGATTCACCTGATCGCCGGCAGCCCTCCTAGGGTCAAAGTTGAGGCACGCTTGGGACTAGAGAGTGGGAGAGGTCCTTGTTAGTGAACGCACGGAGAGTCTGGAGGGGAAGGCCCCGAATTAGGCTTGGGTTATCACGCACGAGGGTGTTGACCAGCAGCGCTGCGCCGGCCTGGTCGTTATGTTTTCCGGCCGTGATCACGTCCCAGCCCTGGCCGTCGGTGCTTCCGCAGGCGGCAACTTGGAGTGGAGTGAGGTTGGCCCTGAAGTCACCTGAAAGCAGGTCGACGAACAGGCACCGACCGTCACTGGTAGTAATCTGGACATTGGAGAATGCGCGGGTTGCGGTGTCGTCCCGCTGTTGGGCCTCCTCGAAGGCTGCCTGGTCTAGCTGCTCGACAGCTCGAGATGCTTTGAGGGGACCGGCGAGAACAAGGGCATTGGCTAGAGCCAAGAGAATGGGGGCCCTGGAAAACATGATTCAACTTGGGAAAAAAGAAAACGACTAAAAGACACTCTAGTAGATCAAGTCGAAAGAAACGAACGTCTGTTCTATCAACCCGAAAGGGACTGACTCGACAGAAGTTTGGAAAGATGGGCTGGACCTGCTCAGCAGGGACTTCGCAAAAGAAGCGAATAAAGGAGTGTAAGAATGAAGGAGTGTATAGAAAGAAATGAAGAAACGAAGGGAAACTAGAGGAGCCGTAGACCTGCTGAACCTGACAACATGAGGCCTTCTTCCTTTCGATTCACTACGGGGAGCACGCCTACTAATATATATATATATATACACGCTGATTCCCGGGGTCAAAGAACACAGCCTTCGCACCTTGACTTACAAGAACAGATTAAGCGCTCAAAACACCATCCCCGGTGCAGTGGAAAACCCACAATAAGGTGCAAGGGGCCTGCATCTATCCCACCGAGACGGACTGCAAAACCCCTTTCCCTTGATGACAGCCCTTTGATCGGACCCCCGCCCTCCCAGTAAGTTGGAAAGGGGTCATAGAAGCTACACTACTTAGCACAGGGAAGCGTGCGGCGAGGTGACATTGATCCCATGTGTCGCGGTGCCGGGGTCACGATAGACAGGGTAGGCGCCGGTGGCACTGTTGTGCAGATGGATGGCTTTTGGACTGGCACGACGGGGGCGCCAGGAGTGTGGTTTGGCAGGCTACAACCGAGTCATTGACCTGCGGAAACGTGCATACACATGGGAGGAAGAGACCATTAGAGGTGTTCGCGGACAGGCTCCTGTGTTCTCTAAGCCAAGTCCGGTAGGCGCCTAGGGTAGCCCGGTCAAATTGAAAACGTTTAGTCGGCAGGAGGCGAGCGCCCATGCGGCGTTGGCTCCGTGTCGAACCCCCAAATCAAGCATCAAGCTTCCTTTTTGCGGGTTTTGGAGGAATTAGAGGGCTGGCCATGGTTGGGAAGGCCGCCTGGCTGGGGGCAGGTGAAACCGTTTAGGTTGCAGATGATGGGATTACAGGAGCTCTGACCAAATAAAATTAGAGAAGGGGAAGGATCTGGCCCTGGCAGATCAGCGCCACCCCAGCGAGAATCACGAAAATCGCAGGGGAGAGAAAAGCTTAAGGAAGCGTGCGGGGAACCGCCGAAGGGACATCAATTGCTCCGTCGCGGGCTTGCAAGACGTCAGAGCGTGAGGCGACTCAACGATGAAATTGATGATTAGTGTATCTAGTGTTGATTCCATTTGCATCTCCACTCCACCACAACGGTTTAGTGTGTCAATCATCGTCCCTTGACGGGTTCGGTGTCCTGGTCGAGACAGTGCACGTACGTCTGATTCCTTGAAGGCAAGGAGCGGGGAACGAGTGGAGTGGGCGAGGTGCCATTCCGGCTTTGCTAAATTGATGGACTAAATAAAGTGGAAGAAGAGAAGAAGAGATGGATGGATTATCGGGCTGATATCCAAACTCCCTCGGGGACAGCATCAAGAGTGCATCAAGCCAGCTTCTATATCGGCCCCTAGACAAACCCTACATTCAGGCAAACTGTTGGCATTGGAAAGATTTGGCCTGAAGACCAGCGTTAATCTTGACTCCGCGCTTGCCGAGAGAATGGGTAGGCCTGGGACTCGGAGAGCTTGCGGACTCTGGCAGTTTTTGAGGGCCAGCTGCTTGGACATCGACCGCTACCCCTCAGCCCAACAGACTTGTGATCGCTCCATCTTGGGCTGTTGTGATAGCTCATACTTGTGCAAGCCTCCACTACATTGGCAGGAGCAGGTCTCTCTCCCTGCCCGCCCGTGCGACGCTCTCTGCCAGATTTATTCGGGAGGATCGGTTTGGGTGAGCATCTTTGCAGTCATCCATGGATCCATTGAGCGTGCCTCGGAAGACAAAACGGCAGTCGAGCTACCAACCGACGCTTTGCCCGTCTTCCAAGCTTGGGCATCGTCGCACATGGACTGCATCACCAGAGGAAGCGAGGATCGGTGAGTGGTTCTGGAAGACCCAAGCCAAGACCCATATCTTTACGGGAGCCAATGTGATCCTCTGCAGACACGACTAGGCCGATTCATCTGCAAGGAGGGGCGACAGGAGAAAGCCCTTAAAATGCAGGCAAAAGCAAGCAAACGGGGCAAGAATCAGGGTTGAGCTGGTGCCTCTGTCCCATCTCCGTCTCGAAAGAGGGGGCCGCTTTCAGAATCGGGGAGCAGTGAAGCCATCCATGACCGGCACTCCCATGCCGAGGCTCCTCTCTTATTATTTTTTATTTTTTTACCCACCATCCTTTGCCTCTGCTTCTATCAACCTTACGATTAAGGTAATATTTTGCGAGTTGATCAGTCCCTGCCCGCCTTTGGCTGCTCGGAGCTTCAAGGCAGACATGGGGCATTTTGTCGCTGGGGGACCATGGGTGATGCTCTGTCAAAGGAAAACGCTGCAATCGTAGGATTGCATTGTGTGCATTGTGTGCAGTTTGTGCATGGTGATGCCTTGCCTTGATGTTTGTCTCGATTGTTTTTCGATCCAATCTACCTCGGTATAGTGTATTCTCACATTCGTGGTCGTGGCGTGGTGCCATCGATCTGGCGCTGCGTCGGGTCGTCGCAGCCACCCGCTCACGATGTGTACCGCAGCTAAACACTACAGGAATCACCGATGAAGGGTGCCAATAACTTTATTTCGACATTGTAATAGATCAAAGTTGGTCTTGTACTTGATCGGAGCGCTCTACCGCCTTTAAAAACCAATAGCGTGATCTTGACGGCAGCAGCCGCCTACCGTATGTCGCCTTTTGGCACTGTTCATCGTCCTTGGCTGGGGGTGTGTGTAGATGTATATAAAAACTTGATTTGGGAATGGTTACGGTTGAACTGGGTTGACCGCTTAGCTTCCCATCCAATATCTACATGTAGGGCCATTCCGCGTCGTTCGAGAGAAGCCAACATCACCAAGCTGTCGCAGGCCCTCGTCGCCATGCTCCCCTCAGATCACAATCATGCCGCATCGCCCCGTCTCCACCCTCTTGCTTCGTTCCTCACCAGAATGAACCGTTTCACGCTCTCGTTGGACAGATGCTTCGGCAGAGTATGTTGAGGTTCCACACGGGAACGTGTACGTGCAGTCGAGAAGGCCCAAGTTTTCACATCTGAGAATAGAACATTTCTGTCACATTAGGGAATGAAGCGTCTTTTCAACGGTAGCACCAGCGGGCTCCCCGCCCAAGTGGCGAGGAACACAACCGCGGGGCGTCTCTTTTTGGTAGTGCGATGGCAGCCTTCTGTCTTTTTAAAAATACAGTCCATTTCCGCGGTCAAGAACCATGGCCGGCATCGTAACAATCTTGTTAACCGACTCTCGTTATTTCATCTCGGACCTTGCGGGAGAAAACGACTGCCCGCGCCTTACTGCAGACAAAAATAGGAAAGGGAGAAGAAAGGAAAAAGCAGTACAACGACGTACACATGGGCCCTCCTTCGAGCAAGTGATCCGATAACCATGTCGAATGGCTTTGGAAAAGCCCTCTGTACCTATGCTGTTCTGTAATGTGACACATAGGTTTAGACAGACAAACCATCCCTTGACGCCTCAGAATACAGTGATGAGGAAACACATAAAGTAAGAAAAAGGACACGAGAATAAAAAGAAAAAAACGATCGAACCGAACGAAATCAGAACCGGACCCTTTCCTCCCTAGTAGAAACACACAATGAAAAGATGAAAGAAAGGAAAGCCAACCGTTGTACGGGACTTGCAGCAAGAATGCCCGTCTTGAGCGGAAGACGGGCGGAGAGGGTGGGTAGAAGTGAAAGGAGCCTCGAAAGCCCAGATGCCAAGAAGGGCTTTCGAAAACACAACTCTCTTTCTGTGTCGAGAAAAAAGAGGATGGGATGGGTAAAGTAGTTGTAGAATCATCATCACCCCGAGAAAAAGGGCCGAGGCCACTTAATCACGGGGGATTGGGAGCTACATGCTAGCCAGGATCCGGGTATCCACGTCGACATCGTCCATCGGGCCTAGCTGTATGTCGCCCCGAGCTTCAACTGCTTGCATTCTGGATTCTAGGCCCTGGAAGCGAGGCTCGTACGCACCCATGTGGCCGCGAAGGTCCATGAGCTGCTTCTCGATGTTGTCTAGGCGCTGTCCAATGTGCATGAAGCCTTGGGACACGTCGTGGGTCAAGCGATCAAGTTTGTTCGTGAAGGAGCGGATAGACTGCGCGATGGGCGTGTTCTCCTGGCCGGGGGCGGCCGAGGGGGTCGGGCGTCGTGGTTGTGACGCGGTTCCTGGACGGCAAATCGCCACTGGTGGCCAAGTTGCACCTCGCAGACGGCCTTTGCCCTCCACGGGCAGTCGACCTTGCGCGTGGAAGGAGTTCGCTTCTTGGCCGTGCTATTGTACTTGACACCGCCCCGGTCGCACACGAGGTCGTAGCGGGTAGGCTTGCCATCCCTGTAGTTGGAGGCGCGCAGCTTCACGATGCCGTAACCATGGTCCTTAGCCCACCGCTGGACCGAGCTAAGCAAGTCTTCAAAGGTGCGAAAGATTCCCTCAGGTGGGGGCTGCAAGGTCGGCGCGGCCGTTGGGGTCTCGGGCATGACGTCGCCTGCGCTCGTGAGATCCGGCGTCGCGTTTAGACGTGTCTGGTGGTGGATGAACGGTTTCGGGGGCGTTGCGTACTCCAGTTTGTATGTATGCCGAGCAAATCCGCTCGGACGAGGAGACTGTGGGAAAAAGGGGTTTGATGAAAATATGGATTTGGGGACGGAGATGGAGATAAACTACCGTCTTGCGTCGGGCGAGGGCGAAAATAACGGGATCTCGAGATGGAAAGGTTGGGGAGGTTCGATGGTGGAGAGGTTCAGTCAGAGATTTACAATCCGCACGGTGATGGAAACTAAGGTAGTTTTATTTTCCGCCGGTATGCAACGGTTGAAGGTCCCATAAACAGGAACTCTGCTGACCCGACCTGCTGTGATTGCACGTGTGGCTCACTCTCATCATCATGGATGAATCACCCCCATGATCACGTGATACAACTGGCGTCACAGGCGCTGCAGTGCTGGAGGCAGGCTACCTTGTTGGCTTGCTTGGCTACTGGCTACCTAGTATTACTGGGCCTGTGCACTCTCAGGCCGGCACACACCAAAAAGTCGGGTTGATTTGCGTCTCAAGCCTTCGCCGTCACGATGCGTGACGAGCCAAAATGTGCAGCCATGGCAGGAAAGCCGCACTGACCAGCCACCAGCACCACCCAAATTAACGCTCCTTCAATTATGTCATTGCCCAGCTGGCTTGACCCGATTTGGGGAAAGTAGCCGTGAGTTGTTACAGGTCCGTCCCAGACTTTTCTTCTGCTCCACAAGCGTCTCGAAACGAATTGCTTGGTTGCCGCTGCCCACCTTTTTTTCCAGGGCTATCTCTTTTTCCACCATATGAAGTATTAGGCGCTTTATCGCTTTATCCACCAAACTCCACTTTTTCCACCTGTAGTGTATTATTTGGGCTTCACCTCTTCTCCTTCACTTGGATACACCGCCTTCCCTTTCAAGAACCCAAATCGAGCCACCCCTCTTCTCTCTCGCACTCTCTCTCGCACTCTCGATCTTGCGCGGCGCGGCACGCTCGATCGGGGAACGCATCAAGCCCGTGCCTTTCCTTCCTTCCTTTTTTTCTCTTTCATATTTTCCTTCTTTTTTTCTTTTTCTTTTTGCTTGGCTTAGACACCTTTGGTCAATCACCGAATCTATCTGCCAATCCCTCTTTTCGCGCAGGCGAAACGGCAGCAATGGCCCCCGTCAACCGGCAAAAGGCACAGGACTCAAAAGCAGCGGCTGCCGATATTTGGGATGAGGCACAACTTGAGGCTGCGCTCAAGCGGCTGGACAAACTACATGTTCAGGTATAGAAACCTAAGTCTAGAGACCGTTGAATGGAAGTGAGATTAACTCGTTCGTCAAGGCCCGTCTCCTCAGGACCACTATACCGCGAATGACACAGCCCCTGACGACGAGCACTACTCGTGAGCGCTCTCTTAATCTCATGCCTGAGATACACTCCTCAACTAACACCATCTATAGCCTCTGAACTGTATCGCCTACTCATGAAGTCAGTCGCCGAGGCTCACAAGGAGATTCAGGATTTCAAGGAGCTCATGAGCGATGCGGAGAGCAAGAAGGTTCTCGAACGTGCAAAGAAGAGCCACAAAGATAACCCTCGGGGATTGTCCCCTGGGACCCTGTAGAGCACCCGAACTGGTTCGCGAATGGGAGCTCATAAGAGTCAATTAGAATATTGACGAGGATCAATGGCATTATGATCAAATCTGTATACGTATACTGGCGTTCAAGGTCTTATCTCATGGCAGGAATGAACAACTTTAGTAAGCGAGCACAAGGGATTTCATTAGAATTATCAATTCAGACATATCACAAGCACGGCAGACGAGGAGTAGAGTGGATGCTGTTATCCACAGAGTGTAGCCTGTCTGAGGGACATGTGAGTAGTTTCTTTGACGGCCAAGGGTAAAAGAAACCTTGTGTCCTCGGAGGATTATCCAATATTATGAGAGGTATCAGAAATTTCCGCGTATATCTTTGGCCTGGCCGGGTAAGGCTGATGGCTCGCGAAATCGAGGTTAGCCAGTCTCGACAAAACCAACCGAACGCTGCAGTCGAGATGCCTGAACGCACGCGGTGGAGCATTGAGCCCCATATGTGCCGTTCAAGTCCACTGCGCAAATTCAGCTTGTCGGTTGGAACTTGAAGCGAGATGTGTCACGTGATCCGGCGGTGGAGCTCCGGCGCCTCGAGTGTGGCTCGTCGAGGAATTTTTCTGTGGCTGGTGAACCCTTCCACGCTGACCCACACCCTCCTCTCCATTGACCCTCACCCACACAAAAATTCGAAATCTCGAAAACCTTCACTTCCTTCCCTTGTGTATCACCAAAGCGACCACCAAGCACACCAAGCACAATGGCTCCCCAAAGAGTGACCTACCGCCGCCGCAACGGGTAAGACGACCCAATTCTCGATATCGCGAAAGATATACGATCGCCATATTATCTTGCGTCGAATTTTTCCCGATCGCGGGGCATCTGTGATATGCTAACACTCGTAATTTTTTTTCTAGCTACAACACCACGTCCAACCTCACCCGGACGATCAAGACCCCCGGTGGCAAGCTCCGACTCCTTCACATCAAGAAGCGAGGCACCAACCCCAAGTGCGGCGACTGTGGCAACAAGTTGGCGGGCGTAAGTCGATCCGAAATTCTAAGCGATGGGGACAGTGAAGGGGGCAGTAGTCGAGGCGTCACTTCCAGACTTGTGATGAGATGGCAAGACTTTGAGGGAGAAGGTTCTCGGAAGCCGGAGGCATCGCAAAACTTCAATGTCTCCGTCGTCTCCCGGCGCCTTGTCAACTCAGGTCTCGCCTTCCCTCGTGCAAGTCTGGGACCGCAGTCGATCGTGTGCTCTGAGCAGGGTGTCGGTTCCATATATGTTGCTAACGTCTATATAATAGGTTCCTGCTCTCCGACCCCGCGAGTACTCCCAGATTTCCAAGCCTCAGAAGAACGTCAGCCGCTCGTACGGTGGATCCAGGTGCGGCAACTGTGTTCAGGACAGGATCGTCCGCGCGTTCCTTATCGAGGAGCAGAAGATTGTGAAGAAGGTGCTGAAGGAGCAGAGCGAGAAGAAGAAATAAATGACAATCACTTCGTCACTCTCTCGTTCATCTAAAACTGCATGAGCATGGATGGGAAAAAGGGCCGACGGCTTGGTTTGTTATTTGATTTTCACGGTGTTCGCTAGGGTCCAAGGGGAATCGACTACATGATACATACACAACCAGTTTACCGGCATGGCAGTTAAAAAGGCACACTGCTTTACTCCTTCCATCTGATTCACGCTTGATGTTTCTTGAATGCAACAAGCCAGCCAGTTCATGAAGTTTTCTCCCAATATCATCGTGAGCAGCGCCGTGCACGCGCATACGTTCGTGTATACGTACGCGCACTGAATGTGCCAATGTCTCTTGTGTATGATGTATGATGCAGCGACGAGGTGTCTTGTGGAAGGACATATTTTTCCGAATACTTGGCGTCGAACCCGCCCCAGGATATTGGTCTCTACCTTGCTAGAGTAAAGTAAATATCAAGCGTCGGGGGCTAGAGGATAATTGATGATTGACGGCAACCTCAGCAGACAGCAGACTCGAAGTTTGGCTGCAATGATTTCCTCGTGGCTTGAGCCCACCCTGCAAAGGGTTCTCTTCTTTTTCACTGTCTTTTTTTTTCCGCGGGGGCTTTAATTTTCACGGCGGCGACATCAACTTTCTTTTCGAGATCCATAAATCAGCCCGCTGAGAGAAAGAAAGGGCTTATCAATTGATAACATTGAATGAACCCTTCGTGCAAAGCAAGCCCGCATCTCTTTCCGTAGTATTAATATTAGGGATTATTTGTACTAGTCTTTAGGTTGTTTCTGTGCATTGCTGCGCTGCGCCGCTAATAAAAGTGGTACAGTCCGATAAGAGCTTTGGAGCGAGCTTATCGGTTAGAATACCGCCGCTGGCTTCCGTCATCAAAAATAGACACTGAGCCATCAAAAGACCTCTTCCCCTTCTGCCTCCTAGTTCCTCACACAACCACCAATCGCTATTGAACATGAGGCGACATACAATACAACGTCTCGCGACATTTCGGCTTCCGAGAGCCTCTTTGCGCAAACCCTTGCCGGCCCCAGGCTTGGTCCCCAACGCCACTGCGCAACAGACACGCCAGCCCTGGGCAGCCTTCCACACAAGCAGCGCAAACTCAATACAATGGCGCAAGAAGCAGAACCCTCCCAAGGAACCCTCGCGAACTGATATCGGCGAGCTCGATGTCCTTGGCAACACACCGACACCGCCGACGGCTATCGACCGGTGTCTCGACCGGGGATTCCACTTCCACAGCGGGGCTAAAGTGACGGATGGCAGCGGGGTGCTGCTCGTGAACGGGGAAGCCTTTACCTGGAAGCCGTGGATGGTGATGAAGGAGAAAAGGCTGGTGAATGCCAAGGGCCAGATCGAGATACCTACCGTAGCGTTTGACGCCCTGGACGCGTTGCAGCCACGACCAGGTAAGCTGACACCTAGCAACAACCCGACTCCGCGGCGGGCATCGAAACGTCGGTTCTAGGTACTAATCTCTGACACTCTCGGTAGACATTTTGATACTCGGTGTTGGACCTCAAATTCGGCCCCTCTGTCCGGAGACACAGGCACACATCCGCGGATTGGGCATTAGAACGGAAGTGCTCGACACGCGCAATGCTGCTGCCCAGTATAACCTCCTTGCTACTGAAAGAGGGGTTGAACAAATTGCAGCCGCATTGATACCATTAGGCTGGAAAGAGGGTGAAGGAATGGCCGAGTGATCTCGAGGTGTGGACGAAGGTGGTGATACGTATTTGCTTGTCACTATTTACTTGGGCGCCTGTCTTCCTGACAATACTGTCAATTTATTCTACAAAGAGAGGTTGTGGCGGAGACCACGAAGGAGCTGCTGGTTTTGCTGTCATGCAAACGATATTTATGGCAGGTCGATGCGGGCTGAGAGCGTTTAATGTGGCCTAACAGCCGTCGTATGCGGAGAGGACTGGCCGCATTGAAGGTTGGAACCAATACTGTACATGTACGATTACGGAAGACAACTTGGCGATGGGAACACAGGTTGGGATTGCATGGGACATGGAAAGTGATCCGTGGTTTAAATCGCAAGGGATAAAGCTATGGCACACGTGAAATGAATAGAAATAGACAATGACAGTTGCGGACCGCGAATCTCGCCTCGTTCTTCAACCATTGGAGGAACGTGTCTTGGAGCACCCAGCAACGTTGAGCTTCCAGCGATTGAGCTTCCAGCGAGACAGCTGAAGTGAGCCTTGTGTTGAGGTCACGGCCTGGGATTGGAGAATTGTTGCTCGGCTGCGAAATGACATAATAATCGCACAGTTCGCAGGCCCGTGGCTTGGCACAAAAGTGGGTAGCAAACCAAGCCAACGCTGCTGGCCTTCACATCATCGCGATCTCTTCTCACGACACCTCTGCGTCCCACCCCTGGTTGTCGGTGCTCTCCCTTTCGTTTTATTCTTCTCGAGTTCCATCCCTACAATCACCAAGACTTAACAGAGGATTCGGAATCGTTGGGCCTCGATCGGGCGTGAAGAATACCCGCTAAAGGATTTTTTTCTTTCTTTTTCTTTCCCCTTTCGCCATACATTGAGGAGCTTGGATCACACCCTCCAATTATTTCTCTTTTCTTGCCCACTACGAGCCTGAATCTTTCCACCCCCTTGCTTGACTCATCTCGCTTCGCAGCCCGAGATCCCGATAGCTCGCGATGGGAGCTCCCCAGACAACCCTGACGCACTTTTTGCCGACATATATACCATCGATCATCCTAATCTGAGTGATATCCTGACCACGGGAAGGGGGAAAAAAATTATTCGAGTTTACCTGGCCCTCTCTCCGCCGCTCCAGAACCATGTCCGTCGATCCAGTCGAGGCGGACCCTGCGCTTTTGAGCGACAACTCCGAAATCAAAACATTTACCACGAGCAAATTTACTTATTCCAACCTCCGAATCTTTTACCGACGCCACCCGAAAGCCGACGAGCTTCCCAAAGTTCCCTCTCCTCTTCCACTCCTCGTTTTCGTCCACGGACTAGGCGGGTCGGTCGCACAATTCCATCCTCTTCTTACGAGCCTTCTACCTGTAGCGTCCTGCTTGGCGATTGATCTGCCAGGATGCGGCCGATCCGAATTCTCGGAGACGTCATGGGATGCCTACACGACGGCGGCGCTTGCGGAGCTTCTCGAAACCATAATCGAGAGCTACAGGGATAAAAAGGCAGGCCAGCAAGTGGTGTTGATTGGGCATAGCATGGGGTCAGCACTCTGTGCCTACCTGTCAAGCAAGGACCTACCACACACAACGAAGCTAGCTGACAACATTGTCGGTCTCGTCGCCATCTGCCCAGTATCTGGCCCTCCTCCCGAGGAGAAGGTTCGAATCTTTCGGATGCTCCTGTGGATCCCGGGGTGGATTTTCAACCTATGGCGGATGTGGGATCGCCGAGGGGGCGCCGATAGCAAAAGCGTGTTGCGGTTTGTAGGTGACAATGCGGATGCGGAATCGCGACGGCTCCAGCATTTGTTCAACTGCCAAAGTCGGACGCCGGTGTGGAGGCGGATGGCGTCAGGCTCCCTCCCCGTGTATAAGGCTGGCGTACCCGTCGGCGGGCTACCGACGCCGGAGATTTGGAAGGGTCTCGAGGTGCCAATCTTCCTCGTCGCCGGCAAGGCCGACAAGGTCACTCCTCCCACCGAGGCCGAGAAGCTAGCGAGTTTATTTGAGGCTGGACCCGCGGTCAAGGCGAAGCTTGGCAGCTTGGCTGATAGCACTTCCTCGTCCACGAGCTCTCCAGGTGGTGATGGCATCGATGTCTCCGAGGACGCGGGCGTGAGCGATGCAAAGGCCAACGCTCTCCCCGTGTCTCCGGACGCGGATGGAGCTGATAGCGAACCTACGACACCCCGCACGCCTCATCCTTCTAATCATCGCGACGAAGATGTCCCCGAGCAGCCTCTTCACCCGAGGGGGTCCTCCAAACCCTCGTCATGCCCGCGCCGGCCAACCATGCGCTTCTCTATATGCCAATGACAGTGCGTATCCTCGCTGGGAACGTATCTGATTTCCTCTCTACCTATGTCACTGGTCGGTTGGCACTCTCCGTAAGTAGCATCCGCATCTTTCCCCAATAACCAAGAGATGCTTGCCTTCTCCTTCGTGCTTTTTTACTTTCCGTCTCTAACATGAAACCGAATCTCTAGTGGCAGCTACAATATCTTGCCAAAGAGGGAAAATGGGAGCTGAAGAACCTGACCAAGTGGAAAAGCGTGCAGCCAGTGTCTAAGCCCATCGGCCCAGTAGACAAACCCGTGTTTGTGGCGATGAAGACTCTACGAGAAGTGGATGAGCTCCATTGCCCAGCCGAATTTGTCAAGAACTGGGGGACAAGGTGTCTGATGTCATTGATATCAGCCGAGACCAACCCTCTTACGACCCCACAGGCCTTCAAAAGGGAGGCATCGCATATCACAAGTTATCCACGGTATCCAAGATCCCCCGACGGATGAAGAGATTGCCAAGTTTATCTCACTCGTGGACACGATCCGGGACTCGCGGCCAGATGGCGAGACTCGCGACTTGATCGGGGTACACTGCCATTACGGCTTCAACCGCACGGGATATTTTATTGTATGCTACCTCGTTGAGAGGTGCGGCTTCGCTGTCGAAGATGCCATGGCGGCCTTTGCGACGTCGCGGCCAAACGGTATCCGGCACCAACACTTCCGGGACAAGCTTTGCATGAAGTACGGGATGCTCGTCAGGGGCGCTGAACAGGCATCATAAGAGCCCTCGGCGGTATCATTATACGGTACCGAAAGTAGGGCTACGTGGGGAGGAAGACGCCAAGGTGACTGACTGCTCATAGGAGGGTCGCATTATACCCGAGACAGTGACCTTGTTATCTGCCTTCTGTTTCCTGCCTTTTTCTGTCTGATTCTTTTTGCTTTTCTGTTGACTCCTTTTTCCACCAAGCGTATATCCCTTTCGCGCCATGTATAAGTATTAGCGGGACTCTGGCAGACATGTTTACACTTCTTTTACCTCTTCACTTTCTTTTCCTGAGCTGGGTTTTAGGGCGTATTTTCATTTGTTTTCTCTAGACTTGGGGGAAGGGGATCCATATTTTTAGACGGGATTATGTTTATGCTTAAAGAATCTACTCTTGCGCTCCATGACCTTAGTTGACTCTACCACCTTCTTTGAAATTCTCGGAGGCCGGTATAGCTTGTACGTGCTCCTGCGCCGTGCGCTTGTAGCCCTTTAATCCTCCTTCAACTATTTCGGGTCCTCCACCCAACGCCTACTCGTTCCGGCTCGAGATCATACATGACTCCCGCTTGTACAGAGCCGAAGCTGTCGCGGCCGCCGGGCCACCATCGCAAACCGTCGTCATCCATTGCCCCTACTAGACTCCATGGGGCGTCCGTAGCCATAGAATATTGGAGGTGCTGGTGCTGGTGCCGGTTTTGGCTCTGTCGTTGTCGTTGCTGTTGTTGCTGTAGGCTGTACTGGAAAGCATCGTGACGGCACGCGTCGCAAAAGTCGGTTGCCTGTACGATGGCCAGGTTCTCGGGGCGCGGGAGGCAAGAATCCGGAAGCTCAAAGGGAGGTGGTATACGCCCGGCGGCTCCCACGCCGAGCGCTGGGTGATGTTGTCGAGCTCGTGGAAGAAGGAATGGCACGAAGGGCCAAAGAGGAGAGACGGGCTATGGCCGCACAGCGGGACGAGGAGGACATAGATGCACATTTTCTAGCGGCGGAGGGTCTGCCTCGGGAGGGGCGAGCGGCCCATCGTCGACTGGCGTCTAACGGCGGGGTGTTTTCTGCAAATCTACGATGAGCGGATGTCTAGTTGCGAGACACATATTCACGGGAGAAGCCTTGAAGAAGGGCTCTCTGGAGAACCATATAAACTGATGCGAGGGGACGGTTTGCCGTCAATCCCGACTTAGAATTAAGTAGAGTAAGGCGAGGAGAGCTCTGCTAGAAGCTTCAAAACAATTACGGCTCATGCGGAGCTACATGGAACACGGTCTGAAGGAGACTTGACCTCAAGGGGACGGGCAAACCTCCGAGTTTGGGCGGTTTCGCCGGGAGAGGTCGATGGTTCTGAAAGACGACAAATAGAGATTGTATGCCTACATGTATTTTTCATATAGAGTCGTATTCACCTCCCTGTCTTTCGGAGGATGACGGTAAATACAGCATCATCAGCGCCATCTTCATCGCTTCCAGGAGAGGCTCAAGGGGGTGGTCAGTAGATGCGAGCATGGTACTGTAGCTGTTGTCAGTAAGACGTGGTGTGCAGATGTGCTCCGCAACAATCTCTATCGAGGGTTCTCCTAACTGGGTTGTTGCAAGAAGCCAATCGTCGAGGATATCTATTGTTTTGGGCACCGAACAAAGATCGGCTAGGGGCAGGCACAATGGAGCCTTCGTGGAGACAAAGACGCCGCACCGTCCATACATTGAAAGATCCATCCATGGATCCATTGTATTGTTCATTCCTCTGCGGGTTTGTCGGGGTAAAACTGGGTTGAGTACAATTGATGTACGGATGGCGTGCACGAGCAGGCCGAAGAACGGCGTCGCTTATCCGGGAAACCAAAAATACTACCCCATGTCTCCGTTGTTCCATCATGGTGCTGGATTTAATCAAGCAGCAACCATCATCTTGCCGGCGATGATCAATTATCATGGAGTGATGTACCATCCAATCCGTAACTGACTCAAGGTGGAGGACAATCAGTGGCCATCCCCGCCCCCTCCCACACCCTTGTCAGTTGAGTGCGTTCAGGTGATCGAGTCAACACTCCACGAGCTCGAACCGGGCACAAAGAGAGAGCACTGGTGAAGAGGCGGGGGGGCATGGCGAAGCTAGCGAGACGGAGGGGAGGTACCTGCTGTGGTCAAGGCTCGTGCCCCTGTCGACCGAGCTGCCTTTCTGAGGCTGCGGCGCCAAGCGCTAACGGAGCGTATTGGAGGTACCAAGGTCTTGCAGGGCCTCGTGCTGTGCTCCGCCAAAAGGTACTGCAGCCTGCAGGGCACTTTCTTCCGTCCCGGCAACGACTGCACCACTTGAAGGTACAGGATCCAATGGATCTCTCATCGTTTCAATTCACCCGTCATTCCGCCTCCAGCTTTAAACACAGCACAATCCCCTCCCATTGTCACAACCTCTATCCCTCCCCCCTCTTCTAGTACCTCGTGAGCCCTCACCTTTCCTTATTCTACCTCACGAGTGCTAAAGGGCTTTTTTTTATTTCCTAAAGCATTTCGGTTGTCAGAGCCCTCGCCAGTAGGCACCCCATAAACTCAACACCGCCCAGGTCCAAGACCGCCAGAAGCCGAGCTTCGGCCAAACAATAGAGCAAACCCGCCTCCTCGCCTTGCGGATCACAGCACGATGGTGAGTCTAACAAATGGCCAAGAGGAATCTCGCCCGCGTTTCGACATGAGACTCTCCAAACTGTGGTTTTCTTTTCGTCCCAGCTCTTGAAATCTAGTTGTTCCATTTCCCTCTTGGAATCTGCTCGCTGACGATTTGCGGTTTGCCTAAACCATAGGCCGAGCCATCTGCGACAACCCCGCTGCTCGGCGATGCCCGACAGGAGAACGGCGGCGAAGCGACTGACAACCAAAACAAGGGCTGGATCGCTAAGAACCTAAAGGTGCGGGAGCTTGTTCTCTTCCTCTGGGCTCTCTTGGCGAGTGCCGCCGTCGTGGTTGTGGCCGTATGGACCCAACACAAGAGTCAGACTCATACCCCCGGTCTCCCGGCCAAGAGGAACCTCATCTTCATGGTCTCCGATGGCATGGGACCTGCCTCCTTGTCGCTCACCCGCAGCTTCCGCCAATACGTTGATGGCCTGCCCATCGACGATACCCTCGTGCTCGACCAGCATTTCTGGGGCACAAGCCGTACGAGATCTACCAACTCCCTCGTCACTGACAGCGCTGCTGGCGCGACCGCTTTCTCTTGCGGAAAGAAGAGCTACAACGGCGCCATTTCTATCATTCCTCCCAACTACGAACCCTGCGGCACCGTCCTCGAGGCCGCCAAGCGAGCCGGCTACACCACCGGTCTCGTCGTCACTACCGACATCACCGACGCCACCCCCGCCTGCTTTGCTAGCCATGCGGTGGTTCGCTCTCTGAATAACGATATTGCCGTGCAGGAGATTGGTGACGGTCCCCTTGGCCGTGTTGTTGACCTCATGCTCGGAGGCGGACGCTGCCACTTCCTACCCAACACGACCGAGGGTAGCTGCCGTTTCGATGACCGTGATATTGTGGCCCAGGCTAAGAACGACTTTGGCTGGAACTACATCAATGACAGGCTTGGGTTTGACAGCCTCAATGCTGGCGAGGATGTTACTCTTCCCCTCATGGGCCTCTTTGCGAGCCGTGATATCCCCTTCGAGATTGATCGCCGAAACATGAACAACGTCTACCCTAGCCTTAGTGAGATGGCCAAAACCGCTATCCGAGCCCTCGAGAAGGCCACGGAAAACAGCGACAAGGGCTTCTTCCTCATGATTGAGGGTAGCCGTATCGACCATGCCGCCCATAACAACGATCCCGCTTCCCACGTTCGTGAGATTCTCGAATATGATCGAACTTTCAAGTCTGTGCTTGACTTCTTGGAGGCTAGCAGCACCGAGGGTGTGCTTGTTGCCACGAGCGACCATGAAACTGGCGGTCTCGTCACTGCCCTCCGTATGTTTATCCTTCCTCAAACCTCCTCAGGGCCTTCTTTTCCTCCTGTCTACTCCTTGTTTTCTCCCTTTTTAAAGACTGGCGAAGTAACAGAGGCTAATATTCCACTACAGAGGAACCTGGCCAAGGACCCGTGTACAACTGGTACCCGGCGGTACTGGCAAACAGCAATGCGTCTGCCGAATACTCTGCCCTCCGTCTCCGTGAGCACGTTGCAAAGCTTGGCGCCAATGTTGAAAAGGTGTCTCTCCGAAACTGGATCAACACCAACCTCGTCATCCAGGGCCTCGGTATCACCGACGCTCGCGACTCCGAACTCGACCGTCTAGTTGCTAGCGCTCAGGATGCCACCTACGTTTTCTCCGACATGGTTAGCGTGCGCGCCCACGTCGGGTGGACGACACACGGGCACTCCGCCGTTGATGTCAACATTTACAGCTCCGGTGGCCCCAGGCCCGCCCAGCTTCGGGGCAATGTTGAGAACACCGATGTCGGAAAGTTCCTGCGAGAGTATCTTGAGGTCGATGTGGATTCCATCACCGAAGAGCTCAAGGACAAGCTAGCCCAGTCAGCCGACGCAGAGGGTCTCGTAGCATCCCTTGGCAGTGAGGCTGACCACTGGGCCGAACACAAGGTCTCGTTTGAAGACTTGTAATAGCCAAAATTCTATTCGTCGTTGCACAAGAAGCGGCAAACTAGCCATCGCGGGAACATAAACCCGGCGAATTCAGATGTGGAGGAGCTTTGTAGTTGAGGATACCATGATTTTGCATACGAAATATACATGTAGCACATTCAAACTTACGGAATGGAATAATCTCGTAAACCCCCTTGCCCCCGTGGCAGCATGATTCCGTCCAGTCTGATGGTCCTGATTTTTGCGGCTCATGTTGATATTCATATATCCGTAATTCATCGTTGATATGAAGCGTACTTTGTCACAATCACCACAGCACAGCACCTTCCTTGAAATCGGCAACACAAAGTAGAAAACCATTCTTAATTTCACAACATTGGGGTCTTTCTAATGGCCTTCTTTTTCCCCCATTTCAAGTTATAGTGAACTAGATACTAGGCCTAGCTCCGAGATCCTACGCCATCTCCCTTGACCCCTGTAGAGTGGAGTGATGCCGGTCCTCCTCTTCACTCTCAGCGAGGAAGGCGTCAGCGCGCTTCGGGACGTGCTTACCTGCTTGAGCAAATTCAACGAGGAAGTTTGCCTCGAAGCCCGCAAGGACCAAGTAAGCACGCGTTGACGGCGCCCCAGAAAGTTACGATCCAAGAGCAATGAGAAGAGCGGGGGCCGCGTTTTACGAACAAGAAACCAGTGAATCGAAAAAGAAAAGAGGGATAGGGACGGAACGGTGAACGAGCCTTGGGGGATCAGGGCTGACGTTGGACTTGTGAATCTAGTTTATACTCACTGCGATCAATCCTACTAAGTCGGGTTATGCGCACTTTTCGTTTGCGACGAACAAGTTCTTCTCGCGATTTCGGTTCGACGGCTCTTCTTTAGAACGGGGCTCGTTTTACTGTACACTGTATGCCCGGGTTCGTATCTACCCGCTCCTCTCCCCACCCCCTTCAAAGGAAACGGAAGAGCTGCAAAGGCAAGGCAAGAGGGCGGACAATGCTGATCCCTTTGACAGGTACTAAGCTCCATCTTTCGGAGTCGTGGCGGGAGCGGCGGGAGCGGCGGTGATATCCCCGGGGCCGAACGCGCCACTGCTATTGACAGGTGTGATGTCGCCATCGACGACGGGGTCAATATCGAGAGTCGGTTTATCGTAAAGATCACATTCCGTAACGGTAAGTGGCCCGCCATATATGAGGGGTCGGGTAGCGTGGCAGTTCTAATACTGGATTAATATAATCAAAGGGTGCACGTCGACACACAGGCTCCCCTTTGCGAGCAACCCACCGGTGCACGCCAAGTTCAATGCTGAGCAGGCGGTCCATCACTGGACGATTCCGTCGCGGACGTTGCGGGGTGTAATGGATCACTTTGGGCCTGGCGCCGAGCTGCTAGACATAAACTCGGAGGGCGAGTTTATCAACTTTCTAGGGTATACGGAAAAGGCCGTTGACCTCAACACGGCATGTACGTTTTCCCAGTGCCCCTTCCCCAGCTACCGCGCGCTGCCACCCAAACTGACACAGGTCTCCAGCTCTGAGAGGCAAGCCCCTTCGGACCTCGATCGCAGTAGAGCTCGACGAGTTCGAAGACGTCGAGGTCGAGGACGAGCTGCACATCATTGTCCCGGTCCGCGACTTTCGCGCCATTATCCAACACGCCGGCACCGTTGGGACCGAGCTCTCCACCCGCTATTCCACTCCAGGCCAGCCCATCAAGATTTGGTACCTAGGCGACGGCATGTACTGCGATTTCCTGCTCATGACCGTTGGCGAGCGGGGAATCCGGGCCAGAAGGTCCGCAGGCAAGGCCGCGCCCGTGCCAAGGAGCCTGTGACGAAGCAGCTCGACGCCGGCTCTAGGAGGGCCAGCGCTGCTCCTTCAGAGCCGCCTCCGGACCGAGTCCCGGTTCCGAACCCGACACCGCAGCCGTCCGTGGCTAGGGCTAATGTGCAGCGGCGGTCTTACTTTGAGATGAGGCCTTCACAGATGCCTCCACCCAGCAGGATAATGTCGGATAGCCTGTTTGTAGGGAATCAGGATGAGGATGAAGAGTGGGCGCCTGTCCGAGATGAAGATGACGAGGAGGATGCGCGGCTGGAGTGGGACGGCACAGATAGGCAGGTGTGTTTTCTCCCCTTTTTCTCCAACCTTTTAAAGATGATGTAGGAGTTTTCTTTCTTTCCCCTTCATTTGACTGACCCACACAACTAGGAATTCTCAACAAATGGTGCCAGCGCAGAAGGAACTAACGCTCCTGGAGATCACCCGAGTGCGAGTGCAGATCCGGGATCAAGTCTGGAGCCAACGCAGAGGCTGTCGGATGTTAGAAGGCTCGGGCTATTTTATGACGGGCCCTCTTACTAAATAGTGTAAGATTTACACGGCCCCGGTGAGGCTTATGGCATAAGGGCTAGATCAAAGAATACGTGGACGGCATGGACTGTGCATGTAGTTTGTAAAGCGTTTCTGAACAGCTTCAAATTATCGGGGAGCTATGATGACCCAGCTCGTTGCGCATCCAGCCCCTACTCCCGCAATGTGCATTTCTTTGGGTATAAATCTTGATGAAGCAATGACGTTCCACTTTCCCTTGACATCAATCTCGGCCGTTGGGCCACAATTCCCGTGCCCCCACCCCCAAGTCAACACATCGCCCTCTTCAGACAGGCATACGACATGCTCACTCCCGACAGCAAGCTTAGAGATCTTGGGTAAGTTAGGCGGGGCTAGTTGTCCGTGATCGTCTCGACCCCAGCTCAACAGCCTCCCATCGTCGAAGAGCACGTTAATGTTTCCCCAGCCAGCCCCAACCTCCTTCCAGCCTTGTATCGTATTCGGAGCATTGGTCCGTATCTCCCACTTATCCGAGCCGAGGATGGCGATCTCCCCAGTTCCGGGCTCGCCGACAAGACAAGTAAACTCCCGCCCGCAGACAGCTTTCACGACCGGGAACCCTGCGCCCTCAACCTTTCGGGGTGCTTTAACGAACCCGGCCGGCTCGCCGAGCTGGCCTTTGCGGCCGTTTCCCCAGCCATATACATCGCCGTTATCCAAAACGGCCACGACATGGCCCATGCCCGCAGCCAGGTCCTTGACTTGCGTCCCGGCAGGAGGAAAGTTGGGAATGCGGGTGGCAGAGGGTGTGCGTAGAATCTCTGCCGGGAGGTCGCCGAGACCGAGTTCCCCTTTGGTCCCGATCCAAGAGCGTACAAGGCCGTTTCCCCATCCGAATCCTTCGTAAGAATAAAGGAAGCCTCCCAGGTCGCGGCCACCGACACAATGGTCATGTGCTGGAGCGTGGCGGGGTCACTTGCTAATCGAGCGACCCTCAATACCTTTTGCTCCAGATTGATGCCAGCCGTCAACCCGCAAGCGCCCGTCGACGAATCTCCACTCCAGTAAAGCTCGCCCGATTCGAAAAGGACGAGGGTGTGGTTCCCTCCTGCCGCGATCCTGGACACGGCCAAGCTTTGGGGCTCGGGGTGGAGGATGGCTTGCTTCGGCACGGAGACATCTTCTTGGTGACCTATGCCCAGCTGGCCGGATCCGTTGGATCCAATCGTGAATAAGGCCGCCATTGGCTTTCTTTGAATTTTTATTTTTCGATTCTCCCGGTTTCTCTTAGGGAGATCATCGCCTCGTCCATCTCAGATCCAAGAGAGCCCACTCGTTTGGTGGAGAGACTTGAGCGTGATGCACCTATCAGAGCATATGCACATAAAAGGATAGAACCAACCTTTGAGCTATTGCAGCCGAGGATAATCCGGGCCCCGCGCCACTTTAAAAATGATTTCTTTGTCCCTGATCAAAACTTTTTTCCTTCAACAACCCATGGATTCTAAAAATTCTCCCTCTTCCTCTTAACCACCTTGCTATCCTTTTTTTTTCTTCCTATCTTGGCTTCGTGATACGAATGCCAGTATTCTTTAACTAACCCTATTCAGCTGTGCAAAAACAAGCACCTTCACGAGGCTTTGTGGACGGCTCGCTTGGATACAGCTGGACTCCTAGTCTTTGCTATTGCTCGAGACGATGGCACGCGAGCAACCTCGCCCCTCGGGGATGGAGACGTTCACCGTTGGCCTTATTGGCATGGGCGACATGGGAAAGATGTACGCCCGGAGGTTGTCTGCTGCTGGCTGGAGGTGAGTGACTGCTTTAGCTGCTCACCCTCTATTGCTTCTTATTATGGTAAGTTGGTTCACACTCTTTTTTTCAACCTCGTCTCCTCTCTCATCTACACATCTATCCCCTCTTCCCGAGCAGCAAATGTAAATGATGACTAGAGCGCATTTGGCTCGAGCATTGTTCATGGTCGGTGCGATAGCCTTTCTGGTCCGCACCTCCGCCGTGGGCCTTCGATGATGTGAACTCCAGCTACCTTAACAAACTTGTCTGAAACACATTTGCTTCTCGGGATTTCCTTAGTCTTACCGCTGCTTGACACTTGTCACTCACGTCCGCTGTCAATGGCGCCAAGCTAACATTCCGCCTCAAGATTAGATATAATGTCCTGTGCATCGCACTATGACCCATCAACCTCGGTCGCCCACGGGCACCATTTTAACTGACTTTCCTTCTCCCTTGACTTGTTTAGAATCCTCGCCTGTGATAGAGATGATGACGCAAAGTTTGCGGCGCTGAAGGAGGAATTCGCCGGAAATGTATGAGTGCTTTCACCCGGTTTGGAACAGGGAGCAACTGCTGAAGTTTCCCGTGTCATAATAGAACAACGTAGAGATCTGCCGTAATGGCCACCTAGTGTCCCGAAAGAGCGATTATATTCTGTATAATGTCGAAGCCGCGGCGATAAATGCCGTGGTTGAGATGTACGGCCGCTGTATGATTGATCTTGTTCCTGCTGCTGTGCTTCCTGCCCCGCTCAACCTCCGCCTTCCCTTGTCCCCTGCCGTGATTCTTTGCCTTTTAAACGTTACGATATTGTATTATCTTCTGAAAACTGGTGGCCTGACTGTCTCTTGACCAAATAGCAACCAAGGTCGGTGCCATCGTTGGAGGGCAGACATCATGCAAGGACCCCGAGATCGCGGCGTTTGAGCGCTGGCTCCCTCGGACGTTGACATCATCTCATGCCACTCTCTGCATGGACCCCAGGTCGAGCCCCGGGGCCAGCCCCTCGTCATCATCAAGCACCGCGCCTCAGACGAGTCCCTCCGCAAGGTCGAGGATGTGCTCTCTTGCCTGGGATCCAAGCACGTCTACCTTTCCGCCCACGACCACGATGTCATCACGGCCAACACCCAGGCCGCCACGCACGCCGCCTTCCTCTCCATGGGGAAAGCATGGCACGCCAACCGCCAGTTCCCCTGGGCGCTCTCCCGATACGTCGGCGGCATAGAAAACGTCAAGATCAACATCATGCTGCGAATCTACAGCCAAAAGTGGCACGTCTACGCCGGCCTCGCCATCCTCAACCCCCAGGCCAAGAAGCAGATTAGCCAGTACGCAGACTCCGTCACGGCCCTGTACAAGCTCATGCTCGAGGGCGACTACGACAAGCTCCGCGAGCGCGTCTACACCGCCAAGCAAAAGTGTTTGGGGCCGAAGCAAGCCCCAAGTGGGCCAAGAAGCAGCTCCTGCGCCCCGAGCTCCTCGCCCGCTTCTCCTCCGCGCCGCGTCCGACGACGAGGCCGAAGCCGACGACGACGACGCCCCCGCCCCAACAACCACCTCTCCCTCCTCGCCATGGTCGACTGCTGGGCCAACCTCGGTATCGTCCCTTACGACCACATGCTCTGCTCTACCCCGCTCTTCCGCCTCTGGCTCGGCGTCACCGAACACCTCTTCCGCAACCCGGCCATGCTCGACGACGCCATCCGCACCGCCGTCGAGGACCGCACCTTTCGCTCCGACGACCTCGAGTTTACCTTTGCCGCCCGCGGTTGGGCCGAGTGTGTATCCCTGGGCCACTTTGAGACCTGGAAGGACAGGTTCATGTCCACCCACCTGTTTTTCGAGCCCAGGTTCAAGGATGCGAGTGTCGTCGGAAATAAGATGATGAAGGCCGTCCTAGAAGATGTTATTGATTAGGCTGTACCATGGCTTGTCCTCATTCTTTACCACCCTCCTTCATGATACTTCTACCTATATTAGCTACCACAGCTTGGCTATATCGCTTTCTTCTTTCTCCTTCCGCCCTCTCCTATTACGCCTTTCCCTTCTTGTCCAACCCTTCTTTTTCTTTTCTTTTTTCTATCTACAATTTAACTAGCAGACCTTGTATGCCTCGGGGCCCAACACCGTCTTTGTGCGACTATGAACAGAAAGGAGAAGTTTCTTTGATCAGGCTTCCCCTCCCTAGGAGAACAGTTTCTTTCATTGTCAATGCACCAGAGACAATATCTGTAAGCTAGTCTAGCTTCCTTTGTATAACTCAAATGTCTATTCACTGTGGGCTATATATGAGACAAGTAATGCTCTCCATCTCTGTTGACACCTCATCCTTGCTTCTTCTTTTCAAAAGAGTATTCCTCATCCCAGTATGGTAACCAACCAGCCTTATTAAGTATGCAAAACAACTAACTGGAAGGTGCTCCTCACCTCAGCTTCTCTCCTCACCCGCGCTGGGAATAGCCTGGCTTGAAGGGGTTAAAACCAAACCAAAGGAACAACAAAACAAAAATAAGTAGCCTACTCTAATCGAATCCACCCTTTGCGCTGACACCATTTACGAGTTCCATAAGAAAAGGGACATTGTTCTCCAGCTATTTACACTGACGCGACAACCAGTCCTAAACTTCGCCAAGGCACCATAGGGAGAGAGTGTGTTCTTAACCTTGGCCCGCCATCATGGTAAGCAGATACTTATTCAAGTATCCTCGGGCGTGTGAGGATCAGGTTTTCGTCTCTGCTCGCTCCAAGTAAAAACAGGCCCTACAACAAGAACGGGCAAACTGTTCGAAAACAGGCGGAAGATGGGCTACCTAGGGAACGATGAGTATGCCTCAAAAGTAAACGCCATGATATTCGGCATGGCTAAGATGTCGTTGGCGCTGAGGACTAGAGGGTGTGCTTGTCTGGTCCCTCCTCTTTGAACCGGAGACAAGCTTTGGAGGGCTCTTCAAAAGATTCTAGGCCTCGTTCCCTTTGGGATCCTCCAACCAGGGCCGTTGAGACCATTCAGGTAGAGATATTTGTCAGACGGAGCCTGCTTCCCAGGATACCATTTGGGAGGTCCCGGCTTGGCCGGGGCCTTCTCTTTGGCGATGCTTGTGAACGGCGATGAGCATAGTTCTTCCTCTCTATGCGTGTACTGCCGCCCCTAGCAGCCATTTCTAAATATGAACGGAGTTGTTTGTTGAAATCCCTCCATTCGGACGGCTTTGCAGAAGTTGGCGTGCGTTTTTCTTGCTTCTTCAGAGTATCTGTAGTCGATGCCGAATCAATGCGCTTCGGCACGCTATTCGAAGGCGTTCGTGTGTCGCCCGTGTCCTATGCGGGGCTAGATACTTCATCGGGCTGAGGGCTATCCTCTTCTAATGCACCGTCATCGTCAAGGGCCTGGCAAGGTGTTTCCGCGCATATCGGGCGGCCTACACATTAGCATATTAGCTCCTCTGTAGACATTGCCATGCAGGAAAGCGGTATTGGGAATTGAAGCCTAAGTGTGTGGCGGGCATGGTCACCTTACCTGTGGTTAGCAAATCGGGAGTCGTACCATCGGATTCCGTCTCGGTTCCCTGGGCTGTCAACTCTTTCTTTCCGGTGGCTACAGGCGTCTCGTCATTCACTTCTTCATGTCGCTCATTGACTGCGTTCCAAAACATGTCTCCAAACTCCTCTTCCTTGCTCAGCTACCACAGTATATTAGCTTGCATTTCGGGCCCGCCTCCCGGCCTTGTTGAAAATACAATCCACGAACCTTTGCGTCTAGGGGAGCTTGAGATCTACAGTAGCAGTCCCCTCTTCGGTCTTCTGAGGTCCCACAGCGTCTTCGCACGCCACGCCACGGCTCGAAGGCTTCCCAGACCTGTCGCTATCAAGGCTGACGCGTACCTTAGCACCTTGGGCCCCGCCATCAGCCTCATCGGGGGCCTTTATTGACCCTTCTTTTGTTTGCCTTCGTCTTTTTCTCAGGAGATTCGGACAGCAAAGGGACTGGCTGAGAGGCCTCCTGCTCCCCAAGTGCCTTTGATATGACCCCGTCCACATCTGGAGTAGTGAGCCCAGTTGAGAGGCCCTCATTGCTACCAGTCACAGAAGCAGATAGACTGGTCGAAGATTTTGTGACGGAGCTTGGGGCAGGAGAAGCGGGCTCCTGACCGGGGTCATCCTCGTGACTTTCGACATTCGGGGTCTCGGCTGGCACCGTTGGGGTTGGAACCTCCGGATTACTGATGGTGGAGGAAGAAGGGCTGCCAGAAACCCCTGCGACTCTTCGGGCCCTGGAGGATTGTCCTAAACCAGAGCGCTGGGCTGCCCATCGAAGGAATGACCGCGGCGACACCATAGCAGGTGTAGCGGCGATAGCAGAGTGCAGGCAGAGGGGATAGTCATGAAGATCTCGGGAGAGAACAAAACTGGCAATATCAAACTGTCAACAAAGGCAGCAATAAAATAGAGGTGAAGAAGACACGAGAAATTATACTATAGGGAGGGAGCAGAACCGACAGGAGGCGTTCTCAAGGGATTTAGCGATGCGTGGTTGTGAGAACCTACACCATCAAACAGGCCGATATTGATGGGTTGTGGTGGAACGGATAGCGAGGGAATCTATCCAGCGCCATCTAGATCAAGTACATCCAGATGTAGGGAAGCATCCCGAACCTCGTCGATAAAGTCGATAGGGCAGGTGCGTGCTTGCCTGACACCCAGTAGACACAAAACTTGGGTGACTGGGAAAGAGCGGGGCTCTCTAGACTTTTGATATCGTGCTTGACTCAGATATGCGTGGCAAGTGCGAGTTCGTGTGCAAGGCCAATTAGCTGTCATCCCAAGGGAAAAAGAGAGACAGAGGGGGTACATAAGAAGAGAAAAAAAAAGGATATCTGGCGATTGTAGGCACAGCACACAAGGGTATCACAACGACCCGTGGTCAGAAGATTGCGTAGGTGTTACAAAAACAAAGCATTGATGTACTTAACCTATCCAACTATATGGCCCTCCTCACTCCTAAAAAACCCAAAAGAAAACATCCGAGTGGTAAGGGGAAAACAGAATCTTACAAAAGTCCTGGGGGCCGCTTCGTCTTGCCTACAAATTTGCCTCCGTCATCCACAGGGAAACCCTTGCTAAGGGCTTTCTGGCTGGTAGCAGTCGGGCTTTTGATTCCCCCAGGACTAGCCACACACAGCATGTAGCTATCGGATCTGTGAGAACAATCGCACCGCACACCCTTCCACATTGGCACCTCTTGACGCTCATTACTTCTCCTCAAACATTAACCGGTGGTCCAAAATCCGTGTCGCTGCGAATTGTCGTTCCTTTTCTCGTTCTCGCGGGCTCGATCCGGTGGTGGTTTAGTAGTGGGGATTGGGGCCAAGGGGGCATGGGGGCATGGGGATAGTCCTCGGGGCGAGCGCTGGCAACAGAGCCGCCGCCACGGTCACCGCGGTCGCCGGCGCCACCACCGAAGTGCTTCTTTCGGAGGGCCGCAAGCCTCTTCTTCTTGGTAACGGTGTTGATGTACGTTCCAATGATGAAGGAGACTAGGTTGAAGAAGGGAACCCAAAGGTGGTCGGGGAGGAACTTCTGGGCAAAGGCCAAGCAGATGGGCGAGGTGATCCAGCTAACCTTCATGACCTTCCAGAACCCGACACGAACAGTGGCCTTGACTTGGTGGAAGGTCTTGGCACCGGCGATAAGGGCCATGGCGACGAGGTAGACGCTGTTTTGGATAGGCGCAACCTAGATGGGCAGGCCGGTTAGTTCTGCTGTGTCATTAGGGGATAAAAGTCTAGTCACATACAATCAAGTTGCTGACGAGGATCTGAAGGATCTTGGACTTCAAGCTAGTGCGGTTCTTGAACGTCTTCTGGAGGAGCCAGATGAGGAAGTGGCCCATAGGCGCGCTGACGAGAGCACCGTAGGTAGCCATCTTGGGAACGCGAGAGGTGAAATAGTGACCGTTCTTGTTGCGGTCCTTGGCAAGCCACGAGGCGAGAACTTCTTGAAGACCGGCGAGAGTACCAGCTGTGAGCATCTTGGTCCGGAGGATTCTCCTCAAGCTCCTTGATGTAGGCCTATAAAGTACGTCATCGTCAGTAACGGTCGAGTTTCTCCCATTGAAGTTTGGTGCTGCTTAGGCTTGCAACGCGAGCTTTCGGTCGGTTTGACGGCGATTAGGATGAATGGGATAGGGAAAACATACCATCAGGTATCCCTTGGTGCCGGCATTTTCCTTTCCTCCAGTGATGGCGGTGCCAATGGCGGCGGTGATGGGGTGCTTTCCGCTGGTGCCGGGAATGACCTGGCCAGGGTTCGTCAGATCGCCGACCTTCTCCATGGTCTCGCGTATCTTCTGCGTCGCCTCGAATTTTACGGACGACATTTTGAACGATGCGATTCCGCCTCAGAATAGGGACGAGAGCAGTTCAAAAAATCGAAGGGGGCGGGTTCAGAGGCGTGGAGCCAGGATGTCCTGCGTGGTGAGAGGTGGCGGTTAGCTTGGGAACAGCACGTCGTCACGGAAATGGTCTGACGTCTTGGAAGGAGGGAGGACGCACTCGTGCCGTCGTTTTCGTCAAGGGCTCGTTCTTGTTTTCGTCGCCGACGCCCTAATCGGGTCGTTTTTGGGAGGTGAAAATGGTTCAACGCTTTGGAAAATCGCCAATCGAGCTCGTCGTGGTGGGAACAGGCGAGTTTTGTTTACCCTGGGCGTTTGACTGTTCAGCGAGCCAATGAGGGACAGCGAATCGCGCGACGTTGCGTGAATAGGGGCTTGGGCAAGCTAAGCTCCAGCAACAGCAATCGGGTGTCGATGGCGGCAGGATCCAAAACTCCCAGTGAGGGTTCGGCGGGACAAGATCGTGAACGGGTTTTTTTTGTCGCAATCGAGTCTGCGGCAGAAGGGCGGAGACGTGGAATCGCGACAGAAGAATGATAGGAGGAGTGGCGGGATGGGGAATTAGAACGTGAGAGAAGCGTGAAATTAATTGAAGGCTGGTAGGGAGACCTCAGTGTGGGAACATGGATCCTTTTCGCGCGACTTTGCTGCTGACGCTAATAGGCGTAGCCAACAGCAAAGGTGCAGGGCCCTTGTCCTTCCCAGTTCCTCCAGGGCCTCCAGATGAGGCCAACGGGCCACAGCGATTGGCCGAGGTCCCCGAGGCTTTGTTTTGGCGGCATTTGCTGGCCGTGCATAATTCTCTTGACTCCGTAATCATACGCACCCCCATCCATGGGGGAGCAAAGATCAATTGGGGCTGTTGACTGGAAAACGTGGAGACCCTCGATTTAGGTACCGAGCCAGAAACATAGGACACTTGTATTATTCAGCAGCATTAAAGTCTAATCAGTACCTATTGTCGAAGTACCTCAGCTCGATCCCATCTTTCTAGTTACTGGAGTGACTGGGGCGATATTTACGCTGAAGTGAAAGAAACAGCCAAACGCGGTCTAGCTCAACCCGGACTGTCGCCATTCATTGTTCCTGCAGGTATCGATTGCAACTTTCCCTGGTTGCGAGGGGGGCGGGGAGAGGCAAGAGGACCTCGGTATCACGGCGAACAAAACATGCGGTTCGCAAGCTAGCAGGAGACGGGCAACGGGGACTTCACCAGAAATGGGAGAGTTTTTGTCAACACCGCGGTCCCCCGTATTTATCATAACCTGACGCCGAGCACACTTGATTGACTCCATCTTGGTCGTTTGGGTCGCACAGGAAAAGAGCACCACTCCACATCAGCACCCGCCAGATCGGGAAATGCTCTCCACCTATGGCAAGATCAACAGCTTCAGCAATACCAGGCGGAATGCCGTTGCGTTGAGGTGCATTGCCTGCTGATTGTTTGATTTGTTGTTGTTCTCAAGTGCTCTCTCCAAATCGACTTCTTCCAAGGCAGCTTGGTGTCCGCCCCTCTCTTTCGCTCCTTCCCTTTACTTCCCGCCTCATTAATCTCTCTAGGACCCTATTATTTCTTTCTTTGTCTTTTCTCTTTTCCCCGGAGTAGGTGGCTCGCCATGCAGCCCACGCTATTACCTGCATGGAGAAGTGTCCGGCGCGGAGCGATCGGCACCATTCGCGCTTCGCATACCTTGCATGTGCCCTCCTGAGCCGCACTGGACACTGATCGGACGCCAGTGACTTCATCCTCCAGGCATCGATGGGTGCCCAGCGAGTGGATGCAAGCTTTGGCCCCCGCTCTTCTTGAGGCCACCTCGAGAAGGAGGGATTTTCTGGCCACTGCATGAATTTCATCCTCAGGCATGTTGCCTGGAGAAGGATGACGCGAAAACTTATTCTTCAGATCGAATAACCTTGACCCCTGCGCCTCCAACCGTCATCGGAAAATCAAATTGGAGGCCAAGGTCGCCCCGGCACTGATGAGGCTAAACGGCGGGGGTTTTATGACGCGTTGTTGGGCTCATTTTCCGATGCACACGCACCGACGGGCTCGGACTTGATTCCGAGTGGACTTGACGAGCGGAAGACTCAGGAAACCTTTCTTACCACACACGTCATGCTTCGCTTCAGGCCAGGACGTCCACCTTGGCCGGTGTTATATGCCATCAGCCAGTTTCTAGCTTTGAGAAGATCTTTGACCATTATATCGCCGACAGCTGGACCCTGCATCAGTCGGTCTAGATACCGAAGGCCAAGGGAGATGGGAAAACGAAAGCTGCCAGGGTCTCCAAAAGTACACAGCAGCTTAATTCGTTGATGTTTGATGGGAATTGAGATATAGCTTATAGAAATAGTTCAGTCGTCCTCCTCTCCTTTCCCCCTGCGTCCATCGAGCATCGGGTAGGTTCTGCCATTCGATGCAGCCAAGCATACATGTACGCAGACAGCGGCTAGTCAGGTGTGGTACGAACTAACAAAATTTCCCCCACGCTGCGGGGTTACGTAGAGGAGGCATGGTTGAGCCCTCATGAAATCATCACTGCCAAAGTAAAAAAAAAACAGTAAGCTTGTGTCTCATCGCTTGCGATACTACTTGTTCGGATAACTCTCCGTGCATGTAACCTTTGTCTGGGTCATCCCTGCCGACGGCTTGCTCCGAAGAACCCTTTTCAAACGGTTCAAAGTGCTCAAGCTGTGCCCGCTTCCCATCCAGCTTTCACGATGAGAGAGATTGGCGGTAGAGTTTTGGTCATTGCCGGCTCCGATTGCTCCGGCGGCGCGTTCGTTTCCCCTTCTACGCTATTGTGCACTTATGGAGAGCTTCTTTTTCTTTCTCTTCCACTTGGACTGCTCTCCCGATAGATCTTTAAGCTAACCTCAACGTGATGTCATGATTTCTTTGTAGTGGCCTAGAGGCAGACCAAAAGACAATTGCCGCTCATGGCTGCTACGCAATGGCAGCCACCACGGCCTTGACCGTGCAGGACACCACGGCTGTGTATGATATACACCCCGTTCCGTCCCAGTTCGTTGCCAAGCAGATCGATGTCTGCCTCAAGGACATTGGTGCGGACGCTGTGAAGATTGGCATGCTCGCGTCGGAAGAGACGGCCAGAGCTGTGGCCGAAGTGCTCAAATCGCACCATGTGAAAAGCATCGTTCTAGACCCTGTAGGAAAAGAAAAACCAACCACCCCTCTCCCTCGGGCCCATGATTTGAACATGCCGTCTCATTGCTTCTTTTCTCTTCTCTCCTCCTCTAGGTCATGATTTCCACAAGTGGAAGCCAGCTCCTCCCCAATGAAGCCGTCAGAGCTGTCGCCGATACTCTCCTCCCCCAGGCCACCATCATCACGCCCAACATCCCGGAAGCAAAGCTTCTCGCCGAGATTGCCCGCGACGCGGAAGCGCCCACGGAGATACAAAGCATCAGAGACCTCGAGCAAATGGCGGAGCGGATCCGGTCGCTCGGGCCCAAATGGGTGCTTCTCAAGGGCGGCCATCTGCCCCTCACCAAGGACCTCGCCGTCGCCGAACCGGGTGTGCAAGGAAAGGAGCCGGAATACGTGGTCGACATCCTCTGCGGCGAAGGGCAGATGATCCACATCAAAAGCCTTTACCAGCAGTCGCAGAATACGCACGGCACCGGGTGCACTCTTGCGTGTAAGTTGCGAATTTCTCACTTGCAAAGAGGGCGTGCTTGACTTTGGGATGTTCCAGACTGATTGCCTAACGCCCTTTGCGCCTGTCTCTCGCCCCCTTCTCTAGCTGCCATCGCGTCGAATCTTGCGAAACAAAAGGACATTCCAAGCGCGGTGAGGTCCGCCTGTCGCTTTATTCAGCCCGCCATTGCGACGGCCCCCGGATACGGCAAGGGTCATGGCCCTTTGAACCACTTCCATAGCTCGTTTCAGCTCCCGTTCTCCCGGTAAGGCTGTTTGTGTGGCCAAGCATTCCCAAAGTCGTGTTTCCATACTAACGTGCTCCAGCGGCTACTTCATCGAACATCTCCTATCTCGTGAGGATGTGAAGCCTGTCTGGGACCGCTTTGTCCACCACCCCTTTGTCATGGGTCTTGGGGATGGCTCCCTTCCTCTCGAGTCGTTCAAAGGGTACATCATCCAGGATTACCTGTATCTGGTATGTTCACATGGTCCGAGAGTATTGTTATCTATGCTGAGCCGCCGTTTCAAAAGATTCACTTTGCGCGAGCGCATGCCTTGGCTGCCTATAAAGCCACAAACATGAAAAAGATATCTCGAGTAAGTCCACTGACAGGAACTCCCAGTTTCGCAACTTACTTTGAAAAATACATGCTCATATCAGCTTGATTGCTGGTTCCATAGTCCAATGAGATAGTTGCCCATATCTTCCGAGAGAGCACCCTCCACATCGACTACTGCAAATCTTTTGGAATCTCTGTCGAGGAGATCGAAAGGACACCGGAAAAACAGGGTGAGCAAGCCTGAAAACATGTCCTTTAGCTAACCGAGACTAACGCCTTTCCCTTGATAGCCTGCACAGCCTACACCCGGTGAGGCACCCTTTTGCATGGATCGGTTCTTATCAGAGATGATTAATTGTTTTTGTTTCTTATCCCCGCGTAGGTTCCTTCTCGATGTCGGGCATAGTCAGGACCTTCTCGCCCTCCAAGTGGCTTTAGCCCCGTGCACACTCGGTTACGGCGCCGTTGCGCAGATGCTGTACCACCACCCCAATACCAAGAAGGATGCCAAGGATAACATCTATTGGAATTGGATCGAGAATTACGTTGCAGAAGACTACCGCGAGGCGGTACAACTTGCATCGGGTAGGCCTCCTGCCCTCCCCCAAGCCCTTTCTGGAGGCGCCTGGAATATTCGTCACTGACTGAAGGACCGAGTAGAACAACTCGAAGATGAAATCGGCCGCCAGACTCCGGAACGGATTGAAGAGCTCGTTCAGATATTTATCCAGGGAACAGAGGTAAGCAGCCAAGCCCCTTGCCAGGTCCATCACTTGCTAATGGGACTCGGGAACAAGCTTGAAATTGGCTTCTGGGAGATGTTTCCTAGTGCATGAGAATCTTGAGAAGAGATCTAAAAAGACAAACATCCATCAAAGCAGCCCGAGATATTTTAATGGGCTTAGAGGGGCAGAGGGGTTATAAGACATAGGAGTTAGTTCAGAGAGCTAGGAGCTTAGAGCCTCCTCACCATGTATAGTATATGGTGGGTCGTTACTGCCTTTGATGCTCACGCTCCCAAACTAAAAACTAAGTGATCACCTTAGTCAATAAAACCCAGGGTCCTCATAGGTCTGACCTGGACCAGGATCCTTGATCTGTGGTACAAGGCGATCCAAGGTGCTGATCATGTGACTTGGTGTTTGGCCCAGTGATATGTGGGAGCCCAGTGCTGTTGATAGGCCCTGGTTGAATTTTCCAGTGGGGCTTCATACCGCCACTCAGCTAGAGCCAAAAATTTTCATCTGTCACGATAGGCCTTTTTGTCCTGCCCCATTCTAGCCTCTTTGTGGTTCGCTAGAGAAGAAAAAAAGAAAAAGAGTGTAGGTACGTACCCCCACGCTAACTAAAGCAAGCGTAATCAAGGGGCGAAAAACCAGCAGAAAAAACTCGTGAGTAGGCAGAGGAGAAAAAAGTTGGGTGCTGCGCCTAAAGAAAAAGGGAACAGGAAAAAAACCTATTCCACCCCAAACAACAAAACCATCCCACATTCCCCCGATCATCCCCATCAAGGAACGCGATTTTCACGCTTCCACTCCCTTTTCTCTATCATCTGCCTTGTATTTTTCGAAAGGCCTCTCTAACCCTTTCATTTTTGCTCATCTCTCTTGAGCGACCCTCCTTTTTCTTCAAACGCCTCTTGAAACAGCACCATTTAGGCAGGCATCAAAAGTCCACCCGACAACAACCCCATTAATCCTCTTTCCACGACACTTTATCACTCCTCTTCAGAGACAATGAGCTACGGCGGTGGTTACGGTGGTGGCCGTGGAGGCGGCGGCGGCTACTCCAACGGTTACGATCGACATGAACGCGGCGGACGTGATCGCAACGGCGATGGTCAGAATGGGTAAGTCATCTTCTCCTACTGCTTGATTCATTGTACCGAGCCCCTGGCGCGATATATTACTTCCCCGCTTCCTTGAAGAGCCTCCATGGTTTGCTTCATCACGAAATGATTAAACATGTAGCTAACGCATGTCGTCTTCATAGCGGCGGTTACAGCAACGGCGGCGGCTACGGAGGTGGCGGTGGTGGTGGTGGCTACGGTGGTGGAGGTTTCGGCGGCGGTGGTTTCGGCGGTGGTGCCGGCGGCGACAGAATGTCCAACCTTGGATCTGGACTGAAGACTCAAAACTGGGGTATGTGCTTGCTTCTCCTCTCATCCCCTATCGCTTTCCCTTGAAGCCCTTCGCTAACAAAGTGTGATTTAGATCTTTCTACCATGCCCAAGTTCGAGAAGCATTTCTACAAGGAGAACCCCGAGGTTGCCCAGCGCAGCAGTGCTGAGGTCGATGCCTTCCGTCAGAAGCATGCCATTACCGTGGCCGGCACAGACCTTCCTAAGCCCGTTGAGACTTTCGACGAAGCTGGATTCCCTCGCTACGTGATGGATGAGGTCAAGGCCCAGGGCTTCCTGCGCCTACCGCTATTCAGTCCCAGGGCTGGCCCATGGCCCTTTCTGGACGCGATGTCGTCGGTATTGCCGAGACCGGTTCCGGAAAGACGCTCACATACTGCTTGCCCTCCATCGTTCACATCAATGCTCAGCCTCTCCTCGCCCCTGGAGACGGCCCCATCGTGCTAGTCCTAGCGCCTACGCGTGAGCTTGCCGTCCAGATTCAACAGGAAATCACCAAGTTTGGTCGGTCGTCGCGCATCCGAAACACTTGTGTGTACGGAGGTGTGCCCAAGGGACCCCAGATCCGCGATCTTAGCAGGGGTGTTGAGGTTTGCATCGCCACTCCCGGCCGTCTCATTGACATGCTTGAGGCTGGAAAGACAAACCTTCGTCGTGTCACATATCTCGTCCTCGATGAGGCTGATCGCATGCTTGACATGGGTTTCGAGCCCCAGATCCGCAAGATTATTGGCCAAATTCGACCCGACCGTCAAACCCTCATGTGGTCGGCCACCTGGCCCAAGGAGGTTCGCGCCCTCGCGACTGACTTCCTCAGCGACTTCATCCAGGTCAACATTGGCTCTATGGATCTTGCCGCCAACCACAGGATTACCCAGATCGTTGAAGTTGTATCAGAGATGGAGAAGAGGGACCGCATGATCAAGCACCTCGAAAAGATTATGGACAACAAGGAAAACAAGTGCCTCATCTTTGTCGGCACGAAGCGTGTAGCGGACGACATTACTCGTTTCCTTCGCCAGGATGGCTGGCCCGCTCTGTGTAAGTTGCCGTCGAATCTCGCCTCTCGCCGCCTCTCCTCGGTACTTAGCTAACCTGACCCTGCAATTTTTATAGCTATCCATGGTGACAAGCAACAGAACGAGCGTGATTGGGTTCTCGACCAATTCAAGACCGGAAAGAGCCCCGTGATGGTGGCTACGGATGTCGCGTCGCGTGGTATCGGTAAGTACCCTTCGATCCCACCACCCTTGTCCCCCAATTTAAAACCGTTAGCAACCTCCAGCATACCATTGCTGTACTTTACTCTCATGTTTAGGGGCTTTCTTCCTGCGCAAAACTTGCCTGAACCCTCCGCGTGTTCCCTTGGTTCCTATTCCTTGCGTGGAGTCTTGGTTTGCAGCGTAGCCAGCGCCTGTTGATGGCTGCGCTTGTCGACTCGCCCTTGTACCGGCATATTTGTGATGAATCTGTGAAGTGGTACAAGCGTGAGCCAGATGGTCGTTCTCTTTTGCTATAAATGATGGACCACTGTGAACCCATGCCAAGATTCCCGAGGCCCCCAACGCCTTGCTGCACGCCGAATATTCCAGGATGGCAATCGATGCACAATGGACAGCCCCATGCTTTGCCTCTGAAGTGAAGTACAGAAAGGCAAACATATCAAGGCGTTTTCGTAAAGAAGAAACGTCTCGGCCTTCGCTGGACGAGTTGCTATACCCACTCTTGCTCTATTGACTGCTAACCCCTATCTTTCTTTCCCTTGCTAAAGACGTTCGCAATATTACCCATGTGTTGAACTACGACTACCCTAACAACTCTGAGGATTACATCCACAGAATCGGTCGTACTGGTCGTGCCGGCGCCAATGGCACGGCCATTACCTTCTTCACCACCGACAGTAAGCCACCCCTCGTCTATCCCCTCGCTCTACCGACTTGTTTGCCCCGAGACCATGCTAACAATGTTTGCCTCCAGACTCTAAGCAGGCTCGTGATCTTGTCAATGTTCTTGCAGAGGCCAAACAGCAGATTGATCCTCGCCTTGCGGAAATGGCCCGCTATGGCGGCGGCGGCGGCCACGGACGCTTCGGCGGTTACCGTGGTCGCGGCGGTCATCGCGGTGGTGGTACGTATCATCACTCCCCTTTTGGGATCTAGACGATTCGCAATGCGATCATCTCCCCCACATATCAAATAGGTTCATGTTGTGTTCTAACATGCGCACCCTGCACAGCCAATGCCAACAACATGCCTCTGTCCAAGAGGCGCTGGTAAACGCAACTACGTAGACGGTGGCATGGGCACGCCTACGCTTAAGCGCCCCCATGGCCACACTGCACGTACGTGCGCACGATATCCCAGAAGCACTGTTTTTCAACGGCGTTTGAGTAGAAAAGGTCGAGAGTATTTTTGTGACTTTTAGAAGATTATTCCACATCATGCATTACTCGTACGGTCGGTTAGCGCTGCAAAGACTCTATTGGAAGAGTTCGGGCATCAGAGTGAGCCGCGACCAGGCTCTTACGGTATCTCCCTTCTTGTCTTTGATTTCTCATCGTTTCCACATTGGAGGGGGCGTGGGAAAGACCGCGCGGCACAACAAGACTGTTTACACTCCCCTCACCCATGAGCACCGGCTCCGGGAGAGGCGGACTCTCCGCCGTCCTTGGCATTGATTTCCCCATTTTTACTTTGTCCCCTTTTTTTTTTTTTTTTTCTTCCTGTTTTTCCTTCTTTCTTTAGAAAGGGTTACCCGTCACGTTATAATCTCGGTTTCTTTGTTTCTGCGGCTGGAAAGGGAAGAGAGCATGGTCAGCGGCTCACGAGAAGAAAAAGAAGCAACATGGTTTTAGTAAGGTCAAAAAACGTATGGTCGAGCCCGAAGGTGCAAAGACACACCCGGCACGCCTGGTATGGCCGTCTGCGGGAAATGATAGTCTGTCTGCAACGGTTCCCGCCAAGAGGCACAGGCAGGCCTTAGGACGTACGTATGTGGACTAGATACAAAACCCAGAGGAAATTGAAACAATCAATACAGCATATTATATCTGTGCAATACACGCCTATCTCAGTCCGCGACACGCCTTTACTCAAATGCGTTGCGGCCGAGAGACGAGAGACGAGAGACGAACCCCCACCGTGTCAGGGTCCGTCCATGCCCGCCCATGTCCCACCCATGTCCCATCTATGATTTCTTAATCTGGGGCGAACTCAATATGACGCTGATCCTCTGTTGATTATGAGGTAAAAGCATCGTCAATGGATCATCTCAACTGACGTAAACTAAAACGATCTGAGGTGCCGAAGTCTAGATGGTCCAGACCGTTGATGATACCCGAGGTCTCTCGGTTACAACGAACGTGACCAAACTTGGTTAGGACTGTAAGGACTGACTTTGATGTTTCTTCATTATTACCAAAAGAAAAGAAAAAAGAATGAGACCTCTCTCAACAGCGTCAACAGCGGGCACGGAGTCTCATTGCTCTCAAACACTGACGAACCCATTGTGCTCCACGGGTACTACACAGGATCTCGCGTGTCGTTTTCCATTCCCCACCATGCGGTGTTCTCCGAGATCTCTTTTCGTGGTCCAAGTGAGCACTGTCTCTCCTCCTCACGCCCTCTTTCTTTCTTTCATTCCTTCCTTCCTTCTACTTTACCCACGCCCCTACCCACGCCCCCAAAGGGGGTGGCAGAGCGAGAGAGAGAGAGAGAGAGAGAGAGAGAATGAGAGAGTGGAAATCTGAGGCAGATCTAGGCCCACGGTTCGTGCGCGAGGGAGGGGTGGACGTTCGTCAAGAGGTTTGCCGGGTTTTTGAATTGGGACCGGCAGGGCTTTTTCCCCACCCGCATCCGGGTGAGGCTGAGACATATTGGACGGGATTCTGTGGTTGGGCGAGGCGAGGCGAGGCGAGGAAGGGCGAAAGAGAGACGGACATAGAGGGGGGCTCTCCTTTTCCTTCCTTTTTCTTATTGTCTCTTTTACTTGGGGACACCCCATCTCCCTCCTGTCCTTCAGTCCTTCAGTCCTCCAGTCCTTCAGTCCTTCAGTCCTTCAGTCCTCCAGTCCTTCAGCCTGGTGGTCCACATTCCGCAGCCAGCGGTATCCTTGCCGTTCCTGCCGCCTTCTTATTCCTCTTTGCTAGGTTGTCATGTTTCGCGGCTTTTTTCGAAAAGGTTGATTCATGTCGTCCCTTCTTCCCGTCCCCCTTGCCTGCTTTTTGAAAACCTTGTTCTTGCCTTTTCTTTTTCCCATTCTTGTTTACCATGATCTTATCAAAACAGAAAAGGAAAAAGAAGTGGTATTGCTCGTCATTTCCCTTCCCTTCCGTGTGTGTGTATTGTATTGTATCCTGGCGGAGGGCAAGGGGGAAGAGGGAAGAGACTGGGGGTGTGTCCAAGCCCTTAAGCCTTTCTTCCTTTTTCCGCTCTCTTTTTCTTTTTAGATGCTGCTAATGTGTTTTTTTTCTTTTCATTGTCCCGCATATTATACTTGTCGTAGCTGGCAACACGCCCTTGCCCACTTCACATGTCTTGGCCAAAACATGATGTACTCTTCCGAGCAACATACTTCTTACTTGGGGAGAAGTGAGTCCAATAAAGAGCAATACAGGACGCGGTTGCCTTCATACTTTCTCTCTCTCTTCCCGGGGATAAGCCAGACTAGATCCACCAATCCGCTAGTCTCTCTCTCTCTCTCTCTCTTCCTTATTATACAACGACACCACACCAGGAAGCACCAAAAGACGGCCATGATGCCTCCCCCACGGATGATTGGGCTGGCTTCTCTTTCCTAGATAGCCTAGAAAAAGACGGCGACATGCACAACGACACGCCGAAATGGGCACATGGGATACGCTCCCAACACCGACCCATCCTAGTGGAGAGAGCCTGTCTCGCTCTGCGTGTCTGGAACTTGCCGAGAGCCCTTACCCATGAGAGGATTTTCCCCTCTTTTCTTCATTTCTTTTTTCTTTCTTTCTTTTGCATGTTTAGTAGATCGCACCGGCTTCATCGACAGTCCCAAGACCCAGGAATGCCCACGGCCTGGGTGCAGGTCGTATGGGCAACACGTGTTTTGCGTGTCTGAGTGTCTTCCACACCTCGGGCCAACGTACAACGCACCTTGGAGGAGGTCTTGTATGGAGTGGATATTCTTACGTACTTAAACCGAGCCGACCGACCCCCGGCGATGGGCTGAGACTCCATAGATGGGGTGAGACTCCATAGATGGGGTGAGACTGATTTCGGAGATTATCCGATACTGCGAAGCTACACTACCCTAGAAAGCAACGTTCTCTGTAGCCCTGGTGGGCTCTCGGGCCAGTTGAGATGGCCCATCACAACGTCGTGCGTGTCTGATGGTGTCGAATTGCCTCTTGTCGGCATCGGCTCTTGCTGCCTCTCCCGTCTTACTGCTGCCAGCCGGAAAGCTGAACTGGCGAGAAGGGCACCCGTCCTAGACCGACTGAGTCCGGCGTGCATCAACTCGTCTCTCCAAATGTCGGCTCAACAATTTCCCTCTAGCCCTCATCCCTCCATGCTCTTTTCCTTTCTTTTTCTTTTTCTTCTTCTCCCGCACCCTCTCTTTTGGTTCGCCCTTTTCTCTAGATAGCAGGACCAGTAGCCAAGCGCTCTCAGCCCACGAAGCCCCCTTTCGGGTAGCTCATCCCTTTACTAAGGTGGCCCCGTCTCCAAATGTCAACTGAACCCCGCCTCTCCATTCTCTGCTGTCGTTAGGCAGTGCAGCCTTATTGGTTTCAAAGTCGGCATCTCGGTCCTGCGATATAGCCCGCTTCTCCCTAGAGAAGCACGGTGCAATGTTCATATTTCTCATCCGTCCTTCGGGGGTTATGGCTTTCTGGACCCCTCGATGTATATAAGACTCCCTCGCTATCCAGCCTCCAAGGTGCTCATGGCTGTCTGGAACCCGCGAGTATCCATGTCACTCAGCGGCAAGGATTTTGATTTGATACATGTCGATGTGATTAAGTCAGCTTCGTTTTGCCGGCGTACTACAATTCTGATGGGGCGTAAGCATGCGGTGCCAGTATAAATCTCGTTGTAGGAAACACTGGGGTAAAGCGGTAAAGCCATAATAGACCCTAGACGCATACGGTCTTAGCCGGGGGACGCAATCATGGCGACCGGGAGTCCTTGGGGTCACTGAAGATCATTCTGACTCTGGTGGCAAAGGAACCCAGAGGCTACGCTGCGCGGATCACCAAGGGTCTTGCCCAAAGTGTAGCCTGACGTGGATGACTCCACGCTCAGCTTGGTGTCGGAGTGGCCTACTCGAGAAGAGTCTTCAGATATTAGAGTGGTTTACTAAGTGGTGGTTTACTAAGTGCTAGATACGGCCTCCTGGTCGCGTGTGAAATTGGTTGGCTGCTCAGCGGGTAGGAGGAAGGGGCACGAACGGATAGTATAAGACGACGCAAGGGGAAAGGGTAACGACGAGGCAACATCACCTTGAACCTCTTGATAGGCCTTTCCTGATCTCGCGTTTTTTTTTTTTTTTTTGCGTGGCAGCGCGCCTCACGGCAGCCCCCCTTTTCCTCCCTTTTTCGCTTTCCTTTTCTTTCTCTTTCCATCCTTAAACACGCCGTCTTATGCTTGGGCAAGCACGTATATCACGTATATACGCGCAGAATGCTGGCTTGTCCGCCATCCCCCCTCTCGCTGGCTCCTTAAGTCTCGTTCCCCATTCCTTTTCGATTCATCTCCCCTCCCTTCCCGCGTATCAGAGTCAAGGGTGAGGGCATCCTCTGATGGGCGGGACCAGGGGGGCTGTAGTTGTAGTCCAGGCGCGAGCAGCAACTGGTAGCCAGCAATGAATGTTTAAGATTAAAAGAGAACGAAAAAAAAATTTCCGGGCCTCGGCGTAGGGATAACCATCCACTGTCTAAGATGCTCAGATCTAGTATCGACAGCAAAAAGTTGGGGAGCCACACAGCCTTGAACGCGGGTCGCATTGGCTTGAATGATTTCCTACCTCGCACGTAACTTCAAACGATCACGCTACTCATGCGCGCGACACGGCTGTATTGGCAACGTGCTTTCCATCTGAACCAAAAGCCCCGCCAGATATGAGGACAAAAGCAAGCACAGCTAGGGGCGGCTGGGAAGCACGCCGGGCGTGCCGGCAAAGCCTCCCTGGCTATCTGTCCACTAAGCGGGTGCGCGGCCAGCGGCTGGCTTGTTTGTCAAGCACTGTACTTGTGCTGGTCTCAACAAAGGGTCAGTCATGGCCGCAGGCAACTGTTTGGAGGAGG